AACTGTATGAAGTTCCTGGTCTTGTGGCTATAACAGGCATCAAAGGGGGCTGTCCTGGTGTACTGGTACACGGGGGAATTCCTATTGTTTTCATATCCATAGATGGAGTTGTGACGCAGTTCATTAATGTTTCGTTCCTTTGTGTACCGGTACACGAGGACACAACCCATCAAAGGCTGAACTAGTTCTATAAACACTAAGTTGTGGTTGGTATAATATTGGCCCCGTTTGAGGGCATTTTATTCATGTGAGTATATGTGGGTTACAACCCTTCGGTTTTTAATATACAAAACTTACTTTGACTACGTCTGAGAGAAGTGACTTTAGAGGCTTCTGAAGCTGTTCTTGTCGAGGAAGCTTGTGGTTGGTGCTGGCCATCATTGCTGTCCACAGGACAATTATTGTCACCCGCTTTCCTTGTTCTACCTTAAATTCAACACACCAACTATTATCAATCTTTTTGCATCCTTTCAAGATAGCTTAGTTCACATGTATTTTGCTTGTTCCTTTAAAAGCATAATTCTGCTCATATATGTACATAACTGAATGATCCTCTGGGCCCAGTTGTCCAAAAGTTAATCCAGTTCTCTTTATTTCTCTTTTCAAAAGCCCTTTAAGGACAATTTTCTCTTTTCTTTTTAGGGCATCCCATAATCGAGCTGTATAAAAAAATTTAACTGAATTTTCTTTGTAGGTTTCAGATGTGAATCTAATTTTACACCAACCCTGGGTTATTCTAAACTAGATTTGGAAAACCCGATCCTGGGGTTTTCTGGCAGTTAACAGCATCAGTAGCTGCAACAATTCTGTGGCCACCAATGTGAAAGTGGCACAAACTTGACCCCTTTAAAGTACTTGGTCGGGTTGCCAAGTTTATGTAATGTACAATACTTGATATTGTAATACTATAACACAACTTACTGGTGTTCTTGGAGGTTTCTGGTTGGTGTTTACCATCATTGCTTTTTACAAGACTACTGTCGTCACGCACTTTTCTTTTTCTACCTTGAATTCAACGCATCATTTATTTAATTTATAATAGGTTCATTTAATCACCATTTCACAAGCTGCTTTAACACAATGCTTTTGCTCGCGTAACTGAATGAAGTTCTTGGTTTTGTGGCTATAACAGGCATCAAAGGCTGAACTAGTTCTATGATCACTATGTTGTGGTTGGCATAATATTGGCTCCCTTGGGGGCATTTTTCCCTGTTGAGTATATGTGGGTTACAACCTTTCAGATTTTAATATACAAAACTTACTTTGACTACGTCTGGGAGAAGTGACTTTAGAGGCTTCTGAAGCTGTTCTTGTCGAGGAAGTTTGTGGTTGGTGCTGGCCATCATTGCTGTCCACAGGACAGTTATTGTTACCCACTTTCCTTGTTCTACCTTGAATTCAACACACCAACTATTATCAATCTTTTTGCATCCTTTCAAGATAGCCTAGTTCACATGTATTTTGCATATTCCTTCAAAAGCATAATTCTGCTCATATATGTACACAATTAACTGACGCGCTGGGCCCAGTCGTCCGAAGGTTACTCCAGGTGTCTTAATTTCGCTTTTCAAAAGCCTCAGATCTGAATCGAATTTTACACCAATCCTGGGTTATCGTAATCCAGCTTTGAAACCCTGAGGTTTTCCGGCTTTTAACAGCATTAGTAGCTTCAACTAGTCTGGCCACAAATGTGAAAGTGGTACAAACTTGACCCCCTTAAAGTATTTCATCCAGTTGTCGAGTTTATGTAAAGTACAATACTTGATACTGTAATACCATAACACAACTTACCTTCCCTGCTTGTAGCAGAAGTGTGACCAAAGGCAGCTGAGGTAGCTCTTTTTGTGAAGGTTTGTAGTTGAGGCTGGCGATCATTACTGTCCTCAGGACAGGTGTTTTCCCACATCTTTCTTCTTTTACCTTGAATTCAACACATGAATTGTAATCAATCACTGACATGTTTATATGAGCCTTAGTTAACCTTTATTTCATATTTTTCTGTAATTTCTCTGAAACATGTTCATAAATGACTTTCCTGGTTCCTGAATTAACTTGGGCCACTAAAGTATTATATGACAAACCCTAGCAATAAATTCCCACTGGGAGACCACCCGGTAAGAGTTATCACTTGACAGGAAAGAGCTTTAGATGCCTATTTAAACAGAATCACGGTTCTCCAAAAGCAAGTGCCAGGTTTAACGTAACTGTACGTATTGCTCGAAAAGATTGTGCAAAGTGCTGCAAAGTGAAACATTCAGATTTCCTCAAGACTGATATAATCTTCAAGAGCTCACTGTACACGTAAGATAAATTCTTCTGGGTTTCCACACAAACTATGAGACCATTTGAAATTCAACTGGGGTGGGGGGGTTTTCCGGAAATATATGGAAACGTTTCATATGATAGTTCTGAAATTGCAATTAATACTCAAGTGAACTCTCATAAAAATACATTTCTATACATTTCCAACAAGGGAAGGAGAGATAAGGGTACTTTCAATTGGAATGTTGTAAACTGTCGTAAATTTCTTTAGCCGAAGATAACAAATTTTGGAGATTTCAAGGGGTCGGTAATTCGGGTAGTTTATCCGAGCGCATAGAAGAGTGACAAGGAAGAAAAGCTCGCCCTTAGTTAAGTTTGAAACGCTCTAGCTTGCACCATGCCGATTTTCACCCACACTATTACTGCATGTGGCTCCAAAACTATTTTATTGAGTGATTTGTCGGGTTAAGTTTTAATATATAAACAGAACTTTTCATAGCTCTAAATGTTTCGAGGGATTTCAATAATTGGTAAGAAATTAAGAAACCTCGGGCTGTCAACATAGGTGTTGCACTGTTGTGCGGTATGAGTTTGACGTTGACCCAAGGTCTCTAAGAGTAGGAGTTGCAGTAGAAGCAAACTTGAAAGCTGCACTAAAAGCTCAGAAAAATCTGTGATCCCAAAGCCTTTGAAGCACTCCAGAAGTAGAAGTCGAGATAGATTTTGAAGACATCATCGTTAATGCAGGAGTAGATCGTATGAAAAAGATAGAAAGTTAAAGAACCGTAGTGCGAGGTCAAAAAGATCCTGGTTGTTTGAAACGTTGTGTAAATATCTTTATCCCTAGTGAAAATAAAACCTTGGAAGTTATGGAATCTCAGCATGGAAATTGCAATCTTAATGAATGTTCACAGGCATTTGGCGGAGTAATTCTCATAAATTATTGAAACAATCAAGGTCGCCGCTTAAACAGCGCTAAAACTCAGTTTAGAATTCGGGTTTGGTCGAATCCTCATGAACTAGATATAATAACTCAAAAATGTTTGGCGGTAGAATTGTAATGAATTATCCCAACAATTAAGATCGCCTCTTAAATAGCGCTTAAACTCAATATCGAATATATTTCAGTATAAAGAATCGGCCACCAGTTGTGAACAAAGACGCATGGAACGAAATGGACACCTCACGCTATTTGAGTGATTGAAATGCCGACATGATTAAAAACATGCTTACCTCAATTGATAGATGAGAACAAGTTATGTCAACATCGAATATATTTCAGTATAAAAAATCGGCCACAAGTTGTGAACAAATACGCATGGAACGAAATGGGCACCTCACGCTATTTGAGTGATTGAAATGCCGACATGATTAAAAACATGCTTACCTCAATTGATAGATGAGAACAAGTTATGTAGGGATCAGCTGAACTCAAAAGATCGTTTTGACATTTTACAGGTCTAGTTTTCTGAAATCCGACACTTAATCGCGTCGCGACGCGACTCCCGAGAAAGGAGTGTTAAAATTGGATGGTCACATTAAGGAGAGGGGTAGGGGTGGGGAATTGAATATTACGCCTCTTTTCGCCTTCCGCCTCCCTTCACTATCATGGCCGGTTGACTAAACGATCGCGAGCTTATTAACTTCAACTCCCCTAATAAGACGCCCCCACAAAAGGCTACTCTCTTATAAAAGAAGTACAAAAGGTTTTTTTAAGTGAAAACAAATTAAAGATTGCTATTTCAAGTGCCTAAGAAAACCCTCCCGTCGTCTAAAATCACTTCCCCATCCCTAATCCACTGATTTGGCGCTGATTCTACGACACGGCCCGGAAGCAAGCGTTCGCACTAGGCAAGCACCGCTGGACAGTCTATTCACAGGCTCTTGGGTGCTGTAATTTTCTAACATGGCGACCGTGGTGTACGATTTTTACACATGTACTGGCTTGAACTTTGCATAAGCCGGTAAAAATGGTAAGGTGTCAGTTAAAAATTTAGGATTTACATTAAGAGGTAAAAAAAATATTTTTGTGGCCAAATGTAGGAAGTATTAGGACAAGCGATAAATTGACTATTTGCACTCGATCCGGGACATCCATTATATAAGCTTACGGATTTTATCACAGACGTAGCTATCGAATCTTCCTTGAAATATGTTTTAACTGATGAATAAAATTTAAATCGGGTTTCAATGACTTGGCATTTTAGTCAGATTATTCATCGCTTCTTGTGATGTCTTAGCTTCACTTGAACAACGTTGTTATTCGTTTAACCTTGACATTTTCGCACCTTTTGCCTTTTTTAAGTCATGTTGAGTGAGTTTAGAGAACTGTAATGACTTAGGCGTGAACCAGTACATATTGAAATTTCTTTGGTTTACTCATCCTGAGAATTTGGTGCTATACCTTATAGGTATCCACCAGAATCCTCCAAGAGAGCTCCAAGCTCACTTCTTTTTAATGTCGTTTTTTGGTGACCCATAAAAAAAACATAAGTTAGTCACAAGAAAAAAAATTGTATTTAATTGTACTTATTACGCTTTTTTTGTTTGGTTTTTTATTACATGGGTAGTGTTTTCTTTTTATGTAATAAGAAATCAATTTTGGTCACCATGGGGTTGTAATAAATATTTCTTGACACTTACTTGTTATACAGCCATTCATGTAACTTCGTTTTTATTTCTGTTGTTCTCTAGCCATGATATAAGAGTGTTCAGTGACTGTACCAACTGCTTGGAATATGCAGGAAGAGTTCTCTAAGAAGAATCAGCCTTATCTTTCACTGCACATTGAAGAGGAAATTGAAGGTGTCAGCACCTCCAGTTCTTTTACGAAAAGTGATACTGCTCTTCATTCCACTGAAGTTGATTTTTCTGAAGTAAGTCCAACATCTGAGGACACTTGTCAGGTTCCAAGTACTTCAAGCAAAGATATATGTATGGACTTACATGAGGAAGGTATTCCAAAGTCAGAATCTAATATTCCAGTGGCAAATAATGATGACAATACTGATGAGAAACCTAAGAAGGGATTGTTACTTCTCAGGGAGTATGCAGACAGTGGAAAAATTACTGAAGAAGTTGTTGTAAATTCAAGTGGAGATAAATCCAAAGAAACTGCAGTAGATAAGTCAAGTCAAGAGACTACCAATGCTCAGTGTGGCAGCATTGCAGAGGTTGTCACATCAAGTGAAACTCCCAGCAAGGATGAAGCTTGTAGCAGTGGAGTTGCCAATGACCTCCTTTTTTCTGATGACAAAACGTCATTCATAGGAGAGAACAAAGGTGCCTTAGACATTAAAACTTTGGTAAGTGACAGTCTCACAAAAAGTGACAAAGCAAAGGAGGATGGTCAACTTTCTGCTTCAGACTCTAGTGACAGTGAAAAGTCCTCTGACAGCAAGAAGGACTCCAAGAAATCTAAGAAAGATAAAAGCAAAAAAAAGGATAAGAAGAGAAAAAAAAAGAAACATAAGAAACAGAAGCAAGAGGTTGAAAGACAAGAACCACCTGATAACAGAGGTACTATACATGAAAGGGGAAAGTATTTGCTTGTGGCATGTTCTTGTGTCTGTTTCCTGATTTGTTTTGTTTCTTGTGTCTGTTTCCTGATTTGTTTTGTTTTAATGTACTAACATATACACTATTATTTTGAACTCTTACTTTAAGGTCTTGGTAACATGTGCTTCATTAGGTTACATACACATGCCACTTGTGCCATGGTGGGTGTGTAACCAAATCCATTGCCAAATCTCAGCCTGTACTAAGGGCAGTGCTCTAATAATTATTATGTCTTAATGTACTCCTTTGTTTAAGAAGACCTATGCAACCCATTCTTTTTAATTTGAAGATGTTGATGAAAAGAAAGAAAAGGATCAAAACAGACCCCAAGGTAAAGGAAGAAGCAAGAGTAGGAGTCACAGTAGAAGCAAACTTGAAAGCCGCACTAAAAGCTCAGAAAAATCTGAGAACCCAAAGCCTCTGAAGTTCTCCAGAAGTAGAAGTAGAGATAGATTTTCAAGGCATCATCATCACAGCAGGAGTAGATCACATGAAAAAGATAGAAAGTTAAAGCATTGTAGTGAGAGATCAAGAAGATCCAGAAGCTGTTCATCTAGTAAAAGACATTCACCAGCAAAGAGAAATACACTCTCCAAATATCAGTCATCTAGGGGTAGATCCTGGAATAGAAATAACTCACCATCAGTGAAGAGGAATGAGAGGCACCACTCAACTTCCAGGACAAGATCATCCAAAAGAGACTATCCCTCATCTAGAAAAAGGAATTTATCACAAAGCCCGTCACCTCGTAAGCACAGAGATAATAGAAAGAGCAGATCACCAGAAAGACATTCCTGTTCTTCAGAAAGAAAAGGTGCTCCTCCTGTAAAGAACAGGAGGTCCCACAGCAATAAAAATAATTCAGTTCCTAGACAATCAAGATCTCCAAATAAAAGGGAACATAAAAGCAGATCTTCACCATCAAGAAAGCTGTCGCACCGCACATCTTCAGCATCAGACAGCCTTGACTCAGGACACTTTACGAACATTCCATTGACTCTGCCAAACAAACAAGAAGATCAAGTTATTGGCAGAAAAGAATCAGTAGAAAAGATACCAGGAGTAGAACTTGCAATGGAGGCTAGTGTTGTATTAAAATCTGAAGTAGATATAGAGAAGCAAGTGTCTCCTTCAGACAGTCCACTGAAAGTATGGGAGGATGAATTTGATTTTGTGTTCACAGAGCGGCTGTCACCCAAAGATGGAACTGAAAAGACAGTGGAAGATGTTCTTTTTGGAAAAGAAATAATAGATCCAAAGACTCCTGACTCCCTCAAAAGTAAAGCTACCAAAGAGAGGTAAATTCTGGTTATCATAATGACAAGAAAAACTAATCCCTAAAGCAAGAAAGTGTTATACACTGTACACATACATGTAAATGGTACATTGTAGTGGGGGCTGATAATTGCAGTTGCATATGACTCATACTAGAAGTTAGATATTAACATTGGGTAGAAAGTAAGCAACTCACTGAAACTGTCCAGACAGTGTAAATCCTATCACTTCCAGGAAAGACCAAAAATTACATGCATCAAATTATCATTTACATGCAGAAAGGTGATAAGAAGAAAGAAAAATGTCAAATGGACTCATTTAGGATGTAGTTTTAACCCCAATTCTGTGAACTGAATTTACAAGACATGTACTCTTACTAGCAGTCAGTGTAGAGAATTAATATGTAGACCTGGGTGAGGAAAGGGCAATTTTACATTTGTATTTTTTTCAGTCCCTAGTCACAGTCAGTGTCTGTCATCTTTTATTAACCTGTGAGTTTGTCTTTTCTTGAAGCCTCAAAAGTAACGACAGTAGAGCATCCCTTGCCAAGGAAGTTAAAAAACCCAAAGAGGAACCACAAAATAAGGAAAAGGAAGAGTCAGAAAAGAAAAAAAGTCAGCAATGTAAAGAACCCAGTTCAAAATCCAAGCAAGAAAATTCTAAGGTTAAAGATGCTAAGAAAGTTCCAAATGCGTCTAAGTTAAAGGATAGCATTGGTGAATTGAAACCAGTTAAAAGCAATTGTGTAAAAACATGTAACACCGATGGTGTCCAAAAGACTACTGATGATAGTACTGTACATCAGAGTGCAGAGGAGTCTGGGAAATCAGCCTTTATGCCTTCAAAGTTTGAATCTATACCCTTCTTAGGGGATACTCCACCTGGTGCCATCTCAGAAAACAGAGAACTTCAACTCCCAATAATCCCAGCTCCAGGAGGTAGGGGTCTCTTACCCACTCCTTCATTTCCTGCCCACCCCTGGGTACAACTGAATAGTATAGTGCATGGTGTTGGTCTCAACAAACCTAAGGGTTCTCAAAGTCTTTTACCTAAACCTGGGACACTTCCAAATATTCCTGCCAAAGATGGTAACATTGACAAAATAAGGAAAAACTTAAGTTCCAGTCCTATGGACATGGAGATGTCATCACCAGAAGGGGATATCATTGACAAACTTAATGAAGAATTTTGGAGACAGCAGGAACAGCAAAATCAAGACAATGCAAAGAATATGGATCATGAGGGAATAGAACTAGACTCTATTAAGAATGACCAGTATTCAGTTGATGAACCTTATGAGCCTGAAACTGGTGTTTTGATCAGTGATGAATTTGAAGAGGATTTGGATAGCATAACTGATCCTAATGAGAGGAAAAAACTAGAGAAAAAGCAGCAGAAGGAGAAAACTAAAGTACAGGTATGATGGTTTTAGAGGTTCAAAATTAATACTTGTTTTACTGGTCGTAACCCTTTGACTCAGCATCTAATCTCTCCATATAATATCACTCCTCAATCAAACATTAAGGTAACAAGAATTTAGTAAATGATCAGCAACTTGGCTGTTTAACAAATTCTCCTCATCAGCACTTTAAGAAATGTATAGAGAATGGTATGGAGAATATGCATATTGATGTTAGGGCATAAATGGTTTCTTCTCTAGGAGAGCAGTGAAAGTAATCCAACTAATGTGGCAATCGATTCAAAACTTAAACATTCCCCCTCCCTCCCCTAAGCAACCTCCTGGCCATTTGAGTCTTAACAGTGAAGAAATTTATGGAATTTCAACTCAATCTCTAACTTTCCCTCATGAAGGGCAATTCTTTTGATACCCATGCCATGATTAGGACCTCAGCTTTGAGCCATTGAATTTGCTCTTCACCCTCTCCACCTTGGATTATAAATGAACACCAGCATAGTGACAGGAAAACTGTACAAATTTTAGGGAGTAATCATGGAGTGAAAACAGGGAAACAGTGCTCCCAGTCCACTTGGTTAGTAATACTTGGCCTACGTTTAACTATTCCGTTGGTTTTCCTGTAGGAACTGATAGACAGGCTCCATCGCCAGGCCAGGGTGGAAGAAGAAGTGAAACATGTTCTCAAAGCATACTACAAACACAAGGATATTAGCAAAGAACAGTATAAGAGTATTCTCAGAAGAGCTGTTCCACAGGTTTGTTGCAGACATTTTACCTTGTAACCTGTCAACATCTTTCCAGAAATAACTATTCACAATTGGTTGTCATAAGTGATCATACTTTGGATGTGTGGCTGTTGAAGCTTGAAATCCATAGAATGATTTGAAGGCTCAATGGTGATGCAACAGTACATGTGTTGGACTCCATATGGATAGGTTTATGCTTAACCTTGTCTAGATCATTCATGATGGAAGCACTCTTAAGCAACAGACAATTATATATTTACCTTTAGACTACAAGCTAAATTATGCAGACATTTTTATTGGTTTGCAATTATGGTTTATCTGAGAACAGGTGCATAGATGACATCATCATTAACAACATTTGCTCCTTTATTATATTAAACAGATTGATTGCATTTTGTGGTGGGTCTGTCCACTAATAGATCACAGATGTCATCAAAGAATGCTATGAGAACATCAGTTACACACTCTGCTGCACCTTGTGGGCCACTTTTTTTTATTCATACTTCATTTTGGCGTTATCTGTGATCTGTTGCAGAACAGACACACAGCAACATGGAATTTATTTGTTACTTAGATTTGACAACTGCATGCATGGAAATTGACTTACACTTTGTATGTATGATTCTGTTTTCTTCAACAAGGCAATACACTTCTACAGAAGTTTCATTGAGGTGGAAAACAAAAGTTTCTCCTTAACTGCTTTTAAAAGCCTCTGAATTGTGTTATTTTCCATTTCATTGTAGATAACAAGCTCTAGCAGTGCCATTGACCCAGAGAGAATCAGATCATTTGTGAAGAAGTGCATAGTGAAGATGAAGAAAAAGCATCGTGATTCTTAGTTTTCTAGGTGCTCAAACAATTGTTTTATTACTGCAGAAGCTTGTTTATTGGCTATTTAAACAGGCATCATATCGTGCAATATTTTCCCACCAAAGCAGTTAGTTGCTTTTTAAGATGGCTATTCAGAATATCAAGGGACTTATGTCACATTACTTTGGATGATTCCCAGCCTCAAAGAATAAACTTTGAAAATAATCATTTTAAAAAATGATTGTGTTGTGTGAAGACAAACCCTTTGATCTTTTGTACCCTAACATCAATATCCATCTTCTCCATGCTCTTTTTTATGTACTGAGAAGGAGAATTTGTTTGACGATCAAAGCTTCCTAGGTTGGCAATAATTTCCTTCATTCTCATGATCCTAAAGAGTGATTCAGCAGTATTACACTAAGAGGAGAGAAGATGCTGGTCACTCTTAAGGTTTTAGGGGATAAGAAGTCATATTATATTAAAAAGGGAAAGGATGGAAAAAAAATTACCATGAACTGCACATGGAATACTCGTTAATTCAGACTCAGTTTTTCAAGATGAACACAATTTTTAGATCTTTTGTGAATCAGTTACATTAATACAAATAAACAGAAAAATAAGCTCCTTTTAATGATCTGTCTCAATGATAGCCATATTGTTTTGTAACGTGTAATAGTTGCCTCTAGATTCAACCACTAGGGCTACATTATAGCACATTGTGTTGGTGGAGGTTTTGCCAAGGTTATCCTTCTTAACTAATGATTGTTCGTTAAAAGTTGTGCCTGTGAGATGTGGATGTTTTTTCAAATCTCAATTTCATCAAGTTGATTGTATTGCAGTTCTAATATTGAATAAATCATGGCAATTTCAATACAAATGGGAGGTAGCTGGACAATGCTTCACGATATTAAAAAAAAGAACAAACCCATTCAGTAAATTTGGTTTTATCAATTGAATTGATAATGTACTTGGTACTGTTAGCACTTGGCTAACTTTCAGATTTCATCTGGGTCTCAGAAATTGCATTCTTAAATAAGTTGGGTAAAGTAGCAATGGAAAAAAATGAAGCGTGTCTAAGAAATCAGTCAATATTGCTTGTGGCACCGAATCGAAAACCAAAGCCCCTTTATGTTTTTGTAATTTTGTTTTTCCTTTTTTGCCTGACCCTTCCTCTTTTCGTGTGCCCGCGTTTTCGCTCGTTTTTCGCTCGTACTGGGAGCGAGGCCTAAGAAAAATAAGGAGGGTACTTAAGATGACTGGTTCCTGGATCATAGATCCATGATGCATTTGGAGTAGATTCAGACCTTCTATTCTGCTTTAAGAACAAGACGATAACAAAGTTCAAAGAGGAATAAGAACACAAAGAGGAGGTTGGTTATTTTTTCTTCTTTCTTTTGGAATTTCCAAAGAAATTAGCTAGTCTTGGAGTCGACAATTTCACTGAATTTTTTTAGTTTTCTTCGTCTAATAATTTTTTACGTTTTTTTTTTCTCATTTTTCATTTTTTAGTCTAGTGTTATTGGTTTTTGTTTTGTTTTTTTTTGCCAGCCATTCTCTTTATTTACTGCATCCGCATCATCTGTTTATGTGTGCAGCGGTTTCACGCGAGGACGTGTCTTCACAAAATGGCGGAAGTCAACCATGCAACTTGTTTTTTGCAATGAGTCTGCTTAAAAAGCTTTACAAAACTGCGTGGTGAGGTAGTTATAAGTCATTCATCTTTGCATGTTTACGTAACATTTTGAGTCAACGAGATTTTAGTGCTTCGAATCCGTGAATGCGTTTTTTTCCCGCATAAATTGCCCACAGACACATGTTCGATGATTCTAAAATTATGAGCTTTAAATACTTTTGCTACAATAAGTTACCTGTGTGCAAGTGAAGTGGCTTTAAGAATTGGATATTTTTGCAAATCATTTTGTTGCTTGTGCATAGATATCTCTCAGCTGATGACGGTATGTTTCACATGTACATACAGATTCGTGCTTATTGTGTAACTTCGATGCAGCCGGACATGCTTATGTAATTTCTAAAATATTTTCACTTTCGATGGTTGATTCCTCAGTACACCTCGAAACTGCATCCAAATTTCACTCACTTGATTCTTTATATTTTAGCTCCAAAATAATTGTGTTTTTAAAATTTAACAGTGTTACGTCAAGTGATTTAAGTTTTCTCAGAAAACAGTCTTATTTGACAAATTTAAAGTTTATTTGAGGTGAATTCTTGCATTTTTGTTCCTGCCTCAAGACAGATCGGCTTGATTTTAGATTTTAGATATAGATATCTTTGGTATAGCTTCAAAATCAGAATGTATGAAACTACCCTTGATCATAATTTACTGTTTCCAGGAAATGAACATTGAATCATATAAAAATGCACTACTTAGCCAAGTTATTCACACTTCATATGGTCGAATTGCTAGATTTTGGGATCTCATGCCTTATCACAGTTTAAAGACCTCAAAACTGTCACGGCATGTGAAAGCATACAATTAAAATTAATGCATATCTAATTACCATGATCAAACCAGCTCAGTTCAAATGTTAAAGGTATGCATAGTTTCTTGAATGTTTATCCTTGTGGAAATATCAAAAAGGGAGTGAAATTTGTTATGACGAGATCATTACTAAGTAATATATCTTCTCATTAATCAAACACAGAATGGCAGCTCTTCTAGACAGTGATAGTAGTGATGGAGAAGATGAAGATTTTGAAGGTTTTGTTGTCAGTCCTGAAGAAAAGGCAAGCTACAGAGTGTGGTCAAGGAGAAGAAGAACTTTAAATGCAGTGGATAGTGACTTTGAAAGTGAAGATGATGATAATGAGGAAGATGACGAGGAGGATGGAGACGGTGAAGAAGAGGAAGAAGAATGTGAGGGTCTGTTTCAATGTGAAACAGGGGTTGCTTACATAGCTGCCAAAGTGTATCCCTTCTTATATAATATGTGGAATTTTTTTGAAATTTTGACTGGTTCTTTCTTATGATCTATTAGATGATTTCAACAACTTTCTTGCTTTTTTTATTGTATAAAGCAAATACATTCCATGTTGCCATGGGTCTACAACTCAGAAATAGATCATGCAAGAAGTCAAAATCTGGTAAGAACATCAGTGACTCAGTTGGCTCGTCCTAGTCTGCCACTTTTTCATTCTTGCCACTTTTTCATTCTTACCACATCATTTTTGATGTCTTTTGTGATCTACCTGTATTTCTGAACAGATGCATGGTGATATGGAATTTATTCATTAATTCCATAACATGAAGGAGCAGGGAGGATTGATCTATGACACAACTGATAGGATGCTTAAAATGGCAAGTTACTGCTCAGGATTTTGTCAACTTTTCTCAGCAGCTTGCTGTTATATATTCTGGTGAGAGGAGAGAGAGTGGCACTACTAGAATTTAGCTTCAAAAAAAGTAAAGAAGATCCTAAGATTAATTTTAAATTGTATTCTGTAGATGAAGAAAATGACAAACTTGATGCTGTTCTTGACGATGTGAACTTTGATGAATCTGGTGAAGAGACATCCACAAGCAACACTGACCAGTGTCCAGTGTGTTTGATGTCTTTTAAAGAGCAGCTACTGGGAACACCTAACAACTGTTCACATGTGTTTTGTTTTGAATGTATACAGGAATGGTCAAAGGTGAGAAGGACATCCAGAACCTTACACGTTGATAACTTTCAAACTTAAAGGAGCTTGGTGCAAACTGGAACTCGATTTCACAAACTTCTCTCACCTCAAACTTATAGACTAATAAAGTGATGAGGAAACTTGTTTTATTAACATTGCATTCAAGAGACATGATTTTGCTGTATTTTTGTTTCTTTGGATAGAATGCCAATACTTGTCCAGTTGGACGGAAACCTTACACTGAAATATTAGTGCATGCTTCAAGGAAAGGACCTGTGTTACAGAAAGTAAGACAGCTATGTTGAAAATCTAAGTTCACATGATTAAGACCCTAAACTTGCTCTAAGATGAAGACATTTGCTTATGTCTGTAGTCTCTTTCAGTGTAGGCCCAGTGTGTTTGGTAATCAGTGCACAGTGACATTTTCCTCACTTGAATGTCATATTTTGATTTAGATTCCAGTTGAAGAAAGACTCGAAGAAGAAGATGACATGGAGGATGATCCGACATATTGTGAGGTATAGTTATTCATTCAGGGGTTTTATCTCACTATTTGTGATTCTTGGCCCTTTTGTTTCACAATGTGTGACATGGTTCTTGAGTTTTTACACCTTGTTAAGAGCTGACAACATGTGAAATCATGATCTGATCCCCAAAAAATAATACACATGAAGTAACTGTTTTCCTTTTCTTAAGACATAAGACTTTGGTATCTATCACTTTGATGTCACTCAAAGTATGAACCATAAAATTCATGATAATAATTATACTATTAAAAATTCAAAGTTTTTGTTAATCTTGGACTAGTTGCATGGTACTTTGGACAAGAATCCTACCTCAGTTTTGACTTTTCATCTGTTTTAAGATTTGTAGTCTTTATGACAGAGAAGAACAAATGTTGCTATGTGATGGATGTGATAATGGGTGAGTCTTAACGCAAAGGCTTCTAAGAGTTGTGTAGAGTTACCAAGGTTATACTCACTGTGATCATCACCTTCTATAATAATCCAAAATTTCCAATATGACAGCAATAAAATTGGAGGCTTATTTCCCAACCAGTTCAGTCTTATAAACCCCTTTGTTGTTGATAACAGCTCCAGCTCTTTGATATCATTTTATTACCATTTCAGTCTCTGCCGCTTTTAGTTTAGTCAAATGATTTGGTAAACAGATATTCTTTAGGTGCCAATTTTGCAGCTCTATATATGGGAGTAATTTGGGGTTGAGTTTGGAAGGTATAAATCCCGGATTTCTTTGGTTGTGTGTCCAAGATCTACACATGTGTGAAAGCTCTAGAAAACTCTTGCCCTCTTTTTAAAGAATTCTGATGCAAAATTGAACCAATCGAAACTTTGTGACTTGCAACTCCTTGTGCTTTATGTGGTTTCCACCTCTACGTGTCTCAGGGTTCTCATTTCAACAATTGTTCTGGTTTGCAGCAGTTTTTTTTATTTTTGGCTTTTTGTTTTATCACTATCACATGAAATGCCCTAATTTTTTTATTCACGTTGTTTCTAGTTATCATATGGAATGTTTAACGCCACCTTTAGAATTTGTTCCAATTGAGGAGTGGTACTGCCCGACGTGTTCTAATCAACAAGAGGGTTATGAAAACCCTGAGGACCTCCCTCAGGAGGGACACAGGGAAGGAGGTGTGAGAGAGGTGCCTCGTGGAAGGCCACGTGGGAGACTTCAAGGAAGTACTTCAAGGCGCGTTTCTGTTTCGGAACGAACAGGTTAGCTTTAAAAGGGTCATTTTATTAAAAAAAAAAAAATAATAGAGTTATGGAATTTGTGGAAAGTGAACCGGAGTGCACCGATGTAAAGCAAAAGCCATGAGATGAGTGAAACATACCGAATTAGATGGGGGGGGGGGGAAGAAGCGGGGAGGAGGGGTGAGAGGGAGAAGTGAAGGAGAGGGTGAACTTTGTGAAGGTATCAGAGCCCCAAAGGGTGGTATGTTAACAGTACTGTCGTTTTTATTAATCCATTTTTTAATATATTTCAAGGATGTGCTGCCATTTTTTCAAAATCTTGTTTTTAAGACCAATTGTCATACTGGATACGTTCTTCGAGTGAGACGTACTAAAACATGGGGACAAACGGGGTAATTGGCGTAAGAAATCATGAGCTTTCATCGAGCCCAATGTGCCAGTCGAACGTTATTAATAAATGGTCTTCCATCCTAATATTACAAAGTCTTTGTATTGTAGCCCCAGCCCGAAGAGCTCGAACAGTCGCCTCGACACGAGGTCGAGGCGGAACCCGCACCGCCCGCAGACGAGGGCGAGCGAGGAGTAGCAGTCGGGGATTGGAGCGAGGGAGCAGCACTAGAGTTCGATCGAGTTCAACCACAACCGGAAGGAAAAGGAAGCGTAAAAAGAAGAGGAACAAGAGTAAAAAGAGGACGGGCACATCGAGTACAAGAAAAGGAAAGAAATCATCCACAAAAACAACATTGAAGGGAAGAAAGCGGCGTCGAGTATGCGAGGAAGACGAAGTATCGCCCTTTATCTACGAACCTGTTAGGCGTGGAAGAACAGTTCATGCCCGACTGTTGGAAAGTTTGAGTGCAGCGGGTCCTTCCGGCGGTGAGCCTGGCCGCTCAGCGTCTCTTGGAAGAGCACCTTTTCCTAACAGAGTCGAACCTAGTTCGAGTTTTTCGTTATTTGGGAATGCTTTTGCCCTGTATGATTTCGACGATCAAGATGAGGAAGTACCCGAGACAGTTCACACTGAGGGTCAGGGTAAAGTTTTGAGGTAAGGTACTATGCAAGAATTAAAACAGGTTTTATCAATTGTGTTTCCCTCAGCGATCGCATACTCGGCAAACTGAACCAAGGAGAATCAGCGGCAAGCTAGACCTTACACTAGGGTCATACACGCTGTATATGATATAAAGCGTCCTAATTTAGTTTGTTTGGTTCAAAGCTCGGCGCCAACTAACCCAGATGTCCTGGGATCTATATTTCAAGACTTGGATTCCTTGCACAGTCCCGGCGTGCAAGTCGCGCGTGACGGGAAATTGGTGCAGTCCACTGACCAGTCTTCGACTAAGCATGTCAAGAATAGAGATGCACAGTCAGTACGCAGCATGGACGAAATCAAAAATGAAAGTAATTGGGAGACCAGATGTGGAGACCAGAGGTGGAAACCAGAAGTGGAAGAGAAAAATTTAGATGACGAGGACAAAAAGACAAAAACTACGGATACTACCAAACATTCATCTGGCGACAAACAAGGAGAAAAGCAGGGCTCGAGGATCGAGACCATTTCTGTAAAACTTTCTTCTTCCAAGTCATCAGAGGAAAATTATACTGGTGCATGTAGGAAACTGTCAAATGCAGGAGAAATTCAAAATAGCTCTCTTGCGTCGTCAACGTCTTTAAAAATAGGTTCTCCCCCTCTAACTTCCCCCTCTTTAAAACTGACGCTCTCTGGTTTTAGAATTCCAAAACGGAGCTCAATTTCAGAAGATAAACCGAATCAAACGCCACCAAGTTTTCATGGTAACTCGTCAAGGGTTGATCAGGTACGAAGCCAAAATTTTGCCGTCATTTCCAACTTTAAAATACCAAAAAGGAAAAACTTGTCTTTTGATGGAACTCCAACAGGAACCTCTTTCAATACTGTTAACAGTAAGCCTGTCAAATCCGTGGGCCAGGTGGTAACGACGCGTTCTTCAAGTATTGTAAAACCAAGAGATACGTCATTATACGGCTTATCTCTAGACAAACTTGTTTCTCAGTCATGTCCAAAATCTAATGCTACAGAAAGTTCCCGCATTCAGTTTAACAGCGTAAGGCCTCTCCTGCCAGAGCACATAATGAGGCAAGATTCACGGAGTGAGTCAACATCTGTACCAGGGGTGAATAGCGTGACTGGTGTGACAAAATATCATGCAAATAATGTCACTGGCGTTACTTATAAACACATGGCCAGCTCAAGAATCACAGTACCTTGTGTAACGAGTTCAAGTAATACCGCTGCATGTAAGACAAAGTTTGCTGGCGCAGCTCACAGTCATGATAAAACCACGAACATATCGTTGCCTTTGAGCAACACAGTTCCTATAATCGACCAACCAGCAACAGAGAAAGAGCAGCGGCGTAGCAATATCGAAATAATAAGAATGTTGAATGAAAAGGCAAAGGAGCATAAGGGAGCAGATGTTTGGTGATCGTAAATGCACCTCCGTTTCTGGTGAGTTGGAAAATGCGCATGCGTTACGACAAAAGGGACTTCATGTTTCTGAAAAGTCACCAAAACGCGGGATTGTGTTACCGATTGCTGTGGTCAAACCATCTCCTCACGCCCCAAATGTCCTAAGAAGCAGCTCAAGTTCCGTACGCTCTAACAATTCAGAAAACTCACCAGTGAAAAGTATTGCCAGTGGAATTATAGATGCACACAGCGGTAATACTGAGGAGTTAAAAAAAGTGTACTCAGAATTTGATTCACCCACCTCTCTTGGATGTGAAATTAGCGGCTCCAGTGTCGGACATGAGGCGGGGGCCTTAAAACGCGACAGGGAGGCAGTGACAGGAGTTCAAAGTGACAGAGAGCAGCAAAGAAAACTGGTAAGGCTAAATAACAAATTATGATGTTATGCAAATTTGTCTGCTATCTTGAAGAATACTTGTGTGTTAAGGGCAGTTTTTGCGAGAGCATAAACACTTCTCTAGCGCCACTGTCAATCATTCAGTCTTTGGAAATATTATTGAAAGGTGTTTTGCACCCACGGGAGGAAAACTACCCACAATACCTTGCTTCAGCCGAACGTGCCTGTAAGTAGGACCTGATCAATGTCTGGGCAACCTATGGTTTGCACGCACACACTTTAGGTACTTAGTATCCTTCCTAGAGAAGAAGCAATTCTTCCCATCACTCCTTGAAGCAATTTTCATTTCAGTGTCTAAAGTATTCCGGGTTGCATTGGTTTTGTTTTACAGCGATCTGCGATTGATCTAGAAAACTCGCGCAACTCAGTAAACTAATAACATTTAAAGCTAAAGCCAATCCTGATCTGGTTACTTTCGTTTTCCCGCGCTTGAGGTAGTAAACGTGTCATTACTCCAGACATCTTATTGGCTCCTTGTGTAAATTTTCCACTTTTCTTACTGGCTGTTGCTAAGGACAGTTCATCGATGTGCGATTTCGCGATATGAAAATCAGTTGGTACGTGCACTGCAACGCTTAAGAAGTTAATTGCTTTCCGCTTGTTTTGTGAGATTTTCCTTACCTCTTTTATTTTCCAGGGAATAGCACGACTCCAACGGCATGAGCAAATAGTCGATGAAGTTAAACTGGCACTGAAGCCATTCTTTAGACATGGAGAGATCACAAAAGATGACTACAAAGTTATCATGAGAAAGAGTGTGGAAAAGGTTTGTTTGAGAGAATTCTTTCAAAGAAGAACATGTTACTATCCTGAGAAGCAGTCACTAAACAGAGGTGAAACTACGACACACTACGACAGTCGGGGTCAAGAAAACTTGAAAAATTTTGGGCGGCTACATCTTCCTTCATTTTTTGGCCTTTTTTTAATTCTTCTTTTTGGCGTACCTCGAAGTATCCTTTGCTTTTCACCTCCGAACAACTCGCGCGGCATTTGTACTCGAAATGTTTGTAGTCGTTGCAGGAATAAATTAGTTAAAATCATTTTTCGTGATACTCGAGGCTCGGTAATATTCACCTCTAGCCACCTCCACTTAGTTTAATAGTTGTTACTGATCGTAAGGGCTTTTTAAGGGCTAAAACTTTTGTTTGCTTAAACACGGTTTTTTTTTTCTTCTTCAGATTAAAGAATCAAGTAGCAGTGTGGACAGGGAAAGAGTTTGCAGACTTGTAAAGAAATACATCAAAAAAGTCAAGGGAGATAAACTTGCACCGTAAATTTAAGGAAAACAATGGAACTAATAATGTGATTGTTATCAAAAGTGGTAGAAAAGGTTAATTTGTTCGGTTGACTGTTGCGAGAATATTTCAAAATATCCTCTAAGTTTTGTACAGATTTATGCAATTGATGTATTTTATCGTACCTGTTTCAAACCTATTTTGAGATTTCAAAGAGTTTAAGTGGGAAGGGCTTACACACTTGATTCTTGTTGCTATTGTTATGTTTGTTTTACAACCTACCCAAGGAGGTACATTTTACACGCTAAGTGCGACCAGGGAGATCTTTGAAATGATAAGGAGGAAAAATAAAATATGCACTATCATGTTGTTAGAGGAAGGCTTTGCTATTTTACTTGCCCCTCACTTGGTTACATCAGGTAGCTACATTTCATACCTTTTTGCTCCTGGGTTTTCCTGAGCAAATGGAACTGTACATGAAAATCACTCGCTTAGCTCAATTGCGATCAGCGATGTGTTGAGGCATCTGGTCGAATGATAACGATGCCAACATATTTATGTGATATATTGTATAATGGATACATCACGATGAAAAATGTGGTCTGTTGTTCATTCATTGGAGATTTACGGTTGCACATTACATTAATGAGGTAATACCAAGTATCGATATTCGCTCAAATTTCTTTCTCCAAAGCTTTATGTCATGTGAGAAAATCGGAGACCAACAATACGAACTACTATGTTCATTAATTAATATCGAAAGGCCTTTCCTGGAACGATGCTTCCCTGACCATCAATTTTTGATAAAACGCTTGCGGAGCTGGTCGCTTTGTTATTGGTGTAATCATAGCGACGAAGGATTCATGACTGAAGGAATGGCTGACAACAAACCGTTGATTATGTGAGTAATCATCGTGTCCGTCTTGAAGGTATCCTTTTTAAGTTTTCGATAGTAATGATTATAAACTGATGACGCAGTAATACAGTCTATTAACTAACAATTAATTTTATTCGCCTCTTTTAGGGCAACATGGAAGCTATCGATAAGATTACATCATGTTACAATTTCTTCTACGACACATTCGCTCCACTAGACACTATTGGTGTTAAGAAAACAAATATGTTCTGCTCTTATTTTCTCCATACTCTCTGAATAGCGTTTGAAACACAACGAACTTGATGTTAGTATTGAACAGGTGATTAGCTGCACAAACTACTGTTTTTTTTCAAAAGCAAAAGTAGCACCATTTTGCTTAGATTTTTCTACCTACTCTAAGAACGGCTTTCAAACATAAAATAAACCGGTTAAACTGCTATCACCTGATCACCACACAGAGCACTTCTGTTTCGGGTTCATTTCCTTTCCTTTTTTGCAGCTGTAAGCGTCTGCAAACGTTTTGAAGTTGGACAGTGGACCAATTACCCTGTTGACAAGAGTACAATTTTTGAACGAGCTTCATATGAATTGGTAGTTTGGAAGATATTTGGACCATCCCCTAGTCAAGTCATCTAAGCCCGAAAATTTCGCCTTGAAACAGTTTTTCTTGAAAACTCTTTGATCCCAAAATGCTATGTCTGACTATTGGACAAGAGGCAAAATTTAGGGAAGAAATTTCGGCGCACGCGGTTTAAGGAAAATCTTTTATCGCAATAGGAGGCAAACGAGGCTGATGATTTATTTAGAAACGAAAAAGACTGTAACAACTGTGTTTTCATGTCTTAACCCACTACATAAATATCATACAGACTTATTGGTGATTATATCTATTTTTCCCGGCTATCTAAGATTTTGGCGGGTTCCTGCGCACTAGACTGGCGCGTCAGAATTGGCCTGACAAATAGGAGAACTGATTACAATTTACCTGTACTTTGGAAACGAGTGTACGTCAGACTTCACTTGGAAAAGAGCTGCTTCTTTCTTGTATACACTACACCAAGGCTAAAGTGAAAAGTATAGAGAGGGTAATTCATCGATGAAGATCGAGAGGTAAACTATCTTTTATTTTCTTAAGATCTCGTCCTTAAGAGGATAAAAGCAAAAGGAGTTAAGTACGAATTAAAAGAAAATTAGCCACACCATTCTATTTGACCCAGTCTCCTCTTGCACCACTTTTTTCGCGTCGCACTTACCAAACTATAGCCCGTGTTGAGGGTTAAACAGAGCGCTCGCTTGTAAAGAAACTGAGATGACCTAAATGACGATTTGCAGCTTTTCATATGCACACAGTACAACGAATAAGGAATATCCCAGCCCTTTCTTGAAAAAGTGGCCTGTTAAAATGTTTCATTCTTTAAATTCCAGAGCCGAGGTTAGTTGTGTTTCCTTTGAGTTGTCGTTGGCCTCTTAAGATTACTTAAGTTTCACAACAAGACAATCGAGAACCATTTACCGTAGCAAATCCTATGAAAAACAGTTGATCCACGCTCAAACCCAAGTCAGGCAGTTGTCCTTCTTTTTTATTATCTTTAACCCACGACTCATATGCCTGGGAATAAAATGAAATAAGATGTCTGAGTTTCGCAATGCACTAAAAAGTAAAAACTGTTTTAAATACAACTTAAAAATACAACCGTTGAGAGAGAGGGAAGGTTATCACTGACGTTTGTAAAAATTAAGACATAAAGCCGACTAATGAGCTAGCTAACTGATTATGTTATCATAAAAAATCGTGTAGGTAGCAACCACATGGTATCAATGAAGTGCGACCCTGCGAAAGTAAGCCCTTGTCTGGACAAAACGTTTACCGCCAATGGGAATTTAACTTACGTTCTCTTACATCACTTACATGACGAACTGTATTGTCCGCTGATGATGCATACTGCATGTTTACCACTAGCCTTCAGTACAGACGTTCTAAAGTTCGTCAGGCAATCACTCGTTCCTACGAGGAGGAGGAATGATAACGTGACGGGCCTAGGAACGTAAGCACTTGAGGCTAGCGCAGTACAGGCATAAAGAAAAAACAAGGATACACACACAAAAAAAGAACAAACAAACAAACAGTTTGTGTGAAGCGTACATCATAAGCAAGCTTTATTCCACCATTGTCAGCAATGTTCTCATTCAAAGTCTGTTTACCATCTATCTGCAAAAAAAATTTAAAACAAAACGATTTTAACATTTGACTTTATGATAACAGTATCTCCATTTCTATTTTAGCATTTCTCCTATGTTTATTTTTAACAAAGGAAACTAAAATGTTTAAATGCTTCAAATGCCTCAAGTCCAACATACCGGATATTCATCTTGCATATCTTATAAGTGACAATTAAGGCTCCTGTCTTATTTGTAGTTCTTGAGAATTTTAAGAAATATCTTTAGCATTTTCTGTATATTTTAGTGGGGATAACTCCGTAATTTTTAACATTTAAATTTTAATTTTTATAAATTTTAGATTTGAGTGATAAATTCATTTTACAATTGAATTATTTTGTTGTCCCCTATTAGCTTTTTAAGCTGGAGACATGGACACTTAGATAAAGTGTTATGTTCAAAGACCACATATCAGCCACGCGACCTTGATGCCAAAATTGGAGCTCTAAGAAGTCTAAAAGAGTTGGTGCTAACTGATGTTGCACTTATGCTGTACACGGCTTATTTACTGTCACACTTTGAATACTGCCGTCCACTTCCATCAGAGATTGTAAGACTTTGATCCTTAAACTCGACTCAGCTAACTGCTACACGATAAAAGCCCTCCTAAACTTAGATAACAGCTAAGATTATGATTCTATATTATACGCTGCTAATATATATTCTCCAGAGTAAAGAAGGTACGATCAATCTCTCATCTAATTCTTAAGATGTATAAAGGAAAATGTGTCTGATTACATCTCTAATCTTTTCGAGCTGGTAAGATCCATTATAATTTAAGGACTAGTGGTCATAATCTTGTTCAACCCATCTATCATTATAGGTATTATAATAACTCATTTACTCACTAGATATCGCATTTGTGGAATCACCTTCCGTCACATATTAAGCAATCAGCAAACTTGAGTGACTTTCGCAAGAAGTCGAGGACATTTTTTAATTCAAACTTTAAGGTCAGCTGCAAATGTAATTACTTTTTATCTCAGATATGTTAAATTGTTTTAGACTGATATTATAACAAGTATTTTTTTAAGTTTCGTTTTTTTTCTTTTATTTTATGCTTTTTTTTTCTTTTTCTAACTGTAATGAGTTCTAAACATAAGCTTCGGGCTCGAATTCACAGGAAAACCTGATCTCACGCAGTAACATTTATAACTTGATTGATTGATTCCTAAATTTTTAACTGTAGCTGAATTTCTGTTGAATCTGACTTACATATGTCCCAAACACGTCATAGTTGTTGTACTGATTCACCAAACATTCGGCTTTGCTTGCAAAACTGTAAGTCGAAGACAATGACCACCAATCTTTCACATTGCCATTCTTATCATAAAGCCGCCCTGTGGAGGAACAAAGAAATCAATCAAAACAGTCCTCAAACTTCCGCATCGATGTCAGTGTGGGCGACTCTGCGTACCTACCCCTTCCCCATCCAGCATTACCCCAAATTGCAACCAGTTTAACGTTGTTGGGGAGGGGTAGGTGAGAAGCTGCTCAGATACTGATATTGACCCAAACTTACTAAGCAACTTGGTTATGTCCTGATTTCCACCTTCGATCCAGTGCTATCTTGTTCATACAAGACTCTTCCTACCTATGCAAGTATTTGATATGTAAAGCTTGATTCCTCTTTCGTTGAAGTAATTTATCTCTTTTTGTTTTGATACTGTTACCAGTGTTATTGTTACTGTTGTTTCTACCTTGGCTGTCAAATCCATGGGTGATCTCATGTCCAATGACCATTGCTAATGACCCGTAATCAATATACCTGCAAGAAATACGTCTCTAAACGCTTAGACAAGCTACATAATTTCTGAGGCATACTTTTTTTAAGAATAAAAAATATTCTCCTTATTGTGTCTCATATAATGCATGACTTGCAAATAAAAGATTATTCTATTCTGCGGACATTTATTGCAGCTAGAATAATGTCTTCATCAGTAAAAAATGCAGCTCGCCTGAGACACTTTTCTCATTATTTATCGACAGTTCATTTACTCTAAAAAACTGGAGCGTTCCATCTTTCAGGACATAAGCCTAAATATATTATTAGCTGCTTACTTTGGGTAATTCTTTCTGTAAAATGGAGATTGTAGAATTCCAGCCAAAAACACTACGAAGAAAAAACAAAAAAACGATTAACTATCTTGAGATCCTAAGTCCTTGTTATGTAATATCTCACGGTGGAGACCAGTCCATCAAAAGAGTGAGGGTCTACTTCCAGCTAAAACGCGAGTGGTGCTCTGTCTTATGATCCAGTTATTAATAACCAATACGACCTTACACTGAGATTGCAAAGGTCTGGCCACTTTTCTAGCTACTCGGCTTGAAAAAGGGTTAAAGGGATTTGCACTTGCGAGTGGAAAGAAATTCGGAATTGAATTGGTTCTGCTTCACAATGCTCTATTATTGGTCCAGAAAATTCGCACCACCTCAACCAACTGAAAGCAAAACTGGAGTTATCAGGACTTTGTCATTCGCGCTTTACCACGCTTCAGGCAGTTTGCTTGTTTCTACTTTGAGTTCTATAATATTTTTAAGACACCTCATCGAAAATCGCTCTAAAGGTAACTCACCTATCCGGTTTTGCTGTGGACTGTAATATCCATTTACTTGTGCAGGACTTTGCATCCACCTGGAGAGAGAGCGGAAAAGGGTGAGAAACCGAGGCAGGGAGTTAAAGAACATACAGTTGCGCTCTCCTGACCATCTGCGACTTTTCACGCTACTAACATGAATCACCTCAGTAAAAAAACTTTATCTAATACGTGTTTTCAATAGAGAGGTAAGCTTTGTGGACTGTGCTAAAACTAACAATTTTCAAAGAAATTTACAATCAAAACCTGATTCGTAAGCATTCCTGGACAAGTCAAAGATTTATAAGCTAAACAGTCATACTGTTAAGAACCTGGGCTCCGTTACACTTACATGTCCTTGTCGACTGGTTTTCCAAGAAGATCAAAATTCTTTTGTACGACCATATACTTCATTGACACGGTGTTTTCAAAATAATCATCTCCTGCATTCAGCTAAATATTTGGCAAAAAATATATCTATTTTAGTAGCAGCACACCAGTGCCCAGACTAGTGCCCAGTGTTATTCCAACGCTACACGCAAGTACAACCAGAAATTAAAGAATTAATGATTTTCCCACATCTGTGCCTCTGAGGAATTTCGTCGAAAGTAATCCAGCAATCCATTAAATTTTTCCATCTGTGCGCTGTGACAAATGCCTTCTTTGACTAACATTGATTTATTATCGTGATCTTGTTCAAGACATTATTAACTCCAACCAGCTCTTTTCAGTACTCACCAGTGAGTACTGCTCGTCGAGTTTTTTGTTGTCTTTGATGAAAGGGGGGTAGCCGATGTCCTCTTGGATTGCTTTCGCCTTCGATAAAGAAATATAAAAAGTACATTTAGAGGGAGAGTTTCAAGTTTATGAGTTCGTTCGGCGAAGCTGCTTCAATTCAATCGTTTCAAGAACCATCAAAAGTACGAGCTGGTGATTCTCGTGGAAAGTTTACCCGAGCAAAAACTTCGTTGCATGGTAAAAAACAATCTATTTAACAGAGCGCGCAAATGATACGTACAGCTTTCTTATCTATCAGTGTTCAAATCGTATGGCTACCAATCACGTTAGAAAATTTTGGGTAAAATTTTGAGTAAAATTTGATATTAAGTACGTAAGCATACCTTTCCTTTAGCCGATTGTTTTGTACTGTCATCCATCCAGTCTGCGTCATCCAGATTATCAATAAAACTTTGGCGGAGACGAGCAGTCATGTCCTTCACCTGGTTACAGAAAAATGAATTAAGTATACATTTTAAGTCTCCTCAATAATATTTAAGGCTATAATGCCACCAACAAATTCCGCTCTTCTCTCGATGTTAAATAAGCTTTGTCGCAAGTGAATGTGGCGTGTATAAATCGATAAACAGGTAAACAAATCAATAAATAAATAAATTGACAAATGAACGGTTCGTTTCAGAGTCTGACCTTGCTGCATTACATGACAGAGGAAACAAACAACAACAAAACCATGGCAAAACAGAAGGAATTACGACGAGTCGCCTATCTCTCTAATTTAACGAGAAAATTAATATTTTCCTCTGTGGCGAGTTTCGGAGTTAAAAACAATTTGCCATCATTGATGTAAGCGCTCTACTCACGCGTAACATGATGCGCAATGAGAATGCGCCGTGAAATACCACAGTGTGACCCTTAGGTTTGATATTTTTTTTAAGGAAAGACATTCAACCATCTTACCGTTGTTTTAGTACTTTCGTCAAAATTCGCGTCGACGTACAAACGCCCTAAAGTGAAGCCCACTGGCGATATCATGGTTTCCAGACATTCAGACCATCTTTCGTATGCTACCAGTCCTCTCACTGCTCGCGCGTATTTTAGTTTCGCTTGCACAAACTTGTCAGGCATTGACATCACATAGTTGTCAATCACACGCCACATGATGTAATCCTTGACGGTTTGTTTGTCTCTGCAGTTGGAGAAAACCAACAAAGATCTTTTAGGGGGCAGAAATTATTTATCGCCTAGGAGTGCGATAAATAAGGTTCTAAATAAATAAGGTCGAGGTCTGATCGGCCCAGCCTTCTCTTACTTTTTTACTCGGCCGCTACTGGGGCGCCGTTTGCCATTTCGATCCGTTTTTCTACCTGAACGCCTGCAACAGGCTATTGAGCACCATATTAAAGCTATCGAGCATAAAAAAGATTCTCTTGAACCTGTAAAACTCACGGTCGACTGTATTGTTCTGCCATCGCTTTGAATACTTTTGTATAAACATCTGCTTGAGGATAATAGATTTTATCGTACGAACTGAAATATTTTCCCTGGTTGACGAATGCCGCGTCCAGAAATCCCGTCACGAACATTGTCTGTGAGAGAAAGAGAAGGAGAGTTAGTAAGCTAAGCAAAGGAAATAACTTCAGTAACAGTTGTAAGACCCCTCTTAAAAAGAAAATTTTCATTCGGACACACAGTAATAATTGTCCCCTATGGAAAAAGGGCACTAGTACAATTTCAAGTCAGGGCCATTAGTACCATTGGAAAAGTTACCTTAACGATTCGATTGAGGCCTTGACTTTGGAATTCCCTGACGATGTTGTGGATCGATGCCGTAGTTCTAACGCTGACAAGGGCATCGTTATGTTTAAGAGAATCGTCCGAGAGCGTCAATTTGAGAAATGAGGCACATCTTAAGTTAAAGAAGTCTAGTGCCACAGGAAGTGATATTCTTCTTGCTAATTTATACAATAACTCACGATAGAAAGCGATATCATAAATTTGAAACAAATTTAGCTGTGATTTCTACCTCCACCATCCCAATATAGGTATAGTTATATCATGTTCGCCAGGTTTACTTACATCAAAACCTGAGGCAGACGAGAAGTCTCTAATTGTCTTGTCCAATTCGTCTAGAGATCGCCCAGATCTGTGATGCTCCATAAGAGATTCTATTATATCTTCAGACACTGTGTCGGGATCCACTGACTGAAAAAATATTTCAAAGAAAACGGTTACAATTGACGGTTTTCTTTTGTTACCAACAAGATAAAGAAACTTTGGTTAATCGTTCCCCTGATTGAAATAGAACCTGCCCGGCTGAAATCGTCATACATTGTTATCTGCAATTAAGACAATAACACACCTCAGCAATGCTCCTCTCAAAATCATATATAACATCCATCTTGTAATCTGAAGAAGACCCTCCTCCAAGCAGCTTGGCAATAGTTTTCATGTAAGTCTTGTACGCCGTGCGGACCTGTAAATGGAGTATTTGAATGCTCAATAGTTATGTTTACATACACATGGCTAACCATAACGGTAAAGTAACACAACAGGGAATCAAGGAAAAGAATAAATAGAAGCCAAAATTTTGGATCCTCATTAGCTCACGCAAGAGAAGAACTGGCCTGTAGCGCACGATTTTATGACTTCACAACCCTTTTAAACGTGATGAACTCTAAACGGAAACTTTACCTTTGAAAATTAGTTTATTCTATTTATTTCGCCGTTCTGTCGAAAAATGATAAATTTCATTTCAATTTTTTTTTTGCCTTTGTTATCATGGTTCATCCGTCACTATGTCAATGCGGAACAGTCGACTGACTATTGAGGTTTTTGGAAAGTTAGACGGCAAATAAATTGACTCGCTGGCTGCAGACTACGAGGCGTAGTAGAGTATATTATTGTAAGGACCGGAGTGTTTATCGTGAACTAAAACCCTCATTTAATCAACACGACCACTACATCCGTAAACCGAGCGGCGTACTTTTCGCTGTGCTCTCCAGTTAGATATTGTTCTTTTCACTCGCGCATAAAATTCAAATCTTATCGCCGTCGTGTAACATCCTTTATTTCATTGAAATTCTTTTACACTCTTCAGTTATAAGGTACATATAGTTTCCTAATTATTGAATCTCTTAAAGAGTTATTCTGGTATTACACCTTCAATGACCCCCTTCAAAATTTACAACAGATTTCGCTTTCATACGTAAGTCCCAAAAACTACAAATGAACCAGTCCTCAGACAGAAAATGCCCTTCGAACCGAGCCTTGTAAGGGCCAGAGGAAAACAGTCTCTATATATACCAACCTTTACGCTGCTGTCTTTCTGGTCAAAATAGTACTGAAAACCCATCCCTAATGAGGCAATATTGAGCTAAACGAAAAAAAATTGATCGAGTTAGTGATTCCCGTACAAAGTAATACCGTTTAAGTGCTTAAAACTTATACGACCTCATTTGTAGCAAGTAGCCACTACCAATGTGCGCCACAGTGTGGTTCAATCATCGACTTCTCGCCGGGAACTCCCGTTAGCCATATCCAAGGAAAAATCGGAAATTTCATACAAAAAATTGAAATTCTAATGGACGAATTCGGAAATGTTGACGTAATGAGTCATATGTTTTTAAAACCTAGCCAACTTCAGATTCTGTACTTCACATGAGCCAAATTAACCCAAATTGATCTATAACGGTTGAATTGATCCGGCTAAACTTGATTTACAGTTAGTATCATCAATATTCATCAAAATAATCGATGCATTTGGTCCAGATCGTGAAATGTTGGGTGTATAAATAACAGCCGGCGAGTTAAACTGTTCACCCTTACTGAGCTAGACGCCGCACTACAAACGCGAAGAACGAGTGGGTCAATCCGAACTCATTCGGCCACTGCGAAATGGCCGTTCGATCGTGATTCAGTGGACTCAATGTGGCTCATGCCAAAAAATAGGCGTCTGAACTGGACCTGGGGGTCCCATGTCAATGATGTGTGTATCAATTTTGGAAACAGTCCATATAATAAAAAAAACCCTTTGTACGATAACAGGTGTGGGAAAATACCATCGTAATACTTACATTAAGAATATGTTTACTGGAATCCTCTAAGTCTGTTCCTACAGTGACCTGCAGCAGCGTCTGAACGTTCAAGTCTCTCAAGACTCGCCCCATTTTTTCTTCCACTGACCATAAATTCGATCCATTTCCAGACACTGACCAGCCACCATAATCCTCTATCATTTTTTTTAAAGGCGAATTTCCACGACTCTCAATGGCAGATGTGTTTAAGCATGAATCATAAATCTTGACGGTTTTCAAAATGGAGGAGCTCTGGAAAGAATCACGGACAAAAGGAAAATTAGATTACGAAATGTACTTTTCTGGCAGTTAATGGCAGAAAAATTTCCTCAGTCCCCCTTATATACTCTGTTGGCGATAACTGATACCCCTTTCCATTTCTTCTGAAAACTTGTGATCTCTACCAAAATTCTCCAATCCCGCCCCATTCTCCCCTCTCCAGGCGAAATATAATGACTAATCCCTAACGAAACTGAAGGGTATTTGAAAGATAGGCGTCCTTAAGCGAACATCCACTATTCACTAATTCTTTCTGCTCTGAGGTTAACTGAAATGAAATATTCCGAACCAAGAGGTGCAATCAATTTTTGGATCAATGTCAGTATCTGAGCAATTACACACCTCCCCTCCCTTTCCCCAACATCAACCCTAACTTATTATCAATTGACCTGGTGCGTAGTTGCTACTGACCCTTATTTCCCCAACATCAACCCCCGCGTAACTTATTATCAATTGACTAATGTTGGATTAAACAACAAGGTAGGGTTTTTCCCGCAAAAAAAAAAAAAAGGACTTTTAGGATCGGCGTCCTTGACACGAGATGGTGCTAGTATAGAGGAAGACTGAAGAAGGAAGATAACCAAAAAAAATCTCGATGATCGCTTGATCCGCAAGGTATTTTTTCCCGCAAATGGTGAAAAGTTTACGTAGAGTGAAGTGCTACAAAAATAATTGACCGTTGTTAATTAAATGAAGAAACTGTATGTCTAACCTGGTTGTATTTGGTGGTGGCATTCACCATCGCTTGTTGTAAAACTTTCATGTTATCGTCGTTAACGATTGTAAAGCCGCCTACGGAACTCTGATTTCCCTTAAGCTGGTGCGTTTTGATAAATCCTCCACAAGCGTATGCATAAAAATCATCGCATGGATCTTTACTTGTGTCGATCTGATTGGAGATAACTTTATAAAAGGAAACAGTATTGATGACTGAGCATAAAGACAGGTTTAAGTGCCCAATAGGGACAAGTACGGATAGTGCATGGGCAAAAGGCATTTGTCGTCTTCAGTTTGCCAGTCAAATTAAGATCAGACTCGTCGGTTTTTGTACAGGGAGGAAAACTGAAGAGGCCGGAGGAAAAATCCTGGGGCTAGGAGGAGAAAAAGAGAAAAATCTCTCCCTTATGTGTGGCTGGGAGGATTGAGGTGAGCCTCGCCCACAGCGCTGCGAAGCAATTGTTGTTAACAGTGCAAGATTACCGCATCCCCTACAGGGAAGGCAGCTTGTCGATTGACGTTATCAATTCTGCTTCTATTCGCTTTTTATGGCATTTATGTCGCACCGACCTTTGGAGATTTTGTAACATTCCTCTGTCTTGCAAATGAGCGGCCCTACAGAAAAAAAAAAAAAAAAAGAAAAAAGGAAAAAAAGAAAGGGATAAGAAAATTCAGAATACCATGAACGGCGGAACAAAACAAATTCAACCTGAGCGAGGGGAAGGATAACACGTTTTTAAGTCTCATCACGCAAAACGTTGCGAAACCAAACAACGGCTTCTAAAAGGCAAGTTACTTTTGAAAAGCAAGTGATAAGTGTATGAGCATGCGCAGGAAAGAGGCAACCACTTTCAACGATGTGAGTACCACGTCTGAGAAAAGTTCGAAGCGATGGAAACACGAATACGTGTTGTGTTTGATGATTAACTTCCGTTAATGAAATGGAAGGTTTCCGTGACAATTTTATTTCCTGAGTATTGTTATTTGGTATTCGGAAAATGTTTCCTGTTCCAAAAGCATGACATGATAGACTGAAAACTATTATTTTGTGGTTATTATCAACGGCCAACGTTCATAGTATTAGAGAATGTCTCGTAGGAACCACACTCGCTGAAGCCTTCTGACCGCCTCGCAGTCGTTTATTGCTTTGCCACGCAACAGATATCCCAAAGAAATGATAATGTGGAAGGATATGCAAATAACAATTTCCACTCAAGTAAAGGTGGCTGTGAATGAAAAGCTGAGTCTCATAAAGGCGACCAACGGTGGGAAGCAATCTGTCTTCCTTTCTTTCAAAAGTTCTCTTGACTATTAAGCAAAAGATAACAGGATAAACGAATAGTTCTGATATGCAAATATTATGAATCGGGAACAGAACACATGTAGCGAGGGTTTATAACCCAGACAAGTGATGACAGAAAGGATTGTTGAATAGGCACATCAGAAGGTCTACGAGCATAAAACGATTCGCCAATATATGCAGGTGTCTTGTCTAATTTTCTTGACTTAATTAATTGACCTGAGGGTTTAAGCACAAAGAAAATGAGTTTAAGTTCACGTCAAAGGATCTTAACCAAACTACATCTTTCGCTTTCTCTTTGCATTGCCAAAAGTACCCTGTAGATAAACACAATCGTTTCACAATCAGTGTTATTTTTCGTTGATGAAGCATCAAACACGGTTGGAGCTCGAGGTTTGGTCAAAGTGGAAATTATGCACAATGTCTGAGACCCTACTACTTCTGCTGAAAATCAATACATCGACTTACGTGATTAATCAATACTGGTTCTGTCATTTACGATCTCTATTTAACAAATCATTAGCATAATTCAAGATTTTCATTTCGTTTCGTTTCCTTTCGCAAATTACAGAAAGCCTTACCGACCGAAATGGACTACACTCGATCCTACTAACATTATATATTATGGGCATTTTCTTCGCACGTGGGAAAGAACAGAGCTTGGCCTGAGCCTCGTGACACATCGAGCTAGCTTTTAAGTCTACTTCATCTCATCGATTAAAATCTGTTTATCGCTACTGGTTCTATGTTTTTTAATGTCCACAGAGTGGATCTAAACGGCCCTGTGTACTGCATTTGCCTTTGATTTCTATTACTGCCTCTTTTACAAGTTTTTAGATGCTCTAAGCGTACCACACGGTACGAGACGAATTCGGAATGTTGGTTGCACAATAAATGATTTATATAAATAACTAAACTTACTCGTAAGCAAGTAAGCAGCTGCAACAATTCCACCGATAACCAAAAACGCCACCACAACAGCTATAATCACCAGTCGAGTCTTTCCACATTTACGCAGGCGGTACCTTATACCAACATTATCATCGACGAGTTCGACCCTGTCGTCCGACACTGGGTTTCCCATTCCTCTCATTCTGAACAGCAAAGCGCTTCACGATACTGCTGTTTTTCTTTGGTTAAGTGATAAAGCAGCGAGTCAGCAATCAAAAAAACTTCCCGATAACACACGGCGGAATAATTTGCGCTTTCACCTTCTGGCGCAAAGACAACTAATAATTACCACGCGATACGCACCGCCGGAATGTAAGATTAGGAAACAGGAAGTTGTCAATCATCTATTTCCAAATGCGTAGTCTGTGCCACACATTCTTCGTCGCAATTCATGCTTCGGTAGTTTGAGCCGCGTTTAAAAAGCTTAAGTTGAGTGAATATTTAAAGAAAATAGCCTGCAGGGTAGGCAATACATTATTCATCTTCATGTTTCATTCCAGCATCTTTCAGTTGGATCATTTACGCAACTCAGTCAAGATCTCCCGTATGCTAAAGATGATGAAAACTTTATTTAAAACACGGTAAAAATATCAGTATGACAATAGAAAACAAAGGAGAAATTTATCTTAAGTAAAATTTTCTATTAACTGGTTTACATATTTGCCGTGTGGGAGTCCGATACAGAGAGCCATTTATCAATTCTTCTCTTGAAGTTGCGTAGAGATTTTGTAATGCGGATATCCTCAGGAAGATCGTTCCAAAGAGAAGCTCCGCTATAACTGAAGCTACGCTTCAGGTAGTCAGTTCTTGGTTTCGGCAAGTACAATTTTTGACTTGCGTCACGAAGATCAAAGGGCAGAGTTCTCGGAGTGAACATGTTACAAAGATAATTTGGGGCGAGCTTATTAACGCATTTGTACGTTAAATTTACCTTTTTCTTCGTCCTTCTGACTGATAAGTTATCCCAGCTGAGAGAGTTAAGAAGATAGCTAGAGTTCGTATTATAACATGATTTAGTAATTACTCTAGCAGCGCGACTTTGTAGTTTTTGTAATTTCTCACACAGCTGTTGAGACAAGCCATCCCAAACAACACTGCAGTAGTCATTTTGAAAATGTGGTTCGATGGGACCTTTATATATTTTAATAGCGGTATGCATTGAAATAAAAGGTCTGACTCGCTTAAGTGCACCGATACTGGAAGCGACCTTTTTTGAAGTTGCTTGTATGTGTTCCTTCCAGGATAGGTTTTCATCTATGTTCAGTCCGAGAGCTTTGCTATGAACTGTTTGGTTTATTTTGACGCCCTCTACATTAACATTTATTGTCTTGTCATTTCAAGACTGCATTTTTTGACGCGAGCTAATGACCATAAACTCAGTTTTTGCCACATTGAGGCTTAACTTGTTAGGTTTGAGCCAGAGATTAATGCTTTTCAGTTCAGTATTGATTTGGGTCTCAAGACCAAGCATGTCAGATGCAGCAAAGGTAACATTCGTGTCATCAGCATAGTTACATTCTAGGGGAGCCTAAGCTTAAGCAATTTGGTAGGTCATTTATGTAGATCAAAAAGAGTAGAGGGCCAATTATTGATCCTTGGGGAACTTCACAGTTTAAAGAGCTTGTACTGGAGAGGTGATTGTTTACGTTGCATCGTTGTAGACGATTTGCTAGATAAGATTTCAACCATTTCAGTGCATCTTGATCCACCCCATATTTAGCAAGTTTTTGCAAGATGATTTCGTGATCTATAGTGTCAAAGGCTTTCTTTATATCAATGAAAATTACACCATTGAGTAGACCTTTGTCAAAATTGACACACCAGTTGTTGTTTGTCTCCAGCAAGGCAGTAAGCGTACTGTGCAGAGAACGAAAGCCAGACTAACGACTGGTTAATAAATCATTTACATTTAGATAGTTATATAGTTGGTCGTAGATAATTTTTTCAAAGATTTTGGTCACAGCAAAATAAGAGAAAATACTAACTACTGAAAAAGCCATACCCCTTTGTGGAAGTGTCAATTTTCGCCTACCGACCACTAGGACTGCTATTGAAGACTGACAGCTACAGAGCGGGTTTACTTGTGCATAAGTGATTGCGTCTCTGACTTCCGTGTTCTTCTTCTTCAACTCAGTGGGGCGATACAATTTTATCACTTTCCGAATCACGCCTCTCGTAAAATCCCGTCGGAAAAACGACTACAACGTCTTTTTCTAGGCAAGTGATTCTTCATCCTTGATCCTTGATCCGGTGATCCTTGATCCGGTGATCCTTGATCCTGTTTTTCCAGGAAACCCACTTACTAACTTATTAAAACCCACCTATTAACTGATTTTAGTCCCTCACATATCAAAACCCCTAAGACGAAACCTCGACTGAATCGTTTCTTTCAGCTCAATGTTTTGTAGCTCGACCCGAGAAAAATATGTGAAATTCCCTCAATGTTGTCCTCGAGAATTAAATATTCAAGGTTGGCACGTGACGCTATCAAACTGTGTAAGAATTGTAAGAAGTTCAAAGTTCCTTAACACCACGAGTTACACTTTAGACTTTTATAAGAGATCCACGGTGCAATCTATGCGGCTTAATTAATTAATAAATTCTTCGACCCTAGGTGCCATTTGCGATGTGGTCAACGGATTAAAGATAAAATAATTTATCCGCCTCTTTAAATCCACGCGCACGCAGTTTATCTATCGAGACATTCCAACGGCGACGCTGGTAAACTAAAAATGGCGCAAAATATTGTCACCCAGTTCCTCGTACCGTCAAGTTGTAATCAAAATATTACAAGCGCAGCATGCTGTGTCTTTGGAACTCGTCATTGAAGTACTCACCCAGAAAGCCGCTAGAAACAACAGACGTAGAAAAGAAAGGGCCTGAACTGGGGAAACGGGAGGGAGAAAGAAAAATATACGGGGTTGTAAGCATTTTGATTTTTTTCATTTGTGTTGTATCCAAAACCAACTCGCAGGGAAGTGGTGAGACGCCTGCAGGAAATTGGTGAGGCTGTAAGTAATGTGATGTTTCTTCTTAGAGAATCATTACATTGTCTGGCAGATGGGCGTTAATAGGAAAAAGATACATAGATTAAGGAATATTGTTTGATTCTCATGGCTGAAAAAAGTATATCAGCGAGGAGAAATTATATCGATGACTTGAACATGAAAGAGTTAAGAAGCTGGCAAAAATGTAACTAAGGCATATCGACGAAACAAAATGATGCTGTAAAGATTACCTCCCTTCACGAATTCTATAGTTCAAACCATTTTACATCGCTTGATAACGGTTTTTCGTTGGTCCTTAATTATGGGACATACACAGGAGCCCAATAACCCTGATATAAACGTCCGATCAAACGAAACATTTCATGGGAAGATCAATTGTTATTATAATATAGCTAATAAATTTGGCTAATCCAATTCAATTGCGCGAGCGTGCTTCATATTCCTATTGCGCACGCTCATGACGTCAGCAAACAAATCCCTCGAGAAAAAAAATTTCCATCGGGTTGAAAATGTTATAAAACAATTGGTTCATACGTCGGCTGTGTGTTCATCGAGATATGAAGCACGCGGGAAGTTTGGAGAGCACGAAAGATGTGTAAAAGTTGATCGAGGCGTAGCCGAGAGCAACTCTAGCTTCTTAAGTCTTAAGTCTAGCTTCTTACGCACGCTGACGTATGAACCAATTGTTAATTGGGGCAGACCTGCGCGTACTCGTACCGCTCAATTACTTTCTGTGTCGTGCACTCGTTTGGTACAAGTTCGTTCGGGTGAATCAAATTTTAGTCCTGATTAAGAGCACATTGTAAATGAATGTTCAACTGAACGTACCGTGATGGTGATGATGATGATGAACTTGATCTCTGTGTTAAGGGTGAGAAATAGAGATTGTGGACAATATAGAGTGAGGAAGATGAAAGGTGTGAAAAGTGTAGCGTGTGAAAAATGGCGTATGAGGAAATAAATAGCATGCAGACAGCATAGTGAAATCAATGAAGTACGCATGGAAACTGCGGTGCGTTGAACAAGTGGAAAGTGTGAAGTGGGAAGAGTATGGGATATGCGAACGGGTCGAATTTTGTACTCTGTTTGTTTGAAAAATTTCTAACCGCAAGGCAAGGAGAGAGCTAGGGAGGGAGGATGGAGTAAGTAAGGCGAGTCCACGTCAGAAACCCTTTATAGGCTTCAAAACTCCAACCCATTAGGTGTGTGCATGGCTTCAGCACACACTTACCTTGCTTGCTATTATTCTTACTTTGCACTCGTTTATTAGATTCGTAATTCAACGCGCTCCTTTCCCTCCCCATCAACAGCTGCTTGAACCATAGACTATACAAGGTTAGCACGAGGTTAACACGAGGCTAGTTATATTAGAGTGGCATGAATGGCTTTTGCACAAACCTGAGGACGGGTTTTCAAATGGCGCCTTTTTTGTTCCTTTCGACATAAATCGAAGGATGACGATGACACCAGCAATGACACCGATGACCAATAGTATCACTAGGGCTGTGATCAACACACGAGTCGCTCCACATTTACGAAGCCGATATTGCAGGTTGAGGTTGTCTTTATCAATAAGTTCGATATTGTCATCTGCGGCTGCATTGCTCATTCGAGACATGGTCTCAACGGGATCTCAACAACTTTCTCCAAATATTTTGATTTTACCTAGGCATACAGTAAGTTAACGAACGCAAGAATGCTTTAGCACTTTGAGCGCAGGAGAGCAAAGTGATCTGATTTGCCGAACTCTTAAGGGAGATATATAACCAAAGAAGCTTCTATTGTCCTTCAGATTTCGAAATTAACCTAAAACAGGAAGTTTCTGTCAATCAACTGCGAGGGTTGTACTTGCATTGAGATCAAATGCAAATTGTAAACAAAATTCTTTTTAAAGCGAATTTGAAAAAGACTCGCTTACCTTTCAGTTCACTGCCAAAGGGAACGTTCTCCCCTGCAGAGGACACATTTGAGAAGCAGAATGGTCGTGAGGCTGCAAAGATGGAAGAAAAGATGATAAACGTAGTTTAAGATCTCTGACTGACCAATCTTTTGTTTTTGTGTTCATTTACCATGACATGATTAACTAATGGTGTTTCTATCGATTATTCAGTTTCGCATGATTGGAATGTCATTAATCAGTGTTCGCTGTACAGTCAAAAGGAAAAAAGGATAGCTTGAAGTATAAAAGAAGGATAAAATAGAGTTTTTTTTTCCCATCTGTCACCAAAAATGCCAGCGATTCGGAAAAGGCAACTGATCGAAATGCTTATGCTCATTCGTACCTATGATACATAGACCATTTTAATAATTATTAAAATAGGACAGAACGTTCTTAAGGCACCGCAAGTGTGCAAAACTGGTGCAAACGTCTGACTAAACTTGTGCATAGTGAAGCAAGAAACATGCGATTGGCAATTTTATACGCCAATATCTGCCAATTAATTCACTGACATTCGCCAATCCGGCATGTGCCCAGCCGCGATTTTCTGCATTTGCGACAGGTCAACCAATCAGTAAATATTATTTTATCACATGTCCTCTTCGAATGACGGACAACAGAAATTGCCGCGTGATTGTCATATAAGTCGCCGGGCAGGGCGAAAGCGAATCATTCAATGAGAAAAATTCGGTCATAAATTTCGCGACTGTCAAATCCCTTGCGATAAGCGTTTAAAATTGCTTTATGTTTCCCCGATACCAATTAACTCGATTGTTCTAAAAATAAATTGTAACCTATTTATAACACGCACCCATAAAAAGAGTTAGAGGTTCAATAACTTTTGTTGCATTTTTTTTTTCGGTTAATCGGTTTGATCTGTTTCTATCATATTATTGAAAATGGCAACAGCAGAACTTCTTGAACACCATTTATCCAGCAAATATTTTCCACCACATTGAGGTTTCCAGGCAATGATTCAAATTACGAATTGATTTAACAAATGTTGAATTTAAATACGCAGTTAAAAATTACGAAAGTGCTTTGCGATCAACATTTGCGATAAAAACTGCCATAGACAACGCAAATTCACGGCTAAAGTAAGAAAGCCTCTTTCAACCAATCAATCAGACTAGGTGAGTGATTCGTTTTTCTGAAATTTCTTTAAAATTTTGTGCAGGGAAAATAATTTACCTTAGTTGAATTACTTTATTGTTTAGATCTTACAAACTGCTGCGCAGTGAAACTTTTGCTAGTATACAGACAGATCCTTGAATAAGGTCGCTCCATAAGGGAGTGGTTTGTCTCAGACCAGTAGGAGTTTTCAAAGTTGAAGCTTTCCGCGTCTGCACGCCATATTTTCTACAACACGTCGAACTAATAAATAATTTTTAAATTGCACGAGAAGGTGTAAGTCTCATGTGGTTTGGGAATTGTAAAGTTGAATTAATAAGACAGAACTACCGCCTGAGTTCTTATGGCCGGTGAGACAGATTTTGAGAACCCATCCAAACGGGAATGACATCTTAGCCATGTAGCAAAGCCGAGTGACGTCATAACTTCTTTTGGCCCATTACAAAACCCTGTGTAGAATATCATACATAAATCTATTACAGGTTTTAAGTCGTCCTCAGTCAGCCCGAAAATGAACATAATTTTCGCTAGAGGAAAACATTCTTAATTACGTGGTAAGTAGAAAGATAAAGTGAGTTTTCTTAGCCTTTAGCTTTCACCAACAGCCCTCCCGTTCAGCTCACCCCTTTTCCAGTTTGCTATTACGAAACAGAAAATATATCTACCCCGGCTTAGCTATTCCGGCGAAAAGGTAAATAGGTTTCGATTTATTTTACCCCGCAGCCATTTGTTACACATGTTAGAAGCACAAGATGGAACTCTCGTGCTATTTCGAAAGCTTCCAGAAGATTTTTCCCGTTTCCTTACCTGTGTAGGATGTGAATAGAATAGCTCATATTATATTCAAGACTAAAAGCCTTATCATGTTATTTCTTTCAGTAAGCGATAGCAGCAATACAGGGTTGGCAAACAAAAGATGAAGCTTGTCCTGTTGATAATGGTAACAAGCATTTGGCTGTGCTCTGCTTTTCAAGGTCAGGAAAAAGCAAAGTTCTGAGTCGGTTAGGATTATGATGACAATATTAATTTTTTTTTACAGGTTAACATACGTTTGTTTTATTTATATAGTCTTGCATGCCAACTGAACGGTACATAGGAACATTATGGAAGTTTTTTCCAGCAAAGCCATGGATCAGAATTGCTCTAATCTACCGTATTAGGTTATTAATTAAGTTTTCCAAGTATAAATGATTGGAATCGATGTAGGCGGATTGTACGCGCGTCCTGAGACGCGAGGGCTGAGCGGTTAGCACGCTTAATCTTTGATATCGTGTTCTGGGAATGGACTGTTTTCCTAACGGTTCTTCTTCTGACCGAACAGTAGAAATAGACACAGGTGAATGCTAATAGAAACGTAGGAAATTGCTGAGGGTGAATAATCTGTGAAGGGGCGGCAATACTTCTAGTCCCTTGACATTTTATTACCACGCTTCAATAGCTGTGTAAACCAGTACTATTTCATTTATCCTTGGATCAATATTCCTTTATTTAAATTAATTTACACAGTCGTAAAATATGCAGATCACGATTTAGTTGTTGACAATTGATTAACCTCACATTTTTATATAGATGTGTAGAAATTCAAGCCAACCGTTAATGATCTGCGAAGCAATAAAGCTTGTCTTTGTGGTATAAACCTAGATTCAAATATTTTATCATTGCTGTCCATTCAGAAACAGAAACGAGCACATTTTCCACAAGTTCGACCGTAACATCATCTAGCACGTCTAGCAAAACGTTAACACCCACGCTTTCCACCTCTGCTTCTACTTCTCTGAGCACCAGCAGCAGTAGTTGGGATTGGGGCTGGGGCGAGGAAACAACGTCATCGTTTAGTGTATCGAGCACGGACGGCACCATAACCTCATCTTCATCATACTGTGAATCGACGTCAACTAGCTCTTCAAGTATCGAACTGAACCCCACGCCAACATCTGCAACACGTTCTTCGAGCTCTTCAGAGGCAGTTGATATAATCATCACATTGTTTGCGTATTTGTATCAGGCTTGGGAAAATGATCGAGAAATCGACCATCTCAAAAAACGAAAGAGGCGCGAAGCCGAGAAACCAGGCCTGTCTAAGAGAAGTGACCTAGCCTTTCATGTGAAGGAAAGACGACTGGGAAGAAGGAATGACTTCGTTAAGAAGATCCGCGCAAGGAAACGGGAAAACCTTACGATGTAATATATTTGTGGTAGGAATCTTATTGCAGCAAAATAAGCAAACACATAAACACATATAAGCAAACAAAAAGGATAAACATTTATCTAGAAGTGACATTTATCAAGGTCAGAAAGAGCTGGACATTTTCAAAATAGTGGAGATTCTGATAGAGTACTTTTCGATTGAGTGATGTAAACCCAGTGTATAGTCACTACATAGTAACTGCATGCACATTATGTCCGTTGGATCAAAAGGAAGATCGCAAACGATTGCTCTGCACAATGTAGGCGAGATAGCATTACAAACAGTTATACCAGTTAGAAACATTTTAACATTTTCATCTAAAAACATGTTTAGTTTGCTCTAAGTACTAGTGTGAAGATAGATAAACTCTGCTCGGCTGCTACGAATTTAAACCTTCATCTTCCTCATATTGTAATGTGCCACTGTCTGGGCTGGGAAGTTCTAGAGCCTGTTGGTTTCTAGAGACGTATTGATATTTACTTGAACGCAACAAAATCTGCTTTAATAAAAACAAACAGGTTGCCGGAAATATGCCATATTCGAACAATGGTGAGGGCGGGTCGAGCTGAGAAACAATATCCTTTAGTCACTATATATTGGAATTATGTAGAATTATCATCCATACACTACGAATTTTTCTCCAAATCATCGTGGGGATTACATAGACATCGCATGAGTTCTTCCCCATGGGAAAACTTTGCACTGCAGGATTATCCATGTACTGATCCTCTCACGATTTCCAAAATCACACGTAATCTTAGAAATAACTTCAGAAGGAAACCCTTTAGAACAAAGCCTCCATGAGAAATTCAGACACGTGACATCCCCGAAGACAGGAAAACGCTCGTTGTAAAATAAATCTCTCTATTTTAAAACTATTTCAGTTATCTATAAAATTGTTATCTAAATTTATTTTGAAACCGAGGAGAGTTGATCTCGTATTTTCCCAAGTCCATCCAACATGGTGTCAAGTTTCTCCTTAGTCAGTTCCACATTAAGACGCCGCACTGACGGCATTGAATTCTGTTCTGTGGCATTTTCTTGAACCTTCAAATAAAACAGAAATGGTCACTCAAAAGTGTGGATGTATCCTGTACGAATGGAAAGTGTCAGTTGCTGTAAGAAACTTGACAGGGGCAGCGGTTTATTGGTTGGCTCGCCGAACACCATATCACAAAGAGCAGAGGAATTAATAACAAAATTAATAACAACTTTCCTAAGATTCTCTGTTAACTTGTTGATGAAGCATCCTTCTGCGAAATCGATACTAACGTGTACGATAAATACCTTCTTTATAGAAATAGTAGAGATGGTAAGTTTTCAGATCGGTGAAGAATTAAGAAGATGTTTTTTCGTCTTGTCACGAGCGTGGGACAAAGAAAAAATTATTTCTATCCAAAAAACATGACGCTATCGACATTGCTGATCCTAGCAGTATGCAGGACGCGTGTCATATGAACTTCGTAATAGACTTCACTCACGTAGCTCACATCCGAAGGTCTGAGGTTCGATTCCTCATGGGGACTCAGAATTTTTTCTTTGTCCCACGCTCGTGACAAGACGAAAAAACATCTTTCTTACCTTCTTTATATTTTGACAAAGACAAGTCAGTGTAATACTGTTGTTTTCAATAAACTCGATTTTATCTAGAAATACCTGTAACAATCGCATCGACCCAAGAGACTGAAATAATTCAAAGAAATTTGAAAGCTGAACAAGAATTTATAGTTCCAAGAATAGAATGGTAAACTCGGTTTTCTTAAAACAAACCTGTAGCTGCATAATACACGTCGGCATAGACATTCTGCTGATGACGTTCGAAGACGTTTTGACATCCACTCTCCAATCAAAGTCAATCAGCTTTGGCAATGAAACTGTTAAAAACACAAAAAAAAACACAGTAAGTCAGTCAAACACTGGGCGGGGGGAGGGAGAACAGCCTTCCACCCAAACTTAGAGCGTCATTTTTAGCTTGAAACACAAAATGACCAAACACTGATAACCACAACGAACAAGCTCAAAACTTCATCATCTCTCTTAGTTTATACACGCACAGAAACCTTCGGCATTTCGATTGTTGTATATAAACGTAGTCTACTGTTCAGCCTGCAGAAGCGTCATGTTTTTCCTCTTTTTTCGTATTTTCGGGCGAGTGAAGGCAACCGCGACGGGCAAGTCTTCATTTTTAATATAAGTTGTTGAACAAGTTTTAAAAATCCTCCGTTTTGGAATTACACTGTTTCGTGTTTGGAAACAAAAGTTCTCTTCTTTTATCTTGTCAGATGTGCCTCCAGTAAATAAAACTTTTTAATAACCGAATCGGAATTTTGGATAAACGCAAAACAAAACAGGTCTGCGTTAACAGTTTTTACTAATATCACTCTACCTTGCTCGTTAATGGCATTTGTCCTCCACAGGGGCCTGACAAATAAAAACAGCAAAATCACCAAAAACTTGAATGCATGACTGAAAATATTTGACGGATTCCTTCTGGCTAGAAGATTGTCTACTTAGGGTAAAGTTCGGCGGCAAAGCCCATCAATAATGCGTAGGAATATTTCTATCTCAATAGTTCACTGGGGAAATTTTTCCTTGCTTTCTCCTCACAACCATCACTTTTTCATCTTTCTTCATCCCTAAAGAACACCTCATGCTTGTTTTTCAGTGGTTCACTAACATAGATAATTGGGGTTCATGTAACAGTTTCAGAGTCTCATACGTAACAGTTAATTAGATTGTATTAAAAAGTTGAACACTCACATATTTTCAGCAATAATCTTGGAAATAAGTTCTCTAAGATTCTTGTGAAAGTTCTCTAAAAAAGTATTACCAAAAGTATCTTTAGTTCATAGAGGTGACATAGCTGTAACCAATTGCATATCAATTGTAAAATCCTTGAGTTTTCATCCCCAAAATAAGTACCACTAAGGTTTCAAGGTTTTTAACAAATCCCACAATCAGTGGCTACTCAAAAAACCCCCTTGAGCCAAGTTGCGCTGTGTAAAATCTCAGGTTGCTAACTGATGCAAAATCAGCAAGTCTGAGGTTCCAATCCTCTCTAGGGACTCAGCATTTTCCATTGTACCTTGCTTAACATAGATGTTCAGTATCTTGAAATTAACCCAAAGACCTTTGATTGCTGGGCAGAAATGAAAGGGTAGTACAAATATCCTAATTTAAAATATGTTATAAATATTTTAGTGTTTACATACCTGGAAACAAATCATATACTGCTTTTGGGTCTGTAAGGCATTCAAACAATGCTGCACGGACCACTGCCACAAGGCTCTCCATTAACTAAAACAATACATTACAATCAAATGAAACAGTTTCTGTCTTACAAAGTAATTAATGAATCAATAAATCAGAAATAATTTGATTTCTAAAATTTATTTACTTGTGATATTTAGACAATCTGGCCCAATTCATTTTTAAAACTGGTTTATATGGGGAACCAAATAAACAATAACAAGGCCAGACTACAACACTACAAGCTACATTCCCAACTCTGTGTGAGAAATGTATGGGTTCATCCCTTGCTAAACAGTACAGAGAAGATGCAGGAGACAGTTTACTTTCCTCATCCAAGACGATCAGAATGCCTAGCCAATTGCAGATTTCATAGCAAATGCAGCACATCCTCCTCAGTTATTTTAAGACCCTGAGTGTTGGTCTGGTCTGGGGCTTGAACCATCAACCTCCCACATGACAGTCTGGCACTCTACAACATGATGTAACCAAGCCTGGTTAAACTTTTCCTACTAAAGCATGATCTTAGGCTGTAGTAATGTGCCCCTAACAAATGAGTGAGGTGTTCATTCTCATACCAATCTTGCCTCATCAAGTCCTGCATCTAAGGAAGCTGCTACATTTTTGAGAACAGATACTGAGACTAAGAGGAAAAAGAAAAAAATATATTAATATTTCTTTTAAGTTAGCATATTCATCTTGATTGATAACATCAAATTGTTAATTCCGAGGAGATACTTATCATTGTTCAGTCCTAAGATTGAAATTTAAGGGTTAATCCAGAAAAGCTTAACTTAGGCTGTGATTTTAGACAATCGGTGGACCTTATGACATCTTCATAAATGTGTTGTTTAGAAAAAATACGAAACGCTAGCAACCTAAAATAAATTGTGCACTGAAAACAAACAAAAAAAACCTTTTAAAGGACACTGACCTGCATCACTTCTGTAACTAAAAGCTTCGTGGAAAAGGGTGCGCACAAATTCTTTTGACTGAGCCTAGAATGAGTCATTGAACAGAATGAACAAATAAGTACTAGCGGGGAACGATATCTGGAAAATATAAGGGCCTTTCTAATCATAATCAACTTTTAAGTCTCTCATTTCCTTTGTCTCATAGTTTTCTGTATTTTTTTCTTTTTGGGCAAAAGAATCCATAAACTGTCTCGAAGTGCCAATGTTTAAAGCTCATCCAGGAGCGTGGATGCTGGGAAACTTGAAAAATTTTAACCACAGACAGAATCATCGACCTGTCGGTTTACATTCAGCGGAAAGTGGAAGGTATTAATTAAAGACGTTGACTCGATCGAGGTCGCAGAGAAAAGTCTTGTTCGCTGACTCCCCTAGTCCGACACAGAAGAGGGTAAGATTTCCCAACTCTCTAAATGGTATCCCAATCTTATGGTCATACTAGGCTTGTATTTTCGGAAAACCTGTGTCACCTCTAAGTTGTTCGTAGTAGGGCAATTTGATCTTGCACGATCAGGCTCCTGTCAGTGAATAAAATTAAAGGCTGTCCTACAAAAATATATGTTCCAGTGTTTCCTTTAAAGTATTTATCGGCAACTTTTCTCACCTTGAGCAGCAACGTTAGCGGAGGGAAGACATCTTCACTTAACCCAGCCGCCATCTTGAGCACAAATCAAACATTGAATAACCTTAGTAGGGGTGTGTCAGTTAGCATTAAACTTCTTACGGAGCAGAAAGCCTATTTTTGAGTTTATATAAAGTACGATTAAAGTAAGAGAAGTTTAATTATTTAACTCCCTTAATAACGAACTTAAATATGGCTATCGAGAGTATTCTTATACCTTTTAAACGAAATTTAATTGGCCTCTCTCATAGCCCCGCTTAGGAGCAATTTTCACCATCAGCTAGGTAACCACGTGTTGTTCTTTCGACAAGAACAAACATGTCGTCTGAAAACTAAATCGTCCCTCAAATTTGGACAAAAGTTTAGTCGTGTGGAATATGAATCGATTGATACGAGCTACTGTTATTTTTTTGAAACATTATCGATTTTCAGGATCGAAGAATTTCCACACAACTTCAAGAATATTGCAACTGTCTAACATAGACGAAACGCAAGAGAAACTTCTAAATGAACGTCTAATCTTGGTAGACGAGAATGATTGCGTTAAAGGCACTGAAACGAAAAAAGAATGTCACCTAAAAAGAAATATCCTACAATACGGAATGCTTCATCGAGCCTTTAGTGTCTTTCTCTTTAACACAAAGGGACAGTTACTGCTACAACAGAGATCGGACATGAAAGTTACGTTTCCTGGTTGCATCACCAACACATGTTGTAGTCATCCGTTGTACGAGGATTCTGAGTTGGTGGAACATGATAATTTTGGAGTGAAACTAGCTGCAAAGAGGAGGCTCTCTTACGAACTTGGAATTCCAGGTATGTTGGCCAGCACCGAATTCTTCTATTCCTGAGCTTGGGCTGGGCAGGGAAGTGTGTAAGAGAGGGTCACTGTCCTGTTTAATATCACGGAGAACACCAACCTAGGAGTGTTCTTGTGTAACAGAACTGTTGTACAACTATGATCATGTTTAGTTATCAGTTCCAGTGACTGCAGAGTTTTGAAATTTTTCTGGAGGTAAAAAATGGATGTTTCATCATCAGTTAATTTTTTGTTTTAATTTTCTCTTAATATTTGGTGAAGGTATGGAAGGTCATATTGATAGCCTAGTGGCTCATCTGGGGTAAAGCTTTTCCTGGCTCCCAAAGCATTGAAGCAACATATCAGTACAGAAATATTGCTCCCACCTGTGGACATATGCTAGTTTATCACAGGTAACAACCCCCTCCCCCAACCAAGACATCCAGCAATTTGCTGTTACTTCTTTTTACCCCAGGGTGTAAAGAGACTACAACATTATGATCCATTCAAGGCTTTAAACAAGACCGTTGAATTGGGAGGCTACATTTCACTGCACTAACTGCACCAAGCTACTGCATCTCCCACCATCTTATTTTATTCACTTTTTAAAGCTGGAGTCTTGTTGCATTTTTTTTTTCTCTTAGACAACCAGATCTCCTTGGAGGATCTCAGGTTTCTCACCAGGATTCATTACAGAGCAGGATCAGATAAAATATGGGGAGAACATGAAATAGACTATGTATTTTTTATGCAGAAGGATGTAACCCTAGAGCCAAATACCAATGAAGTTAAACGCTGTTGGTATGTTTCAGAGAGTGAGTTGAAAGAATTACTGCAGAAAGCAGCTAAAGATTCTAACATTTTGATGACCCCTTGGTTCAAAATGATAAATGATCATTTCCTACACAAGTGGTGGGCAAGTCTGAGGGACTTGTCACAATTTGAAAATGACAGTGAAATTCACAAAATGCCAGGGATACCAGCACCCATATTACAGTTGTGAACAGGTTCTAAGAACAAAGAAAGTCTATTTTGATTCATCATTCTATCCAGTGGAATTTTTGGAAGTTCTGCAGTTTGTCCTACTATTACTGATGTCCTTTTAGAGTGACAGTCATGGGGGAAGAGGGAAGAAAAATTGCAACAGCACCCAATTTTTTGCTCACATTTTACACATGCCTGTGTGCAAATTCCTCATTGCTCAAGCTTGTTGTCCTTGGCCTATAAGTAACAGTGAAGATTGCTTTGCAAGCCACATAAGAGAATGATTTTATCAAGTTTTCATCATACAACAACCAATGTTTAATAATTATCTATACTTTATTCAAAAAGAGATGGTTAAGTATTGTTGCACCTTTGTACACCCTGTTTCTTTTGATAAGCACAGAGAGACACAAAGGGGTTGAGACTTTGCTACATGAACATAATTTGCAGAGATTACAACTACAGTGTAGAAGGGTGATATTACTGACTTCCTAGAATGACTTTCCTTTTCCATTTACTACTTTCTACATGTAGAGCAGATTAAATAACAAATAAATAAACAAACAAAAATTTTTAGGCAACCCATCTCAGTGAGTAATGTACTTCGCAGAAATAAGGTGACCAACACTTACCTGTACATAGCAAAGGTGTTTATGCAACATAAAATAAAAAATAGAATTCACTTGAGGACAAACTGCAGTATTACTAGACCAAAAATTTGTTTCTTAATTACAACCTTTTTAAAATAAAATGTGTAAGCCTGAAAAAGTATTTTGATTGTGGTATACTTCTTAAAAACAATATGTCATTTTTGACTCAAATTTTTGCAAGCCACTTATTCTCAAAAATTATATCCCAAGTTGAACAAGTTGCTTGTACAGAAATTCAATAACAGTTCTATCTCAGCAAAATAGTGCCGCCCTTTTACATTATATACTTACAACTAACTTACTGTAAGGATAGCTGTAAGTGATTTATGAAATATGATTTTGAAATATACACTGCCTTCAATTTAACTGATCCCATAGGAACATTATCAAGAGGTTCTTACATAGAGATGTAAATATCAGAACTGTCAGCTATGAAGCTGAAAAGATTCCTTCATTTTGTACATCATTAAAATATAACATTGTAAAATAATGAAATGTTGGACCAAAGTTTACAAAGTGTAAGTATGAGGTTATATTTTAAAAGGCACAGTCCTATTTAACCTTAGATAACTTTTAATGTGATGTTTCAAGTGTTTCTGTGTATTTGGATTCATCTTCAGTCCTCAGCGTTGTCCATTTGTTTGAAATTTTGTTTTTGTTCCATGCATTGGCAAAGTCAACAAACTTGTCCCAAAAGTCTGATTTTGATGTCTCGTCAAAGTAGCCAGTCTCACTAGCAAACTTGCGCTGTGAAGAAAAACAATTTAAGGAAACAAATCTTGATTTTCAACTACAACTTATTTAATATTTTGCAGTAAAGTTGTTGATACAGGCAAGAATCTTTATTTTTAACAACCATTTAGAACATCAGTCCTGCAATTCAAGATTTTGGGCCACTAGCTAAATACATGAAGAGCAAAAATAAAGTTAACATTTTTAAGGATTGCAGCTTAAATCTAGGAGATTAAACTAGTGAATTACAGAAACCACAAGTTACAGTTGTATGCTCAGGTTAGGTTGTCAAGGCAATCATACAATGGATAAAATGCCAGTGCAGTATAACTTTAAACAAAAAAAAAACATTTTAGGTAGCAAAAATCAAAAGTTATACCAGTAGCATTGCAGTCTTTGTAGCATTTTTCATTTCTTCCTCCTTGGTCTTGAAGGGGGCATACAACTTATTAGTGAATTCAGCTATTTTCAGATGATTTAATTTTCTGTTGAGAACCTGTAAGGTGAAAGGTTTGACAAACATCAGTTCATTCAGGCTGGTGGTTTGAATTTAGAATTCAACCATTGAACAGTGAGACCATGAATATCTGTATATGTGCTAAAAATGCATGACAGAAAGTTTATTGTCTCACCTTCTTTCTTATGTCTGCTCTCCATAATGTGTATTTTTCTTTGCAATATGATACACAACTGGCCACATGGTGGGCATCAACTCTATCAGCTCCTCCTAACAGGACCTCAATTTTTTCCTGAAACAAGGACATACATCTCACAAAGGGAACTTATGGTAATGACTATGCCTTGTAAATAAAACATACAAGCACATGCATGAAACATTGTTACAAAGAAGAAAAAGAAGAAAAAAAAATGATTCCTCCCCAATACAAGGTTATTGGATACACAATTAATTATGTGGGAGATGGTGACCTGACCAAGATCTAAAATGTGGCTGGTTCCCTTATTTGATCTATTCTAGCCATCTGTAATCACACCAACTGGTTCTTTGTTTAATTATCCTGGTTAAAGGTTTAGCAACTATGCACATGAATTGATAATGTTCATATTTTGGCCATTAATTTTGTCATCAATGCAAGCATAATTACCTTTAATTTATCCAAAGAACCATTGACAAGCCATGGTCCATATGTAACAAATATTTCTTTTGCTTTTAACACCAGTTCCCTCTATCCAAAAACAATTAATAGGGAAGAACACAAAAAGCTATTATTCACATAAAGTACCACAAAAATATCAAAAATAATAATGATAAAAGAATAATAATATAGTAACCATAATATTACTATTGACAATAGTAATGATAATTCTAGCAATGCTGGATGCCAATAACAGTGACCTAAAAATTGAAGAAAATAATAATGACAATGGTAATAGCAAAAATTGAATACTTTCTGCTTAGATCTTGATGAGCTACCAAAATCATGTTTGAATTAGGATCCGATGCATACAAGCTGGGGTGTATAAGAAGCATTATGAAATTGAACTTGCTGAAAAACAGTACCTCGAATCCACATGTCTTGACAGTGAATGGAAATTTCTTTTGGTTTTGCACTTGTTGTTTCAATTCATGCAGCTCAGTCAATGCTTGCTGTAGAAGTCCTGAATTCTCTTGAGTTTGTTTCAAGAGGTCAGTGAGGAGTCGTTCCACTGTAATTTAAGAGGAAAGGAAATTACATTATAAGTGAACTCTGCAGTCTGTTAAATGTATGTATATTCAACCCTAGCCCTAGCCCTAACCATATGCACCAACCTGTAGATGGTAGGCCAGTTATAACAGCATACTGTTGACCATTGCTCGCAGAACTTGAGGGTTCTGACAGTGTTACTTGATAAACACTAGAGTCATTCACAATGGCTGCTTCTTCTTGTAGCTTTAAAATATACAAAAGAAGAAGGAGACATAACATGAGTCACCCTATCAGTAGGGTAGGGTTTGGGTTGTTGCAAAAACATATCCATTTCAAGATTGCCGGCCTGCACCCAGAAATTAGAACAAAAGGTTTTTTTTTTTTTAAGGACACCAGCAAAACCATGAACTCCTTCCAGGTAAATTTCAAAGGTACTGATATGAAACTTTGAGGTGTTGCAGTCTTAAATTCCATGGGAAGAGGGAAGGGAGGAACTTCATATACAACGTAGACGTGTGTAAAACATAGGCATGCATAGCATGGAAGAGTTATTTTTTCAGCTGGGTCGGTCAAAATGAGACACTTTGTGTTCCTGGTGTTTTCATAACTTTCAAAAGAATGAAAATATCACATTACTTCACTTCAAAAGAAAGAGAAAACAATCTATCTAATCTGTCTATTGTCTCTATTTTCTGACTACTTCTATGCAAAAGTAAAATGCATTGGTGCCATGCTTACTGCAGTCTCCCTTGCAGCCGTTGTTTGGTCTCATCAAACAACACCTATTCCTCATTTGAGAGAGCACCATTGTGTGACAAGATCAAATAACGGTTGGGAAAGAGATTATGCTTACAGCTGTTCCTCTAACAGAAAGAAATCAAAATTATTGATCTACAGTTAGTCGCCTCAAAAACATAATTTCAGGCAATTTTATGGCAAAAAGCAGACTGAAAAGACCCCAACCAAAAATATATTGTGATCTCGTATGAGCGAAGATACACTAAGCAAGGGAAAAGGATAATATTTCAGAGAGGGCTCCTTGATTGGTTGTTGCCCATCTGGATTATTCTTGTAGAAAAAAAAACTAAAAAAATTGCGATGTGTCACACATAAAAAATGGAATGTCCTTGCAGTCAGTTTTGGCACAGTGTTGGGAAATACATCGATGCCTGCATTGCCCTTTCAAAATACATTTAGTGCGCCCATTTTTTTAATATTTCTGTTCTAAAATCTGAACCCTTTACTATGATTCCCCAAGTTAAAATCTCTCCAGAGCCAGAAACATACCGGGAAAAGGTGCATGGTAACGAAGTTAATCAATATCAAACGTAGGGATCCTGTTCAATACAATATGTTTTTGGAATGAACAGTGAAAAAGGTCAAGAAAATCTAAGCACAGTTTGTTTCCAAATTCACCCTGAACTCGCCAATGACACAACTTGTTCGTCATATGTTGGCTGAGGCATTCCATTATATTCATGAACGATATAGGAGCCATATTGGTGGCCAGTGTATGTCCGTGTATTCATGCTACATTGTAAAGTGGAGGTATTTTTGTCATTTGAGACCTTTTCCACAATAACTTACCGCTACATTGTTATCCAAGTTTACTTCATCTTCATCAAAGTTTAGAGTTGTCATCCTTTTTGACAATAACAAAAGATTCGCTTCTTACTGAAGCTGAGACGCTCACATTTGAAGATCGGAAAAAGTCGAGGTGTTCTCGCGAATATCATCCGAAGATGATCCGAACATTTTCAACTCAGAAAAAAGGAATAAGTACAGAAGTAAATCTCGAAAAATTATCCTTTTTATATTAAACACATGAAAATTTGTAAAAAAAAAACAATAAAATCACGTGTAATTGATGGTTCTTTTAAAGCACAAGAAACTCCGAAAGCTATCGGCCAGTCGAAAAATTTCCGACTGGATTTTGAGTCAAGCAAACTGGGTACTAGACGACATCTGCAAGCGTTCAAAATGGCGGCGGTAAGTTACCATGTGCAGCGAAGAAATATCTTTCTCTAACGTGAAAACAGCGTCCTTTTCCATGAAAAATAACAGTTTCGTCATTTATTTAAACCAAATTTTCTTTAAATCTTATTAATGATAAGCCTCTTTACTTCAGAGAGCTAGAAACCTTCTAGCGTCACTATGTAAGCACTGAGTTTGTCGGTGTCCATTGTGATGACAATCAGATCTTTGCCTGTTTTGGTTTCAGTTTTCGTTGCTTTATCAAAGATTTTTCTTAAAATTTATATATATATATATATATATACTGTAAATAATAAAGCTGTTACTTGAGTTGTCCGGTAATTTTTTTGTTGGGGGCAGAGATGAACACTGTAATAATAGTGTATCCCGCAGCTAAGTATGTACATGTACATGTGCCTTTTGATTGTTGTCATTTCTACGTTATGAGTTTGATTGTGCCTTTGTTGCTACCGTCTTGCAGGCAGCAGCACAAAAAGTTCAAGAAGTGAGAGATATCACTAGAATTGAAAGAATAGGTTAGTCGTGATGTAATGTAATGAAAAAATACATGGATTGCATGAGATACACCCATAATCTCTGGTCATTAATTAATTGTTTTAGTATATGATAAAATAACTGTTCAACCATCATGGTTTATAGGTAAAGTAACTAAAATCATTCCACCTTTTGATAAGGCTGTGTGTGCTGTGAAATTTTATGTCAGAAAATCTCAACTGTGAGGTGACTTGTTTGCTGATTAAATTGTAGTAACCTGGAGAGCTTTAAGGGACAAGCATCTGAAACAAACAGGCAGTATTGCCAATGTGCTCTACCACTCTCGTTCCATTTGTGGTGATGACTATGCTTGAGCCTTTGGCTATTACAGGGATGCACAAATTTTTTCTGGTACTTTTCAGTCTGGGTTTTGTTTCCTGGGCTCCTTCTAAACAAGCTAACAATAAGGTGCTTGATTTCTTTTGTTGTTTGTTTGTTTGTTTGTTTGTTTAATTTAGGAGCTCATTCCCACATTCGTGGTCTTGGCTTAGATGATGCATTAGAAGCAAGACAGGTACAAATGTAATTTAAACATCAATCTTTATACTATTAAGTCTCCAATTTTTGCTTAAGGTTCGTAGACAGCTAAGCTGGACACACTCTTTTCTCTGCTTGGTTAAAATTACAATATATTATTGTGCTAATTCTCCCTAATTAACCAACCAACTTCTTTTAACTAACATATAAGGAAATTTGCAGCATCTGGTTGAGAGAATTGCACATCAGATTTTTTGGAGTTGAAGGATCCAAAGCTACACTTGAAATTTCTGATAGAAACTTGAAACAAGTAAGAAAGGCTTACAACCCATTAACACAGATTGTGCAATAAGAGACAAAAGGGGAAATTATTTTTCCCATGTTATCATTGTATGTGTGTACTTGTAAATCCTGAGCAATCTTGTTCCTTGATTCATAGGTTTCACAAGGAATGGTTGGTCAAGTTGCTGCCAGAAGAGCCGCTGGTGTTATTTTGGAAATGATCAAGGTAATTGGCTGTGGTAAAGACACTATTTTTGAACATTTGCTATTACAGTCAAATTATTACTTTTACCTCTACAAGAGGTACAGATATAAGACATTCTTAATTTCACTCTTTGTCTTTCAGTCCTGGGCTACTTTCACATGATTTCTCTAGGTTTTTAAAAAGAGTTAAATGACATCAAAGTCATCAAGTATTGCTGTGTTGAAGTCTTATTTGTGTCTTAGTGATTCTAAATGAATTTTAAAAACAGTGCAGAAGAAAATTAAAAATCTCTAGTTCATTATTTCCAATCTGAATGAATGTGGGAGTAGGGAACAGAAATCTTGTATCAGTGGAAGAGAGGGGAATCTGAAAGATAGACCCATATTTACAAGTTACTAGGTCACTGTGCCTTTTCTATTCACATAATTTCAAACCAGGATATTGACTTAAGCAAATTAACTTCTAATCCTTATTTTAGGAGGGGAAGATTGCAGGAAGAGCTGTTCTGATTGCTGGACAGCCTGGCACTGGAAAAACAGCTATTGCTATGGGTAATGTGCATAGTGAATTTTGATTTTTTTTTTTATATCAAATGGTGTAGTTCCAATCGCAAGGCAATGATCTAAAAAAACAGTGTCATCTGTTTACACTCAAAGTGATTAACAAATGTGTAAATGTGAATCATGTGTTGCATACAAAGGTCTGCAGCATCTTTTATTACTACATGCTGATGTTAAGTTAACTTTGTAGTTTAGATGTCACTGAAATGTGTCAGACATTTTTTGAGAGGGTTTGTTTTTCTCATAAGGTAACTTACTTTAAATTCTTAGTGTTCGTGACTTATGAATCTTTATAATTAGTCATTTTTCTTCATAGGAATGGCACAGTCTCTTGGCCCTGACACTCCCTTTACATCTATAGCTGGAAGTGAAATCTATTCATTGGAAATGGGAAAGACAGAGGCCCTCACACAGGCTTTCAGAAGGTCTATTGGAGTAAGAATAAAGTGAGTTAATTGAAACCTTCCTTGAAATTTTCCCAGTAGATCATATCTCTGCTGGTTTTTTTCCTCATTTATTTATTAATATTTCTTTTAGGGAAGTATTCTGGTATCCCTGGTCAGGTTTTTTTGTTAAAGTTCCTTCTTGAGATTTGAGATATGAGTACAAGAATTATTTGTTACACCATGTTTTAAGCTTTCACAATAGTTGCTTTACTGACTGAAATTTGCATTTAATGATTTGTCTCATGTCAGAGAGGAAACTGAAATCATAGAAGGTGAAGTTGTAGAAATACAAATTGACAGGCCTGCTAGTGGAACAGTAAGTTGATGAATTTTTTCTTCAACTTTTAGTTGTTATTTTTTCTAAGTATCAATTATTTTATGGATTGATACTACCCAATTTTTTTAATGATTTTAAAATAGTAGTTAAAAGCAGCTTTGTTTGATGTGTTGGAGTTTTTTAATTAAACCCATAACCATGGTAAAATTATTATGAAACCCCCTTAATTGTAACTTTACCTGCAAGTTTGTAGACCCTCTTTTTATTTCATTTGAAATCAGCCCAAAATGATTAATTTTCATATTTATTAGTGTATGATTTTATTTATTGTTATCCTTCTAGGGAGCAAAAGTTGGCAAACTGACATTAAAAACAACAGAGATGGAAACTGTTTATGATCTTGGAACAAAGATGATAGAATCCCTGACAAAAGAAAAAGTGCAGGCAGGGTAAGAATTTTAATAATTATACATATTTGTACTTGCAGTCAACTGTTGTCAATATTGAACATACATTCTGAATGTAATTTGGTCACAAATTCCCATCAGAGCTCTAAAGCACATGCTCTACATGATCTTAACTCAATTATTTGTGTTTTAGGGACATCATAACAATTGACAAAGCAACAGGAAAAGTCTCCAAACTTGGACGCTCATTTAACAGAGCTAGAGATTATGATGCCATGGGGCCACAGGTATGTGATTTTATTCTTTGTTCTTCATTGTTCCTGGGAAAATTATGTACATGTACCTCGCACAGAGCTTCTATCCATCAAGGAGAGTAAAACTTTTTAAATAGTTTCCACCCAGCTGCTTGGGAAAAGTGATGGAACACTCTGGGTAACCTGTGCTGGACTCTTTACTAATGTCTAGTCCAGGAGGAGTAGCATACATCCTAATCACCTTATCATGAGCTGTGGTAGTTCCAGAGGTCAGTCTTATTTACAGACTCTTCTGTTAAGATAAACCTCCCAGGAGCAATAACAGCATCTAAAATCTCACGCAATAACTGAGCAACTCATGAACAAGTACACACAGTAAAGTTAGACAATTTTTTTTTATCTTAGACCAAGTTTGTCCAGTGTCCTGAAGGAGAGATACAGAAAAGAAAAGAGGTTGTTCATACAGTCACTCTCCATGAAATTGATGTCATCAACAGCAGAACACAGGGATTCCTGGCACTCTTCTCAGGTACATCTGGATGAATGGCATGCTGATCATACCTACAAACAGTCTGTGATAAAAAAAATTTGATGTTTTTTAATCATCAGCATGCAGTGCAGAATGCAACTCAAAATTAGTCCAGTGGTGAATAACTTTCCTCGGGTGATGTCTATTAGTGTGCTTGCGACACATGTGGTCACACCTGCAACTCTGTCTACCAGTGTTTATGAATTACCAAAAACTTATTAAAGCACTTATTTTACAATGTTAAGGTGACACTGGTGAAATCAAGGGAGAAGTGCGGGAACAAATCAATGCTAAAGTTGCAGAATGGAGGGAAGAGGGAAAAGCTGATATTGTACCAGGGGTGAGATAATTAACTTTATTTTTCTATTGGTTTGTTCGTTTGGTTATTGATATGTTATGATAGGGATTCATATCTCATCACCTCAAATGAGATATAGTAATTGTTCTTTATGTACTCATTTCCATTGGATATACCACTTTTCTAGGCATAAAGCTTGTTAACACAAATAAATTTATGGTTCTTTTTCCCTAGGTACTGTTTATTGATGAAGTTCACATGCTTGATATTGAGTGTTTCTCTTTTCTAAACCGAGCTTTGGAAAACGACATGGCACCAGTTCTTATAATGGCTACAAACAGAGGAATCACAAAGTAAGAAAAGTTTATGTAGTACTTACATCAAGAGTGCTTCAAGCAAATCTAACAGCCATACCATAGTAAACACTGAAGTGTTTAAGAAAGGGAATTTTTTCATGGAAAGATACGTTTGAACTAGTGCAACGTGCTCCTCAGGCTCCGGTGTGTAGGAAGAAGAGGAAACCCTGGGAACAAGTTTGAACTAGAAAGTGTCTGCATGGTAAAACTGTCATACAGTAATACTGTATGTAACCACCTGAATTACCATTTCATCTTCAGCTCACAATAACTTTAATCAAATATAATGAAAGTGACATTCAATTTAAATGTGCTTCTTGAAAGTGATGTGCGACGACGTTCTTTTTTCTTGCAGAATCCGTGGTACCAATTACAAGAGTCCTCATGGAATACCTCTGGACCTGCTAGACCGATTGTTGATTATCTCAACATCACCTTACCAAGAGAAAGATCTAAGACAAATTCTTACTATAAGGTACAGTGGGCAAGAAACGTTAACTCTTTTCTTACCTACGTTCAAAATTATTAGTTTCGGTATCATCAAGTCTTTGTTTGTAGGATAAATAGTGATTCTGTTTAATCAGAATGTGTGACTGAATATGGTAAATCTCAAACCCCACACTTGTGGATCATGACGTCACGTAAGGATCGACTTGTTCCGAAGGCGGCTCCATTTGTGCAATTTTCGGCAAAGATTGAAAGCGGAAATTAGTCAATTAGAACTTATATTACCGATAATATTGGCCATCAAGTGGGACGCAAAAATGTTTACTTGTAGTGTTGATTCAATTTGTTGTGTTACAGATGTGAGGAGGAAGACGTTGAGATGTCCGAAGATGCTATATTTTTGCTTACAAAAATTGCTCAAGAGACTTCACTTAGATACTCTATTCAGCTAATCACTGCTTCCAGTCTAGTTTGCCGGAAACGAAAGGTACAGTGTGATGTGGAGTTATGTGCCAATACCATCGCGGGTCACCTTTAATAAGAGTTGTAAAGATATTCATTATACATTTAGTTTATGTCACAAGATACAGAAGATTGCTCTGGAACGAAACATCGTTAAATACAAGAGCCTAAGCTAACCTTTTCCCAGAGCAATGTTGGTATTAAGATTGACATACGTATACTTACCGTCGTTTTCAATTTTCTCCAAGGGAACGGAAGTGAATGTGGATGATATTAAACGGGTATATTCGCTGTTTCTGGACGAGGCTCGCTCGACCCAGTTTCTTAAAGAATACCAAACAGAATTCATGTTCCATGAAGACGAGTCTACCGAGCCCGTATCTGAAGCTATGGAGACAGAGGCAGAAACTGCTTGATGAAAATTTCGTATTCTAGTTTACACTGCGTGTTACATTTGTTTCTAGATCCAAGGAGGAGTTCTGTGTGTTGCCATGAGCATCAAAATAGACTCTTATCGCGAACTAACAACCAATTACAACCTGCAAATTGCAGTATTGAATAGACTCACTGTAGCTAAATTGCGCCTTGCGACAGGTTTGTTTTATTCAAAAACGCAATAACTAGTTGAATTGTAAGTACCTGCTATTTCGCTATCACTGCTCTAAGCACTTCGATTTGGCCCATTTTAGCATTGGAATCGCACCATTCAATAGTTATTACGAGCTATGAAATCTGTTTATTTGATATGGGATGTGGTTTGTAGTGAGTGTTATCGTAGACTGTTTATAATAAAAAAAAAAACTAGCATTTTACATATTTATGGCTAGCGTCGCACAACCCACCTCATTCAATATAGAGTATTGGCGTCATTCAGACTGCGTGAGGCAGGCCGAATTGAAGCCTATTGTAGCCAGAAGACCACAGTGTACTGGGCCAATACTAACAACCATCGTATTGGAATTGTTTGCGTTTCGACCACGGTGGCTGAAAGTCTCTCCACAGAGAAGTGATATATTTGGTGAGTACCACGTATCGCAAGTCCTTGGCCAAAGCCTCTTTCATTTTTGTCCTTCAGGACCTGCTGAACGAGTGTTCTACTGATCCGTACTTCTAACCAAAATGATGGCGGGTCTGGCAACGAGATTGACATGTTTTCCGAAGAACGCAAGAATGCCAACCTTAAATGAAACAGATCGGATAACTTGTAATTAGGTTTTTTGACAAAGTATCTGGCCAACAACCCTAAAATTAAAGATCTTTGCTGTTCACTGTGTTTTTGTTAGATTGTCTATTTTTGTTTGTTACGGTTTGCGCGCCTCCTGATCGATCAATTCTCCCGCCAATTTTTGCGCGCGTTTTCCAAGTTGGTAGCCGCTTCAATGTCAGGAATGAAATCTGCCTTCGGGGGGAGTTTGGCCGGTTGATTTGTCAGTGAACATTTACAGTTCAGACACTGCACGAATTAGATGTAATTACGAAATATTAAAAGATACCTGCTCCCAAGAGAGGAACAAGTGACCTTATCTGAACATTCTGGCCAGACTACGGCTCTTTTTTCTGTGGAGTTTTCCAGCAGGATAAGAGTTGTAGGAGGAAACTTATAAGAAAAATGTCATCTGTGAGACAAGCAAAATACGGTAAGTATAAATATGCAAATTAAGTGCCTTCCGTATGTTTTTCTTGTTATCGTTGTAAACAATTTTTATACATGAAACGTAAAATGCATTAATCAAGCAAACGAACAATTGTAAAGAATAGAAAAACAATTTTTACGTGTTTATTATCCGGTCTAGAAAAATTTGCCATTTCAACTAAATATTTCATGTCGGAACATCTTTGCGTTGAAAAACTAATTCTGAAGCCACCGGGAATTTTTTTCTGGGGTTTTTTGAAGCCCTAGAAAGTTTTGAATCGGTTTCCCAAAATGGCAAATACTTCAAGATGTTAGAGATTTTTTAGATGGTTTTCAAATCGACCATGTTGACGAGAAGATAGGGTCAGTTAATTTTGATTTAACACTGCTTTCGAAGACTTAAAAGGGAAGCGACCTATTCGTTACCGTTGTAACCCTCAGCTGAAATTATTTGACATCCTGTTCATTTAAGATAAAATCCATTTGATAGGGTAGTTTTTACTTTTACTCAAAATGATGCATATTTTCTTATAGCCTAAATGCTTCTTGCGCAACTTATGGGCGAACCCGAATCCTTCTCCTCTCCGTTGGTCTAAGAATGAGTCTTTAATAGACCACTCAAGTGCTATTGTACTCCTTCCCCTTCTTCGGCGTTTACTAATTTTAGTCCTTTGACTTTCTATTGTGTAGGCTTTGAGCTGGACACATCAACATCTGGAACAGCTGCTGTCCAAGGTCCGGCTTCAGTTAGCTCGTTTCTCAGCGGGGGTTCTTTTAGTGACTTCCAACTTCCCGGGCCAAGCAGCAGGGGTCTAAAGACAAACATCTACTCCGGGTATCTTTCATAAAATTTTCACTCTATACTAGAGACAAACTTTTCCGTTGTCTGATAAGCCCTTGATAATTTGTGTCACGTTGACTACTGAATGAAAGTAATATTTTAATTAGGTTCAACCCAGAACCCTTTCAAACGACCTCACAGAAGAAACAAAGACTGCATCGGTTTCAATTGAGTTAGACCTTTGCAGTTGAACAACAAAATTTTGGAAGCAGGTTCACGGAACTCTATGGTTCAACTGAATTTATTTAAAAATTAAAACTTAGAAAGTATCTCGTTAATTTACCGATATTGATGTGGTATGTAATCTGGATGCAAACTATATGATAAAAGTAATTATCTCAAACAGTTCCAGCAAAACAGAGACCCCAGGTAGTTCATTAACAACACCTGCCCCTGGACCTAGGCTCATGGCCTCGAGCAGTACCTCCCGCAGGACACCCAGCTCACGTCGAACCCCACACATCTCAAGCACAACCCCAGGAATGCCAACTTCTTCTGTTGTGGTTGGTAGGTTGATCAGCGTATGCTTATGTCATCCACTATTGCGACATTTTGAGTAGTAATTACCTTCGACGAGAACCTAACGTCGAGAAATTGCACATAAAGGTCTCCGAGGCAGCATGGTTAAGAAGTCAAGTCCTCCACCTTGCTACCCACCGGATTTACCCGAGTTCAACCCACTGGCTGCGTTCCATGAAAAAAGCCATCTGTCTGCCTTCTGCCAGTTTGGATTCTTAACTAGTTTATATTTATTTAGAATACTTCCTTCATTAACATTGACCCACCGCCTTGAAAGAGAATGTTAAATTTGCGCCAGACAAGTTCCTATATCATCATCATCATTGTCATTATTGTTGTTTCTTCGTTGATTTAGGTTTTTTATTGATCGTCGATTTTAATTTTCAACGGGATTCTTCTTCCTCGAACAATTTTCCCTCGCCGGTCAGATCGCCAAATCAAATGCCTCTCAGTGATAAACGAGAGCCATGGAAATTGCAGCTTACATAGACACAATGGCGTATGTAGTTTGCAATTGTGAATTGTTATTTTTCTTAAAGCAATCGTTGAAGGACGTGGCCTTGCAAAAGGAGAAATTGGGATGGCTAGCATCGACCTGAAGAAACCAGAACTGAACTTGTCACAGGTCAGCTATCATCATACCGTATGTTAGACCTATGTAGGTTCACACAGAATTAAATAATTTTGTTATGTCCTGTTTTTTTCCTGATAATTGCACGAAAGATGATATTTCTAACAATCACTTGTGTTATTTGTTAAGTTCTCAGATAACCAGACTTACGTCAAGGTTTTAACAAAGCTACAGATTTTGGAGCCTTTGGAGGTAAGTTGGTAACCGATGTGTATCATGTTATGAACAATACGTAACAACAAATTTGTTACAAATGTGGTCGGGTCCCTAATTGCGTTCCAAATGATCTGTCAGTTAAGAACTGAAAATCGACAACAAGTTTAGAATACGCAAAGTTTTTATTTCGTTTCCTCACATGACCGTGTGCTAATAAAAAAACACAACAGATAGATGCGAAGACGCCTGGTTGGAATACTTTTTCCAATCACCTTTCTTTCATGCATGATATAGATGTAGTGGTCAGCGAGAAATTAATTACTGATGAAACAGTCCGTGTTTCATATTAAACTCTCCAATTTTTTTTAGTTTTTTTTTTCTTGTTTTGTCTTTGTTCTTTTGTTTGGTTATGCTTCGTTTTCCTTTTTTTACCAGATTATCATGCCTAATACAGCGTGTGAAAACCCTTCTGCGCTATTCAAGTTTCTAAGTGACCAGATACCTTACGCAAACTTATCATCTGTCCAGCGGAAATACTTCAACGAGGCGAAAGGTAACACATTTTACATTTTGGGGCAGTAAAAAGCAAGTTTAAAGAAATCTAGCCAAAAATAACGAAAACATCTTTCACTGCTGTCAATAATCCTTTCAATCCCTTTCTAGAGAGGATGAGGTCTCTTGCTCCTTGTCATTTCTTGAGCAGTCATTCGGTTTTTGTTTCAGGCTTAGATTACGTGAAACAACTCTGCGTTCCAGAGTTAAACACTGTTGAAATGGAGGTAGCTTCAAAGTAAGTTGGAATGACAACAGATTTATACAGTAGATGGTCGTCAGTGTGACATTCGATGAAATTCGTGTCACTTGTAGAAAACAATCAAATTTACGGGTTATTTACTGTTTATTGGTAATTTTTTCACGTCAAATCGGCAGTGAGGAATACGCAAACAATCCGTTTACAGATTCTATATTTCTGCACGCGGAAGGTCTTCGAGAAGCCAAGCACGCAAGTTGGTGTTTAAAGTAAAGTTCTGATTCGGAAGTTGTCTTCACATTCAGATTAATAAGTTTATTATTTTGTTTTTTCTTTCATAGGTACTATTGCCTTGCGACGGCTGCCGTAAGTTTTAAATATTATTGTTACTATTTATTAGAAAACTATATCTAAGTTTCTCCGAGGCGAGTTTTGCATTTTGGCTTTATGTCTTTTCTTTATAAATCTTGGAGGAAATAACCTTTACTTTGAACTGACAGGCTTTGCTCAAGTACGTGGAATTTATTCAGAACATTGTTTATGCTCCTGGATCTATTAAAGTAGTGTTCAAAGGGAGTGAGAAGACAGCGATTGTAGGTAGGAGCATATCTTCTACCATGCTTAGAATAGAGTTGTTTGAGTGACAAGCTGGTAAAACGAAATTAGACCAAGCACTCTCTTGAAAATTGTGATTCACTTCATCCCTCCCTCTCTTGTCACTAGCTTCTATTGGACTGGAGCCTTGAACAATTTCAAGCTCACTGTCATCTGATTCGGCCTTTCAAAGATATTACCTTCATATTAACCTAAGCGTTGCGTAATTTTTCAGATTCCTCAACTATAAAGAACTTAGAACTAATTCAGAATGCCAGGGACCCTGAGAGTGGTCACTGTCTTTGTGGAATTCTGAACCACACGAAGACAGCTGGAGGAGGTACAAGGAGACTTATTCCTTTTTTGTACAGTGCTAATTTCTAAACTGATTGAGATTGTGTTACCTCTATGGATTGGTGGACGTGTCTCCGTCTCACTTTCTCCTTATGCTTTGTTATCTTGCAGCCCGCCTTTTAAGATCAAATATTCTTCAACCCCCTTGTGGTGAGTAAGAACAATTTATTCTTCTTTAAATGCACTTTCAAGAGCTTATTTCTCAGGTAGATTTTACGTTTTCAAGATGAAGAATGTGAAACCATGAGTGGGGAACTATTGGCAGCTTTGTGTCGCTCCTTCTAATGTATGATAAGACATTCTTTGGCTTCTGGTGATTAATCATAGTCATACTTTTGCACTCAAAGAGTTTAGAAGACTGCACAGTAAGTCAAATATTATGTTCAGTGAAGTAGATTGTTACTACAAAACAGCATGCGTCCAAACACTTAGTTAGAAGCTAATGCTATAATGGTTATTGTAAAGGTTATTTCCTCCAAGATTTATAAAGAAAAGACATAAAGCCAATAATGCTTATCAGAGAACTCGCCTGTGTTTCGTTTTTAAACAGATGCAGAGACAACAAATGTACGTTTAGATTGCATAGGAGGTAAGTGGCCGTGTGCATCAACTGGGAGCGACTTTCAATCCTGAGTGAAACAAATCAGCTGATAATTCAAAGTTCACGGTTTTTGTTAAGTGAGTACACACGTGTTATACTAGGAAACAACTTTCTCTCTTTTCCCGACAGAGTTAACAAACAAAGAGGTTGGTATCTTTTGGTTTGGAATCGCTGTCTTTACTGCGAGTCATTTTTCATACATGTCATTGGTTTTGCGGCCTGTACATGTGTCTTTCAACCTCCTAATCTTTTTGCACCTATACTTACTCACTCAGGAGCTCTTCTACGGATTACAGTCTGGTGAGTTTAGGATCGAGTGTAACACACAGCTGACTTAGTAAGTTTAATGACCGACCGATCGACTGAGTGACTGTCTGACGGACTTGCTACCACGTTGTCTACACACATGTCGTTGGTAGCCGTGTAGTGTTTTAGTGCTCTTACATCGTAGCCTATTCTTTCCTAGGGAAAGAAAAACAAAATGACTAACTCATACATACCTGAGGCAGTTTTCCCAAGTTTATGCGCGCACGTGCGATTTTTTGACGCGCACGATTTTTTTTATTTCCAATTGCATGCGATCTTTGGCCCGTTTTATTCGCGTTTTTCGGTTAACGTATGCGCGAGCGGTGCTGTATGCAGGATACCTGTGTGTTCACTCGATAAGCTTGCCTATTAATCATTTGGATTTTTTCTTGAAAAGATGGCAAACTGAACTATTTGCCTTCCTTTTTTTCATTCGACAGTGATAGGCCGGTTCTTAGATATTGACCACCTAACCTCTATGTGTGTTCAGCTTCCCAAGCAAGAAACAGTGAAAACAGCTGAATCCAAAATCACAACAGTTATATACCTGAAGCACACCCTGGAGCTTGTCGAGCCTTTAAGAACGGCTCTACAGGATACCGAGGCGGACCTTTTCAAAGCTTATTATGAGGTACAGTTTTAGAGACATGACTAACATGCTGGTCAAAGTCGTCGAGCTAAAAAACGTCAGCTAAGCTAAGGACGTTTGCTCAGACAATTGCCTTTTAAAAAGAGTGAATTTGAAATATTCTTTCATCGGCTAGTTTTGTTTTGTGTCACACAGTCACTCAATGATAGCAGATTTGCAACCATCATGGAGAAGATTCAGACTGTCATACATGATGACACTCGGTATCAGAAAGGAACTCTCAACATGAGGACTCAGAAATGCTTTGCTGTTAAGGTGCAAGTATGGACTAATACACCTCAACAGGGGCTCAAGCTAAGATACTGATTTTGAAATCAGGAAATGCTTTAAAAGTTATTTTCAGATCACTTCAGTTTTCTGTGAGCGATCTTAAGATTTTAGCGCGATAAGGCCAGAATGGAGGGTTTCGTCTCCCACATTGATCTTCTCTGGGTACGAATTCAATCACAATTCTAATCTTCCTTATTTTAATGGAATAATGGAATCGTTTCCTACAATAGGAATTCCCGCGATGATTTTATAAGGATCTTTATTTAATCAAAGCATTTGTAGGAATTGTTATTCATTACACATGGAGTAGGTTCGAGCTAACTGTTTTGTGCATTACAATACTAACTTTTCTCTTTACTGCCTTTTTCCAATAAAAAAAAATCAATTTGAAACATGGATGAAAGCCTCATATAAACGGTAAGAATAGCTTCCATCTTAGCTTATCCTATTTTAATTAGTACAGGAGATATTGACCATGGTATGACATCCTTGCAGGCCTGTTGGACGTTGCCAGGAGAACGTACACTGAGATTGTCGATGACATAACTGGTGAGTTAATTAGATCTGTACCCCTTATAACGTGCGGATAATGATTCAATACGTATAGCATGATCAATAAAAGCATGTTTAATAATGAGATAAATTATAATATACGATGTCTTTTTATCCTTATGCATCTGCCAGTGAGTTGAATACAAAGTATGTATCAGATCGTTTTACGAACTTTGGAATCTTCTCGGATTAGGACCTCGTTTTGAGACCTGTGTGCTCTTGCTACATGTACACGTTATGTTCACTCCTTTGGTAACCGCTGGAACATATATATCTAAGTCATCTATAGCATAAGTTGGTCTTGATTTCAGAGATGATCAAGCAATTGGGGGAAAGGCACAACTTACCCCTAAAAACTGGTTTCAACGGCACCAAGGGGTTTTTTGTGCAAATGACGCTTAACCGAGATCAACATATTGACTTAAAAACACTGCCCAACGAGTTCCTAAAAGCAACGAAGGTCAGAAGTGCTGTCTGTTTTACCACGGTAGATCTGGTTAGTATAAGTAATAGATATCTCGATACCAAAAGAAGACTTATTTGAAAACGTGTTGTAGGAGATAAGCCACCTTTTACGTTTAGTGCTGAATTGTATTTTTTTTCCTCTGCTCTTTTCTTTTTTGTCTCTTTGATACTTTAGCTATTTTCTCTTTCGTCGAAATCGAACTCGTTTTTCGCTAGTAAAGAAGAATATTATTTATAAGTGATAAACGTAAAACTAGGTGATTTTGCAATATGTAATCATGAACTAAAAGAATCTCAGTTAATGACAATATCTAGCCATACTGATTTATTGCAGCTACTGATTTTTATTTCTTTTCACCCTCACTGCTCCTTTTAATGGCTTTAGATAAAGCTTAATGGTGAGTTGTCTAATCATTTCATAAATGACTTGAGCGTTTATCTCTTGGTGCCAAGAACAATATTTAAAGAGTGTCTCAATTTCTTACCATAGACAGGATAAAGGAGTCTTTGAATGAAATATATCTCATGACAAATGTGTAAGTCTTGCAATTTATTTTTGTATGGACTTAAAGTGCAGCCTCGACATTCGCTAATTTTGTATCCGCTAGGGAAACTAATTTATTAAGGTTGATAAGTCGCCATTGAATGCTGCAAAGAGGTACAGAACTGATGCAAAACAAATTTTCCTATATGTCAGTCTGCGTCAAGTTTCTTTAGGCGTGGCTCCCACCAGCTGCATTGCAATCGAAATGATAATGATAGGTGTCCTTCAGTCATGTCTGTGTGACGAACCAAAAATCTTGACGGACATAATTTTGAGAGCAATATCTATCTTTTTTTTATCTTTTTAACATTTATAGGGTAGTATCTGAACTTCTGAGTGAAATAAGGGAACACATGGGTTGCCTTTATAAACTTGCTGAGCTTGTCAGTGTGATGGACATGTTGGTTTCATTTGCTCACCTATGTACTTTGTCTGACTATGGTAGGTTTGTTCTTTATGGCTCGTCTCTAGATGCGTTGTCAGTTTTATAATTAAGAGGCACATTCTTGTTTCTTTTTAAGTTCGACCAGAATTCACGGATACTTTGGCGATTAAGAATGGACGTCATCCTATTTTAGATAAAATACTTCCCGAACCACCAACAGCAAATAACACGGTCAGTGTAATAGGATAAACTGACATGTTCCTTTCAAATTTTACGAGGAACCTTTTCAGGGCGTTGGATTCATGATTAGCTTCTTTAATTCGTTCACTGTAGAGCTAGCAGGCGTTTTGGCAATTTGGTTCCTAATGAAAACAGAAGAAAATAGATTAATGGGTAGAAGTAAAACTGGGTTGCCCCAAGCTAATTATTAATTATGTTTTCTTTTCAGTATGCTACTGAGGGGTCAAATTTTCTAGTCATAACAGGACCTAACATGGTATGCTAGTGCCTGGTAGAACAAATTAAACTGTCCCTTAAACACTTTTAAAAACAAATACCAATGCGCGATGTTTTTTAACTGTAGAGTGGTAAATCTACATACCTGAAACAGATAGCCATGCTCCAAATAATGGCCCAGGTTGGATGCTACGTACCTGCGGAATACGCTTCATTCAGAGCCGCTGATCAAATACTTTCAAGGATAGGAAGCGATGATGACATTGAAACCAATTCCTCCACCTTCACCCTTGAAGTGAGTTTCATTTACTTCGAAAGTGGTTTCCATAAAGCTTATGGCTTCCGACGGTTCCATTTAAGGGAAAAGTATTTTTCACAATCCCTGCAATTTTCATTTCCACTGTTGAAAAGCCTACAATAAAATTTACCCTCCTATGGCGATTTCAGATTCCATATATTTAACTAGTCGTTCAAAAATTCGTACTCACCTAAATGTGATTTTTGCCATGATACCTACTGACGGTACATGAGCAGGCCAAAAACAAGAATAACTACGATATATCGTAAGCTCAAAAGACTAAAGGCATCCTGTTTTATTTCGTAGATGCGAGAAATCCACTACATCATTCAGGTGCGTTTCCATTTCTTTTAAATGGAGTGTACATCTTCGTTTCCACATTTCAGTCTTTAGTTAGCACGTTTACAAGGAATTTAATTTTTTTTTCTAGAATGCCAGTGACATGTCACTTATCATAATTGACGAGCTTGGAAGAGGTACATTACTCAGATTCACAGTGACGTACTAAATTGTTAAGACGTTGTTGAGGGAGAAAAGCTGAGCATGCCATAAGGAGCATCCTGTGGCTCTCTTCATTCGCTGCGATATTGCTCTGTGTCTTTTACACAACCACTACTTCAACTACTTCGGCGTCTAACTTCGTGTGTCTTGTATCGGTTAGTGTCATCAAAAAATGTAAAGATAAAAGGAGAACAGTAATGGTGAAAATAACAATAACAACAATGAGAAGATTGACTTAAAAAAGAAGTTAGAAATGAAGAGAAGGTAATTTTGACATTAGCCGCCACTATATCTCAACTGCTATCTTTTTTCCAGGAACTTGTAGCGAGGAAGGAGTTGGAATTTGTTTCTCCATTGCTGAAACTCTACTGAAAAGAAAGGTAACAATCAACCTGAAGGTTAATATTAAAAAATATAATCAGCATTTATTAGCGTTTAAATATTCCAACTGCTTTCCAAAAGCTCACATTTATCTCACTAGATAGAAGATAAAAAAACGAATAGGTGAATGCAAATGTAAAATGTTCGTAGATTTTGGTAGAGGCATTTAAAATGTCGGAAGCACTGTAGATGTAGTAATAGGTTTCTCTCTTATTTTATAGACATTTACATTCTTTGCAACCCACTTCCTTGAATTGACAACAATGGATAGCTTATACCCTAACGTAGAAAAGTAAGTGGAAAATGTGCCACCGTCGCAGCATCTCGGTAACGAATATTCTTAATACGAGTATCTTACTTATTGATTGATCGGTAGGTTTGATGAACTGATTGACTCATCGATTGATGAAGATTAAAGTGCTATTGTGTACTAGGCTATCCTGCGAAAATATCCAATTGATGTTATCACTCATACTCTTATCATCGATGTCATCATTATCATTATTACTACTACATATAGATGTTTACATTTGCAGCCAAAGGAATTACTGTTATTTCAATGGAAACATACACACTGCTTAGAGGTACAACTGACATTAGTTTTCTCTCTTTACAGTTTGCATTTGAAGATCCAGGTAATTATTTTGAAACATTACCACAATAGGTTAGTCAGATTTAAACTGGTAGCTCGTTACTTCCCAAAAAATTAATGTCCTGGGAACACGATCGTTTTGCTAATCCTCCACGCAGGTTATTGGTAAGCATTTATTAGTTGATGAATCTGTTCTAACTAGAATATTTGAAATATGTTTTCAGAAAATGTTTAGTGCAGAAGCTGCAAGTGAGAAAATAACATACACTCACGTGGTATCAAAAGGAAAAACAGAAGAAAAACACTATGGTGAGTATTCAACACAAAAAATGATAATCTTGAATTATATACAGTAATTACGAGGAATGTGATCAGTACCGGGCTTCATAATACTTGTAATTGTGCTCGCCTATAGATGCTGCATGCATGCTCAGTCTTGCCTCCGGGTGGTATTCTTAGAAATAAAACCTTAGTATTTCGCCTAAAAATTGAAATATTCTCTACTCACGCCCACCCATACTGGACTAGATTTTTTCACCTCTGCATATATTCGCCCTTTACTTCCTGTTGAAATGTTGAATTCAATAGCGACTGTTTCTCAAAGCTTTAACACCTTACACTAAAACTGGCATTATCTTCCCGGAAATACTGTCGCGCGTGACTAGAAGGCTTCCTCTTGTCTGTAACGAGTTGCGATTTTTTGGATGAAAATAAGGTTGCTCGAGTTATTAAACTGGAAGCGTTTCATCCATGACAGGTGTTCAACTTGCTGAGTTCTCGACGTTGCCTCAGTCAATCGTCAGGGAAGCTCGAGAAATTTCAACCGAGTTGACAAGACAGAAAGAGGTAGATATGAAGTCGCAGTTAGTATTTCAGTCGCCGCACTTTATTTCAATTTTACCAAAGTTTTCGTAAGAACGAAACAGGAGGATTCTCACTGCCCAATCTCAAATCATGAGTGAAGAATTAACCTTACTTCATCTTTCACGAGTTTTTGCTGCTTACCCTCCAGTTTATGTTCTCCTTCTTCCAAACTTAATGAACCCTTGGCTTAGAGCTCTTATTCCGTTTGACGTATGGAGATTATTCTCGTGACGACTACCACCTTGTGAGTTGGGAGAATTCCATTTGTTTATTCTTCATGGTGGTATGGGTTAATTGATATCAATTCTTAGCTTTTTTGAGGAACCTGCTTGTGTCCTTTTTTAACCAGCCATTGCAATTTACAAGACTTGACATTGGACCTTTGCATTCTCAGGCAGTGTGTTTAGATTTTTAAATCAAAAGCTCTTTAAAAGAAAACTCTTAAAAAGAGTTTCGTTTCGAAATTCTGAGACAATTTTGGCGTGAGAGTGAATTTTCTTTGGACAAAAGCAACCTCAACGTCACAGTTTGCTCGAACATAAATAAATAAAAGAAGTACGAAAAATCAAATTACGACGGCAGATAGTTTAAGATAGCAAAGATTCAACTGCGAAAGATTGCAAATCTGGGAATTGCGCAACTTGAAAATTCAGGCTTAATTGTTGAAGATTTATGACTCAGCTCCTTTATCTATGTCATTTCAGACGAGTCAGTTGTTGTCATCAGAGAGTCGCCAACAAATGGCAGTGTTCCGATTGGCAACTAAGCTTTTCCAAGCTGGACGCAACTCTCGCCTGGACAGAGCTGGACTGCAGGCTTACCTTTTGGGTCTTAAAAACCAGTTTGAGAGGGACTTTGTTCTTGAGGTCGAAGAATAGAAAGGCGAAGGCATTTTAATTTTTAATCAGTCTTCCGCGAAAAGAGAATTTTTTGGAGGAGCCTTAATCGCTTTGCCCTGATGATATAAATTTTGATTTACCTCTATTGGGGTCTTAGCCGATATTTACTGAAAGGAAAAAAACGATTTATACCAAAAGGCACCAGAGTTGTGGTACTGGGAGAAAATGCCTGTGGTCCGAACTTGTGGCTATCAATGCGCCAAGATTAATAAGGAAGCTGCTTTCTAGCTATCTTAACTATTTACCTTCACTTTTTTAACATTTATTACAAAATTTTACACCCGTTTCGAACTGATTTCTTAAGACTGTATTCTTCAAGATGCAGGTAGCTGAATTTCAACCAAAGTTATTAATTCTGAATGAATAAATGGCACTTACCGAAGACAGAATACGCCTTTGTCGGGTGACTATATTTAGTAAACAAGCTGCCCTAATACATATCACAGAGAGTCTACAGGTTGCCATTGATACCTGTTTCATACAATAAAACAGTCCGTTGTTGTAAAAATAAACTCGGGTCTGAAGATGTGGGGGACTATGATTTCTGCTTTCGTTGAGTGTTTAGCAACCTGAATTGTTTGACAAACACGAACATTTAGAGAACATTTTTACATTCAAACAAAACAGCAGTTAAAAATGGTTGAAAAGTCAGGCTTCCTAAAAGTGATTCAGATGTGCAATCAATAAAGCTCTGGGCCATGTTGTTCAAAGCTAGGTTAAGATAACCCGGGGTTAGTGTGAAATCTGACCTCAGATCTGAAAGCTGTACAGGCATATTCTGTGTGTTTATTTTTGCCTACAATTTGATGCCTGGATGTTCTAAAAAGAATTGAAGAAATTATCTAAAATAGGCCTTTGAAGAAGGGAATAAAGAAATCCAGACTAAAACTTAACCCCGGGTTAGCGCTAATCGGCCTTCGAATAACTGGGCGCTGGACATTAAGTGGAAGAGATCTACAGAAACTGACGCTAAATATACATTCCAACCTTAAAAACCGCTACGGATGAGACACGTAACAAGATTGAACTCGAACTAACAGATAAGAAACTGTTTGTTTCCTACTTGTGCCAGCAGCCGGAAGATCTCCTCTTTAGGGGTTAAAGTCCGTATGCAAATTTTTGCTTATCTCGCGTGGCCTTTGATTAATGCATGCGCCAATGCCACGCTAGACAACACGCTAACTTTCTTACTATTTCTATTGAGGCTTGTCCATCATTCGGTCATCGAGTTGCTTTTCGTTAGTGTTAGATAAAAACGTTCGGCTCTTAAAACTCCATTAGTTCGTAGGTAGACCCACATTAAACTTAGCCAGATTAATGCTCGATAAAAAGTCATATTTCTACCAACGTGAAATATTTACATTTCAGTCTATCACGTGAAGGCCTCTTTGCCCACGTCTGTCACACAACCAGCCACAAATCACGTGGCGATATCGGATGAATGAAAACATTGCGACCTTTCGAAACGCCGTAAAAAATTAGCATTTTCACAAAGTGAATAGGACCTATAAAGTACGTTGTTGTTTGGCGAGTGTTTCATCAGCCATTAAGGCCAAAAACACTTAAGTTCTTTACTATCATTTTCTGAGGAAGTAAAACAGAAGTAACAGTCGAAATGGCCGACGCACAGTTTGAAAAACTTGAAGCCGGTTTTAAAGGATTAAGCGGGAACCTCGACCAAATGTTTTTGGTGATCATGGGATGCTGTATATTTTGTAAGTATAACTTCCCTTTTCACAAATATGGTCCTGGTGATATCCCTCCTACTGTTATTTGTGGCAGACCTTTAACTCTTTCTCTTGGGCGTTATGATTAATTTTATTATATTTCGCTATGCGTGCGGACAATCTCGATTAACCCAAAATTCAACATGAATTATAAAATATTCAAATAGTACGCGCGCTCTGATTGGCCATAAAACCATTTTACATGAGCGTATGTAAACACGGTTTTCGTTCCTCTTTCATTAGTTATTTAATAAAAGAAATGTAAAATGGTTTCTGTGTTTACATAGCCTGATTTAAACACTTGGGAGGTAGGGAGAACACTTGATAAGCTGGAAACCACTCCGCTTCGCGTCGTGGTTTCCTACGCTTATCTCGTGTTCTCCCAACTCCCGCGTGTTTACATCAGGCTATGTAAACACGGAAACCATTTTACATTTCTTCATTTTTTAACAGTGGTGAGTGGTTATTCTAGTGAGACCGTCTGGTTATTAATGTGTCACCAAGAAACATATCTTCATTTTTTTTTCTTTTTCAATGTACACTTTTCAACGACGTAAACCCACCTAAGCAAATAATCTTTCGGTACTTTATTTTGGCAGTTACCAATTTTAAAATTTGCGATGGTTTCACTCCGAATAATCACGAAAAGGTAATTTTTGTCGGTTTTGATGTAAAACTCCAGCTTATTGTAATAATAAGTTAAGGCGCTTAAATTTAGATAGTATGGAAATATGTTACTTGTTTGTACACCCATGTATGGTTACCCTGTGTCTCTTTTTGCCCCCGCAATATCTGATGGTTACCATGTGAACACTGTATTCATTACATTTTACATTGCCATAACCTGGAGTTACGACTACGCTGACGTTTATCTAATCAATAGTCCAGAATCGCGATCTCCCATTCCGCGCTTCTGTGTCACTGTTTTACAGTAAGATCAGTGTCACCCCTAAAATCTCTGCTCTGATTGGCTGCGAGCTTGAGCAACTCAGCACGAAACAACAAATAGCAACAATTTTGTTTTCCTCAAGCTAAAGCCTAAACTTTCGAACTTTCATTTTAACTTCAAAGACGACCCGCTTAGTGAACAAATAAACAATACTACTTTTGTTTTTGCTTTGACCTGTTCTGTTTTTTATGAATCAACAACTCATATTTATTTTAAATGTGAATATATGAAAATCATAAAGTGAAAATTGAATAATCACGTCTAATTACTTATTTTGTTGGATACGTTTGGTGTAATATGTTTTTCATGATTCGTGAACTTCACGAAATTGAATTTAACTTAGTGCGGCAGTCACGAGGCTTGCGACCAACAACTTAGGATCAAAACATTGACATTTCTACTGTAACACGTCAATTGCATATGGCTCCAGTCCTATTTAGTTCACAGCTAAGGTTTGCCAAGATGTCGTTGAAACAAAACGGTGGCTTCCTTTCCTCATGTACATCGCTGTATCGCACGTGTCACAAATATAAATCAAAACCCGTTTACCCCTCAGAGCACGTAAGCAAGGACGTAATGAAGTACGAGACACTCTTACTTAAGAACTGTACGAACAGTGAAGCTCATATTCAGAGTTGGAATGATAAGGTAATATGTTTCTTTCGGTCTAACCTAAAATCATTTGGGCTTGAGATTATGTTAGTGCGACGAAACTGTTTTCGCTTTGAAACAGAGGAAAAGTTGAAAACTGATGTTTATCTCAAGAAACTATATCGTCACTTTGATGAACGCCACGCACATCTCATTGGACAATGACGACATAGTCCGAGTTCAAAGTCCAATCAATTGGGCAATTGTCCTCTTGAGACTTAAAATCTGAAATATCTACTTCGCACTTTGGAAAATCGACCCGAAGATTATCGGTCATCATATGCGATCATCTCGGAAATGATGGAAATGGACTCACGTACACAACGAGATGAACAAAACTTCTGTTTGCCGAGCGAGAGTGATTGCGAGACTTTTGATGAGAAAGGATTTTTTAAGATTCTATCAAATAAACTCGTTTCCGCAAGAAAGATTTTGCCACAAGAATCATTTGGAAAGGAAAGGGTCTTAGAACTTCGAATTGGTCTATGAAAATGTTTATGGTAGTTGGGAGGGTGTATTTCAATCGTCAAAACTACATGAATGGATTAACTTTTAAAATCATTTTAACTTCAAAGACAACCCGCTTAGTGAACAAATGAACAATACTGCTTTTGTTTTTGCTTTGACCTGTTCTGTTTTGTTAAGTTTTCTATTTTTTTCGACTGGGTGTTCTTCGTTTTTCATGGACTTTGCTCGTCGTTCATACTATCATAACCAAACAATTCTTCCATAAATATCACGAGACACCTTATTTGCAAAACAAAGAGGAAGAAAAAGAGCTCACGTAGAAAATTACCATTTTATGAAATGAGTCACCAGTGTTTCATCGTGTTCTAAATGCGTCCACTCCCGAGAGACTGCCCGTTTTAATTACCCTTTAAAAAATTACATTCCACATTCAATTCTCTTATTTGACTTCACGGCCTCCACTCTCTCTTTGAAGTCGTTTGCTCGCTGCCACTGAATAAAGCAAAATGAGCTTTGCCAGCGCAACTGAGTTTCTAGAGGTCAAGAAGACTTTAGCCGTGTTACAAGGGAACATAGATCAGCAATTTTTGCTTTTAATGGGATGCCTCATCTTTTGTAAGTTCTCGAAAATTGTCTAATAATGGAGGTGTTTACATGGACCTCCACAGTCACTGTGATTTAATACATGTTATTTTATTTCATTCCATATTTGTGATAGCATTGTGAAAACAACTTACATTTCTCATTGCAGTTTTTCAGTCCCCTATTCAAACTCAACAGTTGCAATTCTATCGGGTCAAACATTTTCACAAACTAACGCAGAAACGAGCGCATCTATTCATTTAATAAACTAGTCATGCACAATAACATTGGGACATAGAAGAGAATTATCCAAAATTTTCTTGGTCGGTTCTTTGAGTGATTCCTATTTCCTATATGTTTTCTGCGGAAACAGCTTCAAGCATCCAATCCGCGCTTGGTAGAGAAAATACCAAATGACGTTGCTAACAACAAGAAAGGAGCTCGGTTAAAGTAGCTTCAAGTAAAACACTCAAGTGTGGGTGTTTTACTTGAAGCTACTTTAACCTCAAAACCGTAAACAGCTACAAAGAACCTGTACCATTTCTGCGACTTTTGCTGACTTATAATGTTTTTTTTTATGCGAGCAATGCGCCTAAAAGAACTAGCAATGCAATTTTGTTTGGAAATAATTACAGAATGCAGAGCCACAAAGGTCTCTCTTGCCGGTATGCTTTGACAAGTTTAAGAATAACAAAGGAATAATAATAAAAGGAATATGTGGTCCTGTATTGTGTAGTTATTAATTTTTGGTATAAAATATTCAGGTTATTGAATTCATGTCAATATTTTGCAGTTATGCAGGCAGGATTTGCTTTCCTCGAGGCCGGATCAGTGCGATCGAAGAACACGACGAACATCCTAATAAAGAATTTCTTGGATGTGTGTAAGTATGGATTACACGAAGCCTCCCGTGAAAGAATGAAAGTAATGATTTATAAGCATTAGTATTAGTGCCCTTTACGTCTAATTAGCAATTGCGAATCATTTGATTGTCTTTGAAACCGTGATGGATTAACTTTCAGTTCTATAGGCAGACAGCCAAGTCCTTAGCTTTCTCTCTATGTAAGGGTAAGTTTCTCTCGATCAAGTCGAGGTTTTCAAGGGGGCCAAGTTACACTAAGTTATAGAGTTTCCTCTTGCCTGTGTCTTACCAGAGACCGAAAATGCAGTCGAAAGAAAACAGTCAATTCTGTTGTTGGAAAAAAGCTGAAAGCACATAGTTTTAATTTATGCCATTTCATATCCTTGCCAATGCTCGCGAAACTGGGTAGTATTGTAATTATTTTTTCAGTTGAGGCGTTGTAATCAAAACTCCGACTTGCACCCTCTAACTCTGGTGTTTTCTCACACAGTTATCGGTGCAGTGGCTTACTGGCTGTTCGGTTACGCGTTTGCGTTTGGTGCGGAAAGCAATGGCTTTATTGGACACAAGTATTTCGCGCTGGCAGATTTACCAGCTGACAAATACTCTAATTGGTTTTTCCATTTCGTTTTCGCCGCCACAGCAGCAACGATTGTCAGCGGTGCCATGGCGGAAAGGACGGAGTTTAAGGCGTATCTCGTCTACTCCGTATTTTTGACCGGTAAAGTAAACATCGCTTTATATTGAACTGTTCTATGGCATTAGCGCATATGAAAATAAACAGATAAAAAAACTATATCGGCCATGTAATCTCCACTACACAATTTTCGTCCACAAAAGACAGCAACAAACACTTTTATCCCCTTCATTTATTTATTTTTTATTTTTTTAAAACTGAGAAGTACAAATAGGAAGACCTCAGAAACAAGATAATACAATGAAGAGGTTTCGAGGCTAGTTAAATACAAACGGCCACCTTGTTTTCCTCTTTGACAGCCTGTCGCTTTGTTGCGGGTTCTGTTGGTTGATGGAGCTCACGCCCTACTTTCAGGGCTTTGTATGCAAAAGTATGCACGCAAAAGAGTGCGCAGCGCAATACAAAGGAATTACTTCATGTAAGGAGCCTCACATTTTCTGCCTTCGCGCATTAGTGCTCTGCCTTTTTTTTTTGAAAATTTTTGGTTTTTCTGATGGGTAGAACTATTCCTTCATCAGCACATCATGTATTGGGTATGTGATTCCACCCCTAGCTTTAACAGTGGTATCTAGAAAGACTCAAATCAATACAAAAACTCTCTCTTACAGGTTTTGTGTACCCAGTAGTCACTCACTGGGCTTGGGATGGAAATGGTTGGCTGGCCACTGGTTTGCAGTACACTAAAGACAATATAACAATGTCTGTTACATACCAGGTAAAACGTCATAAATTTTGTGTAATTGTCTTTTAAGTTCAACTATTAACCAAAACATTGGAAAAAAAACCTCTACCTAAAGAAAAAAGAAAAAATTGGAGTTTCCTTTTTCAAAGAACCAGCTGGTTTTACTGCTCTGAAACTAAGGGGTGTTGAAAATTTCCAAAACTGACAAAACTGGTTCTCGCAAGAGATTACCAGTTTATAGAATCTTGGGTCTGGCTGGTGAACTGGTCTGTCCTGTAAATAAAGCCAGTCAGCGAGGAAACTTTAGAGAAGATTCATTTTGCACGTAAAGAAACTGCAAACTGCAACCTCGGGGAATGACTTATTTCATAGGGTTTGGATAGCAGCAGATATGTCACGAATTTAAGAAAATATACGATATTTTTTAAAAACATGTTTCGACAGTCCTTCTGTCATCTTCAGTTCTGATTTATACAAAGTACAAAGTTGAACTTAAAGTGTGTAACAAAATGCTCATTAGAAAAAACAAAAAATGGAACAAATCGAACAATAAAACAATAGAACAGTGTCGCACTCTATTTTAAATTAACATTTTACACCCTAACATTAGTATGCATATTCTCCATACTGTTCATCACACACTTCTTAAGGTGCTGACAAGGAGAATTTGTTTAACAATCGAGGGATTCTTTAGTTGGTGATCATTTCCTTTATTCTTGTGACCTTTATGTGTGATTCAGGGGAGTCATTGTAAGGAGAGATTAAATGTTAGTCACTCTTAAGGCTCAAAGGGTTAAATAGAGTACGACATTGTTGAGAATTTTGTAAATGTCTGAAAATGTGAGAGGTCCTATCACTGCTCACGTGTGGATAAATGCCGTGAGGTTTCGCCGATATAACAGGCATTACAGCCCGCACACAAAACTTGTAAACCACACACGCATGGAGCCCACAAGGGTTAGGGTCTTTAACACCAACATATTACCTATTTTAAAAGATGAAAAGACCAACTTGATATCTATGTTATAACAATAACGATCAGCAAAGTGGCGAACCCTTTTTTGTGTGACAACAGAAAAAGGGCCAATGTAAGGTAATTTGAAATAAAAGGTCGGAAACCGGGGGAGTGCACTCGTTACGGGTTAGCGTGAGGTACCGACTGACAACCTTTTCAATTAGATGGGCTGGAAAAAGATTTTTTTTAAGGATTTCAGTAAGTTTCTTGGTATCTTCGTGGAAACCCAACCATGAGTTGTTGATCTTGTAGGCTCTATCTACAAGAGTGCGAATGAGATCCAGTTTATAAGAATAAGATACAAAGTTTAAATAATTAGTCGGCAGGCCCGTGAAGGTTTTCTCACTGTAAACACTTGTAACAGGAAAATGGGTGTCATTGTTGATTAAAACATTTAGAAATGGTATTTTATGATATATCTCTTTTTCCTTAGGGCCCTAGCAAATGGCTTCAACATTTGCTTCAACATCCGTTCGATTTTGTTGAACGCTGTTGAAAGGTTGTTGAATGATGTTGAACGGTGGGATGGCAAACGGTTTCAACATTTTATTCAACAAAACTTCGCGAGTGGCCTGGTAATTAGTTTCAGGCCCCAGATCTACGCCCGAGACGCATGCAAGGCGCCATAGCAGTTTTTGTAGCTTTCGAAGTTTTGAATGGTAAAAAACCAGGTCGATCTCTTCTGCAAAATCGTCTGGCGTATCATAGTCCTCCATTGTAGGATCAGCTGATCGAAATACTATCGCCCAGACGTACTACAGCCACGCACAAAATTGTTTTGCGTTGCTACCGTCTATGCATCCATGGTGACCATGGTTACGTCTTCTTAATTGCGCATGTGCTTGCTCAACAATGTTGAAAGAGCAGGGCAAACGACTTCAACTCCGCTTCAACATTCCGAACATTCCAGAGAACAAAAGAAATGTTGAACGGATGTTGAAGTAAAGTTTAAAGGCTTTTAACTCTTTCAACATCGATTCAACTTCGCTTCAACACGTTTCAACACGGCGGAAAGGGGGTGGCAAACGCTTTCAACATTGCCATTCAACAAAATCGAAAGGATGTTGAAGCAAATGTTGAAGCCGTTTGCTAGGGCCTTTAGTGAACCTAATATTGGAGTGCCTGGAGTTTATGTCATTGAAAAATAATTGCGCATCATTTCATCCTTTTTATTTTCCTTGTACACTCTTGTAGTGACTGTTGTTACTGTTAGTGTTTCTGTTACACTTTCGTTTTCTTTTATAGGACTTTGCTGGTAGTGGGGTTGTTCATGTTGTTGGTGGTGCTGTGGCGTTGGTTGGAGCAGGTCTTGTGGGGCCAAGAATAGGAAGATTCGTTCATGGTGTCCCTGTAGTGATATCAGGCCATACAGTGCCGGTGAAGTAACTTAATTTGTTATTTATAATTAGGAGATTTAATATCTATACGATTGTATTTGCACGAAATGAGGAATTCTTGCTGCTAATATCGTTAAGCTGGTTGCGCTTAAACTGAACTAGAATTAATCTCAAGTCGTTTTATCGCTTATCATTGGTCATTTGTTACCTTGTGACTGGAGACGTCCGTTCAAGTCTTATCCTTAGGGATAGTAGCTAAATGTGTAGGGTGTAAGACCAAGGCTTTAGGACGTTATCAGTGCAGTGCAACTGATGCCCCTTTCTTTTTCATCAGGTCTGAGCCACGAGTGAATTAATCGTTTATTTTTACACTATTCAGAAAGCAGCTTTGGGAGGATTCATCCTGTTCTTTGGTTTTCTGGCATTCAATGGTGGCTCCCAGGCAGCCATTGCAAATGAGGGTGATGCAAATGCTGTAGCATTGGCCATTGTCAACACTATCCTTGGAGGTGAGTCCCCTGTACTTAATCGTTAAAATCATAGCCCATCATTGAGACAGTTTTGGTGAGTGTCGGAAGTAATCGTTAATAGTTTTCTCAAAGACAAAAAAAACATGAAACAAAATAAATAAAACAAGAATCGACTCGCGCCATCCACCCAGTCAGTCCGACTCGAAAGCAAAATTAAATCGTGAGGCTGCGATCAATGGTATTCCGTACTTGCTGTCAGCATAAAGCAAACTTCCGCCATAAGCTTTAGACTAAGCGGAAAGGAAGTTTGTAACGTTAGCAAAATAACGTACATCTTACGAAGAATGCACACTACCACCCGCATACGTCAACAACAACTGTTGCACGACAAGCGACAAGTCACAATCTGTAACATACAAGAATAGTGAATTAATCTTATTTATTCGATTTTTTTTCAGGAGCTGCAGGTGCGCTAACTGCCATGCTCATCAAACGTCTAGGATTTGCAGACAAGTACTGGAGCTTACTATTCACGATCAATGGTGGACTTACAGGAATGGTAAGTTAAAAATGTTCAGAGTTGCCATATAAAACGGCTATGGAAGACATTCCACGAGTTTTAAGTCCACTAGCAAACTCAAAACCATCCTTGTTCCTTTTGGTTCCTCGACCTCAGCCAACTAACTCTAAAGAAGCTTCAGTTTATGAAGCCTCCTTCACCTCTGTTGATTTGTCCCGACATGTAACGCTTTCTCACCCCCTCCAGAAAGCGCGAGGGGAGACGGAATAAAGCAAAGGCCGTTATGGAGACAACAGCTCTTGTCTTGAAGAAAAAAAAAAAACAAGATATTCCTTAAACAGCTTTACACTTGACCTAAATGAGGTTGTTATTTTTCAGGTTGCCATGTGCGCAGGTTGTAATGTCGTGCATCCCTATGCTGCTGTTGTTATTGGTATCATCGCTGGGATGGCGTACGTGGCTTGGAGTACTGTCATGCTTCGTGTAAAGATTGATGACCCCCTAGATGCTGTCGCTGGTAAGTGACATGGAAGAACCAAACGTAACCTTAAGTGAATGTTAACTGCTCTAAACCGCTTTTAACATAGCCTAATCTTTGAACGATGGAAGGAAAAGGGAGATGAGTTGCACATTAATTCACCACTGAAAGAATGTCCTAAACATCTCTTATACAGAGTGTAAATGAAGCGGTCACTTCTCTAATGAAAGCGAATGTGCAACTCCGTCGATTGATAAATACAATCTATTCATATATTTATTTGATATAATTCGGATTTCAGTGCTCATGTTTGAGACGTTGTTTTTGTGCTTTTCCTATCTCTTTTCAGTTCATCTCGGAGGTGGTTTTTGGGGTGTACTGTCTGTTCCCATCTTCAACAAGGAATCTGGAATATTTTACGCCGCAGACGAACATTCATTCCGTTTGTTTGGTTGGAACTTGCTAGGAGTAATTGTCATCTTGGCTTGGTCCTCAGTACTGGCTTTCATCCTTTTTATTATTTTGCGCCTCACAAAACAGCTTCGAGTCAGCGAAGAAATCGAGTTGAAAGGTGAGAAGCTTGAGTGTAAATTTTTTAGAATGGGGATTGGGGCCGAGAGAGGATTTGCTAGGTGGTTTATGCTGGCATTATTACTATTCTTACTATCAAAAAGATATTCCTAAGTAAGACTTTAGATTCTTCAAATCGATATTTGATAATAGTAATCGGATGAAAGTCACAAAGCGAAAAACATTTCCTTGATGCAGGTCTTGATATTCCGAAACACGGTGAGCCCGCATATCCACTGGATAGCTACGGAGACGGCTGGTCCTCATCTACATCAGCAAAGAGGCAAACCTTGCCGTTTACTCAGAGCCCTACTATTCTGCCGAGCCATGTTTCACTCCGAAATGGCCAACATCCAAATGGCTCAATCCACAACGGCCAAGCTTTCAATCAAGTTCAGAATGACCAGCTCACTGATGTTGAAGAAAACGTAATCCCCAATCCAGCTGTTGATGGCAACAATTCAAGTCCAGTAGTAGACACAGCATTTTAATGACAACTTTGTAAATGAGAAGCAGGTTGTAGAACAAAAATCAAGTTTTGAGGTTCATTTTTGGGAAAACTCGAGTTAATAAGTAGGCACAGTTTTAATAATTTTTAATTTGCATTATACTGACTATAAATAAAGTGGATTTTTGATGATCGTTTTGACCAAACATGAGTTCGCTGCCAAGCACGTTGAGAGTTTCCACTATTGTATTTGATGCTTTTCAAGTTTGAAGTATGAAACAAAGACAAAACAAAGATGAAAAGATCACAGATGACACAAGAATCGTTTAGGCAGATCTGAGTACTTAGGAGGCGTTTTCATATTTTAACTTTTCAAGTTGGGGGCAAATAAGTAACCTGACGAAGGTAGATAGAAATATCGCATCGTTATGTTCAAATGTGAGTGAATTGCTTTGCACAGGGAGAATTTTCGCTTTCATGTTAATTTTTTTGGCAACGAAAAAGATTTGGAATACAAAGATCGACATAAAGCTAGGCTCGGGGAAAGTTTAGTTTCCATATATTTATTCCTTATTTGGAGATTATTTGACACACGTAGATCACCTTCTTTTGGATAAAATCTGAGTTGGTTGCGAGGGAGGGGTGTTTTACGCTCTCTTATGTACATTTTTTTTAAAGTTGGAAGGATTATGTAGGTTTTTAGTTCAGAGCGAAGATTTCCTTTTCAAACAGGACAACTGACTGCAGCACTAGTAAGTATAACGTTAAACTTGTACAAATGTAAAAAGGAGTGAGAAAAGAAATAAACGGTAAAAGCTGTGTAAAAAGGAAGTTGGATAGAAATGTTTACTCAATTTATTGAATAATAATTTATTTATTGAATTTATTTATTTAAGTAAGCTAAACTCTCTAAGATACCAGTATTTGAAACACTTCACTGGGGTTGTCTTCTGCCTTGCTATTACTATTTTTATTAATATCATTATTATTATTATTATTATTATTACTATTATTATTATCAATATGTGATCTAAGATATTTGCACGTATCAAGCGTTTCCAGACTTGATGGCCTCCAACAGAACATAGTGAATAAAAGCATATTGTTCCTGTACGTATACCATGGCATTTCTATCACGTCGCAGTGACATAACGTATCCAGATACATCGACTGATTTCTCGGCAGCAAGACGCTGTAACATGGCATGTATTGCTATAAAAGTACCAGTCCTGCCCACCCCAGCACTGCAATGAACAACCTGAGGAAACAGACGCCAAAACTGGTAAAGGGCTACATCACATCTCGTTAAATGTTACAATTTTATCCCTATTTTTATAAATTCTTGTTCCCTTTTTAATTCATTCTTACCCCTCTGGAGTTTGTCTACCCTTGCCAGGTATTACTTACAGTTTTCCTTCGAAGACCAACGACCCGAATAAAAGTAAAAGCAACAAATCAGTTTAAGTGAGTGGTTCCTTGAACAATGAAACAAAACACTTTCTTCCCACTTAAACCAATTATTCCGAGCGTGAAAGGATGACTGGCCAGTAAGCATGTCCTCATTATTTGCCTTACACGTTGCTCCACCCCGAGTTGGGAAGAGGTTTGCTGCCAGACTGTGCTAGACTGTGCTAAACTGCCCCTTGTAGCCCTCCCTCATGTTGTCCAAGGCTTCATACTATCCCGAAGACGAAGAACCGCCCCTGCCGAAGAACCGCCCCTGCCGAAGAACCGCCCCTGTTGAAGAACCGCCCCTGCCGAAGAGCCGTCCCCACAGGAGAACCGCCCCTGCCGAAGTGTTAATAATGAGCGCCTGCTCGTAGGCTAGAAAGGAACCTATCCCAGTCGTCAATCAAATAATCACTCGGCTGAAACACGGCTGAAAAACAACTTGCGCTATTTGTCTGAAGTCTGTTTAGTTTGCAGAATGCTTGTGTCTACAAGTGCCTGGATTACATTAACATAGTGGAGAGTACAGCATGGATTGTTTGCAGTCCGAAAGAGCCGCATTTGCTCAGATTAGTATCTTCGAAAAAATCGCTTCGTTTTCCCAATCCTCATCCTCTACAACACTCACCTGAACTATCCTTTATATCTGAACAACAACATTTCTCAAATTTAGGTAGGTTCACACAGAACCCGAAGCTAAGTTCTATCAGTATAAATAGCAGGATTTTCTATTGGGTTGGCTAATATCAAAATAGTCCCAGCGGCTGACCAGAGCCAAGGAAATTATCTTCGAAGAGCTTAAAGTAAAAGCAAGCATTCTGCTTGTAGCGCGGAAAAAAGTGGGTGAGAAGTCGCCATAGCTTTGCTCCTGATCAGTTATTCGGGTAGAAGTTGCTGGACCAATGGGAAGCAAATGAAAACCAAACAAGCCCTTGGATACTTTTCGACCCGAATAAAAATCGGTCTATAAGGAAACTTGACCATGCACTATTAATATATTTGTTGTTAAAGGTGTGATTCCTATTCCCTTTCTTATGTATGTACCGCTTTTGTTTTATTGTCTGAAAAAATGTAATTTAGCCTAAAGGGCATCTAATTAGTTGGCTATATTATGCCCTTCTCCATTTTCTTTATCTTATTGTAATTATTCTCTTTATAACTCTTCTCTATATCTTAATTAAAAAACGAAAGCTATACATTGCAAGTAATCAAGAAATGGAATATATATATATATATATATATATATATATATATATATATATATATAGAGAGAGAGAGAGAGAGAGAGAGAGAGAGAGAGAGAGAGAGAGAGAGAGAGAGAGAGAGAGAGAGAGAGAGAGAGAGAGAGAGAGAGAGAGAGAGAGAGAGAGAGAGAGAGAGAGAGAGAGAGAGAGAGAGAGAGAGAGAGCGTTTTATGGTAGACAGTAACACTGTACATACCATGGGACCTGCATCAGGTGGATTTACTTCAGAAGCCTTTCTCACAAACTTGAGGAGTGAAGAACGACTGGTGGGAACACCATGATCTGGCCATATTGTGTAATGATACTGATTCACTGTTCTTTCATCTGTACCATTAGCCTTCTTGAGATTCAATGTACGGATGGTAAAATCACTGAGCTTCACAGCTTGCTTCAGTGTTACTTGGATGTCGCCATATACCCTCGCACCCTCTGGCGGCCAGTACTGGTGACACTTAATACGACCACGCTCTTCCAAGTTTGTTACCTGGGAGGGGATGGACAGACGAGGTTTATGATAAAGCAGGAGGAAATCAGAAGATAAGTGAACAAGAACAAATATGGCGGGTTCACACTTCAAACATTTCGATCGATCAAAATTGACACTGAAATTTTACAAATTCTAAATGAATTTGACAGATTCTCAAAAGCTGATGTCAAACTCTGATATTCCATCGCGAGTTCAGAGGGTTAACGGAATAATGAACGCCGTAATAAATACAAACCATGACAATAGTCCTCGAGTCTTGTTCCCAGATCATTCTCCAAAAGTCGCTTTCGGTCTCTGGTAAGGGTCCCTGGGTGGCGATGTACGCCTTCTTTTTCTGATAACCGTCAAGGAAGTTGGCGTTGATGTAATCAGACCCGGGAACTCCTTGGATCGGTGACAGTTTTACTCGGCTGTGGTCGTACGCAACAATGCTGATGTAACGGTTTTTGCGCATGTTCTCCCGCGCCAAACTAGCTTTCCATGTGAAATCAGCCTGCGAACTGAGAGCATTGTACTCGTGAGAGAATAACAAACCGTTGTTGGCTTGTAGACGCCGTATATGTTCTTCGAATTCCTCCACAGGAACTGACGTACCCGACTCTCGTGGCTTGTGGTTGGGCTTTCCTGTAGATTCGTAAATGATAATGACTCTTTCATTTGTGAGGTTAAAAAAAGGTGTTTCTAACTGTGTGATGATGTAATCTGATATTTCACTCAAATGTGAATTATCAAGCTGGGTGACTGGACCATGCATCCCACACCTCATTCCACCTCACGCCACCTGACGCCACACCACGTCAACCAATCACAGGCAGCCAACCCTCAGGAATTTAAGGCTAGGTGACGTCATTTTAATTGATACGGTAAATGATTTTGTGTTTAAGTTTGATCAATATGCAAGATCCATATCAAATGTAATCGCAATAACGTCTCTTACTACCTCAAAAGTCTACTTGATTTCCGAAGTTCGCACACAGTATTGCCACGTATACATGATTAGACAGAAATGGTCTTCTTTGATGAATCTTTCTCGAATTCAAAACCAGTCTGAAGCCAGAAGAGTAGCGACATGTGAGAGTAAGAGAAATTCAGCGAAGTTCCAGAGGTTCTTAGCCCTGAGAAGTCCTGGAAACTGCGCGATCTGTTTGATTGTTTTGTATCAGGAGAAACGCAGTGAAGAGGGTGGAATCAACTCCTCCAAAAACCCACCTAATCACTCCACACCCAGAGAAATTCAAAGGTAAGAGAAGGTTTTTATTTTGCAGATTTAAAAAAACATAGGCATGCATTGCATGCAAGAGTTATTTTTTCCGCTAGGTGAGTTGAGATGGGACAGTTTGTTCTGGATGTTTTCATTTTTGTCACCGAAAAGAGCATAACTTTCAAAAAACGAAAATATCGCATAAGACAGAAAAAACCTAGTTTATCTGAACTCACACAGATATTATGTGGTCTACTGTCTCTCTTACCGAAATACTTCTCAGTTAAAATGAACCGCATCGGTGACTCGCTTATTGTTGTCTCCTTCGCAGCCGTTGTTTGATCTCGTCACACAACGCCCTCCATTTCCCGTTTGAGAGAGAGCGCGGGTTGCGTGACGAGACTAAATAACGGTTGCGAAAGAGACTACGCTTACTGCCGTTCCTCTAACAGAAAAAAAATCAAAATTACTCGTCTACAGTAAGTTACCTCAAAAATGTAATTCCGCTTAATTTTATCACGAAAAGCAAACTGAAATTCTGTTGTACCTCTAACAGAACCTAACCAAAGATATGATGCAGGTTGTTTTACAAGGAATTAAAACGCAATTGGGTTAAAGGTAGCTTAAAGTGACTTTGATTCGTAGAAAAGTCAAACGCGGGAGATTTGCGTGGAAAACTCAACATCAGTAGCATTTAGTTCCATGTGAATTTTTTTCAGTGGGGCTGGACAAAGCAGATAGAATACGTAATAAAATGCAGGTTATTTTAGATATATGAAATTCATATATTTGCACTGCGGTGAATAGATGAAATTAAGAGATCCTCGCAGCTAAGAACACTACTGAAACGAGTAGTTGAAAATAGGACCTGCGAGGATCTCTTAATTTCATCTATTCACCGCAGTGAAAATATATGAATTTCATATATCTTAAATCATCATTCATTACTTGGATGGTTTATTTGGACCCAACACATTGACCAGCTCCCAGTTGGCTTGTTAGCTCAGTTGGTAGAGCGCTGCACCTGTATAGCAGAGGTTATGGGTTCAAATCCCGTGCGGGCCTCAACTACGCGTTTCAGTAGTGTTCTTAGCTGCAAAAATGCAGATTGTTAACAAGAAAATGACACGTGGTAGAGCGAAGTCCAATGTGGCAAAATGAAATTTTATTAGTGGAATACAATTCAAGCACGTGAAAAATTGCCTTATGTTCGTGTAGGACAATGATTAGGTATGTTCTGATGAGTACACATTGCTTTCATGGTACGTAATGAAATGTAAGTTGTTTGGCGTGTACGTTGTGAATTAGGGAGCGGAAAAAACACGTTTTAACTTAAAAGTTTCAATGCCTACCTTTAATACCCCCCATAACTCTCGACCTTAATCGACGAGGCTCTCACGATGGCCACAAACCATTGCACTAATCAAATGAGCCCAAAATGTTTAGTTAATGTCACTCTTTGTGCACAGCCCCTTGATCCATGACATCATTTACAAGAAAACAACGCCCAAACGCTGTGATTGGTTTAGGATATTCAAATGCTATGATATGATTGGTTCGAGATACATACCCTAATGCCGCGATCTGATTGGTGCGAGCAACATACCACTCTATAAGCTAACACAGTTATTTTTTTATGAAAAAAAATAACTCAATAACAGGTTGCGAATTGCAGTATTGATGAAATTTCCACAGATCACTTTGATCAAGCCCGATTCGGCTCTTGCAAAGTACTGCAAATATAAGAAATATACTCGCTCTGATGAAGGGCGAACGCTCGAAACGTCAGCTATGAAACTCTATTACTGTCATCACCAGGCCTCAAGTCCATAAGGTTGTCTGCCCTTTAACCAATCAAAAATCATCCTCCACTCAGTCACCAGAACTTTCCCGCGCTTTGAGCAGATTATCTTTATAGTGCACTTACTGTCCTCACTGGCTCATGTTATCATGATGGTTTTGGCTAATTGATCGAGAGAGTCCTAACCTAAAGTCAATACCGATACAATAAAACTTACCGCGGGCTCTTTGACCTCGCTCATGAAGTTTATCTGTTAGAGTCCTTGTGCGAGCCGACTCTTCATGGCTAATATTAGCAGTGCTTTCTAGCTGACCATAGAATAAAATCCCAGCTCCAAAGACCGTAACTACAAGGAGCAGTATTACAATCAATACCATGCTTGTTGTCATGCGATCCTTTTGGGTTGAAAATTCCATAGCTCCCTCACACTCATAGACACCATCATTGTCGAACGGACGCTTTGCTTCAACTTCAGGCTTTCCAATGAAATCTTCTATCATGAGAACAAAATAAAAGAAAAAGGTGTATAGCCTGTGTGTTTGAATAGCAACCCAACGAAAAAATTCAACTTTTAACAAATTCATTTCATTGAATAATCTGTTAACTGTGGTAAGCCTGTTTTTTTCCGTAACCATCTGGTTAAACTTTTACAATAGTATTTAAATAAATCAATATGATGAAACCCAGCTCCTCCCAGCTAAGTTGAAAAGGATTGCAATATGTGAGTGACATTAAGGTTTTTCTGGATGTTTACTATGTGCACTAAAAATTTAAAGTTTTCCATGAGCCTTTGAAAAGAATTTTACTTGAAACTGTACACTTACCGTCTGTACGCCTCCTTCTGGCATCTGCATCCCTTGAAAAGTACTTTCCATCTCTGACAGGATTTGTTGTTTTTTGTTCCTTTTGGTTTCCAAATTTAACTTCTTCCATTCTGTCTTCTTATCTTCTCTTAATTTTAACACTTTTTTGTAGGATGATTCAGCTGGACTCTGTCGTCCGTTCACGCTTACCACTTGATATACACTGAAAAAAAATGATAAACACTGCATGATATTATATGCAGAATACATTATAAAAATTAGACTAGATTGCCTGAAGTTTAACCCTTCAACTCCCAAAATTGATAAACATGTAACTTCTCCCCACAATTTCCTTACATAGACCAGAAAACAGGTAAGAAGAATACTAAAACTCATCAAATAGAAGTTTTCATCCAACACCAATGATCTAACACCAAATTCTCAGAACCTATTTGTAAGGAAATGTGTAGCAGCTAGAGGAGAGAATTAACAGTAAGATCCTGGGAGTTAAAGGGCAAAGTATTATGGCATGTGCTCCTTCTCCCCAGCTGTGCTCTTTTGACACTAAACCACTGTCCTGTGGCAGCTCATAAGAAGTCATGCAATATCTTTGTGTTTTTCCATTGTCCTCCACACCCAGTTACACCAAAAAAAAAAAGAACCACATCATAACCCTAAGCTTACCCCTTATCTGCCTATCAGTTTAAGAACCATACTCTCATAATGCACCAATCAATTAGAATCTTTAGTAAATACAAAATTATGACTCATGGGGAAAGAAATTTGAAATGAACCATTCTCTAAAAGTTCAAATGCCCTGGGGTTGCCGGGGGGAGGGGAGATGTCTTATTGCTACCAAAGGATTAATCAGTACAAATATATTACGTTGTCACACAAAAAAGGGTTAACCAATTTGCTAGGCATTATTGTAACAACATCAATATTAAGTTGGTTTTTTTTATCTTTTAAAATAGGTGATATGTTTGGTGTGAAAGACCCTATCCTTCATGGGCTCCATATGTGTGTGGTTTATAAGTTTTTATATGTAGGCTACAATGCCTGCTATATCAGCGAAACCTTTCTGCATTTATCCACACGCATGCATGAGCACTTGGTCAGTGATAGGTCCTCTCACATTTTCAGACATCTACATAATTCTCCACAATGTTGCACTCTATATTCTGATGAGTGTTTTATCATCTTAGTTCATATTTCCACAACTTTCCAACTTAAAATCAACAAAGCTATTCACATTCAATGGGAATAACCTACACTTAATCATCAACTTTATCATGTTAATTTAAAACTTTCCCTGTAAATACATACATCGTCTTGCTACTATTGTTTGTTTTGTCCAACCAGCATTGTGTTGCACACTTTAAATTCAACTTTGTACTTTGTATAAATCAGAACTGAAGATAATAGAAGAACCGTCGAAACAATACAAATATATTGCATACAAAACTAAAAGTTTCTCGAAATTCCTTGAAAGTCTATAAAAGCCAAGAAAATTAAGCGTAGGAGATAAATCTCGCCTGAAATTCCCTCTTCTTTATGGAGATTTTGATTTATCATAAAATTATTTTACTATAAGTATAATGTCAAACTATAATTTGCTGTCCTAATAAAACAAAAATTAAAAAATACATGAGGTTCAGCAGTGGTCATTCCACGAGTTGCCTCTTCATGTCCGCTGTTCCCAGGTCAAATTGGAATTGATGAGATCTTGTCTAAAAGGAAATCGTTAACCCTGATTATGTCAGAGGCTCAAATGGCAACTGACATCAACAAGAGGCAAAAACTACTTAAAAACAACAGGTTCATCAGTTAGATTTTTGATGTAAACTAATATTGGTTACCTCAAAATCAGGGAACTAGGAGATTGATTAAGATGTAACATTTGGATGGTATGCCATTGTCGCAAGGCCGCCGTAAGGTCAATTTCTTCTTCAAACGAAAGTTAACGTGATCTGTAAGGTAAGTATCAATCAAGTTGCTGATAGGTATCATAATTAACAGGCCATCATTGCCACATCACAGTCTTGATATTCTGCCGCCATGTTTTTACCTCTTTCTTAACTTGTTCCCAGTGTTTCTTGGGTAATAGATCTAAACGCGTCACGCTACACGTGAAAAAAATGTGTAGTAACACGCATCGAACGAAAATGAGAGATAACGATTCGGGAATTAAATTTTTTAAAACGCATTTATCGCTTATTGATCTAGGAGGAAATTGTACTAGTTTCCTTCCTAATTTAGTCTGGAACGAAGAATCACAACGGCTCTGCTGGCGCGAAACCTGGCTGTATCATTGTCTTGTGTCTCACACTGTTTCCCCACCCCCCCCCTTTCCCCAACCTAAGAGTATGATTAAGTACCAGTAAAGAGTTAGTCAAACCGGAAGAAAAGCTGGGAGGGGGTGGACATGTGATGAATCTCCATCCTACTCAGGGGGAGGGAAAATACTCACACACAAGTCATAAGAAAATTCAGGCCCAACCAAGGAAGAGGGGTAATGGGATACTGTTTACTATGTCACTTTAAGTAAATGACTACCTTTCGAGGCAGTAATGTACTTAAAACGTCTTATTTCTATGTATTAGTACACTTTCCTGAAAATTTTAAAATTGAAATTGCTTTAGAAGGCAGGGAAACAGGCATTTCCCAGCTGGAGAGCCCACTTTGGTAAATAAAAATTGTCGTGACAGGTGCCGGAGTGGAAACGCGCGAGGAAGGAGATGGTAACAAATCTCACCAAAGTATTTCCATTGTAAGGAAACTTCCAAGCGGATCGAAAACAACACGCGTTCCTACCTGACGGGACTGACAGTGATCTGAGCGAACAAGAAACATGCAAAATTCCTCTAGGAGCCAACAAGTGTGAAAATGTCAAAAAGACTCAGGATATAATTGGTTTTTCATCAGGTAAGTATTGTGATATTGATGGATCGCGATAGCTAATCGATAAATTTAGTTGACCTTGCATGGGATGCGGTGTGCACGCTTAGGGGTGAAGTCACTCAGTTTAAAGGTGACGGGGCTTGGACAACATGGCAGTGGGGAAACGTGACAGGAAAGGAACACACGTTGGAGGAGAGGAAGACATCCTGTATCTACCTTGCGTGACAGTAGAGACGTCTCAGATGTATTTTGATTTGGACCAAAAAGCGGACATGGCAGTGCACTACGTCCCTTTCGCGCATGTGCAAAGGAAACATAAGACGTCTGGACATGGAGTGTCAGAATTCTTACAAGGAAATCAGAATTTTTCCTTTACTTGTTCTCCTTTATCAAACGTTTTTCTCTCAGAATACCAGGCAAGGGAAATAACTCGGTGATGTACATGTAGCGGCCTCCTACCAATTTTTTAAGGCTATTAATTCAAGAAAATTTTACCCAAGTTCGCAAGTATCATTGAGGAGAATCATCTTTTTTTTTTTCTTTATAGTCTTCTGCTTTTCTCCGACTACACATTTTACATTTTATAAAAAAATTTCGTGGACTTTGCCTCGCATTCCAGTCACCTCACACGCCAGGTCACGTTTTTGGAACGCATCCGGAACTCGTGGCATTAAAGATGAGCTTCGTCTGTTCACGTGCAAAAATATCCCTAATTGTTTTTATGTTTGTTTTCTTCACTTGTTTGATATGCGTGGTACAGGACTGGTACGTCCATTAGATGATGACAGCCTCTTTCAACGCGTGATTAACCCTAACCCTAAGCAATTACTGTTGTGTTATACTAAGAGACATGACGGATCGCTCATCAAGTGACTAACAGGCAAATTTGTCGAAGTTTTTAGTCTAAAAGCGAGGAGGTCGATTTCGTGAGGTTAAGGTCCGTTTGTAAACTGATGGGGGTCTAATTTAACTACGTATGCGATCACTCATCGACATCACCGTGGAAACAAAACACTGTCTCGAAGTCGATAACTCATTTATGAAATTTATTCTAAACGTATATACTCAAAGAGTTTCCCATCTCTCTCACGAAGCGTGGTGTGAGTTTCGTGGCGATGGAATGCTCCTTGAAAAGACACACACACTTTATACTACCGAATTAATGATTAACCAGAAAGTGCGTTAACTGAAGCTCTGTTCACAAATAATACTGTGCAAAATCTATGTCTATGGGGGCTGAAGGTCGGTATTCAAAGCGAAATATTCACGCGCAGTTGTTATTCATCGGTGTCGTAGAGGCAAGTCCAATCACGTGGGCAACAGCCAATGGTGACACTAAAAGTGTTTTTCATTAATACATCACCTCGGCTTGCTCCTGTTAATTAGTCACCCGCCAGTTAGCAACGAGTAGTTGCTTGGGAGGCACTATAAACGCCGTCTAGTTTAATATTTGACTAGCTCCAACATCTACAACAAAACTGAATCTCACTGAACCACTTCAAAATGGCTAACGTTACCGCACTCAGCAACGGCATTGACGCTTTGCGCGGAAATCTTGATCAGTTCTTTTTGGTGATCATGGGATGCCTCATTTTCTGTGAGTATATTATTTTAGATAGCATTGTCAATTTTTTTCCCCTTATTTTGCTGATACCTTGTGTGTTGCGCGAAAGGTATGTAAAAATTTTGAAAACTAGAATCTCTGTTTGCAAATTAAACTTGATTCCTCCATCAAGTGGGGGAAAGAAGCCGGCTAAAATTTACGCAACGACTTCCGCACGCATCAAAACATACTTCCTGAGGAATGAGAAGAACGTGTGTAATTAGATCTTCACCGGGTTTTTAGAGATGTATGTCCTGAACAACTGGATGTAGCAGAAATTACCTCTGACTAATGCATCAAGGATTCCCTTTGTTAGTAGACATACACCAGTGTATTAAACATGTATAATAGCACAATCGTACACTGTTTTTTCAGCATTTACATAATTTTGACGAGTTAGCGCAAACAATCGCACTGTTTTCACGAGTACTATGAAATTAGTAAAACCACGTAGATTGCAGGTGATACAGTGAAACAGACGGAGATATATAGCCTCGGAGAGTCTAAACATTCTGTAGACGTATGTAGTATAGAAGAGGGCAATTAAGTTTGTGCCCTCAACCACGTAAATGTGGCGAATTATTGAGCCATACCTCGTCATTTGATATTTCACGAAGCTCTTTCAAGCAAAATCAGAGTATATAACCCAGTGCTTACATGAAGATGTCTAAAGATAAGTAAAATCGCTAAAGGGTCTGCATTGAAAAGCAACATTGACGTAAGAGGTCAGATGAACAACAAGCATAACGAGAGCCCGAAGCGAAGTTATTTTCAAACACACTCTTAAAAGCTATCTCTTTGAGATCTCAAACGTGACACTTCAACCCTGAGTTTAAGGAAAGAACGACTGCTGTCAAAAATGATTATCACAGTTAAAAGAAAATTCTCCGAGATGATTGGGATTTTACTCACAAACGGATCCCGACCATTTCTTATTTGCATAAACAGCGTGGTTGTTTACAATCGCACATCCTTCGAATTAAATGTCTCAGCGACAAACATTGATCTAATTTAAGGGTCTAAACTACCAATATGAAAAGCTATGACACACTCTGCAGACTCAAAAAGTGTCAAAAATTGTTCCCGGTACGAAATAAATGTTGCTTTCAGCCATTAATGTTAAAAGAATGTCGGGTGAAATTCCGGACTAAAATGACTTAAAAACAAAAATAAAAGAATTGAGTTTAGAATTCCTTACATTTCAGTACAAAAAAATAATCTTAATAATGGAAGGAGGAATAAGTTAAGATAACCAGAGGAAATGGGAAACTTGACTTCAGTTCAACTACTTAAATTAGCCAGAATTAATTTTTCCCCTGATAATAGCACTATTGAAGATTGATCAGTTTCAATATAGTTATGAAATCATCTGTTATGGTTTTCTCAGTTCAAATAAAAAGTCATTATTTTACTGAGTTAGCGCCTTGAATAAATGTGGTGGGATATTGGTAAAGTAAATTAAGCCTGCATATTTATCTGTTTATCACCACTGCGAAATGAACACCTGTCTACAGAACTTAAAACTGTTTGCTTTATCAGTAGAAAGGAAAGCCAAAACGGACTTGTTGAATTGGAATTATGTTGGAAGTACCAGAGGCAAACCTTTTTCATGGATGCAGCATGTGCACTAAGCACTTCTGCCTTTTTCATCAATGTATATTTGTTTAAATTTTCAAGTCTCAATTAAAAAACAATTAACATTTCTGAGTTCTTAATGGATATATGAACTCTCCTTATCTCAGAAAGCATCTACAAAATTCTCTTTTTTCCTTTGTGCACCAGCTAATAGAATTCTTTACGGTTTTGAAAATTTTGAGATACAAAACATTGACTGTTCCAACCAGAAATGGTGATTATGCCAGCCGACTGATTGCAGATACTGTATTTTTGATGCTTATTCACTTTGCCATTTACTGCTCTGTTAATAAGCTACAAAGTAAAAGTTTTCTTTACTGGGCATAATTATCATTAGTTTCTCACTTTTTACTCCAGCTTTAGGGGTTAAGGGTTAGAGTAGGCATGAAAAAATGAAGCGACCAAAAAAATCGTATGTTTTATGGATCAAAACCGTTGGAAAACTTGCGTTATGTTGGGAGAGCCAGTTTTGAGTACAAGTTCGAGCAAAATGGTAGGTAAATTGGGTTCCAGGTTTGATTCAATTTGCTAAATTGATAGAATCATAAACACGAATAAATGATTGGTATGTCAATAATTTAATTTTATTAAGAAATGCTTCACATTACTGAAAGCCGGTGTACGATAAAGAGAATGATGGTCTGTTACACAAGTACTACATCAGATTTGTTTTCAGTGTAAAGATACTGGAAACATTTCAAGTTCGTTAACTCACATATTAACTTAAAGTCTGCTGACATTCATTCAAAATCAACATCTTTTATGTCTTATCATGACCTTGAGTATAATCAAATCGTGGTCAGAGGCAATGCTTTTGTTTGGCGATTGAAAACAACAAAACAGTCTTAAGTGTTTATTTAAGATGCACTGAGCTGGAACAACTAATGAAAATCATGAAATAGATGAAAAACATATCAAGAAACCCAGGTATATATAAAAATATTGGATGAAAACACCGAGAAAAAATTTACGATCCGTTTTTTTTAAAAGACCGATACGAGCTTTTACTTTGTAACGATGTACCGAATAAGTGGAACTCTGTTTATTTGAATCTAATTTTAGATTCACGGCGTTTTTGGAGTCTCAATTATCCAGATCAGTAGTCTCGTACTCTTAGCCGAAAGTTCGAGAAACTAACTAAAAGCAGACATCAATTTCAAAATGCATACTATTTTTCCCTTTCATCTCTACCTTTACCCAACTGTCTCTGTTTTCTTCTTAACAAAGAGTACTTTTCCTCCGCAAGTGAAAATTTACACCTAATCATGTTTTTGCTGGTGTCCTTTCTTTCCTTCTTTCTTTCTTTTTTTTTTTTTTTTCAACGGTTGTCGTTTGTAGTTGAAAACGAAAAAGATATGATCTCTACTTCTCCTTTCGAAAGCATATTTATAACGATGGTTTATATTCATTCCTCATTCTGATTTAACTTGTGATTATTTCAGTTATGCAGGCAGGATTTGCATTTCTTGAGGCTGGGTCAGTGAGATCAAAGAACACAACAAACATCCTCATCAAGAACGTTCTAGACGTATGTAAGTAGTGACTAATTTTTCGTAGGTAGCTTTAGAGAACGGGTCCAACGATTAAGTAAGAGAGCTGGAAACTGGGATTACAGTACTTATTTTGCAAACAATTTCGTCATAGAACAGAAAAAAAAAAATGATTTCTTGGCACTTGCCGTCCTATTGCTATCCACTGAATTGCTTTTTGTTTATTTTGGTTTACTTCAAACAGTTATTGGTGCAGTGGCTTATTGGTTGTTCGGTTACGCTTTTGCCTTTGGAGGAAAAAGCAATGGCTTTATTGGACATGAGTATTTCGCGCTGGCAAATTTACCAGCTGACAAATACTCTCACTGGTTTTTTCATTTCGTTTTCGCGGCCACAGCAGCAACAATTGTCAGTGGTGCCATGGCAGAGAGAACTGAATTTAAAGCCTATCTTATTTACTCAATGTTTTTGACCGGTGAGTGCAGGACTAGTTGTTTTCAAGTCGTAGGGTTCGTTAGATAACGAGGATACACATCTTTAAATCGACTGCTTAAACAAAACTTGAGAGCAGGTTTTTGGTAAACTAATTGTCTGGGTAGCCTTCTTTTAAAAACTTTAAAATGTAGATACAGTAGCACTGTTGAGGAACCGTAGCACCAGTTAAGATGACGCTCTTTTTTGCAGGATTTTTGTACCCAGTAGTCACTCACTGGGCTTGGGATGGAAATGGTTGGCTGTACAAGGGTGCGGAGTACACTGACGGCAATGTAACCTTATCTGTAACATACCAGGTAAACCACTGAAAATCTGAAATGTCCATTCACTGAAATCGCACAATTTGGTTGATAAAATGTGCAAAGTTTGTGTTCCAAAACATAACGTAACACAATTGGTATGGGATCTGAACAGGGGTTAAACAGAGTTCCACTGACTTGCAAACTTCACCGACTGAGCCCTTTTGTATTATTTTAGGACTTTGCTGGAAGTGGGGTTGTCCACGCAGTGGGTGGAATGGTTGCTCTGGTCGGTGCAGCTATCGTGGGGCCCAGAATCGGACGTTTTGATGGTGGTGCACCAGTGCTACTGGCAGGACATACTGTACCGGTAAGAAAACTTTCATCTTCGCATATTTTAGGGAAATATTCTATCTTTTGGACTTTCTGTCTTGTAAGTAGTGTTTGAGAAGTGGAATCTGTCTCTCTTTGTAATTTCATAGAAAGCAGCTCTGGGAGGATTCATCCTGTTCTTTGGTTTCCTGGCATTCAATGGTGGCTCCCAAGCAGCCATCGCTAATGAAGGCGATGCTGATGCTGTAGCATTATCCATAGTCAACACCATCCTCGGAGGTGAGCCAGACTCCACTAAATCTTCCATGATTTCTTTTCTTTTCATTGCTTATAGAAAAAATGCATATAGTCCTCTTCTATCATTCAGGAGCCGCAGGTGCTCTTACTGCCATGATTGTCAAACGCCTGGGCTTTGCAGAAAAGTACTGGAGTTTGCTTTTCACCATTAATGGCGGACTAACTGGAATGGTAAGGGAAACAGGTTGGGATTGTATTCGGTCAGTTCTAGACAAAGTCTTCTGACAACACTGTTTTGCCCCACTCACGATTGAGTGGTCCAGAATTAGGCCTCTGATCTTGAACAAGACATGTTACTCTCTGCAAACTTTTCTCTGTTGTTTAGGTTGCAATGTGCGCAGGTTGTAATGCCGTTCATCCCTATGCTGCTTTGATCATTGGAGTCATCGCAGGATTGGCGTACGTGGCTTGGAGTACTTCCATGCTGCGGCTAAAAGTTGATGACCCTTTAGATGCTGTGGCTGGTAAGTGACCAACCATTAAGCACATGAAAGTTCGCTTACTATTCTTACGTTTTAACAAAATGAAGTCGTTAGTAGAAGCTGTGATACCCTCAGTGTTAGTATAACTAGCATTGTCATGGGCTGCCGTGCCACCAAAACCTGTACGAACAGAGGCAGAAAAATGATTGTATAAGCAAAACCAGTTAAGACTACCGTAGCCCAAAAGGTGACTTTACAGTAGTACGGAAGTTGTAGTCACAACAGGTTAGTCAGTCACCAAGGTAGCTGATAGAGATTTAGGGGAATTGCCCTTGTTTAGCTCCTTTTGAAGAGTAAATGTACTAGGGAAGTAAAGCTGCTGCAATCCAAATGCAAGCAAAGCAAACTTTTTAAGTATTTTTATTTCTTTTCAACAGTTCATCTTGGTGGTGGCCTGTGGGGCGTACTTTCTGTCCCCATCTTTAACAAGGAATCTGGAATATTTGTAAAAGGAAACGAGCTTGCATTCCGTGCGTTTGGCTGGAACTTGCTGGGTGTACTTGTCATCATAGCCTGGTCTGCAGCGTGGGCTATCATTTTATTCTTTGCTTTGCATCTCCTCAAACAACTTCGCGTCAGTGAAGAAATCGAGTTGAAAGGTAAATACTTTCACTGCATTAAACTTAAGAAAAAGATTGAATAGAAAAATGGCGGCCTTGTCTTGAATAAATTTGATGAATTACGTTTCTGAGTGGAGTAAATATTGAAGACGAGTGCTTCCATGTTAAACGTGTAGAATGGTATTGGATTGTATATCGTGGTACCAACTTTGATCAATATGATTCTTTAACATGATGATATTTCACCATTTCGTCAACATTTAGGATTCCTTCTGCTTTCCTTAGGTCTCGATATTCCCAAACATGGTGAGCCCGCATACCCACTGTCCAGTTACGGAGATGGATGGTCAGAATCTCCATCAGCGCCTCGACACAATTTCCCGTATTACCAAACGAATGGCGCTCCCCAGACTGAGGAAGTCAGACCTAATCAGGAAGGTGGTGTTCATAATCCCGCCGTTGTCAACGACAAAGACACTCAGTTTTGATGTTGATCATGGAAATATTGAAGTGTAAGGCTTTCGTTAACAATTTCGCAGCTTCTAAATTCAAGTGCCATATTTCGGTGGCAAATAAGAATCCACTCAAAATTTTCGACTATCATCCAGGTGATATATCTTCACTGCAGTGCATTTAATCTGTGAAACATATTTTCACGGACCGCTTGATCATTGGTATCAAGATAAATTCTAATAAATTCGATATATATCAGCAGACTGAAAATAGTAGTCGTTCGTATAACATTCATCACTTGCTGTAACTTCTCTGGTGACTTTATATTGAGACAAAACTTATAGTTATGCATTGTCGACCTATGTCGGAGAAATGGATAGACTTTAAGAGCTTTTAGAGTACGCGGAGGTTATTTGGCCTGACGAATGAAAATAATTGTTTAAAAGAATCTGTTTCTAGGTTTAGGTAAAGAACGCTTGGAGACGTTTTTCAACTATACGCTTTTTGCACAGAAATTCAATTTAACCGATTAAATTACAATAGCTCAGTCTTTCCCTGTTGTGCAGATGCATAGCTCGGTATGCACGAGGATGTATGATTCCTTTATTTCATCAACTTCTGAATTTCTTGTATACTCGCATTGAGAATAAAACGTTTCTAAACAACACAGGAGATTCAGGTGTAGGTGTACTTAATATCCTCATCATCAAGTTTCAAGTCGTGGTTCCATGATTACAGTTTATTCATTTGCCAAACACTCCTTAGAAATGAAATGAAACGTCACTCATAATATAAGCCCTGAAACTCACTCGCCATCTTAAATTCGCAACCGGGAGTTTCCTCCAGGAATTCACAGTTTTATAAATTTGAAGTTTTTTTTTTTTATCTTTTTTTTGTCCTTATCCGAAAACTTTGGAGCTCAAAAAGGGAAATTTAGGCTTGACGTCTAATGATCCCTCCCGGGGTGAGAAGCTTAGGGTGTACTTCTTACAACTACCTGTTTGACATGATAAACATACGTAGACCGACAAACTTAACCTAACACTTTCACGGAGATGAAAAATATTGTCTGGTGCATATCTTACTCAAGCCCAAAATCTTCACTTTTTTTAGCTACATCGCTAGAGGTAATTTTCGGAACATAAGGCATATGCGCAGATATAAAATCATTTTTGAGAGCTTTTACGTAGACGCATATTATGGAATCTTCACGAGTTAACTCTAAATACTTTCCTTCGTTAATGAATTTTCCTGTAAAGCTGTATATATGTTATAGAAGAAGAAGGGAATTTTCAAGAGTACTCATGCTTCCTTTTTTTCCTTTTCTCCTAAATGTGTTTCTGCCTCAAGGAGGGAAAGAAAAAGGTTTTGAAAACATATTGTGTTCAGTTTATAACTGACCGATAATAGCTCCCGATTTATACTGAATTGGTAGCCGGTAATTCGAAATGAAAAGACTAGCGTCTCATCTAAAGCTGACAACCGGAAAAAAAAACCGTCGATAACTGCTTTGGCACAGGGCTGAGCTGCCTAAAGGTTGGTATAGACATACGGATATTTCATTCAAATTCCATCAGGATATTGTTTCCTTTGTGTTATCTTTAGGTTCACTAATTATGTTTTCACAATATGCGTGTTTTAGTGTTACAACTATAGGGCGATATACAAGGCCGGCTAATCATTGCGATAAAAGCACCAGTTGTCCTCAGTCATAATTGACAATCTAGTTGAAAACTTTTTGTCTGGTTGTATCACGTAAAAAGGCCTTTCTTGATTTTCCCTTCTGTCTGTTCTCTCTGTGGTTATTACATGACATTACACGACGTTGAATGATAGCTACTGGCACTTTTACATGGTATGAAACATTCAAACTTAAATTTATACTTTCACAAAATTTCAGTCCAAATCCACTGGGTATCAGCAGAAACAGTTAGAGGAGATATAGGTGTAATGATTACAAAAAGGTACCATACTCACAGTAAATAATGGACTCCCACGGAAAAATCAGTAGCCCAATGATTTCTCAGGCGTTAAAATTTGCAACCTAGTTACAGCCAGGTTCTTTAGACTTTGCACTTGATGTTAACTATTTTTCTTTTTGATTAAGAAAACCATTTTTTGTCAGCTCACATGAAATTTTTGCGATGGATCCTACATATGACTAATCGAAGAAATCGGAGTGCCTCCCAAACAGTTCCGTAGACAAATGAAAGATTTAATATGTGAAAGCACAAGAGAAGCAATTGACTGCCGCATTATGCGGCGTCGCTTATCATCTCGTTCACGTGTTGCAGACTGTTTTTCTATCTTGCATAAATAAAAGAGCGCGTGGACCCCAGACTTTGACCCTTAATGATACTGACTTCTAAGCTGTATATTTTGTCAAATGTTTCACTTGTTTTTGAGTCAAATCGTGAGAACAGCCAAGTGAAACGACTATAGAAATACAGCCCTTGAACACATCTAGCAGGGCCTGTGAGACATGAAAGATCTCCAGAAGATGGGAAGATGGTTACGCAGGGACTATCATATATTGCGGAACATGAACTATTCTTTAATTTTGGCCAAGAGAACGTTACGACTGATATGACGAGGTAGGTGGTGTGGTGGGCTCCGTGGACATATAATTATTAAATCCGGTTTGACCGGTTTTCGACAAAAGTGATTTCTCAAAACAAAACGACAGTGATATGCTGATTTCTTTGTCTCAAGTGGATCACGGGTTTCAAGAGGGTTACAAATATCGAACACCGGCTATATTGGCTCTTATTCAGAAATCTAACTATTTCAACGCATTTGTGTACTACGTGAAATAGGTCTTGCTTGTATCGATCGTTGGCGAGTGGCACAAAACAGGACACTTTATACGTATTTCCCTTTTGATTTAAGTTTAGAATGCAAGTTATTTTGACAATCTCTCCATAAAAACACGGAAGTTGACATTTAGGCTCTTGAGCGTGTAACGATAAAGATACATCAGATAGCTAGGAATCCCAAAATAAAGTACAAAAAATGCAAAGCAATTCCACCCTCTATAAAACTGCTTCGTTTTTTCTGAGAAGGTCCAGTGATAGATTTGTCGAAAAGAAACGTTTGTAAACTCACATGTTCCATACAATTTACGTGTAGTATTGCATAGTGAGTCGTCGTACACAATGCTGCGAATCTAACCTAGCCGCCTGGCCACTGCAATTCGATGAGATACATATTTATTCTCTATTAGCCTTTTCAGCGTCTCAATGCGTCTAATTTGGTCCCTGTTGGTGACCAAGGGCAGATAATGAAAAACCTAACTCAATTTTCCGACAAAACAACCGAAACATTGATAAATAGAAATAAAGGAATACAAACAACAACTGCTAAGTGGAAAATCATTCGAGAAAAAGATACGAAACAGACGACTCTGTAGGACGCATCGTTTACATAATAATGGTATTTCAAATTATCATCATAATAACGTGCTATATTGATTTATCATCTGCTGCAAGCAAAAGATAAGATCTTTTCGATAGGAGGCCCAAACCAAACGCCAGAAACAGAATCCAGAAAGGAACGGAAGCAGACATTTTGGCTCACCAACTTCTGCAAAACAACAATTCATCAATATTTGAAAGTGATGTTATAAATTCGAAAACGATGAAAAATGCCTGTTACATTCCATGAGGTTTTACGTGAGCTGAAGCTCTTACGATCTGACACATCACCTGGCCCTGACCTAATTCTAGCAAATTTTTTAAAACCTATTGCTGAATATATTGCGAGCCCTCTGACAGACATAATAAATTAATTGATAGAATTATGCGACTTTCCAGATAAATGGAAGCAAGCTTGTATAGCTCCAATCCAAAGTTGGATAGTCCTCAAGATAACAATGATTTTCGACCAATCTCTGTATTGCCTGTTTTGTCTAAAATCTACGAGAGGCTTATTCACAACCAAGTTGATGAGTTTTTGGAAAATCACCATCTCCTTGAAGATAACATTTCTGAAGTTAGGAAAAGCCACTCTACAACATCTGTTCTATTAAGTATACAAGATGACATATTGAAAGCAATGAACCGGAGCGAATGCACTCTGCTCGTCTTAGCTGACTTCTCGAAGGGTTTTGACACTGTAAAGTAAAGGTCTGTCCTTGAGAAAATGAATGCTCTTGGATTCTCAAGGTCATACCTGAAATGCACTGTCAAATACTTTTGTGAATGAGAGCAGTTTGTTCAAATCGACGACCGTATTTCAAAATCTGTTAGCATTAGCTTAGTCCCACAAGGCTAAATCATGGGTCCTCTCATTTTTAACATATATATTGCTGATCTGCAAGGGAAACTTGATTGTGCCTGCTATCAAAATGCTGATGCATTTATCAAGCATCGAAGCCTGGTGAATTTACATCTTGCATTACCTTAGTGTAACGTAATGTGGATAAAATGCAATGCTAGGCGAACGAAGCTAATTTGGTCCTAAATCCTAGCAAAGCGAAGTACTAGTTATTATCTTCCAGTAAACTTTCTTCTGATCCCGAACTTAACAACACTGACATTGACCTAAGAGTTGGAACTACATCTTCAGAGCGTGTATCTTCGGCAAAACTTTTAGGTACCTACATTGACCACCACCTTAAATGGGAAGAAAATGTTAAGCAAGTCTCAACCTCTTGCTATTGCAGTCATGGAATCTTAAAGAAATTTTCTTTCATTTAATGATCATAAGCAGTTAGTTCAGGCCTTAGTACTTTCCAAGTTGTACCATAATTGTGTTTTTTATCATTACATACCACATTACTTTATTAAACGCCTACAAAGAATTCAAACAGCATGTGCGAGATTTGTTGTAGGTAAATTTGTTGAAAGAGAGGATATCATAAAGCTAAATTGTTACCCGTTAAAGAACATATTGAATGGTAGTTGTTAAAGTCATTTCATAAGGCGATTAGCGATGAATGAATGGCCAAGTAACTTGCGACTGAAGCAATTTGAGCACAATCGAACTCTGAGGTCCAGTGCAGCTATCAGTGCAGCTTGAAATCCCACTGGTATCACACATTTATCAAGATCAAGCTGCAGGTATTTTACCTGAATGTTCTCTAAAATGACTTTTCAGCATTTGATGAAAAAGGTCAAAGATATCCTTTCAGCTCGATGTAGTTTTTACTTTACATTTAGCAGACGAATTTTTAAGCAGATGTATTTTGCAAATGAAGAGCCACCTTGTAGAAATGTTGAATAAAGCCATTACTATTATTATTATTATTGTTATTATCATTATAGTTATTATTATTATTATTATTATTATTATTAACCGAGAAGCTCACACACTTCACATGAAAAAAACGCCGAATAAGGAGCATTGACACCATTCATGTCATTTTGTGCTGTTTCAGGGATAATGACACTACTCAGAGGCTATGTATTTGAACAAAAATGTAATTGCCAATTTACAATAGTAAATTACTGTATTATTGCTATGTGGCCATGCAGAATATTGTTATACAATGATATTTATTTTTATATCGCACATTTAAATTTACGGAAATAGTCAAAAGGTCCAAATAGAAGCTGATATGTAACGAATTTAAGAAAATTAACGACACTTTTAGAATTCAAAAACATGTTTCGACAGTTCTTCTGTCATCTTCAGTTCTGGATGATACAAAGTACAAAGTTGAATTTACAATGTGTAACAAAATGCTGATTGGACAAAACAAACAATAATAACAGAACAATGTATGCATTTACAAGGAAAATTGTAAATTAACATGATAAAGTTGATGAAAAAGAGTAAGTTTCTCCCACTGAATGTGAATAGCTTCTTCGATTTTAAAAAGCCTTATTTTAGGAAAGTGTAGTTTTCGTAAGTATGACTACATTGCAATCAAAAGCAGCCATGTTCGTATAATCAGTTGTTTTAGTATCTCTATTTTACCTTTTGTTTTGTGGAAGTGACAAATGTAGTCTGTTTTTGTTCATAGTAGTTGCACTAAGTTGATCGTAGCAATGATGGCAGTCAATGTTACATTTCTTAACTACATACAGCTTACACCTATTTTCATAGTCAGTGTTGCAGGAAGGGCTAGTTTTCTCTCTGGGGACTGTGGCCCACACTGCAGGGCCTTATCCCTATCTCTATATGAGGCATGAAATGACCTGGAGCATTGCTTAAACACCTGGATGGGATGCTTCTCCATTTTAGGCCTGTCGAGTATTTCGTTAGGTTTGACTGGAAGTTTGCAGTTACTCATGTAAACTCCCGAGTGTGAAGAAGTGAGGTATCTTACTCGGGAACACCTTGTCTCCGGCGTCGCCTGGCAAACGGGGAATCAAGTGAATAAAACGCCTTCGAGGGCATTATAATCCAATGTTAACAAACACAAACTTGTAGCTTTAAAGGATGGGTAACAATCGAAAGAGTTAGGTTCTTAGATGGAATCCACATCAGCTGTTTACAGCTGTTTACATCTGCTATGTAGAGAAACTCAGCTGGAAATTTTGTTCATTAAATATTATTATTCGGCTGCCTTTGAGAAAAATCTAGCCTTGAGGAGTCATGCAGTGATCCAACCTTTGATAAAAGAAAGAATGCTTAAGAAGACTCGAAGACACAAGGCTTGCTATTAGTAATGCATTGTATGTTTCCTTAAAGTCCAGCGAACCTTTACGATGTAAACCATGCAACAAAAACTGACTTTAATAACGCTCCATTGAGCACAAACTCTGTATCATTATTCCCTCCAGGTGGCAAGCGTGTCCAAACTTGCATTACCCTGCAAGATCTTGGGAATACTTCTTAATATTAGTAAATGCAATTTACATTTGAGTTTCCGATCTTCTATTATATCATAACCAAAACATTTATTATGCCAAGTTTTCAAAGGTGCGATTTAAAATTCGCTTTCAAAATTATGTGAGTACATCAGGATCATGGTCGTTCTTAATTTTCATCAAACACAGTCGCTGGTCGCTAGTTACCAGAGATGATATTTTCGATTCCTCTGTTTCGTAACTTTGGAAGCAGTGACCAAAAAACCTCAAACGCGAGCCACAACACTTAGAGTGTATGAAGCTCATAGTTACTTTTGGGAACAATAAAATCTTGAAGTAGGCAAATACAGTCTTAAAATCTATTGTCAGTCCATCTTATTCTACAAAGTTCTTATTTTTTTTCTTCATAGTTTGAATACTAGTGATTTTATGCCTAAATTTGCATCTAAATGCAAGTGGAAAACATTTTTCCTTTCATATCGACAGGGAATCTAATGCACCTAAAATGTAACCAGGGAGCGACTTGTATGAAATGTTTCGGGGAGTAATTTCACAAAACACGAATAAATTTTAAGCTAATAGAGATTGTCAATAGCAACGAGGAAAGACGTCATTTCTTCTTTCAAATAGGATACCTGAAAGCACTGATCAATCTAAAAGATATGTACGTGTTTGAATATTTCTTTACGTCAGCTTCTGAAGACCTGCAAACGTGTCTCGTGGGCAAATGAGAGGCGCTTAGGGTTGTGCTGCTAATCGGCAGACACGTCTAAACAAAAGATGCTACGCCATCGAGCGGATACCACCTGATTTTTAAGATAATAAAGTTAGCCACCTTTCGAACAAGAAAATGAATCTTTTAACTGAAGATCTGTTATATTAGCTTCAACTAGCAACAGATTGTAAAACGGAGACAATTACGACAAATTCTGTTGACGTAAGGTGAAACTTGAGAGATGCCAATATTACGAGCTATTCCATCAAGTACATATTTACATACGAAAAAGAGCTACGTAACAGGCTATCGTACAACAAAGGTGATGAACGACTCAGTCGTTCGCTACTTGTAAACTATTCTGATGTCTGACAGTTCTTAACAGTCAACACAACAGCTGCTCCCTCACCAAAATCTAAAGTTGTGCTGAATAACAACTTTGTGATAAGATCACGTTTTCCGTTTCGGGCCAAGAGATTGAGTCCAATACAATGCCTCCCTTTTTTTTTCAATTTGAAACACTGTGATTGGTTCGGATCAAAAATCAAGCGGAAAGGTATTACTGTGTTTACACAATGACGCTTATTTTATGAAACTAAAATAAAATCGTTGTACCGCGAAGCCGGTTTCACCGGTTTACGATATGAACGCTAACCCCACCTAAAACAGTTCCAAATAAGTTTTCTAGGGCAAAAAGAAAAGACTTTATCCTAGATCCTCTGTCTCATTGGCTGTCTGTTTTTGCGAATAGGATTTTCCTGACTCCTACACCGTTCGCACTTTGTAATGGTAAAAATTATTAGATCTTATTACAGACTATAATATAGTTTTTTGCGTGTTTATCAAAAGGAAGGATGACCTTAAATTCGGAAGGAAATAAATGTGACGGCGTAGAGTAGAATTGACCAACTGTTTCTATTTTCTAAGTAGTGTGTGGGAACTTTGCATTCTTGAGGTTCAAAGTCTGTATTCTGTTTTGCTCGTGCATGCCGGAGAACAAATAAATCACGTGGCCAAGCTTAGTGACAAAACACCGACAGTTACATAATTTAATACGTTTTGTTACCCCAGTCATTGCACGGCTATCAATATAGACACGCAAGTTCTGACAAAGCTCTCCATATTTTCGTGTGTTCTATCAACTCAAATTACTTCAGCAGAAGCAGAAGTCAAAATGGCGAAGACGCCAATAGAGATTTTGCAAGGCAACCTTGACCAATTTTTTTTGATCATCATGGGCTGCCTTATTTTTTGTGAGTATGATTTTCTTCCTTTTTATTCAACATTATTCCTTCAGCTACTTTCTTAGTGCGTTCGTCATTTTTATCATCGAAATGAAAAACTCTACGAAGACTTACTAAAGTAGAATTTACGTCTGTATTCTACTGGGCCTGTTAAGTAACGTCTACATAATTGAATACATCAGAGCACAAACATTGGATATATGAACGCCTTCAGCGACAAATTCCAGTGTCGAATATGAAGCGCACTTACGTTTTCTTGTCATAATTGTTAGAATAGATTTACCAGAACTTGCTCACATATCAACAACACGCCTCTATATTTGGCACACCGGTGGAACTTGGACCACTGAAACATGCGATGCGGAACGAAATTTGAAAAATCTCGCTGAAGAACTTAATGACCATGGCTTGAGTTTATACAAATAAGAGAAAAATCTCCAAGTAAACTTGACGTAACCTGTCGTCGATATGAAACTTAGTCAAAACTATCAAAGAGAAATTTGAAAGAGTTTATAACCAATTGCAACTTAAATTCAGTGGACATTGTCTACAAAGTAAGAAACTTGCCGGCATTTTCAGGAAAACAGAAAAAAACTTGTCGTAAGCTTTAAATAAGTGATAAACGCTCAAACCTTGTCTGAGGTTATGTCCAAAAATTTGAAAGTGCAGCTAGTAAACCTGCAGGTCTAGCGTTACCACAACAAATCCGAGAGAAGCTTGTCAATGAATACATCAAATTAAACCACAAGTTAGTATCTCTTAGCTTCTTTTACATGCTGTTAAACCGCTATGATCTGTTCAGTTGCGCGTGAATAACATTTCGCTTGGATCATTTTCAGCACAGATTGGTTTCAATAGGTCTGGTTACTATGAGTCTCTCTCTTTCTCTGTTCCTTTCACTTTAATCAACCAGCTCAAAGATTCTCTAAAACTGATAAACACAAAAGCGACTCATATCTCAGTTTTGCCGCAGTCGGCGAACCAACAAAAGAATGTCACTGCTAATTTTGTTCTCGTCTTTTTTTCGGAAGGGTGTTGTAGCTCGTGCGATTTCGTGACATAAGTAATATTTGAAAAAAATTGAATATGAGAGTGGTAGTACGGCAGACAAGGAGAAACCTTCTCATGGTATAAATGGGTTCTTCCAACTTCTTTCACCAAAAAAAGATGAATGCGAAGGAAGCTGAAGTGTCTCTTTGGAGTTGACCTTTTGCATCACCACAACGGTGATTAAGAGGGTGCTGAGAATCTTGGTTGCAAAACTCCTTCTAGCACTATAAAATTGACATGTTCATGAAATTACAAAGCGGAAATGATATTGGATATTTTCTCCTTAACTCCTGCAAGTATATTACGCGTCTGACGACTGAATAACTAAAATAGGAACGCTTTTAGAACACGATGACGGTGCCAAAATGAAACAGTTTTGGAAAAATTTTTTGATGCTCTAGGCAAAACTCAGGCTTTTAATGCAAGACAACTCGGCAACATCACATTTATCTAAGAAAAATTTTTTGAACTAAACAAAGTTTACGACGAAATAAAATCAGGCCAATATTTAGATTTAAGTGAGAAAGAGGGGTTTTATGTCATGTTGGCTGCCATCATGATGCTCTCACATACGTTCTCGCTCTTAAAAAGGTGGAATGGAGCAAGCTCTAAGTTCTTCATTTTTTGTTTTTTTTGGGGGGGAGGGAGAATGTAAAACAAAAACGCAAAACAAAAAACTAGAGAAGATCTGTTTTCATCAAAACGATATCAAAGAAATGTGAAGATGATCAAATCAGGGGTTTATGAAGGCTATTTTTCACTCTCTTATACGATGTCAAGAATTCAGCGATACTTAACACACCCAGTATCGCGTAAGCGACTAACATTTTCAACGAAAACTCACAAATTGAGAACAGGAGACACATAACATGATCGTAAAGAACTCGGCTTATGATTGACAAGACAAGCGCTGCAAAATTTAGGCAGCATAGGAGGCTAGAACACACAAGCTTTGTGAACAACATCAGTCTTTTATTTTGTTTATCGATGCAACTCTTTGATGATGCTTCTCCGCTTAAGGTTGTTCGAAACTCAGGAGAAACTTACGCATGAAAGGATAGCATTCTCCTCTCCTATGTTGTTCTTAGTGACCTTAGCAACGTCAAAACACAAATAAATCTAGAGCCTTCCTTATTTCTGCGCAGGAAGCTGATCATAAGCTTGATAAACAATGGATATTTCAAGATATTTTTATCCGAATTAAGCATTGCCATAATGGCTTATTGCGAAGCCGACTATTATTTTGCTTATTAAAGTAAGGTGGAATTTCTGCCCCCCAAGTGTAACCATTCCGCCTACTCTAAATATATTAACAAAGAAGATTGGCGCCATTAAATCACAAAGAACTGTCAAACTATCGGAAGTTGACTAGGAGTTGTAACAATTGTAGCAGTGATAAAATATTGTAGAAACTTCAATTTTATCCAACGTGCACATTCATAACCAGCAGTTTGGTGATATCTGGGGTGAACACATACAAAAACAAAGAATTCGTAATTCTTAAATATCCGGACCCAAGCAAAAATTCAAATGAATCGAGATTACATCTCGTCAAATTCCTGCACGCATGATATCCTCACTTCCTTTTTGCAGCCACTGGTTGAATGCGGTAAGAAACCGCGAAAAAAACTGTCCGAACTAACAATCACAGATGTACACAATTTATTTGGCCACAAAAAGCTTGTCATTTTTAAGCAAAAAAGAAGAGCAATGTGCAGCTCACTGCTTTAGTTTTGATTGTTTGTTTCGTCATTGATCATGAGTCTGTTGTATTGAAGTCAGAATTTGAAGAGTTCCTTTCATTTTGTGCCTAAATTAAAACAGAACGCTTCCGATATCCAGCTATCTTTAACGCTGACATCAAACTGACACCGCAGCATTAATCATCTCTAACCCTGAAATGAAAAATGAGGGAGGCAAAAAGGAAACTTCGTTGAAAAAGTTTGATGTCAATGCATTAAGTGACCATTTTACATAAAAACTCGTATTTTTCAGAAAGAGTTAAGAATATTTCCCCTGCAGAAATAAGGTGGCAAAGATAGTTCTCTCTTCATGTTATATTTTCACTGGTTTTCCCAGTATGCTGACTTAAGCATTCACTCTGCCTATAAGATCATATCATACAATACAAATAAGACCCGACGCTATGGGGCTAAACTGAACAACCGAGATTGAGTGCAAGTAAAATCTTTCATTTCAAATGTAAGAACTGTCAGATATTCCAAATAGAGCAAAAATGTAGGCAAATGTTTCCAGGATTGACAAATGGTGTCCAGGTGCAGCTCCCTTAAATAGATCCTTTACAGCGCATGTGCCTAGTCGCACTCTAAAAAAGACCCAGGGAAAAGATTGTTTAATGACTGAGAAGATTAACTGAGGACAAGGGATGTATGACATCTTACCCAATCAGTGGTTGGTGGCTGATGGCTGATCTGTCTTTTTGCAGTTATGCAAACAGGATTTGCTTTTCTTGAAGCTGGCTCAGTAAGGTCGAAGAACACAACAAACATTCTGATCAAGAATTTCCTGGACGTGTGTAAGTATTTATTAAAGAGAGTAAACATTTACAGGAAAACTAACAGCTTCAAAATTTCAAACACATTGGCATTGCTCCTTTACAAATGCGATTTGATGCAAAATTCATCCAAGTCAGTTCTCCAATTAGATCAAAAATTGATAGTCATGATGTAACTGATTTATATCTATTTTCATCCTAAATAGTTATCATTTTAGGCTGTTATGTACAGCTGTCTTTGAACTAGAGTTTTAATAGTCCCAATAAATTTCTGCGTGTGGCAATTTCGTGTGTAAACTTTATGTCGCGTTTTACTTTTTACAGTTATTGGTGCAGTGGCCTATTGGCTGTTTGGGTACGCATTTGCGTTTGGAGCAGAAAGCAATGGCTTCATTGGACACAAGTTTTTTGCACTAGCAGATTTACCAGCTGACAAATACTCTCATTGGTTTTTCCATTTTGTTTTCGCTGCCACGGCGGCAACAATTGTCAGTGGTGCCATGGCAGAGAGGACAGAGTTCAAGGCTTACCTGTTATACTCTGTGTTTCTCACTGGTAAGTTCCAAATCCTATTCCTTATTTTTGTCGGGTGGTACCAAGGTCTCCAGTTTTCTACAAGCCATTGATATATTTATTGTTCTCCCTCAGGCTTTGTGTACCCAATTGTCACTCACTGGGCTTGGGATGAAAATGGTTGGCTGTACAAGGGTGTGGAGTACACTAAGGACAACGTAACCATGACTGTAGCATACCAGGTGAGATTCAAATAACAGACATCTTGACATGTCACTAAAAAGAATCTTTCCCAGGTATACTTGTACCTACCAATCAAGATAAATCAAGATCCTTAACTTCAGCTTTTTTTTTGTTGTTGAATAAATCAAGGATTTTGCTGGCAGTGGGGTCGTTCATGTTCTTGGTGGTACTGTTGCCTTAGTCGGAGCAGCCATTGTTGGACCAAGGCTCGGACGATTTGTGAATGGTGTCCCTGTGCTGCTTGCAGGCCATACTGTACCGGTGAGTAAAGAACTTCTTGTGTATGCCATTTCTCGATAGGACTTTGAATTTTCAAACTATTCCATTCATAAAACCGGCCATTTAAAAATTTCAAACATGAATTTTTTCTAGAAAGCGGCCCTTGGAGGATTTATCCTTTTTTTCGGCTTCCTGGCTTTCAATGGTGGCTCACAGGCAGCCATTGCTAGTGCAGGCGATGCAGATGCTGTAGCACTGTCCATTGTCAACACAGTTCTTGGAGGTGAGACACTGGACCTATTTAACTGGAAGCCAATTTTTTTCTGTTTCCAGTCCTTCTTGACAAAAGAATCTTATGTGGTTCTCTTCTCTCATTTAGGAGCTTCAGGTGCGCTAACTGCCATGATCATCAAACGTCTGGGATTTGCAGATAAATACTGGAGTTTGCTTTTCACCATTAATGGTGGACTTACTGGAATGGTATAACACATTAGTTAAATTACGAATATGCATAGGCTCTGAATTTCAAGAGCACCTTCCACGAACAGCTTCAAAGAGAGACTGACTTTAATTACCATTACATTCCTTTATCCTTTTAATGTGAAATTGCTATCAAATAAATCATGGAATTATTCTCTGCAACTTCAAGCACCAATTCATTATTTTTTAAGCGATAAAGATGTTTAAAAATATGGAATTCGAGCTGGTATTCTTCCCACCAATTTGAGTAGAAAAGGTTTTTGATCAGTTTTTGAGCTTTCTGTCGGCTGCAATGCATTTGAAATGCCATCTGTTAATTCACCTTCCTTTTAATCTAAAAAGGAGTTGCATTGTGTTTCAGATCACAAAACAAATGCGTCTGTAGGACAGTACATTCGATGATATTCCAGGATGAAAACAAATAGCAATCGCCTGATTTATTGGAAGTGACCACGTTCTTATAGATGGGTGGATCATGCCCATTTTGGCTGGCTTACTGTACTAATAAGATGTTTTAACGTTATCAATTCTATTACAAATGACAACCTTGGCATTTGTTTCTTAGGTGGCCTTGTGTGCAGGTTGCAATGCCGTCCATCCTTATGCTGCTTTTGTCATTGGCATCATTGCTGGAATGGCCTACGTTGGATGGAGCACTCTTATGATTCGTTTAAAGATTGATGATCCACTAGATGCTGTGGCTGGTGAGTTGCTCAAGCACTGATCCTCCCCATCTACTCATGTTCTGTTTTCCAGCCAACTTCTTGTGAAAAGCCTTGTTTAGCACCCACCGTTCTCCACGCGGTACTTTTCGATCCATTACATTGGTTTTAGTGCACTGAATCGCTGACTCAAAGTGAAAGCAATGTCGGACTACTTTTGAAAAGAAATGAACTTCTCACTGGATAATTTGGTTTTATCGAGCGTTAGCCTTTCGCTCTGACGAAGGGCTAATGCTCAAAACGTCAGCTTAGAAACTCTTGGTGGTGGCCAATTTACATTATCAACCCAGTTGATAATGACCAAAGTATCTTGTTATACTCATCCACCGACGCAACATCACAGTTTCTTTGGAAAGTTACCCCCTTTATTCATAAACTTTTCAGTGGTAACCTTGTTTGATTATTCTTCACAGTTCATCTCGGTGGTGGTTTCTGGGGCGTGCTGTCTGTTCCCATCTTCAACAAAGACAGTGGAATATTTTACGATGGAAGCGGTCATTCATTCCGTTTGTTTGGCTGGAATCTGCTGGGGGTGCTTGTCATCATGGCCTGGTCAGCAGCACTGAGTTTAATCTTGTTCGTTGCGTTGCGCGTCACAAAGCAGCTTCGTGTCAGTGCGGAAATCGAGGAGAAAGGTAATAATATGGACAAGATTCATCAATTCTTTGTCAGTTTCACGCTTACACTGTCTACATGTACGTACATGCTGACACTCCTCAAGGGCGCACCTCGTCATCGTGAGACTCAGGAACCCTTCTTTTCATTAGTAGGTTTAACTTTTTAATAACTTATTTGACGTGATGTTAGCAAAAGCATCCGTAAAGGTCTGACAGACATAGGTAATAACCCTGTTACATCTACGAGGGTGATATACTGTTACCAATAAGTTATGTGTAAGTAGTTATCTAGTTACGCCCAAGTTGATTCGTCATCATCTGGTAGTTCATAAAATTTTGTTACATTCATTTAGAATATTTTTCATTTCCATGAAACCCTGGTTGATGTGTGTGTCTGTTGAGTGTTTTCGGTATTTGTGAACTTGTAAAAAAAATTGATAACATCTAATCAAAGCAAATCTCAATTTCGCGGCAAATTATAGTTACCTCAGTGATATTTGTCAAAAGGGCTAATGTCACTGAGTGATATTGATTCGCCGGTTTTCTTTCCGCCAAGTGATTTGAGATCAGCTACAATGCGACAAATTATGTTTAAAATTTTTGAACAACTTTCAAAAACTGTGTCTTTTTTGTTCTAGGTCTTGATATTCCCAAACACGGCGAGCCCGCGTACCCACTGGCCAGTTACGGAGACGGATGGTCGGAGTCGCCATCAGCACCGAGACAGACCTTGCCGTTTAGTCATAGTAATGGCGTCACCCCTGTCCAAAGTAACTATCCTGAGAAAGGAGGTGGAATCGATAATCCAAGTCTTGAGGTTATTGAAGCTCCAAACAAGAACGAAACCACAGAGTTTTGAATATCACAGACCAGATCGAAAGAATGCTACTTGCCCACTTCATGCCAAATATGGGAAAATCTTTCGTGTGGCATACGCTAAATCACAACACTTATTATAGTTTCATATTGCTCAGTGAATGATATTAACCGCAATTGTTGGCAGCAATACTCGACACAAAAAAAAACAAAATAACTTCAATTTACCTGAGAAAAATGTAGGCTTGTCCATAGGTGACCCGAAATTGCTCAGACGGTAAACATCAATAGTAACGAGGAAAGGAAAACAGCCTAGTTAAGATCTTATCTTCTATATTTATTTAGTTTTTATCGTGCATGGTGACAGACTATATATCGTACTTTGTAACCCTTGATAGTTATTAGAGCATGTGTCAATTCAAAAGTATTTTATATTCAAGATGGGGATCAAAATAGTCGTCAAACTTGTTTTTCATGTGAGAGACTGGACTCCATCAGATTATAGCGAGTGGGGACTGAAGCCACAGTCTATCCACTAGAGTCCAATCCCCACTTACCTTCCAAGGGCCACAACATTTGTAGACACTGGTGTAGGTTATAAAAACTAATTAAGAAATCATCGCTTTTCACGCTTTAAAATGCACGGCTCACTCGCTAAGAACTGATATGTCTAGATATTATAACGTATATTGTGTTAATTAAAACATTACCTACATCATTTCCTCACAGTCATACAGCATGTAAATGTGCACAGCCAACTACATTCATGTAGTCTGGGAGTAAAGGAATAAAAAAAAAATCTTTGTTATGTTAGTGGTAACCTTGTATGCGTGACTTAACTTTCAAACCTAAATGCTTTAACTAGCCTGACTTCAGCCGTGATCCTTTCTCACCACAAACACTATCAACCTATAGGCATTACTTCTACACAAAATTAATTCTAGCATTGCGTCACAGGGCTTTATATATGTGATTGGACCTATCTACCAAGATAAACCTTACCCTTAGCAAACCCTGATGGTGAGAAGGACACTAAAAATACTGAAAGGTTTGGTCTGATTCAAATTAACTTCCTGTCAAATACTTTTTTTTCCCCCAAAAAAACCCCCTTTGAAATAAGGGGGATTTTACAAGAACTTTGAAATACACAGATCAAAGTTCCCATGTCAGCCTGGTATTCCTCAGTTGTCAGGCATTTGTAAATATAAAACTCAACACAATCATTTAAATTCCATTTACAAGCAAAAGACAAATAAGAACAATTTGCAAGCCTTTTACTTAGTTCTTGAAGCATACATGGGGAAAAACTTGAACTCACACATAAACAGTCATGCCTCAGTTAAGTATTAGGCATTTTTTATTGCCTGGTTAGGCATGGATTGGAGGATATCAAATGTTTTCAGGGGGAATGTGGGAGGGTCTCAGTCTTGGCGAACTGTGTATAAAGGAAAGTTTACTGCTAATTAACTGCTGATGAGAGACAGGGAGGGAACCCCAGTCATAGCAGTCACTGTTTAATGTTAGTGGCACCTTATGGAAGATAATCCTACAGGAAAGAAAAAAACCTAGGCAATGGGACCACTTCTGAAAAGAGATCCTGAGTAACTCTAGAAGAATACAACTTCATACCCCAACTGTTTTCCTCACAACTAACTGCATTAGACTACCCTGACAAACTTATTACTGTTCACCCTTTTCCCTGGTTCACAAACTCTGCCCACCAACAACACCTAAAAAATAAGAGACAAAAAATCACAAACCCACCGTCTACTACAAGACCATAAACAATACAGACAAATGGACCAACAAAATTGTTCACAACATTTTACAGAATCACCAAACAACGTGTAAAAAAATTTACAAATATCTATTAAAACTCAATGGAACTCCACACACTACTCCTAACTAGTAAAATTCTCCACAAAAATAGTCAATTTTCAAAATCCTAACACCAGTAATGGAGTTCCATCTGAAGCAAATGTTTTACTTATTGTTGACAATTTCATATTTAAAAAATGTTTTTGTTTTTTCTCATTTTATTCTCTAAATAAAGGTTTTCTATCATGGTACCCATCTTTCAAATTCTAGTCATTTTAATGTAACAAATGCTGATTGTTCTTGGTATATCATTTTAGTAACATATCTTTTAGAATAATCGTTCAAGCCATTGGTATGAATTAAAGATTTAATGACTTTTTTTTAAATAAAATCTTACACTGAATTTACAATCATGAAAGACATAGCATTATCGAAAAAAACAGTTACCTACAATTAACATTTTCATATAAGATGTACATCACCCACCACGTACATCCTCATTACAATTCCATGTTGTAAATACATGCCTATACAGTAACAAATAAAGGTACTTCTAAATATAGTTCTAACGCTTCCAGCCATTTTGTAAATTTGTTAGCCTTTCCACAGCGATAACTATCTTAATCAGTTTTCGATCCTTTCTTAATTCAACTTTCCGCATAACACTTTCCACTTGTAGCAATTAAACTTTTGCACCTAACTGGTTATGAACAACGCATCTTTCGTATATCTGTGCCAAAGATATAATCTTCACGTCCGGAAGAAAAATTCATGTATTCGTCCTACCATTCTCTCATCGATAAATGATTTTTACATCACAAATAAATGCGGACTCCTCAACACAATAACTATATACTTTTCGAAAGTAGAAAGAAAAATTAATATTAAATTCGATCATTTACCAATGAACCGACAAACCGTCTAAATCGTTCTTACCATTTCATCCGATGATTGCTCTTTTCGGGATATCAATGCCAACCTTCCCGCAATCATTCGCTCCCAAAACACCCTTGGTTACTCTCATTACACTTTGGGAGTTAAATGGACATCTCCAACAAGAAATCGAATTATCACGACAACAAAGTAGAAATCTACAACGGGACCATGCTTCTTTTCGGGCCGAAACTCTTACGTAACGAGATCACGCAATCGTGGCGTCGCCAGAGTAAAAAAAAAATTGTTCTTTTTTTTCCCTTGGCTACCACAAGCCGAGGCTCTTTCCAGAGAAAGCTCACACAAAGGATACCACAAAAATCTGTTACCCCAAAACGTGAGTATCTTCCGGTTCTTTAATCACTATAAATTTTAGTTTGCATAGTTTTTATTTACTTATTTTAAAACTTGTTCCCAGAGTAATAGTTGCCTCTCTTGCAATTGTACTCTATTAACGTTTCGTACGAATAACAATTTTTATGCCAGAGGAAATCTTCTTTATTCCGGTACCAGTCACCGCTTCTCCGTTAAAAATTTAATTTAAGCATCTTTAATCTTTACAGTCAAGTTCTCTGAATAGTATTAAAAATGTCTATTGCTTTTCTCCTTCTTTCGGACTCATCACGAGGGTGGCGGGCAAAGGTCTGGTACCGGACTAAAAACACCCCGGCACTCTAAATCCCCACGGTATCAACGAGTGCTTTTCATTCATCTAGTTTTTTTAATCACCATATTCCCACCTATAGCGTAGCTCCATTTTCTGCATGTAAACCCACATACTACCCACATTTCCTCTAATCGCTCTGATGAAGGGCTAACGCACGTTAGCTTTCAAACACTTTACGGTGGCCAATTTACGTTATCAACTCAGTTTATAACACTAAATTACCCTGTTAGAAACACTCTGGCTTAGTTGGGCTTCACCCCTGTAGATTCTCTATCACATGTGCCTCAGCATTGATGTTCCTCTCTACTTCACTGATAATAATCAAAGTTTTCTGTTCTCTCTTTTTCTTGACATTTACTGTCCTCTTCTCCAAGCCACCAAACACAATTAATAAGTCTACTGAATCAATCCAGCTTATCATTCTTTATTATTTTGAGTTTGCTGACTTTCTTAAAAAGAAAAACACACAGTTTGACAGTTTGTATAGACTATTTGCTGTACATTCCATGTAAAGACCAGGTCAGAACCAATCAGAATGCATAGAATTACCTCAGGACTAACTTGCCTTATAACATATATCTATATATTTCCACAAATTATTCTGTCCCATCCAGTAACTTATCTCAGGCACAGCAAACAATGGGATCAACACTGAGCAACTCTGACAAAAGGAGATGAACACACAAGAAAATCAATTTCATTACCAGCAATTTGAACATTAAATCAAACACTTTATTTTACTTGACATCCATCATTAAACCTAGCATTTTTGAATGAATAAGTCAGAAATACAAGAAATCTTTAATAAATTCCTCTCTATTGATCATCTCTTTTCAGAACAAACATTTAGAACATTGGTATTAATGCAATTTCAAAGCTAATAATTTTTTTTTTCATTTTGGCACTGCCTTGTGATTAATATGGCTGCCTTGCAGTTTGTAGGTCCCTCAACATTCATGCTCAATTTAAGGACAAATAATTTTTCTTTTGTTTTATGTTTACATTTTCAACACTTCCCACTTTTCCCCATTTAACCCACTATTTTTTAGGAGAGTTGGGAGGTCTTAACCCTTTAACTCCCATGAATGACCAGGACAGAATTTCTTCTTACAATATCAATACAATATCAACCACATAAGTAACAAGAATATGGAAAAATATCAATTTGGGGATAATTATTCGATCCAATACTAAATTCTCCGAACTAACATTATAAGAATTGTATGGTTGACAGTAAGGAGAATTACAAATTTGATCTGGGAGTCAAAGGGTTAAATAGGGATCCCATACTTGATGCCTATAATACACCAAAGGTTGCAAGATGAATCTACTGCGATATAAATTTTGTTAAAAAAAAAAAAATAAACAAAACACTATTATATCAGTTAAAATTACTTCCGTCAGGAGAAATGGAAGTCAAAATGGCAACAATGTCAGACCTACAGATTTTGCAAAACAACCTTGACCACTTCTTTCTGATCATTACAGGCTGCCTCATTTTTTGTGAGTATAGTTTTCCATCTCTTTTCTTTAAAGTTTGAGATATCCATGCATGAAGTGATTGCTTTACATAAAAGAATATATTTTTTAGGAAGAGTTAAAACTGTTTTCTTTGCTTAAATAAGAGAGAAAAAATGGTATACTGACTTAGGCACCCACTCTGCCTCTGGGATCATTATATTAACAGTATACAAATGAAACCTGACACTATAATGAATACATTGAACTTGAACAAAGAAAACTGAGATTGGGGGAAAAAATAATTAACCCTTTAACTCCCAGATCAAATTTTGTAATTCTCCTCACTGTCAACCATGCAATTCTAATGTCGTATTTCAGAGAATTTAGTATTGGATCAACTAATTATCTCCAAATTGACAATTTTCTTTATTCTTGTCACTTAATTGGTTGACATTGTATTGGAGAAAGTTCTCACAGATTGCAAAAGTGACAAACTTGAAAAATGTAGGCAAACTTTTCCAGGATGGAAATGTAAGAACTGTCAGATAATCCAAATGGACTTAAAATGTAAGCAAATGTTTCCAGGATGGACAAATGGTGTCCAGGTGCAGTTCCCTTAAATAGATCCCCTGCATTACATATGCCTAGTCACATTTTAAAGAGACCCTATAATCAGATTGATAAATGACAGAGAAAAACAACTGAGGACAAGAGATATATGACATCTTACCCATTCAATGGTTGGTAGTTGATGGCTGGTCTGTCTTTTTTCAGTTATGCAAACAGGATTTGCATTTCTTGAAGCTGGCTCAGTAAGATCAAAGAACACAACAAACATTCTGATCAAGAATTTCTTGGATGTTTGTAAGTAGTGATGATAGAAATAAGTCATTTACCAGTATCCAAAGAGGTACAAAAGTTCAAAAAAGAAAGATGGCATCTCTCTTATGCATCAGTTCCTCAATCAGATCAAAATTTGACTTTCATGATTTGTTTGTTCTTTTATTTTCATTCCAAGAAGTTAACTTTTATACTGTACAGCCATCTTTAGGTTAAATTTTCAATAGCCAAGTGAACCTCTACACATGGCAATTCCCTGAATAAATGATGTGTCTTGTTTTATGTCTTACAGTTATTGGTGCAGTGGCCTATTGGCTGTTTGGGTATGCATTTGCATTTGGAGCAGAAAGTAATGGCTTCATTGGACACAAGTTTTTTGCAATGGCAGATTTACCAGCTGACAAATACTCTCATTGGTTTTTCCATTTTGTTTTTGCTGCCACAGCAGCAACAATTGTCAGTGGTGCCATGGCAGAGAGGACAGAGTTTAAGGCTTACCTGTTGTACTCTGTGTTTCTCACTGGTAAGTTCCAGGCCCTACTCCTTATTTCTGATAGGTGGCACTTGCATCTCTAGTTTTCAACCTTATGGTGGCAAGCTGTTGTTATATTCATCATTCTTCCTTAGGCTTTGTATACCCAGTAGTCACTCACTGGGCTTGGGATGGAAATGGTTGGCTGTACAAGGGTGTGGATTACACTAAAGACAATGTAACCTTGTCTGTTACATACCAGGTAAGACAAGACATGGAAGTAGTGAGACAATTTAACAGTCACTAAGACACCAATAATGGCTGTCATTAAAGGTCACTGAAACCTGATCTTTTGCACATATATCTGTACATACCAGTCCACTACTGTGCTATTCTTTTCTAAATCAAGGATTTTGCTGGCAGTGGGGTTGTTCATGTTCTTGGTGGTACTGTTGCCCTAGTTGGAGCAACTGCTGTTGGACCAAGAATAGGAAGATTTGTGAATGGTGTCCCTGTTCTACTTCCAGGCCATACTGTACCAGTGAGTGAAAGACTTCTTAAGCTTGTCATTTTCAAGGGTGGATTTTGCATTTAAAGACTGGTCCAGTTACTGTGCAGGACTCTTAAAATCTCAACCATGCTTTTGCATTTTTTTTATTCTAGCAAGCAGCTCTTGGAGGATTCATCCTGTTTTTTGGCTTCCTGGCATTCAATGGTGGCTCACAGGCAGCCATTGCTAGTGCAGGTGATGCAGATGCTGTAGCACTGTCCGTTGTCAACACAATCCTTGGAGGTGAGACAGTAACTATTTAACTATGAGCCTTATTTTCTCTCCATTTCCAGTTCACTTGTCAACACAGTTCTTGAAGGTGAAACATAATAACTCTTTACCCAGGAGCTTAATTTTATTTCTGTTTTCATCCTCTTTGCCAAAAGAATCTAATGTGGTTCTCTTTTCTCATTTAGGAGCTGCAGGTGCCCTAACTGCCATGATCATCAAACGTCTGGGCTATGCAGCAAAGTACTGGAGCTTACTTTTCACCATTAACGGCGGACTTACTGGAATGGTGCAACACATTAGTTAGATTATAAATATGTGTAGGCTTTGAATATTAAGAGCACCTTCCATATGAAGCCCTAAAGAGAGATTGATTTTAATTACCATTACATTCCTTTATACTTTCAGTTTGAAATTGCTATGAAATAAAATAATTCTCTGCAACTTCAAGTGCCGATTCATTATTTTTTGAGCAATAAAGATGGTTAAAAATATGGAATTCAAACCGGTACTCTTTCTACCAATTTGAGTAGAGAGGGTTTTTCATCAGTTTGTGAGCTAGTTGTTGGCTGTAATTCATGTGAAATGCCATCTGTTGTTCCACCAGCTTCTTTTTAAGTCTAAAAGGAGTTGCATTGTGTTTCAGATCACAAAACAAGTACACCTGAAGGGCATTACATACAATGAGTTTCTAGAAAGAAAAAAAATAGTAATCAATATCTGCCTGATTTATTGGAAGGGACCATGCTCTTATAGATGGGTGGATCATGCCCATTTTGGCTGGGTTACTGTACTGATCAGATGTTTTAACCTTATCAATTCCATTACAAATGATAACCTTTGCATTTGTTTCTTAGGTGGCCTTATGTGCAGGTTGCAATGCCATCCATCCTTATGCTGCTTTTTTCATCGGCATCATTGCTGGAATGGCCTACGTTGGATGGAGCACTCTTCTGATTCGTTTAAAGATTGATGATCCACTGGATGCTGTGGCAGGTGAGTTGCTCAAACACTGATCCACCTTATCAACTCATGTTCAGCCAACTTATTGTGAAAAGAATTGTTTGGCACTCCCTGTTCTACACACCATGCTTTTCAATTGATTGCTGTAAAACCAAATCCATGCTCTTTTGGACCAATAAAACCATATCAAGGAAACTTTAAGTAAAATGTGTAAATGGTCTGATGCAAGGGCCAGCATAAGGAAAGGGATCAAAAGGGCATTGGTTTTATTGGGCTGAAGGTTTGTTGCAAGTATTGTGGATCTATCACATACAAAATCAATACAATGCCAGATTACTCTTGGAAAGCAACTGAACTGTTCACCAGTAACATTGTTTGACTATTACGTACAGTTCACTTTGGTGGTGGTTTCTGGGGTGTGCTGTCTGTTCCCATCTTCAACACAGAATCTGGAATATTCTATGTTGGAAGCGAGCATTCATTCTGTTTGTTTGGATGGAACCTGCTGGGAGTGCTTGCCATCATGGCCTGGTCTGCAGCATTGAGTTTCCCCATGTTTTTCATGTTGCGCATCTCAAAGCAGCTTCGTGTCAGTGCAGAAATCGAGCAGAAAGGTAACAGTCTGGACCAGATACATCAATACATCAATTATTCCATGGAGTTTCATGCTTAAAATTTATATTTTCCTACATGCTGACACTTTCCAGGTGTAGAGACCTCATGCACCTCTTGGTTACCATACAAGTTGGCAACTTTTAAATTCATTAGTGGCTTTGCATTTCTAAGGTCTGACAGACATAGGTTATATACCTGTTAATGTAAGTCAATAACATTAATATGGTTTTTAATGGTCTGAGAGATACAGGTAATACAGCTGTTACATCTACTGGGGTGATATGCTGATAACATTTATGCCATATTTAAAGGTCTGACAGATAAAGGTAATACCCCTGGTACATCTCCTGGGTGATATGACGATAATAATGCCCAAGTTGACTCATCATCATCTGCTAATTTACATCAATTTTTATATACTCATTTAGAATGTTTTTCCTTTCCATGAGACCCTGGTTGAAATGTGTGTCTGTTATGCTATTTGTGGACTTTTAAGGAAGAATTGAATACATTTAATCAAACCTAAGCTTGTTTTCATGACAGATTATAGCGACAGGTACTTCAGTAATATAGAATTGTTGGTTATCTTTCCATGATTTGAGATCCCTGGTTTTTTTTTTACAACATTCAATAAACCAAAACTTAAAATTTTTTGTTTGTCCTAGGTCTTGATATTCCCAAACATGGCGAGCCAGCATACCCATTGGCCAGTTATGGAGACGGTTGGTCAGAGTTGCCACATAATCCACAGTCCTAAAAGCTACACATGTTAATACTCACTTTTGCATGAAAAACTGTTTATTGCAAGTTTTTGAAGATGAAAAAATGATTACACAGAGGAAAGTAATGATACTACTCAAAATGTTTAAACATGTCTGTGATGCTACTGAATATGAAAAGTATCATGTAGGATCACCTTAATTCCAAATTCAAAATGCACTCAAAGAAATAAAGCTTACTGCTTTCACTGCCCTATTACGTTCTTTCTCAGACTGAAATGTTTAAGTCCTTCCTAAGCCCACTCCTTCCCTCTCCCACTGAACTTTAACTCTAAAGTATTGGTTGTATTATTGTCGTTCATTTGATTGTACTATATTGTGCTTAGCTTGATAGTCATTTCCTTCTCCTTCATTGCTTTGGATTAAAAAGAACAATACCCTCCTCCACTGGGGGAATGCAACACTATTTTAACACAGTCCATTACCTCCCCTTTCCCTCCACGTTTCTTTGTTCACAATTGAGTGGTGCTTGGATATTTTCGTAATTTTTTTAATCTTACTACAAAGGAGAATATTCTCGCAGTTGTATAAGCGCATCGATAACTTTTCATTGCGCATTGGAATCGATTTCTCGCAGAAACAATGGACAAAAGGAACGAATCGATAATCTCGAAACCCTTGTTACAAAATGTTCTTGACCTACTCACGATTAGAACTTCGGATACATGTGTAACCATGTATAACTTACCATAAAATTTTTAAACATGCGGTATAAACCTGATTGCTTGTACGAGTAAAGATCCAACATACTAAATTGTTGCCCAATTACACTCGAGTCTTCATGCGTACTTGGCAGCGTCAGCAAGGGTAGATACTCTGGTTGCACTGTGCATGACAACGAGGCATAATAACAACAGGAGGTCCTTCCAGGTTTGGTGAAAAGAGGATTGCGTGCTTTTTGTTTCTCTATTCCGTTAACCGCACTTAACCGTTAACAAATGTAATTTCTGACGGTTGTGACTAGGAACGAATTAGTCAGAAATTACTACTCTGATGGCACGATTGAGAGGTTTTAGTATTCTCAGGGGAGAGTTTTGAGTATTTAATGTTTTAGCGGGGAATATTAATCATTCTAGCTCAGTCAGTCTTTCTGTTTGCTGTTGTCAATTTAGTTAAATTTTTTCTATGGAGTTATGGGTTTGTTTGTACCTCTTCCCCGAGGTTCCGTGCCACTGCATTAGATGGGGAATACGTTTCCACATATTTTTTGGCCACATTTAAAGAGTGGTTTTTTTAGTGGTTTTTCGTATCTGGCGTGGTACACTTAATTTTTCAAGCTTTTCAAGTTAGACTTGCTAGCATATTCTATGTTGTAATAAGTATATGTTACGACACATTGTTGTTGTCGGATGACTAACTGACCATTCCTCAATAAACTATTTCACATTGAATGTTTCGTGATAGTGTAGTCAGAATACACTTGTTTTCTGGTTCTTCCATAGTTAATTCACTTAGGTCTTGAATAGCACATGCGCAAAAAACGCACTCACGCATATGCAATCGAGCCTTCGGTTGACGGCGATTTTTGACATCTTAAACTCAGGCCTCAGTCCCACTTATTCAGACTTATTTGCACACGTATTGTCTTAATTATGCTAGTCATTTCATTATGACTCAATAGGATTACAGGCGCTCTCTGACTGGTCAAACACATTTTGTATATTTCCCCAAAACCCCAAAGCTATTTACAGCAATTTTTGTCAGTTAATGGTCGCAATAACCTACCCAACACAACCTCTTTCCTGACGTTTCTTTCAATAACCAGATATGTCCGTCGTACAAACTGTACTTTGTTGGAGACCAAACTTAACTGAGTGTTCAATTTTAAGTTACATTCTAGATAACGCTTGTTACCAAAGTTATTCAAGGACCCTCGGCCAAAGCTACAAATTACTAACAAGGAAAACCGTTTTTGGATGTTATTACTTCCCCTTTCTGATGTTTCCGGGTGAAACAAAACTTAAAAAACAAAAAAATGACCTTAGCTTTAAAGAAATTTACACAAACTAAGGCCTGCATTTCGGGCGTATTTTAGGGAAAGACTTTACTCTAACCCAGAACAAAACATGGTGGATCGTCAAACGATTGCGATCATGTTCCCCCTTCGTATTGGACACCTGCGTGGCAAGCTACTCAAAATATATTCACAAGATCCGTGAATATTTACGTCCAAGGAGAGTTTATTTCGTAAGATTCTGTAAGTATGATCTGTATCTTTTTAAACTTTTTTTTCAATTTAACTCTACCAGGAAACTAGCAAACCAGCAAAGCAGGTTTTGCTGTTTATCTGCTCTACGATAAATTCTCGAATTCTCCTCCAAGGCCGGCGTCTGCTTCAAGCATGTTCATGAAAACTGACATAGTTTCTTCGCTTTGTTCCATGGGAGCTTCCATTGACTCAATTGCATTTTGCATTCCAATCAACTGTTCCAACAGGTGTGCCTGTGACAGCTGCCGTTGATTATCCAAACCAGCTCCTACCGCATGCGAGCCCGTTCTATCGGTAGACGGAACTCTTGGGGCATTTGGTGCGTTCGGTGAAATGTCGTCAATGTTTATCGTACTCACACCACCCGTATTAGATGGAAGACCCTCATTCAGTCGATTAAGACCTAGTCCGAACTGGAATTCCCTGAGATAATAGAAAGTAAAAGGCGAGTCACCTTTTTTCCAATTCATTTTTTAAATTACTGACGAGGAAATGAATAGCAGCTGAAAGAGAGAAGTACCATTCAGATCTCGGGAGTTTGAGAGTTCAGAGGGAAAGGGCCTGTTGTTAAATTAGGCGCTCGTCAAGAGTGCATAGCTCTTTTACGACAAACACTCCTGACTCCTCAATATTACTGGCTCCTTATTGAAGACAACCCTAATGTACGGGCAGAGAAATAACCTCGGCAGGACTTCCTCCCTTTTCGAAACTTCACCTTAATGCAAGCAAACTTTCATTTGAATAATTGTTTGATGGTTCGATGCTGCCACACTGTTTCGGTTGCTTGTATTATCAAAAAAATAGAGATGGTTTCAAAATCTTACTGTCACTAGAGGGGCGGGGTAGTCCTTCAAAAACAAGTTCTTTTTATGAAAAGGACAGTACCCACCTGTCTTGTGTTTCCTGGTTTTGAACCTGTTCGGCCACAATGGCCCCAATACGACTCGCACCTGCATTTCCCACATTAGCCATAGCAACGTCAAGTTCATGACTCTTCTTGTCAGCTGACATGGACCCTAAAATGGAGGCATTAACGTTTAATTTGCTTCCTCATAGCTTGGAAGACAAACTTAACGAAAACTGATTACTTTCAACAGGAGAAAACCTTTTAAATTCATTAAAAACTTCTGATTACAATAAAGGTAGAAATTCTGACTATTTAGTGCCAATTCCACCGCCCAAATTTGGTCCAACACGCTTCATATGCCGACTAAGTTATCTAGCCATATCTATGCCATGATAACTCAAAACAAATAATCTGAAACAACACAGGGCGGTAATAGTTCGAGGGATGGTACGAGCTGGTCTGAGCGTACTGTAGTCAACGACTTACAGAACTTATTTCAGGATTGCAAAAAGAAGACTTGCAAACGACAAATAGGTCATGACTGCAGGCGGAGAATGAAGTTTTGAGACATAACTACACTAACTACACTCAGCGGAGGAAAAGAGAAATCTCGTCCTTTTGAACTGACATTTTCAAGAAACCCCACTGCACAAGTAAAATAATATTCGTAGAACCTAATGAAGAAACTACATTTGATAAATGATGCAACTCAAAACGAGGAAAGAAGAATGATGAGTTCCTGTCTTTTTTGTTTGTTTGTTTTTTTTAAACAAAAATATTTTCTTCCTTGAATTCACCGCTGGGCCTCGACTTGATCAACTTGACCAAGTCCCCCTAGGTCGATTTCAAAGATATTGAACATAGATTGCTGAGAGATTTTCCAGAGGATCAAATGCAAATTGAGAGCATTTTCAAACTTACTGAATGCTCAAAAAAAAAACTAAGTGATACACAATCGTAATCTTGACAAGAGCTAACCTGCATCTAACTGCTGCCCACGTTTCTTCAATACTTCTAACACTTGCTGTACACTCGTCTTTCCAGCCATACTGTCAGTTTGAGCTGAAGACCCAGATCCTACACTACTTGCAAGCTGCAAACTGGTGCAGGACACATCAGACGGAGGAGCTGCCAGGGGCAATGACATTGACTCCAAACCCCTTAAGACAAAACACTAGTCATTATGGCAACCAACAATACCATGATTTGCTTGAGAGGCCTCTCCTATCCTTCATAACAGTTTCATGGCGGAAAGTGAAGTCGAAGCCCGCACAAAGTTATTTTTTTCAGAATCAGTTATCTCCGGAACTCTCGCTGATTCTGCCCCTGGGTGGTTGCAAATTCATTCAGCATCTAGGCTTGTGATACTTTCAAATAAAAGATCCCGAGGCGCGAGACACAATTGAAAATAAAATACACCTTCTTCGTTCGTGAAAAACTTTTTTTTTCCACTAGGAGTCAAATTCTCAGGGAAAATGAGCACGTGAAAAGTAACGCTGCATACTAACTTAAAACACCCTCAACAACAGAGAAAAAAAAAGATCTAGTATGCTATACTCACGTGACCACAGTGTTGACGCAAACTAGAAACTCCAGTTCCTTTGACCAGGGATTTCGGAATACATTCGAACAAGTTCGTAATGGAAGATAGTGACCTGCCTTACATCGAAACCTGTAAACATCAGTTGACACAATCTCCCCCTGAAGAGCCCGACGATGGGAAATTGCTATTGTATTAAGGTCTTCTTGATGATAATATTCATAACCAGAACTTCCTATGAGCTCCTGAGGTAGATAGCCAGTTATGGCGGTAGTTCTGCAAAAGGCAAAAGGTTCAGTCACCTTTAGGGCCAATAAAGTCATCATGACGGAAATTATCCCAGTATTCAGTGGCATGAAGTGAAGCAATGTGGAGTACTGCTGTGCCCCCTTAGACAAAAAGTTGGTCCAGTACAGTATTTCCCTCTGCATTTTATTAGCTTTTCCTTACACCTATTTAAACCTCTTGAGTAGAAAGAAGCACTGTAAAAGTAGTGTCTTGGCCAAGAATACAACACTTTGACCCCAAGGTTCAAAGTCCGCAGCACTAACCACTTAGTCAACACATAACTAGTGTCAATGTTCTTTCACTAAAATCCTTTGTAAAAGGAGCTAGTATACATAAATTGAAAATCTTCCCAAATAAGCAAGCAGAATTAACCTGCTCTTGTCTTCTGATGCTCAATACACTAACAGATTTGTCCCCGAAATCAAATCAGAGTCAAAATTGACAGAACACCTTTACTTTAATTGTACCTTTACATTCCACATCAGTCTACTACAAAGAAATTCCACCAGTATACCACATATGTATGAGAATAATTTCCCAGTCAAGGAGAAGGGAGAGGAGGCTAGATGTTTCCAACTCACCTCTGATCAACAAAGATAAATTTTCCATCTATACTGTGACGTGAGATGAATTTTTTGGCAATTCCTGGTTGTGAGAAATCTGTTGCTTCATCATAAATTGTTTCCAGTCTTCCCACTGCTACAAGACAACTGAGATTTCTAGATTCGTTGTCTTCATCGTCCTCATCAACTGAAGCTCCAGAGGGCGGCCATGATTTAAGGTATCCTGTACAATGAACTAATTCACAAAAACAAAATGAGGGTTGGAATAATTAGTAAGAAATTTCAGTATTTCATTTGTTAGTTAATAGACAAAGGAAGAAAGAGAACTAAGTAGCATCATACAATAAAACGTGTATTGACTGAGTTAGGTTAGGCCAGTCATGCCTTACAGACCAAGTGTATCAAGTAAAATATTTTCCTGTACAGCCCTCCTACTCAGTCAATAAAGCCATTGTACCATATGGTTTAACTTTGTTAAGAAGTGGGCTCTTAGCTTCACATAGCCACTGCATACAATTCATGTGTCACACCCACCTACGACATATGGCTTTTTGTCAGGTTGTGCTGCCTGCTTGCTTTTGCTTTTACGTTTCATTAGACATGGTTCAGGTTCCAAACTGTCTTTTCCCTTTTTCCCTTTGGATCCACATTTCATACGGCAAAAGAATGATCTCCTAGCACCAGAACACAGTCGTGTTGGAGTGGGTTGATTTTCTGTTTTAAGTGGAAGACCAGTTTTTGCATCAATCAGTCTTTCACGAGGCGTTGTGTCTGAGGACGACAGTTGTTCTTTGACTTTGTTGACATCCTTTTGGTGCACAAGATCAAGGAAACTATGTCCTACCAGATCAGACTGTTCAGGGAGAAAAAAAAACCAAACAGCTACAATAATTTTAACTTTACAATTGCCCCTCCTCCATTGGTTGTATGGATAACCAAATTCTTTATCTAACCTTACATTATGTTTACTTGAAAAAAGGTAATTTTGAGTAGGGCTTCAGAAAGTATGGCAGCTAAAATACTTTTCTTCCATTTAACTTAGGTTTCATTCATTCTTTCTCAAGAAAAGAGAAAAATTGAGTCCCTTGCAATTAAAATTCCATCTTGGTTCTTGTTAATAGTGGAACTCTTGAGAAGGTTATGAGATTTGGTTATGTTCACTTTTACTTGGAATGAACTTACAGGAGCCTGATTGAGATAGTTCTGAATGGAATCTGATGCATAAAGAAGACATCCCCTGTCACATCCCACAACAAAAAGGAATCCATCAGCAGCTTCAAGAATAAGGTTCTTTAAATCTTCATCAGACAAGAAAGCTGGTTTGTAGTTTGTTTCTGTGAAGGGGTCAAGTGCTCCTGAAATGTAAAATTTCCAACACAACATAATGATATTGTATTCATCATGGTTAACTTGGTGATTCAAATACTGGTAGGTGTCTGAACTGCCACAAAGTCCACATGTGTTGCTGGTTGCTCTTTGGTTCCTTGTGAATGTTACACTTAATGAAATCCACTTTTGCCTTTGCCTTTTCCTTGGCCTTGCCTGATTGCTGATTGCCACAAACAAATCTCCCCCCCTCTCCTTTCATCTTCTTAATTTGGAACAAGTTAATTACAGTCTCCCCAAGTAAGCCTTGGCTAATAAACAAATGTCATTCTAAGTGGCACCTAGACTTGTGGTGGGATTAAAATCATAATCACAGTTCCTAATAACTAAATCTAAAGATAAAGCCCTACATAATGCATTTTTGTTTAAGAGTACCTCTAACTCCATTGGAATTAAACAATTTTTTCACAGATGCAAAGGAGAAACATGGTGCATGTGGAAATCATTTCATGAAAGGAGCAACACAAAGTTATCATCACCTTTCAAGGTCTTCATATGCTGCACAGCCATTCTCAACACTGTCAGTTTATCCAGCTTGCGTGACATGGCATTACACATAGGGATCATTGTTGACAATTCATTAATGTATGTGTTCATCTTATCTCTCCGCCTTTTCTCTATCTCACTGTGATTTGGCCTGTTTGTATATCAAAGAAGACAGTTACTTGATCAAACAGTCTGTGAGACACTATAAAGGTGGTAGGTTTCATTCAATAAATTAAGAACATACGGCCTTTCTAATGACTTATCAGGAAAGGAAACATTGAATGATTCCAAACCCCAGTGGCAAAAATTGACCAAGCATTTATTTCCAAAAGATGAAACATTTGGTGAATAATTCTAAGAAAATTCGATCACAACTTACTTTGTGTTTGTCTTTGGCCATCCTTTCCTCTGATCGTCACCATCCCTACACACAAACAATTGACTTCTTGTTATCAAAGCAAATATCATTATAATTTAAATGAATTATGGTTTCCTCTAGGATTGTGTGAGCAGGAACAAATGGGTCATGTGATAAAATTACTTTTATGAACTACATGGATACCTTCCATCTCCATCAATTGTTTCTGCATCACTTTCATCACTGCAATGATAAGACAAACTCAGGTTAGGAAAGGAAGTCTTCAGTGTAAAAAGTGTTCAGAATAAATATGAAAGCTGCATGGCAATCTGGATTACTTTCATCATTTGCTACCATTTAACCCCTCTTTTAAGCCACATTCTACTCCAAGAACATGAAGTGGTTACAACAAATTGACATGGCTGACAAAATGCTTCTGGGAGATGTTCATGCCTCAGAATAAATTATTGAGTAACATTATGTAATATTTAAGATACATACATTTTAACAGTTTCTGATACTCTCAGTTACACCTAACAACTTGAAATTATGTGTGATTTTCTTTTTCCTGTTTAGATTGCATTTTTGCCAAATTTTCTTAGAATTTAATTTAAGATAAAAACCAAGGCTTTTAAACTGAAAGTTTTTTCAACGACACAGTACAAATTCAAACAAAAATAAGAATTGAAACTAAAAGTAATTAGGTGAAACAAATGACTTTTAAATAAAAGTTCCCATCAGTCAGAACTGACATCTTTCCTTGCAGATACCATTTGTGACCCTACTGATTACAGGTGGCTGTACTCTGAACAGCCCTCTCCTGGGAAGGGAAAGCAAGGAAGGCCTAAAAAGCAACTGGATAACAAAGGGGAACAATGATTTCAGTAGATAGGGTAATGATTGTACAAAAAGCACCCAGCATCTCAGGCTGAAAAGGAGTAGAGATACCCTACAGGTTATTGAACAACAGTGGGTATGAGGAGGAAGAGAGAATTCTAAGAAAACTTAGAAAAGTGTGTGGTCAAAGTTAACAATTTTTAGGTATTGAAAATATCCAGGGTAAATTCATCATGTTACAGCCCAACCAAGATGCAGCCTTTAGGTACAAATAGTGGGATATCTAAGACAAATGTAGTTCAAATACTTGTATATCCAGGATTGAAAACAAGTTTTGTTTGGTTCATTCTTCAATAACTTCACATCCAGTTGTATTTTTATACACCTTCACATTAATTCAACTATGTGCAATCATGTGAAATTCTATCAATGACGACACTCTGGAACACAAATTACAAACAAAAACAAATCTCACAAACAGTCAATCATTGACTTTCCTCTTTAAATGCAGAGGAATTTTCAGTTAAATAAATGAGGAGTTTATTGATTTTGCGTTGTCATTGGTCTTTTGTATTTTTTTTCTTCCAGCAGAGTGCCTATTTTCAGTTTGATTTTCATGGGTCTCTGGGTATTTTCTTTTAGTTAGAATACCCGGTGTGATTAATTCCATCTTTCAAGTTTTCAACATTCGGAGACTAGAGCATTATGTGAAGCTTAGCTTAAGGCAATCAGGAGTTATCAATAATCCCTGGTCAACTAGCAAAAGGTAACTGCCATCTTCAATACCGTTTGGCACATACATGAATAGCATACATCAATCGATCTGCACCGGTTTCACTAATTCATTAGCAACCGAATGAACTGTTTAAGGCGACAAGATACAAGAATAATTCTTACATTCACCTGTACATCCGCACAACAAAACGAACAAACCACATAACGATAACGACTGGGATTATTAGGCTAGGTCTTGCAAAATAAGTTGGCCTCAAAAATCAAACCATAAACCCATGTATTAAATTTACCTTTGCATTTTAGCTTAATCAAATTTAATGCGAGAATTTTCACGCCGTTCAGACAGCACAATATAAAACTAATAAAAAATTGGTTCTCAGAGACAACCAACCGCATAATTTTTGCAATAAAATTAAACTAAGAAATACATCTGGCCTGTTTACTAAGTAACACTCAACCATATCGAGTTCAAAGATGACAAAGCTGCACATATTTCAACCGTCAACTTACTCCATGAGATCAGAAACCGCTCTTCTTTTCTTCTTCTTCCCTGGATCCATATTGATCCATGTAAAGTACACTTCTTACTGAGAAAGAGAAGGATATATACCCGTTGTTATTGATCCTAAGACGGAGATATCTCACCGGATGTCTACCAACACGAGCGATATACGTGAATATTTGTCATCCGCACTCTTTGCCATACTAGTCCCAGTCCCTTGCAGAATTTTTTGTGAATATTTTAAATATGTGATGTAATCTTACCAAAGAAGTTTAGTTTGTCACATTTTGAGGAATGTTATTTTTGGAAAAGCATTTCGTTAACTTCTTCAAGCAAATGGCTGTGATAGCCCCTCAGAAATTTTTACCCCCCCCCCCCCAGGATTTTACTTTCTCAAGATGGACTTCAGTCTGCTAGTGTTTCTCAAAGTTTCCTCTGCAGGCTATTTGCGCGGGTCCGACCACCGCCCTGGGAAAACAGGACCCAAACGATTCCTTCCTGGGTAGATATAACGAAGGAGCACTTGGTTCATTTTTTTTCAAGTTCATGTCAAAATTCTGAGCCTTTATCATATATTGCCATACAGCCAAACCTCCTTAACACACACTACGCGGGGACAGAACAAAGTGACCGCAGGGAAGTTTTTGTTTCACAGAGGTCAACAGGATGTGGTCCCTTTGAAGACACCACTATCACTTTTTAAGTGAAAGGTAGCAACAAACAAGCACATGTACATCTTGATTTGACACACTGCCTTATGAGAGAAGGAAATAATAACGTTGCTTGTAGGCTAAAAGAGCAATGCAATACTTTGAACGGCCGATTAAAATCTAAAGTTAGATTTCTAAGAAAAGTTCCATACTTTGGTCGTGTAAACCTTTTAAATGTCTGTAAACTTCCTCTATAAAGCTTTTGCAAGTCGTTGTCTGAGAGAAACAAATGACATTAAGTTTTTAATGCATGGGCAATGGGGCAGTTACACGTTTGACTTACCAGTGATTAGATACAAGATATTAGCTTAATTTTATTTTGTATATGACAGCTCTAGCTTCTGTATTTTCTTTTGCACAGCGGCTGATACTAATAATGCTGTTGAACGAGGTCGAATCTGTCGATACATGGTCGGTTATCTTCGAAAGCCTATCGAAGGGATTCGCATCAGCCTCAAATCACGGGATAGTCACACTTTCTGTCCACTCTCGGCTATTTCCGGAATGTGTTCGGTTAAAGAAGGTTATGCGTCATGATTAAGACGATTATGTCATATTCGCTTGATTAAATACAAAGTGAAGTTGTCGGTCAGAGCTTCTTTTTGATGCTAAGGTTTTAAACTGTCACGATGTCGGGAAGTGAATCAAGGCATTACGGTGAGTGGTCTCTGTCGAGCTGGTACGATTTATTACCAGGTCCTGACCGTCTTCTCGAAGTCTCCACTTCATTAAACGAAAGTGATGCTTGGAGTTTAGTTTACGGTTGGACAGAAAAGCTGCTAAGCGGTGGAATGGGCCATGAAAAACTACAAGGAATAACTGACGCACTGTTATACAATCACTGGAATCAGGCGAAGCGAATGGGCTGCATGGGTGTTCAATTCACCTACATAAATGGCTTTTATCACAGATTTATCTGGAGGAGTTCGTGACAACAGTTGTACAACTAATCCGGCCGGATTAATAGAGATCATTTCACTGGAAAATTCTAGACAATATTCGAAGTACAGAGTCTGTATATACGCCTTCGGACAAACTTCAACCGTTCGTCTTGTTTCGTTCTGCATTCCGGGTGGATTCTTCATCTTTAGAACTAAACACTTGACATAAAAAAATAGTTGGCTCTACTATCATTGTGAAAAGTATGTTTCATTCGACATAACTTGAAAGATAAAACTGTTGCAAACTGAACAGTGTGTGTAACGTTCTCCATTTAAACCAATTTAAATAATACTACTCGGGGTTTTAAAATACCACCGCGCCTAAAAAAATCAATTAAAGACATCGAAGGAAATTAAACCCAGACTTCAATTTGCATCTACGTGAGTAAGAATATTCTATATTGAAAAACTTTGAAAAACGATTTACGTATTAGGAAGCCATCACGTAGGCAGTATTGTATTTTCAGACAAACTTATCGATACAAATAGATGAAACGCTACAGATGAGCGGCACCGCCGGATAACAATAAGAAAAACATTTATTTTCATCTTTGAATAACATACGTATAAGTTCTATCACCGGCTGTTTGCTACAGCGGTCGACCTCAGCTGTATCTTGGCGTCACAAATGACTGAAGACTAATATTAATACCAACGTAGATCAATTTTAAAAATAGCATCTTAACCTTTCTCTATTCCCGACTTTGTAATTTAATTTCAACATGGTACAAAGGAGAGGAAAGAAAAATCCCTTCCCATGCCTGTCTTTTTGTTAGTCCTAAACAAATCTCTTTTCTAATATATTTCACTAACGGCTCACCTAAATAAGTAGGAAAGTGCTAAATGTTTCATTGTTTACTGCAGGGTGACATATATTTAGGGAAAGAGAAAAAATAGTAAATTTGACCTCAGTGGACAACTGACAACATAGGACAGGAGGCTGATTGTTTCTGTTTTGTGCAGATCTGCTGGGTTTTTGCGGTTTCTGGAGGTGTAAGCAGAGCAAGACAGGAAAAAACATCAGCAGGTGGTAATGTTACAAACATGTTCCAAACTATTTGGATAGACATCAAATATTGTTTCCGTGGTAATCTCGATATCGCACTAAACGTGGCTGAGAAGAATCTGAGAGATAAACAAATAACAACAGTTCGTTTTGGAAATTCATTTTTTTACATTTCGACTAGAAACTCAGAAGGCTGCTGGACATTTTGTTCATGTTCGTAAAATCAATATGAATGATAATTTTTTCTTCATTAAAAACGTTTTGGCTGATGTCACGCTAGAAATGTCGTTATTATACAAATAAAATGGTATTGTTGATTAAACAAGGGAAAATAACACAGTGAAAGGGAAAATTGGATAAGAAAGTGCTTACTACTACATCGTAGATGTTCTGTAATTCAAAGAACAATGAAATGTTTTTATGTCAAAGAGGCCTTTCGTTTCTGTAAAAATGGAAGTCTTGAAAACACGGCCCTCGCTGTTTAATGATAGTTGCCCGGAGAGGCCGCAATAACCCAGTCAGCGAACTTCTAAAAAAGTATCAAACAAGAAAAAGGGAAGGTAAGTATAATATTCACCCAAGCCTCAGTCGATAACGGATCCCCACCTGATCTAGGTTATCAAAAACATTTTTAAATGTGAAAGATATTTTCCAATTAGTGACACAGCCAGTAATTCAAATTAAAAGTGAAAATAAAACTTTTTTTCAAAACGATGAAACGCAGACGTAAAAAACAAAAAGCAGTGACAAATCTGTGGCCCTTTGTCACTAAAGAACTTATACTAATACCACAACTAGGCAATTACACATATGCTTTTTGACCATTAATTAAATGTTCTATTTAACATGTAAAATGTCTATCCTTAAAATTTGTGATAATTTACACTATTTGATGTTTTCATTAACTACATACTTACAAAAAACTATTAATTGTTTTAGCTTTCTAATGGAACTGAGCAGAAATTACAAAATACACAAATAAATTGCTGGTAGATACTTTACATTCGACTCGATCTCTTCAGTTGAGAGTTCAACTTGTGCCAGCGGCCGGCGCATAGTGTCTTCCTGATGCAATTATAATAATTTTCTTATTTTTACACTGTAAGATGATCATCTAGACGAAAGATAAGTTGGACGAAAGAGCAATTTTGTACATAAATAAGCGTTTAAAAAATAACTGCCAATACGAAGTTAACCGTCTAGACTACTGTATGCTCCAGAAACCACGTGACTTTTGTCTCTGCCCTTAAAGTGATTACATATGGTTCTGGTTGCCTTTTTAGATACAAAAGAGTATACTATCCTTTCAAAAAATTCCTTAAATGAGCTAAAGATTAAACCTCGAAAGCTGCCATTTTGAATAGCGCTGAGCAGCCTGGATGCTTTCTCATTTAAAAGATCATTATTGGTGCTTGGCAAGATACTTGTAAATGCTTGCCCTTAAATATTTGCAGGCTCATTTTTTTCAGTTGCAATTTTGCGAAAATCAACTGAAATTTAAAGCAGCGCAAGCATTCAATGTATTTTCTCCGTTGGTGATATTTAAAAGGCTGTATCCATGTTCCCGTAAGTGTGTTCGTCGGTGGCCTCTACACTTGGTTTACGACCGGGATTTTCTAGGGAGGTATCCTTGTCTGGCAGGTCGAGAGGAATCTGGGAATGATTTACTTTGGGCTGTTCGTTCTGGTATATGGCTTGTCCTGGTTGACCATGCTGCATAGCAGGCTCTTTACTTTGACCATTCTTGGTAGGAATGACGTTAACGAAAGTAGTAATGGAGGTCTGATAAAATGGGAAGGGAATCTTTCTTTCTTCTGACGGTATTTCCCAGCCGTTCCCGTAACTTTCCACTGGGTAGGCAGGCTCACCGTGTTTAGGTATGTCAAGTCCTATCACAAATCAAGTATCAGTCTATTAGTTATAGAATCGCTTGAAATTGTTCTTATGGATGTCACGATGAGGGTAAGATGCACGCCATCCCAAAGAACAACTGCGATGGAGACTCTGTCAATTCCATGACAGTTCTATCGGAAACTGATGTTGCTTTAGCAAAAGTAGATTGCAGGCCCAAACCGCCATCTTTGCCTTTTTAACATTTATAGAATTAGACAAATTTATCAGACCTAAAAAATGCAAGAGGTATGTAAACATCCTTTCAGAACTTTTCTTTTCAGATGTTTCTAGTCTAAGTAGATCCTCAGAGAGGATGGAGCATGTAGCGGTTAAGACTGAGGTGCCAGAGTATCTGTGTGAGAATGCGTACACGCTAGAAGTAAACAGACCATGTGAGATCTTTGAACAGGAGAAGTACCAGGGTTCAAAGGTCACTGGACATTTACTATGTTACCTACCTTTTATCTCGACTTCTTTGCTTACACGAAGCTGTCCGAGAAGTCTCAAAAGAAAGAAAAATGAGAAAGCCAGAACTGCGCACCAGGCCATGATGACAACTAAACCCAGCACGTTCCAGCCAAACAAACGGAATGAATGGTTGTCCCTGGCATAAAAGATGCCAGTTTTCATGTTAAAGATGGGGGCTGCTAGCACTCCCCAAATACCACCGCCAAGATGAACTATAGAGAATAAAGAAAGCGACTAATAAGTTTTTTTCTCCTTAAATCAAGAAAAGGAGTCTCACGCTGTGATTTGTTTGGAAACTATGGCATCTTTTTTAACCACTCCAGGTCAAAACTAAAGCCAGTTGCGATCAATCTCGGACTTCATTTGGCCGTCGTTAGTACTTCGGTTGGGGTTTTACGACACTGAATCGAAGAACACTCTCAAAACTGGAACTAACCAACCCTGTTTCGTAAGTCTTGCTTGAGTAAACTTTTCACGAAGCATCACATTCGTAATCCGTCGAAACATGCAAGCAACACGTAAGGTGTACGTCACCGATAATTCCCGTAACAACTTACACCTTGAGTCTGAAGTTGTTTAAGGGAGATCTCTTCTGTCTTTTGCATGGCTTGATCCTCTCATAGTTTGATGTTGTTCAATTTCTCTTACTTACCAGCCACAGCATCCAAGGGATCGTCAATCTGAAAACGCAGCATAGCAATACTCCAAGCAACGTAAGTGATTCCTCCGACAATGCCAATGACAAAAGCAGCATAAGGATGAAAGGTATTACAGCCTGAACACTGGGAAACCTGTTTTGAAAAACCAAAGTTAGAACTAAGTGCATAAGAGGTCTGTATTTACCACAGATTTTATGAATAGGAGAAGTTTTCAGGGAAATGCAGTGGACTAATATTCAGCTCGTTGGACTCCGGCTTCTAGCTCTGCCCAGGGTCAAAAGGGTAATTGGGTATTACCGAACTGGGATCAATTGTGAGGGGGGGGGGGTTGAGAAATGACACTAACCAGAACTGGAATCCGATACACATGATCGCAGCAGTGTGACTGATGATCGTGTTCGCCGATTTTCAAGCCCAAAACATGACTCATCAGATCGAAAGTACTTTTCTTACCATTCCAGTAAATCCACCGTTCATGGTGAATAACAGACTCCAGTGTTTTTCTGCAAAGCCCAGACGTTTGATGATCAAGGAAGTCAGTGCACCTGCAGCTCCTAAAAATTGACGGATGACCTGATCGATTTATTTAATTCATATCACAAATCACAGAAGAATTGGTAAAGAAAACACATTTTAAATGTGATGCTATTGACATTTACCTCCAATGACAGTGTTGACAATTACCAGTGACACATCATTGGCAGCGCCCTCACCAGCAATGGCTGCATTAGAGCCGCCATTGAATGCCAGGAAACCAAAGAACAGGATGAATCCTCCCAAAGCTGCTTTCTACAAGTGTAACAAAAATGATTTTTTAAATCTTTCAGCTCCCTGCAAAATGAAGGCGCCAGCATCTATCTGCATTTTCTAGGCCAGGTAATGGCAAATAATATCAGGTTGAATACTTACAGGAACAGTATGGCCTTTCAGTGGCATAGGGACACCATTGACAAATCTTCCGATTCTTGGTCCAACAATGGCTGCCCCGACCAAGGCAACCAAGCCACTAACAGTGTGAACAGCTCCACTTCCAGCAAAGTCCTACCATAAAAAGTATAACAAAACTATCAATATTTTCAATGAGATGTACAGAACGAGTCGCAAATATGTACAAAAATAGGTATATTGACTTTGTATCTCAAGTATCTCAAAGTTAACCCTTTTCATCTGGAACACTGGCTTACAAGGTGCAGTAAAACTTTGAGCCACTCAGCGGAGTCCTTGACCTTGAAAAAAGAGTCTAAATAGACGTTCGCGAAGATTGCCGACACTTGTTTAACATGGCATCATTATCAAATAATTTATTCCCCTCAGAAACGTAAAGCATTTTACAGTAAAGTAAACTAGTACGGAAATTTGGTGATCCACGAATAGCATCATATTACCAGGTATATAACTTTCATATTACATGGTATATAACAGTCATGTTACGTGGTATGTGACAGACATATTACTTGGTATGTAACAGTCATATTACCTAGTATATAACATTAATAATACCTGGTATATAACATTCATATTACCTGGTATATAACAGTCATGTTACGTGGTGTATAACAGTCATATTACCTGGAATGTAACGGTTCTTGTAACATTGTCTTTCGTGTACTCCGCACCAATGAACAGCCAACCATTTACATCCCAAGCCCAGTGACTTACTACTGGATACAAAAAACCTGCAAGAGAGCGAGCACTTCATTGTTGTAAATTCAATACAAGTGAACTGATGAGGGAATTAGTATTTACATAAAGACAATTAAACCACAAGAGTTAAAATACACGTAGTCAATATATTAGGAATTATTAATCAGTAAGAACTGACTTTTTCGAATGATTGCCTTTCATCTGAGGATAACTTACCTGTCAAAAACACAGAGTACATCAGATAAGCCTTAAACTCAGTTCTCTCTGCTAAAGAACCGCTGACAATCGTTGCTGTCGAAGCCGCAAAAACGTAATGAAAAAACCAATGGGAGAATTTGTCAGCTGGTAAATCTGCCAGCGCGAAATAGCTGTATCCAATGAAGCCATTGCCTTTTTCTCCAAACCCAAAGGCGTAGCCAAACAACCAGTAAGCCACTGCACCAATAACTGTAACAATCGAAACGAGACAGAAAATTAATAGCAGGCATAACTTGACTAACGCCAAATGCCGGGATAATTCTTTAATCAGTGATAGCAATTGTTGCTACGCAATCCGTTACTTTCGTGTAAGGGACTGGAAACTGAATTGGTAGAAGGGATTAATCAGCACGTGATTAACCATTTGTACTTACACGCGTCCAAGAAATTCTTGAGCAGGATGTTTGTTGTGTTCTTCGATCTTACTGCACCGACTTCAAGAAAAGCAAATCCTGCCTGCATAACTGCAAGAAAAAATGCCACAGAATCCAAAGATAGTTTTTTAACGAAGGACGCCGAAATATTCTCTCTCCCTTGTTTCGTTCCAAAAGCTACTCAGTAGAAAAACATAAGGAATTACTAAACTAAACTATCTTAATGGTGCATTTTTTGGGCCGTTTCAGGAATTTGTGATCGTCTCGGCTGGGTTGTTAAAAGCGAGATTTGTTGTAATCCGGTGTCAATCCTAGTATCCGTAGAATTTTTGTATGTAGCTAACCTCTAAGTGATATGGAGGCTAAGGGCTTACTTTCAAAACATCAGCTTTAGAAACTCTTTACGGTGGCCAATTTACATTATTAACTCAGTCAATAAAAACAAACTTATGTCACAGTTATAATTAATATTGTTTCGAAATCACGGCCTTAACTTGACTGAAAAAACGAGGAGCGAGGAGGCGGGGTTACCCAGAGAGGATAGTAACATCACGTTTTTATTTGTTCATAATTTGTCTGCGTGTAGCCCAGCGTGAAAAAAAAAAAACCCAAGAAGACAGGTCTTGAACGGCGATGATAGCGATAAATAGACAGCATTTGTTCGTTATGTTGGAAAAAAAGGTGTGCAATAGTGGTCGCCCCCTATCTACTCCGTGACGACATGGGCAAAATAAGGTGAGATTGCACTGCTGAGATATTCATGACTCGTCACGTTTTGCCTTTGCTATACCCGTGCTATTCACCCGTCAAACAATATCGACTTGAGTTTGTAGAAGGCAATGCGTCAAAGATCAAGTAAAACAATATAAAAAGTGCTTAGTTGTAGCTGGTAACATCGTCGTTTAGATTATAATTAGAACTTCTACCAATATTCTGTCTGAATTGTTCCCATATATAATTCTTTTGCGTTTTTTTTATCTTAATTCACTTGAATCCGACAATGCTTCAGCAACGGTTTCAGTCCTTTGTAATAGCACTTCGTTTGCCGCTATGTTACACAGAAATGATGTTGCGACAATTTGGTTGAGGCCAGCTCGTTAAAGAAGGCACAGTCACCAATTTGTCTCAAACCGATATATGATGAGCCTAACCGTAAACATAGAGAAAACATTCGAGATATTCATGGGATGCAGTTTAATGACACTGAGATTGCTCGATAGGAAACCAGTTAGGGTTGAGATGCGAGGCGGTGGTTTCCAAATATTTATAAAAATTTCAGTTCGAGTTTGATGATATGAAAACTACCAGGTATCAATATTAGGTAGACAAAAGTTATTTTTAATGGTTGAACTGCTAGTAAAATATTTGATTGGTACGAATTATAAACAAAAATTGGTGTTTAAAACGTTTTTAATTTATATGCCAGCTCATTTAGCTCTAACAATGAGAGTAGACAATAAGGCAGTATTAAGTGCGCAGTTGACATGCAAAATGATCTGCCTGCTTAGGGTTATACCTCTGTTCGTTATGTTGCACAAAGAACAATTCACCTACATCTCACTTCAGCTGCCTTCTTCTCACAAAATGGCACATAAGATCTGGTTTGGAGCGCACTATTGACATTCGTCTTGAGGTTATTGAGCAAAGATCGTTATTATCATAAAGAAGACTGTAAAAAACCAGTCTAAAAGGGAGCTCCCTAATTATTTAAGGTCATTGAGCACATAATGAATATCTCATGATAGGCCAACTGATCGATAAAAACTCTTTAAAAAACATTCCAACTTTGAAACTGTATCAAAAATGTCGATGATTTCCGCAATGGAGTTCCTCAGTTATGAACAAATAAACGCAAATCAAAGTAAATAAGTTTTCTCAACTAACGTGAGAGGAATCAAAACAACCGTAAGAGCACGTGACGAAGTCACGGCACAGAGTATTGATTGAGAAGGATTAATGCAGTCAAAACTTGCCGGTATGACTGTTAAAGTAGAGCATTTGAATAAATATGATAATTACGGTTGGAAGACCGCGAAATTATCCGGACCCTTGCAACTTGGCTTTGATGTAGCGCTTATTCCTCCATTCTCATATCCTAACTACGTTGAAACCCTTTCTCACTAATATCAAAATTGTTGGTGTTTTTTAAAACTGCCTTTTCTCAGAAAAGAACATTCCTATAGAGAGTCGCAACTCTACATGTGAAGACGAACTAAAAAATCTCAGAGCCACTCAAACATAACCATTAACCTATAACATATAGATTTAGCCAAGCCTAAAAGCGGAGCTCGCATTTTTTTTTTTTTTACGGTACGTATGCAAATAAGCACACGACCTTAAAAAAAAGTCAAGTTATACTCACGAAAGACAAGAATTCCCATGACAATCAGAAACAGTTGGTCAATGTTTCCGCGCAGTGTTTTCAACATAACATCAAGCTCTTGGGCAGTTAAGTTGGACATTTTGATGTCAATTTTCACCTTGACTAGTTATACCTCACTATACCTAACGAAATACCCGCCAAAAACCGATGAGCCGGGAAGCTTGCTTTATTACGAAATTCAGTTACGGAGACGAGAAAGAGAGAAGGAAAGTCTGAAATTCTCACTGCCTTTTATACACTTCATGGCTAAGGGAGTCGCAAATTGTTTTTCTTTGTCAGTCCACGTGATTTAAGGATGTTCTTCTTCTTGTGATTGGTCTTTCCCTCGCTAGACTTTGACTCTTGAGGTCCTTGGGAACAAAAAAACCAAAGTCCGAAGAATTAGTCCGACGGAATGACGCATTAGTTGCCATTGATAAATTTTAAACTCAAACTCCTGGTCCTGGAGGGCAAAAACAAAAATAACGAATATTGCGACTGACGGAGTCCTGTTGTACGGAACTCTTCATACATTAAACGCGAGAAAAATCCCCGATAAACTTCAAGTTATAGTTTAACACGGTAAAAAGCAGTGAGTTTGGATTTGCACATTTAGTTTTGCATTTGCGATGCATCCAAAGATCAATTTGTTTAATCATGTGCTGATCAGTCTGTTGGGAACTGAGTAACAACGACACGAACACGACAAAAGCTCAACCGCAAGTCACGCGGAACGAGGCTTTGCTGACCGGCTTACGAACTTTGAAACTTGTCTTATGTTGGCAAAATTGTGAAACTTCAAAGTTTATAGTGAAAGCAGACTGCTCAAATAGTCTGTCTTGTTTCACCTCATCTTCGGTAGCAAAGTTTGTCAACAATTCATTTACGGAATGTGTGTTGCATAATATGCAATTTGAACAGACCGGCGGAATGCAAGCTATTTTTCTCTGCTAATTATCTAGTGAAACATGACCCGAAGCTAGGGCAGTTTCGTTTGGGAAGCAAGAAACTAAAAGTGTTTAAAATTTGAATTTTTCAAACATATATGGATGTGACTCCTTGTGAACATTGTTCACGAAAACATCCGTTCACGTAAATTCCATGTCTCTCACGAGGAGGAGGCTGCCGACGCATTTTCGTAAACAAATTGTAACGAATTGTTAATCAGATACTAGTGGCTATCCTGAGACATCAGGTTGGATTATTTGACCGACGGAAAGCCCCAAAAGAAACTTTGATGTGTCTTAGAAAGCTTTACAGTATCACTATGAAAATAATAATTCATGTTTTCAATGAAGTAAATACAATTTGTCAAGTTTTATCTTTTTAATCTTGAGCAGTTCAAAGGCCCCTACCATATAGAAAGTTAACATCCTGAAAAGTACACAACTTTAGCTTTACTAAACCCTAAACCTGGCTGGTTTTAAAGGGGAGAGTGATAAGTATTGAAGGAAAATAATCGACTCAAAATTTCTCCTTATCCGGTAGGAGGTGGAATACTATTAGGGGACGTGTAGGAGCACGTACAAAATTAGCATGAGAATTAACGGCAAGTTGAGAACAGAAAAATAGTTTGATTAACATTAAAAAGCAGTAAAGAATTAAGGAAGGTTGGTTGACTTTATTTCGGCCATGGAGTCATACACTTAGGGAGAACCCGAATAACATTTTTGTAAGAGCTTGTTTATTTGATATACAAGTACAAAAAAAATCTTCCCTCAGCTTGATCTTGTGTGACCCGTGCTATACCGAGATTTCGGTGAAATCTTACCTTTTATCTTGTTTGACTAAGGGAAGGCTATTACTTTGTTTTCGCTTGGACCATACTAGGTCCTTTAGAGCGACAAAACGAAAATCACAAAATAACATCTGCATCCACATCTTAATCATAAACTCACTTACAAGAATCTCTCCATTTCTTCACCCCTGACACCTTGAAATTTTTCTGTTTTCCCTGACCTCCTCTATAACTACGACAATCTCTTTAAAACAACCTTAATATAACTTCTATTGCATTCCACCCCTCGCGCACATCACACGATCCAACTCTAACAAATTCATACCAAAATTTGACAAAGCATGCAAAATTTAGTCATTAGAATATTACCATCGGCCCAAACTTTCACATTGTAAAACCTTGATACTTTTCGAGACCAAATTCTTTTAACTACTAAAATATCGCTCATTATCCTTTTTATGAGGTAGAAATCTTAATATAATTGATATATTACTTTCTTATTGTATGTCCATGTACAATAATCAATTTTAAATATGTATATTAACATAATTTCAAGAAAAGCATTAAAAAGTATAGAAATGAGAGCGTTTTTTGTACTGTCTACATACACGGGAACAAGAAAAAAGTCACACATTAACAAATTCTGTAAATCTTATAAAAAATTTTGATCTTGAAAATTATTATAACTTCCTTAGAGTATTCATATAACTTACTTTTCTAAACGTAAATTGGTGCTAGAAGTATATCATTCTTATAAATCTATATGTCAGATAATGGTGGTCTTTAAATGAGACCTAACTCTTTCTTGCGATGATGATAAGCTTCGAATCGTGCCAAGCCATAATCCTTAGAGACAAAAGAACAAACAAAAGTATTTAAATCTCAATCACTGAGATACGTATTGTTACAGAAGATTTATTCTTTGTCTGACGCTGGTCAAGCGAGATCAATTTGCAGAACCCGTTATAACTGAATGGCTTTTCTCGCTTTGTTTAGATTGACAGATTTACCATTGTTTTTTCCTTTTTTTACCAAACCCAACCAGGAGCTCACCCAAAAGCTAAAAATAAAAAATAAAAAAAACAAGGAAATATGAATTAAATTGGATCTTAGCGAAGTGAGCAACAAAGGTTTTGTTCCCAAGTAAAATGTTAACGTACCAAATAATTAAATTGGATTCCGTTACCGGCAGAGTTCAATCGCTCTTGTACAACTCCCCACAGACCCCACATGAAGTGTGAAGCCAGGGCAAATCTGCAACGAACCAGATTTTAATCGTCTCATAGAGTTCTTGTCCACATAAAATGTTTCATGTTCCTAACAAGTTACATAACGTTATCGCACACGAGAAGAACATGGATTTCCAGGAGTTGTTTCCATTACCTGTTCACTTGATCTAACAATTCTGATTCCTCTATTGTACACTCAGCTGGAGTGTAATTATTTTCCTTTGTATCTTTTCCAAGGTACGCTCTGATGAAGATCAACTGTCAGAATTATGAAAATAAAGGAAAACGGCTCTTGATCACTGAGAAGCACTAGACTAATGCATACTGAAGGCCACCTCAATCTTAATTGCTTCTGCAAAAATTAGTGGTCACATTATCTTGGTATAGCAAATTTTGCTACACCAAGCATACCGAGAAGACTCGCAGTAAACATTCAAACCATCTCATACAAGGTCGGAAATAACATAGTCGTGAGAAAAGCAATAGTGCTTCATAATCACTGTACTTCACTTTGATAAACAACCACAAGCTTTTCACCACATTTTCAAACATAAAGGACATTCACGTGAGGGTTGGAAATGAGGCAAAGCTAAAATATCATGACTGATAAGATATACACGTGAGACAAATAATCAGCAGTGTTCTCTTTGGCTCAAGTCCACTGCTGTATTTGTGAAGTCGCCCTTGCAAATTTTGAGGAATTCATGTCACACTGCACCTGCCTTGATGGGAAGGGGGGAGGGGAGGAGGATGGGGGTTTTTGTGAAATCCTGGAAACAGCTGTAGCCACTTTTGTCTAAATGGTGAAAGAGGCATTTACGCTTAGACTTTGCCAGTGAATTAAAGGTATCTCTTTAAAGTGGAATCAGTTTCCATACTCTGCTTGAATTAAATTGTTCTGCTGGCCCCTGGGTGATTTTAAGAATAGACAAAGAGACAGGAACAAGGGGCCTCAGTAACACCTCAGTCTCCAATTTCCTCTCAGAAAACAAGAAAAGTCTCTGAGAACCAACAGAACCTAGCAAAGTTGGTATCAGCACCAAATAAAGGTTTGCAGCCAATTCACCTGTTGTTCTTTACTGGGCCAACTTTTAAGAGACATGGAAAAGTATTGTGGAGGAGGAACAGAGTAGTCAAACATCCACTCACAAAAATGGTTTGCTAAGTCAAAAGCCCTGAAATAAAAACAGAAAGATAACCAGCTGATACTCAAAGTGTTAAATTTGTACAATCTTCTTTCATTTTGCAGAATCTGCTTGTAAACAAGTAATGAGAATCTCACAAATCATCATCTTGGGACAAAAACTCCATTCTCAGGACTGTACAAAAAATGTTGTATGGTCTGGCTTTGTTCATGAGAAATACTTTTGAAATCTTTGATTGAAAGGAATAATACCAATCTCAGAAATTAATTGACTTTGAGGTTAAGAGGTTATAAACATTTAACACCTGATGGCATTATCTATGGGGTGGGTGGGGAGGGTTTGGGGATAATTAATATATAAAGGCTGCAGCTTATACGCTGAAGGATGGTTCAGCTGTTCAGGTAAGGTTGTTGAGTCATGTTAGTCTTAGGTACAAATATAATTCCTAGAAGTTTGTTATGAGAGGTGGGACATCATATCAATTAAATGTTACTGTTGAGCACTTAAAATGACTTCTAGAATAGCCTTCCCAAAGGGCTTGTATATTGCGTATGGAGATATTTACCTGTAATTGTAGGCACTAAATTCAAAGTCTATCAGCTTTAAGTCAAAATCTTCTTCATTATTTTCTTGCAGTTCTTTGGAGACTCTCAAAATATTGCCTAAATAAATAAGCAGACTCCAGTCAAACACTATGGAATATATATGAACTGAAAATACAAAACAAAATACAATATGAACTATGGGAGGTGAAAAAGAAAAAAGTCATGAAGATGAGGAGAAGAAAAGAGGATGAAAAAATAGAAATGTTTTCAGTTTTGTAAGCCTACAAACTGGCTGTGGTTTTGGATGAGGAATGAATCAATGAGGCAAGTTTGTCTAAGGTGGGGTAGAACTGAGTGAGGAGAGGGGGCAGGGTGAGGGATTCACAAGCTCTACCAACTCTATGCTTATGGACTGCTTCCCTTTCACATTCACCTTTTATTTTGTTTTTCCTGTTGTAGGTTATTACCAAATATATTTACCTTGTTGGAGATCATTATGGCAAAATGTAACTGGTCCTGGTGAAGTTGCCATTTCTAAATAGTTTCTGGAAGATATCACAACAACTATCAAAATGAAATTGGAATAATAGATTTACAACAGTCTATTGTCCTTATAAAATAACTTTTCAATGCTTCACTCATCCAGAGCTTTAGCAGATGTAGTAATCAGAGTGCATGTGCTAAGTATCTTAGTTATTTTATTAACAGTAGTACTGTAAAAAATTGAAGGGATGGTGGTAAAAAAGCCCTAAGTGATGTTAGATTATTAATTTTCGACCTTTTTTTTTTTTGTTGCCCTTTCCCTCCACTATCCAATTATGGATGAACAATTTCATGTCTCAAAGTGGAAAAAAGTGGAACAGGAGCACTAGGATGTTTGTCAATTGGATGTCTGTCTCTGTTTTCCAACACAGTTTGTCAGCTTGAAGATGATAGTGTCAAGGCAGCTGAGAGGTATTTCTGTTCTGCTAACTTTATTTGACCTTCCTCATAAAAAATGTGGGGCTCTAGAATATCTTTAAGTAAGTAATTATGTAACTTGTTACCTTAAAAAATCATATTCTTTTTTTAAATCTATACTTTTGAGTTTGGCCAACTTCACAGCTTTATCTTGTTCATTAAAATGTGTTTGCAAAGCTTCTTTGCTCCATCTGCCAAATTACAAACAAACTCCAGTTAATTCTCTTGAAATAAGTACATGAAACCAACAGAAGTCTTGCTGCAAATACCTTAACCCTCTGACCCCTCAAGTGACTAACACCTAATGTCTCCTAACAATATCAACCCTGAAACACATTAACTAAAGGTCATAACAATAGAGGAAATGATCACCGACTAAAGAAGCTATTGATATTCTCCTTGTCAGCACCTTAGGAAATGTATAGAATACAGTATAGAGAATATGATTAATGATATTAAGGAGTAAAGGGTTAACCATAAATAAATGTAAATTAAAAAAAACTGTTGATTTTGATGCAAAGCAAAATTCTTACTCAGATATTGTGTTCCATAAATAATCTGGATCCTTGCGGAGGGGTAGTTGTAATCGATGATACTCTGCAGTTTTCTGTGCAATTCTCACTGACAATTCAGGTTTTGCCAGATCCTCTCTTGCAAGACTTTTTGCCTATGTACATAAAAAAAATTATCTGAATACAATATAATCCTCCACTGACTTTCTTTTCCCAGTGTCTTAAACTGGTTTGTGGTTCTTGACTGTTTCAATAATCCTACCTAAGATGGATGAGCTCAAGTAAAAAAGAATTAAAATACAAACCACTGACCATAATACACTACTGTTATCTAAGAAATTCTGACCCCATCAATTACAGCCAGCCTCTACAAATAAAATTCTTGAGTATTTGGGATAATTATTTATCTCTTTCTGCAAAATTTACTGCCTTTTTTTTTAAACATGAGAACTCTCTCTTTCTCAAGGAACTCCTTCTTTCTCACAAAATTAATTTATATTTTTCCTCCAACTTCAAAACATCATGGAATAAATTTGGTCTTTTTATAATTTGTACAACAAAGCAGCCACATATGCTCCCAAAATCCATAAAAAATGAAACTTAACCTTTAGCAGTATATAGAATGAGCCTATTTAGATTGTATATTTGGTTTACCATTTTCAGATCATGTAATAAGGCCCTATCTAGAGATATGTTTCTTTCCAAATTCTTTTTATTCACCTACTTAATATGTGTGCATAATTTACAAAAGATAAATCTGGGAATTCTCTTGAGACCTGAAATGGGTAAACAAGTCGTAGGCTTGTATTAAGACACAGGTGATAGACAGTAGATGTACAAAGTGATGAAGATTTGTATAAAATACATTTGATGTGCATTTAATACATGTACTTGCCTTGTTGCTAGAAGTATTCTGAAAAGCCAGTTTTCCTACGTTACGTGGCCCATCATGGCAAAAAATAGCGTTTTATACTGTTTTTCATTATACCCCTATTCTGTGGAAACTACATAAAGCTGTCAACTCATATTATGCAGTAACCCTGTCATTCCCTATGAGCAACTGCTCATTAAAAGTTGATTGCAGTAACAGAACATCCTGGAAAAGAAAGATTTCGTGTGACATTCGCATGATTGCTTGACATTTTGAGTTTCTGATCATGTTCCATCACAAAATCTCTCATCTATCATCTACCATCTACCGTCTATTGTCTACTGTCTCCTGTCTATCATCCATTGTCCATCAGCTATTGTATATCTTCTATCTTCTATTGACTATCGACTATTGTCTATCATCTATCATCTATCGTCTATCGTCTATCGTCTATCGTCTATCGTCTATCGTCTATCGTCTATCGTCTATCCTCTATCCTCTATCATCTACTGTCTACAATCTATCATCTGCATATTACTTCATGCTGCTTTATAGGTCTATTATCTAGCCATGTGATTGTCAAAACTGCCCCACCACATAAATTTCTTGCTCTATAGATAAGCTATCTATTTTAACACTAACCACAAGTAATTCCTCCAATCTACCCTCAGGAAATATAGCAAAAAGCTTTGGTCCAATATTCCATTCTGAAAGCAAGGCAAAAACAACAGAATCTGCAATTAGGCAACCAATATTTGTGACAAGTTCATCGTACAGCGGACCATAGATGCGCAGGACAACTTTTCTCCTCTCTTCTTTCCCAACTCCATAACTTTCGGGGAGGGAACAAATGTATAACTTGTTGCTCAGGCCACCTCTACAAAAAAAGCACATCATTTCATCCCATGATATACATACATACATACACAGACATACATACATACATACATCATATATATATATATACATACATACATACGTTTATTGCAACTCCCAAGCTGGGTTTTTCAGTTACAAAACCTACATTAAAATTATTGTAATATTATAGTAACATTGTATTGGCCTAAAAATATATATAAGTGAAAACTAAGGCTAGTACAATATAAATACAAAAGGCCAGTATACGTTAAAAACACTAGTGAACTAAAACAAAAATTAGACAAGAATAGAAGATTGAAATGATTCATCTGTGTGTGACATTTCCAATGAGGAGCACATTCGGTAGGCGGAGCCTAAAGGCCTTTACATTCTCAGCTGCTTTTAAGTCATTTGGGAGGTTATTCCACAATTTGCATCCGCGATATGTGAATGCATGTTGCCCAGAGGACAGGCGGCATCGTGGGATATGGAGCAGATTACATGATCTTGTTACCCTACTATGAATATGAGATCGTGGGACAAACATGTTAGCCAGATATTCAGGAACTAAATTATTTACACATTTAAACATCATTACAGCGTCGTTAAAATAAAGTCTCAAGTCTCCTCAACAGTGAGCCAATTAAGAGATTTTATGCCTTGGGAGATGTGGTCAAATTTCTTAAAACCTAATACAATACGAAGTTCTGCACTAGCTGAAGCTTCTTTATATTGCTTTGAGATGTGTTAGCCCATACAGTTGAACAATAATATATTGTACTAAAAACAAAAGCGTTCATCAAAAGTAAAAGGGTTTTCCTGTCCAAGAGGTGTTTAATCCTGCTAATCTGTACTAGTTTGAAAATACAGTTAGAAGTAGTTTTAGCAACTTGATCGTTATATGTTAAGGACTGGTCGATGTAGACTCCAAGGAGAGCTGAAGAGCTTTGCAGCACCCTTTGCTCAAGAAGCCTAGACTGGCTTCGCCAATGTACTTGGTTACACTTAGGAAAATCTCTCTCGTTAAAAACGTGTAGAAATAAATGCACAATTCAGTTTTAACAAATAAATTCTGGAAGACGATTCCAGTGAATTTACTAATAGTTTGGATACAAATAAACGCATTTGGATTTTCTATAAATAAACAATTATTAAAGTAGCTGGTGTGTATCTTGGAGAGGTTCCACGGGGATGGCTTTATCACAAAGAATGTTCAATAATTTATTCACGGCTACGTACTTCCTTAAACGCACTCGTCGTAAGAACTCCTCTCTCCGTAAAAATGAAAATAATAGACTGCTAACAGATCAAAAGTAAAGGTGAAGAAAGCAACAATTTTCCTTCTAAATTTAACCAAGAGACGCGTGTAACTTGACCCTCGTTAGACTTCGACCTTTGAATAAAATGTTTCGCCAAAGACACCAGCTTGTAGCTCCAATACCTCGCCTGTGATCCAGTATGTAATCAATTGTTTTAATATAGGCTTCTTCAACAACAAATAGAGACCGCAGAATGAATGGTTGATTGATTATGCACACACTTACAAATCGGCGTTGGTACTTATTAAAGGAAAGCCTTCATAAAAAACAAAAGCATAAAAGCTCGTACCCTAACACTTGAATGGAAAAATCATCTATGGATATGTTTCTCCAGCTTCCTCCTAAGTACTGATTACACCACTGGTGCGCCTTCTTTTTGAAATCAAAGGTAATTTCATTGGAAACGCTAGCCATGGACATCAGAACAGTTGTGACAGCTTTTAGCAGTACGTAATAGACCAACCCTCTCCTCCCACAGGGAAATCAGGGGGTGCTATTTGAAGCGCAGGCGCACAACGTCCTTTCTCTTCATCCCCTTCCAAAATGGTGGGTATCTGAGGTTTAAAGTTATCCAAATCCATCGTCTTTCATCGCCGTCAATTCTTTAAACTATGTAGTATGTCACGGGAAGATTGAAGCATTTTTTAATGTTTATTCGTAACGTCCCCGTTTTGTGTAACTTTGGGGTATTTTTACCGCCTCTCATATCTTTGGTTTTAGACTGCTCGGCTAAAGAAAACTCGAAAACTGCGGGGCCATGTGAGTCACGGTCATGGTCGTGTTGGTGAGTGAAAACGTTTGAAGAAGTAAATGGCAGCCATAAAACATCAGCAAGTCATGTACTCTGTGTATTTAAACCCTGGATTTTTTTTCAAATTTTGGACATCACTTGTACAGTTGGAGTAGAAAATAGTGCTATGTTTTCACGTCTAATGGTATTCGTATACTCATTGTGTTAACCTCAAATTTAATCAAGCTCCTTGACTCTTTTTTATGAATTCTCTTTAATCGAGTTCTGTACAGGCGAGACATTTTTAAAGTCGATTCTAGTCAATGTGCAACTTCGTAGAACATTAGTCATTGTAAGACTTGGAGAACATAAACACTTGTTTTAACTTTAATCCAGATCGTGTACTGGCTTGACAATCCTGCAATTTATAGAATTGTTCCTATATTAAGTTTCATAAGCCTTTTAAATATTTTTGCTGGTCGAATTCATGGAAAGACTCTAGATCTGAGTCAATGTAGCCGTAGGAAGTGTTGCAGTTTTTACTGAATTGTATGTGATTTTATGCTACTATTTACAATTTTAATTTTACATATGACTCCATAAGACCTTTTTCTCGTGGTTTGTTTGTAGGAAAGCATAGAAAGCATCCTGGTGGCCGTGGAAATGCAGGAGGACAGCATCATCACAGGATTAATTTTGACAAATAGTGAGTTCATTTCTCATTGGAGGCTAGCCCTGTTTGATTTCACCCTGATTCTTTGGAAGTCAAAAAGTCTCTGACAGTGGCACCTTTGGGCCAATAAAAATTAATTTCATTCTTTGAAATGACATAGAGTACAGAATAAATCAGATTTATTGTCCAGTTTACCAAATGTCTTCATTTTGTTTGTTATTTTTTGATAACAATTTGCTGATGTATTTGAAAACTGAGATTCATCTCGTAATTGATAAGTGACTTTAAGAAGCCCAATTACATTGGGCAATTTTTCTTGTAACTTTTATGGCAATTGTGTTTGACAGTTGACATAGCCTGAAAAAAACGTTTGGAGTTTTGAAACACAACTCTCAACACTGTTGGAAGTGGTGAAAATATTGGAAGCTTGTAGAATGAAAATTGAAAGTGTTTACATGGGTCTTGTTCCCTCCCATTGTTATTATTCTACTACTTGAAAATAATTTTGTTATACCAGTAATTGTAGTGGAGGCCTATCTCAACACTTCCAACATTTGTAATTAGTAGAGGCATGTTGAATGCATATTTAAACCAACTTGCACCAACCAGCATCTGACAAGTTCAAACTAAAACATAAATGTGAAAGGCATGGATGGTTTATTTGACATGGACTAAACAGGTTTAATTATTCACTGTACAGCCATCCAGGATACTTTGGTAAAGTGGGTATGCGTTACTTCCACAAGACAATGAACAAATATCACAAACCAACTGTGAATTTGGATAAACTGTGGTCCCTTGTCAGTGAGCAAACCAGAATGTATTACAAGGACAAGACTGATGGACCAGCACCAGTTATTGATGTTGTCAGAGCTGTAAGTATCATAAGATGTCAATATTTCATTGAAACCCATCAACTTACAATAGTTGATTATCAATTCTTCCTTCCATTATTATTAGTTAAGGAGAATTTAGTTTACATCCAGATATCACCCCACCTAGCTAATGAGTCTGCGTACTCTGATATGATTTCTGGAAATGGTTCTGTTGAATAGATGATCATGTTGATCATCTCAAAGTGGTAAAGTGTTTAAAATGTACAAAGTGGTCCTTTGAATATTTGGCTGCACATAATGCCAATGTAAGAGGTGAACTTAATTTCATAGCAGACTATTTTATGTATGATTTCTCAAAATTTTTTCAACTTAAAAATGTTTTTAGTCAATCTGTAGGAAATATATATGTATTTTTTTTTCAAGTGTGGTAAATTTGACCATTATTTTCTATATCCACATCCCATATTTCTCCATCTGCATTATGAACAAGTGGACTAAGGTTGGAAGGAAAAAGAGAGAAAAATTTAATTTTCTGTTATATAACACCTTAAACATAACACAGAATTTTGTTGTTGATTTCTGTTAGGGTTACTACAAGGTTCTTGGCAAGGGTCTTCTTCCCAAACAGCCAGTGATTGTTAAAGCAAAGTTTTTCAGTCGCAGAGCTGAAGAAAAGATCAAGGAAGTTGGAGGCGCTTGCGTCTTAGTGGCGTAAAAATTCATGCAACTGTACAAAATAATAAAAGTTTTCTGGTTGGAGTCTCTGTTTCCAGTTACTTTTAATTCAGATCAAACCTCCCCTAAATTCTCTGTTCTCTGTTGCATTGTTCTTTGACCCAAACAAAAACTGTTTTTACAATAGCTAATAGAATGCTATGTCATCCAAGAGGAGTATGAACTTACAATTTGTCGAAACTGGACCATAGCAATTGAAATTTTCAATCATCACAAGTTTTGACAAGACTGTGAAGAGTGAATTTTGCGATTGAAAATCTGCAGTCCTGATATAGTTTTTTGCAGGCAATCCCTTACCCTTAAAGGGAATCCATTTTCCCAGGGGGGGATGGAGGGGGACTTGCTACAGTTTGAGTGTTAAAGGGAAATAATAGTAACCAATAATAGTTAAATGAAATAATAGACAAGAAAAAAACAGAAGAAAAAGAACGTTCCTTCAGAGTTGGCCATTGAACAACTAAAGACTGTTGAAGATTTAGATATAATTAGGATTAAAAACATGTAAGCTAAGTCTTTGTTCAGTTGTCATTGTATTCCTGGTCCTTGAGTGTTAGCTTCTCTGTCCTACTTGACTTCTGAACATGGGGTTTCTACAGTCAAGGGCTTAACATCTACCCATTGAAAGATTTAAGATGTTTGGATTAGACATTGTATACCAATGCTTTGCGATCTGGAAATGGTGTTGAAATTGACATCAACTTTATTTACAAAGGAAAAATCACTGAGATATGACATCCCCAGAATGCACAACTACTGAGCCTACTCTACCTGAGTTGGACAACAAGCTGGGAAAATTGCTGATTAAAGGATAGAAGTAGCAGGCATCTAACAACTATGCCTGCATGGGAAAATCTGAACTGACCTGACAAACATGTAAACATTAAAACATTACAAGCTAATACATTGAATACTTTAAAGTAAAGATCCCACTCAACATCAATAGATTGACCACAAACACAACCATAAGCTGTGTAATAATACATAAATTAAAATTAACCTTTATATAGTAATGTATGCAGTATTGTAATTCTTATGCAATACAATATGAACTAGTCTGAAGACAAAAATATATGCCCAGTTGGTATTTCACACCTATTTATATACATATATATATATGTGTGTGTGTGTGTATATATATATATATATATATATATATATGGTCTCCATAGAATTGCTATGAAATTTGAAAGACTGTGAACATCGGTGTTATTTATGAAGTGTTACTGGAAAAAGACAATCAGACTTGTGAAGACCAAACCATAAGTAGTAACAGTAGTTAGTTTCTGGTTTTCAGATTTGATCACATTTCCCTGACTTCTACTGTGATTGTTCAGAGTACCACTGACAAGTAAAATTCAATTAAAAGTGTTCACAATTTGCACAGTCCTATGACAAATGTATTTAGTGGACCTTGTAGATGTAGATTTATTGTAAAATGAACCTGCACCCAGCATACGACTGCATGGGGTAGATGCAGACATCTCTGATTACTAACATTAATGGAAAAATAGAGTCTGTAGGTGGCTCTGCACCAACCCCACAAGTGTTCTTTTCCCTATCCTAATGAATATTAATGTGCAATTGTCATTCAGTGATATTTTTTTTTAAGTTCAGATTCAAAACTAAAGTCAAGTGATTTTTCTACTACTGTGTCATCCCACATATGGGAAACTACCTTGACTTGTCTGCCAATGACTGTAAATTTGTGATGCACTTTTGAAACACCTAATAAAAATTATATTTGGCATAATTTATCAATCAGTGCATTGTTAAAAGAGAGTGGACTTGTTTTGAGCCACCTGAAACAAACAAACTGAAGACAAACCAATCATACCACAACCAAGCTCAAGTTCATTCATCAGAGCTTTTGGTTTGATCTGATTTGTAACCAGCAAAAATACAGAAAAGTGAATTATCTAATTATTACATGTATTTTTACATGATCTTGCATTAGTTTTCCTCTTTATTCCTTCTATTTCAAGCTATCACCCTTAATTTGAAAACCTGAAAAAAGAATACTGATAACAACTAGTATTCCCCTATTTACAACTCTTCATTTTTTACCTCTGAACTATTCTTTTGTGCATGTTTGAGTATGCCATGAGGTTACAATAAACATTAAAAAACTGAGCTGTTTTGTTTCGACAAAAACAATTTATTACCTTGAATTAAGATAAACGACAATTTGACATGCAAATACTCTTTACTAACAGTGAAACATAGTAACATTTCAAATGCTTAGATTTTCTCCAATAGCACACAGTGCATCTGTTCAATATTTATGTCATGTACATAAACAAGCTTTGTTCTTTTATCTTGGAAAGCTATCACACTTAACAAAATGCTGGCAGAAGGACTGCATGACAAGTAAATGTTGCTTTTCATGAATTAACCTTCAGTTCCCAAGGTCTGATCATTAATTCTCCTTTCTACCCCCTTCCATTTCCCTGTGGATTAGTTAAATTAATTTGGTGTTAGGACATCACAACACCATCCAGCTAATAAATTTGACAAATTCCATTTTACTGGATAGTATAATAATATTTTGAGGAAATGATAGAGAGTAACCTAAACTGGGAGTTTCAGAGATAAAAATGACCAAAGCTGGCCAAAGAATCAATAGTAATAATTATTTAAAAAAACAGCCAAAAACATTGGAACTTTTCTGGTGTTGATATGAGGGGAAATTGGATGTTCAATTCTAACAACCACCAGTATATTACATCTCATATTCATTAACAAAATAATTAACTTATGGATTCAAGATATACATGCGAGCTTCATCTTTCTTCCTCTTTGGTTTGGGTTCTCCAGTTGCCTCAACAAACTCAGGGATGTACTTTTTTAGTAAAGTATCAAAATACAATTCTAGGTTGTGACCCATTTTTCCAACTTCAGATGTTGCCTGAAAAAACATAATAAAGTCAGGAAAGTTAAATGTTTGTCACTAACAGTTCTGCGGAATTTGCAAATAATAAACCCCCCCTCGAAAACTGCAATCTAGAAGTAGTTTAGCTTACAAAGTAGGTTTTGCGTCAATTCAACTGTATTGGATTTCATATGCTTAGCTTTCATCAACCCATTTGCTTTCTGTTAGCATTCACAACTCAATGTACACGTATGCTGTACATATATGCTGAGGTAGTGAAGTGTTAAAACACTTGCCAAGCTTGTCCCTGTTTTCATAGCATGAACTGACCAGTGGCATTTCAACTGTCCTTACCTCTGTGAGTGGAATACCACTCCATTAAAATTAAGTAGCCAAGTCATTTCCCTACAGGATTGATGGTACATATTTATTCAATTGACTCGCCCTGAGAGCAAATAATTTTTGGACCCCTTAAAGATGAGAGAATGACTTTGCCATAAGTTACTCCTCAATACTCAATAGACACTTACCTCATTAAATATTGCACAATTGTCAAAGATTAATCGGCAATCAGCAACAAACTCACTGAAGCTTTGGTAATGAGCAAAGTTTTGAGTTTGAAGCTTGGCACGGACATTTGAAAGATCCATTGGCTTTGAAATAACTTTATAGTAATTAGGAACCTTTAAAAGAAATGGCAAAAAGCAGGTTGTGATTTATAGCATGTAGAAAAATAAGCATTTGTTTTGAGACAAATTCTCCTTACACAATGACGAACTGTACAGCCACGTGCATTTACATATCATTTAGGGAGATTAAGGAAAATCTTTAGTCCCTGAACTTAATGTCATGGTCAGTGGCCTTGACCAAACTCCTAAGGGAGCTGAGCCTATTGTTTTCAGAAAACAAGTGAGAGAAGGAAGGACCAAGTACCAGTAAGTGAATCTGAGCTCAAATCAATGCTTACTTCATTAACCTTCAAAAGTAAAATGCACATAAGTGAAATGATCACTAGTCTTGGGTCTGCTTCACCAATGTATAAATCTGTCACTTACATCCATCTGTTTCTGAGGCAAGGTAAATATTTTGACAAGGCAACTAGAAAACAGGTTATTTATCAATTACTTTGAGTTATAAATAATTTATGTGTAGGTAAAATAATTGCACTAACCGATTTACTGACTCGTTGTTGAAATGGAATACTTTCTGCATGACAATACAGCTCTAGAAGAATCTTTTCACAAGCCTGAATGACAAAAAATCTAGTTTACTGGTAAACTCTCACACTGACTGACCAAAAAAAAAAAAAAAAAAAAAAAAGGACTGAGCAAACCTCAAGTTTAACATGGCTTGCAGATTTCTGAAGTTTGACAGCCCCTCTCCCTTCCCCTTTCCCCAGCCCTAGTAATATAATTATAAGTTAAGGAACACTTTAGAATAAACAATAAATCTTCATGACCACCTAACAAAGATGTACTGAAATCTGTAAAGAAAATAATCTTTCAGATCTAAGAAGTTAGCACTTTGACATTCAAATTTATTCAGTGGGCCAACAAACCCGGTTACCTTTGGGCATACACAACTGAATAACATAATAAATGCCATGGAAAAAAAACAGTTTTGCTAACCATGACTGTGAAATAAATTTTGTGAGTGGTACTTTAATTCTACATTTTCCATTCATTCTTCAGCATTACAGTACCTTATAAACCCTTGTTTATTCTACATTTCAATGTGTTTGAAAGAGGCTGTGTAGATACAGAAACAGTCCTCTATTACCTAACATGTAGTATTGAGAACTTGCAACCAAAAGAAAAAGTTACCTTTCTCTCATACTCAGTCAGACCACTGCGAGATGATCGTCTTTTATTGCCCGGCTGAACAACTTCTTTATCTTTTGGGCAAAAGATAAAACAAGTTAAATTTCACATTAAGTAGTGTTTGATTTTCCACCTTCAGGATTGCAAAGTGTACGTCAATTTTGAACAATTTAAATGCCTTTTATTATACAGGGTGTATTTGTTCATGCATTTGTAGTGTCTCCAACTACCACAGGTAAGCTTGAAAATACATAACACAAACATTTTTTTTTTAAATTTTTTTCATTAACTTTGTGACATTTTTCATACCTTTCTGTTTTAATGAATTCCAATCAACCAGTTGACATAAACCACAACTCCAAGAATCACTGTTGAAGACAACAAATATTTCCACTTAAATATGTCATTTAGAGGTTCCCTGGAGAAGTCTTCACCTCAGTGCAGTCTCCCTGAGTTCAATGTAACAGTTCAGGGTTTTGCTTCGGGCTGTACGTAGATGTGAACACCTTTTGAGGGGTCTACTAAGCTGTGTTGAGGTTACAGTACATATCAGGTACAGTAGGTTATCCAGAAAAAGGACTGAGCAAGCAGAAAAAACTGACACAGTCTGCACTGATGTAGAATGTAAGAGCGCAACTTCTAACTAAGCATGGTATGGGATCTTCTCAAGATAATTTATGCACAGTAAGAGCTTATAACAAACAAAGCAAATATTGACATCCTTAGGAACAAACCTTGGAGTAGCAGAAAGGCAAGGCACATGACATTGTAAGTGGTACACTTTAGGGCATGTATCACAGCAAAGAAGTTCTCCACCATTGCGGCACACTGCACACCAATCATCATTTGAGCTGGTCTCATCAATTCCACTCTCTCCACTAGTGGTGTCATCTTGTTGCTGCTGTAGATTGAAAATTCAAAACATTGATGGCATCTACATGTCATATCAATAAGAAAATTTGATAAGAATATAAACAGATATGAACTGTGTACCATCAATTTGACCATGGAAGTTTCTTATGACATGCAGACTTCTTCCTTCCCTACCTTCTTCATTGATTCGTGACAAGGGGAGAATTCTGTGGGAGATTCTGGCTTTTCCTGCTTGACCTTGACTGGTGGTGGGGAGGTTGTCACAGGGGATGCGGCTGGATCAGGGATTCCCTGGGTACTATTACTCCTCTTTCTCACTGGGAGTAGTTTGGGAACTTGGAGAGGAACTCCAGCATCTAACAATTCTTGAGAACTATGACTTCTCTTTAACACAGGAAGTAATCTTGGCACCTTTGAATCCCCAATTCCAGTTGGAGAGGTTGGACCTAAAAAATATAAGTTATTTTAAAAACCATCCTAAATTAAATAGGGATATTCCTTCTCTTCATGGATGCAATATTTTTCCATCCCAGGCTACTTACAGCACAAGGTCAGTTACCAAAACAACTCACCAATATGTCTTAAACTGTCTACATGGGTAGAGGCATATTGGGAGACTACAAGAGTTGAGTATCTTGCCCCAGACAAAAAAGAGAAAAAAGACACTCTGCAACAATTTTTTTAGCAATATAGTATAAATGTTTTTAGGTTGGCTTACCTTGAAGTACACCACCTCCTTTATTCACAATTACTAAAAAAAATTATTCATTTTGTGCTTTTCTTAATAAAATAAAGAAACCATCTTATTGAAATTATTCAAAATAACATAAATGCATGCAAAAAATATACTTCTTTTCGACCAGAAACTCAATCTATGTTACAAAATGTTGTTTTCATTACACATAAATAATTTGGCTCTCACACTTCTTTGTAATCCATTCAAAGTGAAAGCAAGAATTTTCGTAGAAAGCCTACAATTAACATATTTACTGATGACACTTCATATCAAAATTACTTTCTCGTTAGCACTTAAATTATGTGTAATGTGCTGATTACCAATCGTTAATACTATCTTTCACATGTTTTCAAACCATTAGTTCTTGGCTTTTACAAGTAAAACTAAATCCTGGAGCTTTAGAATTTGACCATATTTTGAAGTCTTCTATGCTAGATGGATCTATAACTGCTGTTACTTCACGTCACTCTATCTGTTTTTATAATTTACATGTCTTGTTAACTTGTCGATGATGATCTGATGTAGCTGCTTCCCTTTTAAGCCATCATATTCACTTTTCAAATTTGTAATCAGTGTCAATCTTCTACATTTTTCATCTTACTGCTCCCTTCCATTTCTAACTTGACGAAAACAAGCCTTAATAATTCAAAGATCTCCATAAAACTAATGTCAATTGAATCAGATCTAAAACCAATGTCTCAAATATAGCTATCCAACTTAAGTTTAACTGTGCAGTTGCAAAAACTGAGAATACAATTGTGATTACTTACATCATGAATATGATTGATGGTAAAAATCACTGCAACACTGTAAATATATATAAGTCCAAGTTATAAATTTGTTACAACAGTGTGATCTTATGCTTGGTAAATCACTGATATCATGAAATGCTTGTGCCTTATATTGATTCTTCAAGTTATTCTGTCATACATGACAAATATTATAAACACAATAAACAGAGGAATTTTGTAAATATATTCTTGTTTTGTAATGAGGTAAAAAAACAAAAACAAAAACAAAAACATATGATTCTGCCACAAGAAATTGAGACTCAAACCTTAGGGTTTTACAGTCTAATGCTTTAACACTGGACTACATGAAAATTGTGGGTGAATTGTCATGTAAGCCATATTCCACCATGTAGATTTGTTAACAGCCTCTGTCAAACTGCTTGGATCACCAATGTCAAAAGCATCACGTACAAACAGTTTGTAAATATTTAACAATAAAACCAAATTTGTTGCAGATTTAAATTAATGGCCATGTCAAAATTTTTCAGTGGTCATTATATAAATATTTACCTTTCATGATCAGGGAAGGGCTATATTGCTGTAATAGTGAAATGCTAAGCTGCTTTATTTGGCTTCAAGAGCCAATTCATTGTTTTATTTAAAGAAACTGAAACAATGCCTTTGAATTTCACTTTCAGGTTCTAAAGTTATAAAGTTTTGCCCATTAACAAGGCTTCTATCTCCAGTTCCCCTTTACATGGTAAAAAAGACTTCAAACAAATAAACCATTTAAAAAACTTGAAGGAATCTCAGGTGAAAAATTGATGTGGTTCTCATTTTCACTTGATTCCAATCTTATATTTTGCTAATTTAAACCAAGCAAATTATTACACCGTAAGATTTAAAAATAACTCGGCTCAAACTGGCTAAGATTTCTTATTTCAGTTGTTAATCACTACAATATAAGGTTCTATTCAAGTAAATATGAGAGAAAACTGGAACAAGATATCATCTAATTTATAGGTTTAATCATTCAATGAGTGCACCCAGATCATTTCAAATGTAGCATATGACTTAGTGCCTATTGAGGTATATTTCAGTTTTACAGGAAATATATACTTTTTCTCATACACCACACACTGCTAAACAAATGACATAACTTTTTCTCTTGATCTCATTTTCTTTATACAACTGTGCTAGATGTAATTTTATTGTGCTGGAAATTCAAATCAAGTTATGGTTAAAATGATCATTACTTTTTAAATAAAGGTGAAATTAAGGTTCTGGTACAATTTTGCCAAACATGAATCAGAATCATGAGAGAAAAAAAAAACAGCGTCTCTTTGTGTTGAGATGGCATTTTAATAAAAATAATACAATTGCATGGATTATGAGGTTTTCACTCTGTGTAACAAGTAAAAATTTTATTATCAAAAAAATAAAAATGTTGTAGAGTCCAGTTATCTTAAAGATTGTCTGGTTATATAGTTCTAGACAACTATTGCTAATATTCAGTTCATATAAGGAAACAATTAGAAATGATTGCTATTGCATAAGCCACAGGAAAAGGGTAGAGACTCCTTTATTGTAGATTTAAATTCAAGAAATTGTAATAAACTGTAAACTGTAATCTGTCAGGATTTGCTCCATAAGTCATAACAATGATACAAATCTGGAACACAAATCTTCCAAATAAGTAACAATGCTATGACTACTGGAAATCCAATGCAAATAAAGATACACATATCCTCTCAAGTTGAGATTTTAAGGACATCTGTTTAAACAAAATAAAAAATGTCCCACCAAAAAATAGCAGCATTTACATTTAATTTAATTCACCCATTCAACAGTAACTTTAAATCTAAAGAACTGATGATCAATTCCAAATGATTTCAGAAGATAACACAAACTTATGTACATGAGAATTGATGTGATTAAATTCTAGAATGTACTAACAGGAACAGGCATGTCATAATAAAAAATGAGTCCATTAAAATAACTGGGATGACTCCTTCAGGTCTTAACCTTACACACTGACCTTGGAGGACAGGATTGAACATGCAGCAAGATTTTATTTTAAAAGAAAATAAAAAATAAGATATAAACCAATTCAAAATGTATGGCATTTGATTCCAAGAACCATAACATTTGACATGAAACAAAGAATCATGAGAAACTAGCTTTTTCATGAAATACTGAAAAATCCAGAGTGATTTTCTGAGCAGTTGAAGGGGTGATACTGTTCATCTCTTTAAAAAAAACTACATTCACATGCTAAATTACCTTTCAAGACTTGAGTTGATTTCTCACTGGCTACTGGTTGCTCGTCCCAACCATTTTGTTTAAATGAAGAACCTGATGAATCACTAAGCGGTGATGTACTCTGGTGACTATGGTTGCTTCCAGTGCTGGGTGGTCTGGGTGGAGGAGACTTGATTGCAATTTTACTACCAATATCCTGGAAGTGCCGTAAAGGGAGGGTGTTACCATTTCGAACAGAGCGTGGGGGTGACAAGCGTGAGATATTCGACAAGTTACTGACATTTGGGCTCCTCTGTGCAAAAGAAAAGCTATTTGTAGAAATTCCAGTTCCTGGTTTTACTGTAAGGCTCCGTGTTGCAGATGGTAATGACAAGCGAGACACGCCATTTGCTGACACCACACCAACTTTGGTATTCATATTGATGCCTGCACCAGATGGATGAACTATGGCAGCCTGAAGGGAGGGGTACTTCGTGGAATAGGTCTGGCTTCCAGGAGGTCCTAAACGCTTATTGACAGCTGAAAGAGCTTCAATAGGATTGGGTCTTGAAGAACTATTTGAACTGACTGGACGATTTGACATAGCTGTTGATACAGTGCTGTTTGGCAGACCAGTGAAACTACTAGCATTGGACAATCCACGAAATGAATTGGTATTAGTTCTGTCAGCTGGAGTCATAACACTTCCAAGTTTACCAATCACAGCACAGAGCTTTTCTGTTTCAACAGAGAACTTCAAATCACTATGAGCTACTGGAAGAACATTGTACTTCAAGCTTAACAGATTTTGGATTCTTGAACTTAGCTGTCTTTTGCTATACAACAATCCCATGTCGCTACCATTCTTTAATACATGTCTGGTGAAGCCATAATTGTGTTGAAGGATCTTCTGCATTAGGCGGAGGTCTTTATTCTGCTTGGACAAAAGTTTGTGTTTAAAAAGTACAAGTGCTTTTAATTCTTGCAACAGAACGTTCTCTCTTTGTCTGACAGCTTTCACAAGCATCTCCGACGACTTTTTTATTTCAGATACAATGGTTTCCTCACGTTCTTGTAAACCTTTCGCCGCTTTTTCAACTTCGCGAATTGAGTCAGTCAAAGGCTGTGCTTGTTCGTACAGTCTATTTAATTGTCCCCTAAGGTTATCCCTGTAGTTCACTGCTGCCTCTTTTATAAACTGGTATTTATGATCTTTATGTTCAAGAAGTTGACAATCCCTGCAAGTCAATTTTTCGCAGTTGGCACAGAAGAGTTTAAGGGCTTCTTGAGGGTGAGTGCTACAAAAAATCGGTTTCACGTCTGAGGACTCAGAGTTTTCCAAATACTCGGCCTCTGATTGAATTTTATGATCCTTCGTTACTCTCACTCGCTGATGAGCAGAAACACAAGCATCACAGAGCCAATCGCTACAGTTCAAACAAAAAGACGAAGCCGGACTGTTGTCTTCGCATGAGGTGCAGAAACGGTTTATGTTTTCTTGATTTCTTTGCAGTTTTCCCATGTTCTCTAAGACAAACTGGTTATCCAGGAAGCCTAGTACTCCTTTCGGGGGAACCAAAAACTCTTGACCACAATTTGGACATTTCAGCCTTGGGATCGAATTCGAAGATGTACTGGCTGAGGTCGAAGGGGCTTTTTCTCGTTGTTGTTCGGCAAAACGTTCCTCCAAGCAATTTAAACAAAAAGAGTGAAGGCAAGGCAAAAGCTTCGGGCTTGTGTCCACCGGCGGCTTTTTACAAAGCCCACACAGCATAAAGACGGACTCTTCTTCTTGATCATCGGCGTTACCAGTAGCACTTCCTTCGCTCATTTTGATACCAAAGGAATCGCCTTAATTGTCGCGCAAATGGCCCACCAACTATCACCAAATCGTCTGTGCCCTACTCAAAATGGCGGGATAATGAACATGGCTTCCGCGCTTCCATTGACAAGAAATCACCCTGTGACGTCACCGGAGTAGCATTTCGCATTTATGAATATTTCAAAACAAGTTTAATTCCATTGTTGTTAGCTCAGATTCGCTCGTTTCGATTTGAGTTTGTATCTTGACTAAATAAAACTTACCAGGTACTTTCCCTGAGCGCCGAACAACAGTTTTTGAGAGTTAAAAAAGATACGACTGAGGACAATTTGGCATAGGTCTAGACGGGGCACGAACTCGAAAATACACGCGAAACAAGCAAAGACAGACACTAACACAATGCAAATCTAATTGATCATGCATTCCACCGACACTTCCGACAAGTTATTGTCAAGTCCAATCGAGTGGATGACTGGAGGGTCAAAACCTTACTTGGTAAACAAAAAATACAGAACTTGTTTCCGCCTATTACGGCAGGACAACCCACACCACCGTTCCTCACGCACATATATACACCCCCACCAGGAAAAGAGTTAATATCTTTTGTTTATTTTCTAATGCAATCTTTGAACGTCCGCTTATTGTTCAAACACAACTGCAACAACACAGAAATTTGGGGATGTATTGCTTTGATCGTCAGCCCTTGCAAGCTCTTTTTCAATCCAGCCGTTTTCTCCTAAATTTGGCACCTACATATTGAATTTCAGCATCAAGTACCCCTCACAAAATGTCAAAAAGCATCTCTTCATTTAGTGGTTCAGAACGGATCAGGAAAGATCGTATCCTCCCTGTCTGGATTTTTTAATTCATTTTTATCTCTTTCCATCTGATTATTTCTTAACTTGGAATTACGGCCAAACCTGTATAGTAAATCTTCCCTCCTCTCTATCAACATCATCAGGTTTTCCTTCAAGCCACAGTTTTTAAAACGAAAGCAACGGGAGGTGTCAAATTACATTTAAAACTTGTCACCAACTTTGCGAAGACAACGCTCTTTACAAAAATTGCTCGCAAGAGAAAGAAAAATTGAAGTTTTTCTCAACAAGCAGTGCCCGCGATTGCAACTCCTTTCCATTGCCAAGCTCTTAACATACTCAAGAAAAGTTTTCTTGACCCCCTGCTTCCCTTGTTTGAGTCTGCCTTTGCATATATATTCCTACTGCGATATAATTGGGTTATCAGACGCGATATCCATATGCAGACTAGGTGTCCACATAGGTGGAGGAAATGTTTAATTCATATCTGCCTTTTGAGCTGGTATGCGCAGAAAAAGAACTTCTCAAAATTTGGGAAAGGTCACCGTCACTGGTAAATAAAACTTGTTTTTGTTTTTAGAACCTTTGCGAGAGTCTCAGCCTGCAAAACGTGTGAAGTTGTTTTGTGCTGTGAAGAACTGATCCCCTCTGACTGTGCGAGGGCTCAATTGCAATCTTTGGCAAACTTTCTCATATTATAATGATGGATAGTGATGTCGAAAGTGTTAAGGTTTTGCGAGGTAATAGAACTAGTGCACTCATGCACGCCTGGTTCCAACCCCGTCTTTTGAAGCAACAAGTTATCCGGGCGTTCAAGCTTCGCTTCGATCATAAGAACCATATTTATTTCTTCTTTTTTTGCTGATAGCTACTGAAAAAGCAGACGAAGACAAAATAAAAACTTACTAAATAGCTGGAATGGTGCACAGGCAGGGGACGAATGTTAAGGCCGGCCTTCAATTGTAATGGCTGGAAAAGCACAAGCAAGCCTGACGATGAATTGATTTCCACGATCCCCTGGCTCCTGTTTTTCGGAAAATAACCGGCTTAGCGTTAACTTGAAAAAGTCTTTCTTGAATTCATCCCCTCTCCCTACGAAAGGGGATGGAAGCAGTGGTGTTAGTGAATCAGAGGTTGAACAAGCTTCGTACTCAGACAAATTGACTGGGAAAGGCCGGACTTTTTGAAGGCCCTACCGAACAGTGATACAAAATTACCTCTTGCAGCTAAAAAACGTCCATCATTTCGCTCTGACAAAGGGCTAACGCTCGAAACGTCGGCATAAGAAACTTTCTACGGTGGCCAATTTACATTATCAACTCCATTGGTAAAACTAAATTACATCATAGGAGACTTTTGCCAACGTAAAACTTCCAGGTCTCGTTTCATTGTTTCCTTGAAAAAAAACAACAACAATATAACAAAAAAGAAAAAGGGAAAAACAACAACAACAAAAGTAGCAACAAGAACTTTGTTCCGAGGATAAATTTACTACACTAAATGACGTAAGCTTTGTCAATCATATCGCTTCGCATGATTGGCTTAAAGCAGGTTTTAACTTAAGCTCGCTCTCTTCGATTGGTTAAAATTAAAAACAATATGAAAAAATTTCTGGACACTGACAGGGTGATTAAAGTTCCAGGCAGTCTGTTTTAGAGGACTGAACCCGAGGCAGTATAAAAAATTGAACGCGCGCAGGAAATGCATCCTCAGGACGCCGTCAAGTGAAAAGCAAGCGAAAGAAGGGAGCCGTCCATGTATGAAGCAGATAGGCACATGCTTATAATAATCATATCTAACCGTTATGGAAATAATTTAAAGGGTTAATTAACTGATATACTGATATAGGTATTAACATTGGTTGTCTAATAGTATTTTCCATTTTCCTTACATGTGGTAAAAGTATTTGGAAGCAAGACTTCCGCGAAGTAAGGAGCTTTAAAAATTAACAATAACAGAAGAAAAGAAAAAAAGGTAAATTTAAGTGTTTTTTTCATTCATTTTGAAGCAGCGCATGTGTATGACAGACTAAATAACCTTGCGTGACTCCGTCACTTCGAGTCACTTTTTTCTGGGAATTAACTCGATCTAAACGACTCGCTAGACCTCAGTGCCTTGATTCTGGATATTAGGATTTGATCTCTTGAAGAGCAAAGAAATTCTGTTGACTATTTACAAGTAAATTTATTTACTGCGGTTCCCAGCGGGTTACATCGGTCGGAAATCTTGTGTACAGAAAACAATTACATTTCAAAATGTATTTTTATTCGCTCGTTTTGTGTTTTGATCGATTTCATTCGGTTTACAAGGCTGCTTTGTCGAGAATCAATTGGATGTATTTCAAGACCACAGATCTTTTATTTACATCTTTAATGCCACCTGTCTTTTTCAGTCGACTTCTTTTATCTCTGCTCTCTAACACAATCTCATTTAAATCAAATTTACTTCACTCTGGGAGACACTGATCGACTGTCTCTAACTCTGATCAATCTCTCTACCTCTCTCTCTCTGATTATCCCTGACTTATACTAATTCTACAGAAAACGCTTTTATATTCATTAGCAGAAGGCATGTGTGGGCATGCTGCCCAACTGACCTTGGAAGATTAAACATCTGTTGTCAGAACACAAACCCAGACATTTTTGAACAACAATCTGCCTAATGCTTCCGATCAATCGAATGAATCTTTGACTGTGTAAGCCTAAACAAAAGCTTTAGTGTGGGCCCAAGGCAAGGTCAGAAGACGTCCTCTTATGGAATTTGAACAACACAGTCATAACTTGGAGACTTATCGCGATAACTTCGGACCTGGCCGATTCAAATAGTAACTAAATGCTAAATATAAGCAAATGAATAAATCGTAATTAACCATTTCAATGCCTCATAACAATTCCATGCGAAACCGAACTCAAAAGTGATTTTCATTCTTAACTCAAACGCGGAAGAAGATATCAAATTCTCCGAGTTAATGGTTTTGTTATGATGCCTTTTAATAACATATTTGCACACTTATCTTGAAGAAGAACTTGTTACCCTAGGTGTTTGTTTAGAGGAGAGCATTCTCCTGCCCTGTCAGAGTTGAAATGCTTATTTTTTTCACCAGTAAAGCTGACCCAAAGTATCGCGAAAGAAGAAATCCAATAACTAGGTAGAGTGGTGGTGTGAAGAGTCATGGGAACACTTGTGGCCCTCAGTAACGGCGTATCTCAACTTGATGTGGGGGAGAGGGAGGGGAAGAACATTTGCTCCAAGCGCTCCAACCCCGTCTTTTGAAGCAACAAGTTATCCGGGCGTTCAAGCTTCGCTCCGATCATAAGAACCATATTTATTTCTTCTTTTTTTGCTGATAGCTAAAAAAAGCAGACGAAGACAAAATAAAAACTTACTAAATAGCTGTGACTGGCAAAGCAAATGTATTGAATTTACAAGCTATGAAGACTATGAAGCGAGAAAAATTGAGTGACTTATCCTAACAAGGTACTTTCGTCAATTTCCCATGAATAACAATGGTTTGATCATGATTTGATTATCATCAACCCTCTTCCTCTTCCCTGGAATTTCCGGGAAACTTCAACCGAGTTTGTGATCAACATCGGTGCCTGTTTACCTAACTATGCAGTTTAAGCTACTTTAAGTCGGTTGACTTTGAGTGTAAACAGCTATTGTTGTAATGAACTAGCGGTCAGAATTATATAATTCTCTTTAGCGCATTCTTTTTTTTTTTTCTCCAATTGTTCTTTTAATTGTTATAGACATTTTTCACTCTCTTCTCGGATTTTTTTTTTCTTAATCGAAAATACAGTTCTTAAGGAATTTCAAAATCAAAAGTCCCTAGGGACGAGGTTTGACTAAAGGCACCTTTGTGTGAACAGAACGCTGGCAGGCTAAGTAAACAAAGGTGTTAAAATAATTAGCGACTCTTAAATCCTTATGAAAACCGTCATCGGTGAATTTCGTCTTATTTAGAAGTTCGTGAATTCTTTCAACCCTTTGGTGATAAAGTCCTCTGATCTAACTGTGTCAATTAACATACTCGTCAGCTGTTTTGTTCGCGTGACCTCGCAAAACAGGCACAAACCAAAATAAACCTGTACGGGTGAGTTTGACCACAGACTGATGATTGAAAGTAAGATTGAGCTACAAAAATTTTTCGTAGTGAAACTGATAACTGTTGGCTGCCTACAAACAAAAACATAGCATACTGCGGCTAACTGGGGTATGTTTAATGTGATTGGTAGTTTTCGTGTGTCAATGACGTTATGAATATTAATAGTAATTTTGTTTCAATTCCCGCGACCTAAGGCGCAAATTGGGTCATCAACCAGCTACGAGTAATGAAGGCTTGTTTGAGGAAAACTTCAAAACGCTGGGAAAAGACTTTCAACTTCAGCTCGGGAAGTAAACACTATTCTGTCGAACTAGTTCGTATAAAGCGTTTTTGTGGTGAAGAATTTCGTATATTTACAAATGGACTACAGATTACTCGTGCAACATTTAAGCGTCTCAATGGCTTAGCTGTGTGCAATAGGAGCGAACAATTCGCTTGGGAGTTTGATGGCCGTTCTTTTCTGTTGATGATTGTACCTGGAACATGGTCGATGACAGAGTATCATTTGCTGATCGACGGTTTTCAGATAGACTTGAATCTCACTCCATCAGATCTGTGGAGAAGACGAGGGTGGATTCTTGTTTATTTTGGCCTCATCGAGGTGTTGATTGGAGTTTCATTGGAATCGTTACGATACTTTGAGGACACTGTGCCTTCTCCGTATATTGTTGTATGGGAGCTACTAGGCCGCGTTTTATTAATATTTGGCTTGTTAAAGATTGTGGAGGGTTTAACCTCACATGTGGTGAGACATTCTAATCGTTATGGGCCAGTTTACACAGTGTAGAAAAACTTCAAACCACATATTACTAATTCAGCACATTTTCATCCAGGCAAAACGAAGTTAAAAATATCCAGTACTACAAACTATGAATCCGATCAAACTCTAAAGCATTGTGAAATTATTCATAATATCATGTTGACTCTGATATGTATTAAAATATGTTCTCTGATGTTTTCGTTTTGAGTTTTGTTTACAACAATACAGCGTCATTTGGGAGTGAGATTTATCACGAACGGAGTATGAAAAGAAATTGCACAAAACTTATCGAGAAAATACAGATTGTTTCGTGACTGCTACCGTAACTTAACGTCAATGTTTAAAATCGTTCGATCTGGGCTTAAAAATCGTTTGATCTGAGCATAGCAACAAAGTAAATGACAGTCAATACAGTGTTTACGTTGTTTTTAAATCAAGATGATTGAAACATTATATAACCAATACTGATGTGAAGTACGCGTGAAACGAAAAGAAAGCAAATACTTTTTCAAATTCAATAGCACTTCAAAACATCCGGGCACATGTCCCTTAAGAATTTTCTTACGAAGTATTCGTTTGTTGTTGTTAGAAACCTAGCCCTCATTACTTCTTTTATCAGCAAATCCTTACCCCGCTTTATCACCTGCTTTTGTAATGCTTCATCTCCCAAGAGAGAAACACAATAAACTAATTCTTATTTTTCCAACCTATAGGAGGTCATCGCTAAATAATATCGTCAGAATATTGCTTTTTGCCACACTTCAACCGCACCAAATAAATTATTAAGCTTCACACTGCTGTATTCAAGGTAACCATTTCATTTCCATAACACTAATCTTTGCAGGTGTACATTGTTTTGCCCGCGCGCATAAAGTGTTCCTGTCGAAATATCAGTTTCAGACTTGGCACCTTGTATTCTTTAGAATGGTTCTCGTTATTGGAAAAGCAATCAAAACAAAAGGTTTATGGTGTTCAGCGATTTGTTGTTCGATTAAATCGATCAAAATCAACAACAGCTGAAGTAAAAAAATTGGAATATGGAAAGGTATCGAAGATTGTTTTCTTCATTTATAAACTGTATGCATAATGAAGTAAGGGACCGTGCGGAAACCTTACCAAAATGTTATTTAAAATGTATGTTTTTCTGTGATTTTTACTTAATGATTATCTTTTTTGATAGAATTATGCAAAATTTATACATGGAATATAGCTAGTAATCGATCATTCAGTTATGAAAATAAAAAGAGAAAAGTCTTGGAACGCTTTGCATCTGTTAAAAAGAATCAAGCATCACGCACTCACACAAGTTGTAGGGAAGAATATTCAAGCAACTAAATTCTGGAAGCTACGTTCGGGTATGAGTATCTCATATTGATTTACAGTCGAGTCGGGGCTTATAGAGGGTTGCTTGCACTTTTTGCTGTTAAATGTTTATAATGTAGCTTCTATTTTGGCCAATCAACAGGAAGAAGTCAAACAGTTTGTCACGCCATAGAAAGTATCTTACAAATACGTGTGTCACACTTCAATTCTCTTGTCAGCTGGGTGATCGATCTCCATTACACTTTTGGGTTGCGGATAATTTTTCGCAATTACGACTTAAAATTCCATTGGTTAAGCGAAAACCCACAGATAAAAGCACAGTGACTAAGCAGAGGGTCTTTTAAGACCTTTTAATCCGAAATTAATCGCAAAGTTCTGAGCGAAGGTTGAAGCACATACTCTATTGTTGTTGTCGAAGAACGCCAGAGATGCCTTGTTGTAAAACCACTTGTACATGGGCCCAGAACCTCAAGGTTGGTCCTGAATATCGACAGTATACAGTACAGCTGGTTCGTGAAATTGGTTGCGTTTGTGAAGGGTACCGTATCTACGTTAATGGACATGAACTGGAGCATCATGGATTGACTTACAATCCATGTAGCCCTCTTTGCTTTGGTGGCGGACAGTACGAGTGGGAACAAGATGGTCATTCATTCATTCTCGTTTTCAATTCGTTGTCGTGGACGAACTACTTTGGAGGTTTTCGCCTATTCATAGATGGCACAGATGTGAATACTGGGCGTGAATTTTCGTCGTTTTGGCGGCGCCGTGGGTTGCAAGTTATGTTCGCTGGCCTAGTGTTGCTGTTCTTGGGTACAACTTTATCATTGATATTTCATTATGCACTTTCTAGGCGAACGCATTTAATTGCTGTCGGCTATGCTTTCTTTATTACTGGTGTGGTTTATATTTTGCTCGGGCTCATTCCAGTCTTTCGATTCCGAAAACCACGGTATGACAGGGCTGCCGCAGTGGAGTACACAGCTAACACAGTGTGATGCGAATCCGCATTTCAAGTGGTTCTTAGGACTTATGGCTTAGATTGAAGGTCGATAAGAGTTTACTGCTACAGTTTATCAAAGTGTTTCTTAAACAGCGAACAGCGCTATTCGATGCCTAAATAGGTTAGCAGCTAAATATATCAAATGCGTTAAATTCACAATACATTTTTTGTAATTTATTACCTTCTCAAGAGGTCATGTCATTTTCGTGAAATATGTTATCGAAAAGAAATTAAATCATGTTGGATGCTCATTAGGTCATAATTTATAGTGGTTTTATAGCTATGACACTTAGGCATTAACTATGACTGATCTTCACCGGCATTTTCCATAAAGATGTACCTGATTTGCTGTCAATTTGAAAAGCCTTTTCAATTGAAAATAATCTGAACATTTCGTTCTTAATTTTACTTTGGTTTTGAAGTTTCCCTTGAATTTGGCAATTTAGCTCTAGTTGTGGCTTGAATGAGTACTTTTGAGGTTTAGCTATCAGTAATGCACACTTTCTGTTATATTTACATCTTACCAAGAATTTATGAAAGGTAAAATGGGCTTGCTTAGAAAGGCAGACATTTCATGTAGTTTTCATGGGAGTGAGCCTCTTAATTAAGAAAAAATGTAATTACACTGGGAGGGAAGGAGTTCAGAAAATACTGAGAACTATTCTTTCACCACAGAAATCCTAGGAAAAAATTGGATTGCATGGAACACTTAGGTCAAGGTGAAAGCAGTTAATAAACATTTTCTTTTCAGTGCATTCTCCTTTTTTTGCAACATGTATTATATATCTACACACAGAACAGATTTCAAATGTTGGCTTGTGGGGTGATTGTGCATCAGTAACATTTTTGTGCACTGGGCGCAGTATAGATTGCTATGCTATTTATCAGGTACTTATCATTTGTGTTGTCATGTTTATTATTTATCTCTTCACATATTTGCATTGTTCAAATATTAAGAAATATTTATGTTTTATAATGTCCACATTTCCAAGACTATACTATATAGGTGTAAGTCTTGACTGTAAAAATTAAAAATTGTTGGTGTTCTTTGGAACACCAACTATGAATGACAATAGTGTGACTTTAGTATAGGTAGAATTTCTTAGATCAAGTGATTCTTTTAGAAGTTGTGTTTTTGTAGATTTGATAATTATTTTGACAGAAATGCCAAATATTTGACAAGACATAAATTCTACACATTGGTAGAAAAGTCCTCAATGAGACACTGAAAAGTCATGGAGTTCTTCTTTTGTTGGAAAAGTACAGAGCCTTTTGATAGGAATTTAAAATGGTAACTCATCCTTTTTCAAAGTTTTATAATTATTACTCAAAAGACAGGTTATTTTGAATTTTTGGGTTGGGATACTGAAGCTTCAAATTTATTGGTGCATATCATGTAAGATTTCCCCTCCAGCTGCTACACATTTTGTGGTACATTAGGTATGAGAATTTAGTGTTAACTAAGACAACCATCTTTGCTGAGTATCCTCATTACCTGTTTACTGGATTGTCTATGGATTACTGGATTGTTGCAGCGTTTAGATCACCCCTGATGAAGGCACTAGACAGGAGTGTTGAAACGTTGGGTCTATGAATTGTAACTTCTTCGGTTACATTCATTAAATTGGCAAACCAGAGTAGCATCAAACTGTGTCCGATTGTCCACCTGGTTGCCGTGTGAACTTTAATATATTTTGTTGGGAGAAGTTACCTATCAATCGCTTCAGGGAGTTAGACAGGTCCTGCTTGTCCATTACAATCCTATACCCCCAACCCCCCTCACCTCTTTCCAGGTAGTGAATGTGCAGTGACATCATCTTATTAAAAAAAAAAATTGAATTACACACAAATAGTATCAAAACTTTCAGTTTAATATTCAGTTGTGCAGAATACCATTCACTAAAATCTACACACAAAAATCTTATGTCAAGTTCTTTATTCTTTTGATTGAATTCCTGAGCCTACCTAAGGTTCTTTTCTCTTAAACTCCTGTAAAATTGTGCCAAAATTTGCGGAGTCCCATGCTAAAAACACAACTCCCTATGATCCATATAGAGCAAATAAAACATGCTGACTAGAACAATAATTATTATTACTTAACAAAAGTTAAGCATTCCCCTTTTTGCCTCTTAATAATTTTTTTAAACCTTAGGTTGCTCAAAATTGACCAGGTTTGATAACAAAGAGACTGAAATAAAATGTTACAAACCAAACTGTGCTAAGATCCTGTGCTATGCAGGTGAGCCTCGGGTCTGTGATAAAAATTTGAAGTTCACCAACTCCACTCAATTAAAATGAGTTCAAATTTGATCTTTTATTTATTATAACTAACAAGTAACAATCATAAATAACTATAATTACCTCTATCTGATATCTTTGTTCGGAGTTTTATAAATATGAGGGTAAAATATGTTCACCACTATTCATTTTTTTTTTTTAATTTTCTTTCTTTGAAGGGCATCAGCTGAAATCTCTTTCATGTCCCTAACTAAAAGAAACTTTTTAAAAACCTTGTGAAGCTTGTTTCAGGCTAATTAATTTTTAATATAAGTTTTAAATATATTATATCTTCTGATTGTGTTGTTTGTTTCAAGTGATTGTGAGTTAATCATCAAGTACAATCTATTTGATTATGCTTACAATCAAACAAACAATTTCTCAACATTTTTAATACATCTACAGAGTAGCTTTTGTGAAATGCAACAAAACTCACCCCACCCTTCTAAACACTGATTATCAAGATGGCACATCTGTCCAATTTGAGCTAAATTACCATTTTTTCAAAAATATTTTACTCTACAACCAAAGTGAGCAGAAATGGGACTCTACTATGTTGTTGAGCAAACACAAGTTGGTTTTCTAATCAGAATATTTTCTGACCATGAAAAAAAAGGACACTTTCCATCTCAAATTCACTTGAAAATATACCATTAGGTGTTAAGATAACTATTATTCATTTTTGAGCTTTTCCCAATATCAGTGAAATCCAAACTTCATGGGACAGCACACAACAAAAACAATCCATCCCTTTTAAATACTTTTTTAAAATTTCATTAGAATAATTTGTGTATTTTAAGTAGCTATGCAGGATCATCTTCTATAATACCAATGGAAAAATCCTTGAGTTATAACGAACATCAAGAGTAAGAGCCAGTCTTTGAACTGAAGAGTAGCAAGATCATCCTGATGAGAGGAGTAATGGCGACGCAAATCACTTCTAATTGCCCTCATCTGTTGAACACACTCCTTCTGTAGATCTTTGAGTGGCTGGAAAGCTTTCTCAAGAGCTGCAAGGTCAATGCCTTCCTTAACACTCGAATCATCATCATCATCCTCAATGCTGCTGGAATGTTCAGCTTCAGGATCAGGTGTTGATGCACCTGAGCGGTCAATGGAACTACGTCGTGATCCCTTTGCTTGGCCGCTACATCGTGATCGACCAGATGAAGGCCGCTTTCGTTTTGAAATTGGCTTCTTGTTATCTGGTTGGACACTGAGTAAGCTTGTTGTTCGTACCATGGGTGCTTTGAGGCGATACTGTGTTTTGATGATTCCATCATTTTCATACTCCTTCAGGTCCGTCATTGGATCCCAGGGTCTTACACTACAAAAAATAAAAGAGGATGAAAGTCACAAAACTACAACAAGAACAAAATATATAAGCCTCATACTCTCTTGTTTGTAGAGAAGGCTGACAGCATCCAATATAAGATAATGAAATGTTAATCAGATGCTTACTCTCTGTACTTGTAAAGCCATCGGTTGATAGCATTAGGAGCAGTTGGATCACGTTCAAACAGTTTAGGAATCCATTCCACTCCATTTTCTCTTCTTTCACGGTGACCTTTCCGCTGCGCCTCCTCAAGAGTGAACTTTTCGTTTGTTGCTTTTTCCTGACAATTTTGTAGAAAATGGTTGTACACAATGTTAACCTTTATTTTTTCGACTGGTTTACAAGGCAGTAAGAGATTGCAAAACTAATTACAAAGTATGGTGGAGCAAAAGCATTGCAATGTTGCTCAAGTTCAGCACTTGCCAATTGAAAATTACTGAAACAAGATCTCCCTACCTGATCATTAACTTTGATAGCATCACTGACATTTATCCAGAGCCTGTATGTGGAATAGTAATTTTAAGAGAGCAGTTAGACATCATCCAAAGACACGACACCCTCATAATGTGTTCCCATGAGTCACTTTACAGACATGTGAAAGTAAGAATTATATACTATATCTAAGCAAGATATGACATACTTCTCAGATTCAAATTCTCCTTGGGTGTTGTACTCCACCAAATGTCTGGGAAGTCTCTGTTCTCGGATTTCAGGAGTTGGGTCCCAAAACAGCTCAGGAAGAGGTTCCACTTCCTAAAGAAAAGAAATAGAAGTCACTTTACAACTTCTTAAGTGGTCACAACACTTTTAAAAGGACAGTAATTTGCAGACCATGCTCACTAGACACATGCTCTACACTAGGGAGAGGAAGGAAGAGGTGCAACAGAACCATACGCTTAATAACAGGTAATTTAGTGTTAACAACTGGGTTGAAAACGTAAATTAGCCACCGTAAAGGGTAAAAAAGCTGACGTCTCGAGCGTTAGCCCTTCGTCAGAGCGATTAGAGGAATTGTGGGTTGTGTGTGGGTTTATATGCAGAAAGTGGAGCTACGCCATTGGTGGGAATATGGTGACGAGAAAACAGGAATAAATTAGTTAAATGAAAAGCGCTCGTTGATTCCGTGGGGATTAAGGGTGCCGATTTGGAATAAAAATTTTTGTTCTAGTATTTTACGGTTTTCCGAACTGCCTAGATGTAAGGAAAGGCCGCAAACTGCCATATGCTGTTTAGAATGATTAGGAAGATTAAAGTGTCTAGCGACTGGTTTGGATGCGTCCTTGTCATTTCTTTCCACATCGCGAAGGTGTTCTCGGAATCGGTCACCCAGTCGTCTTCCTGTTTCGCCGATGTATAACTTATTGCAATAAGTGCAAGTTATGCAGTAAATAACATTGGCGGAGGTACACGTAAAGTGATCAATGATCTTAATGGATCTTTTGGGTCCCGATATTTTCTCTACGTTATGAATGAAAGGACAAGTTTTGCAACGTGAGCGAGCGCATTTAAAAGTTCCAGATAGATCGTTGGTTTGAAATGAACTCCTAACTAAAAAGTTGCCTATGTTTTTGTAACGTTTGAATGAAATAAGTAGTGGTTGCGAAAAGATAGTGCCAGTCTCTGAATCGTTTTGGAGTAATTTAAAACTTTTAAAAATGATAGATTGAACTGCGTGGTTGTGAGGGTGAAATGTAAGAGTAAATGGAATGCGGTCAGTGTTTTCCTTCTCGGCCGTTTGTAGTGCTGCCTGTCGATCGATTTGTTGGACACGGTGGTAGCCCGCTTGAACGACAGAAACAGGATAGCCACGTTTATCGAAAAACTGGCACATTGCCTCTGATTTTTCGGAAAAATCAGAGTCGTCACTACATAAACGAAGAAGTCTGAGAAACTGTGAAAAAGGTATGGAGTTCTTGACGTGTGATGGGTGTGAAGATGAATACAACAAGTAACTATGTGAATCTGTAGGTTTGTAGTAAACACTAGTACATAAGCCGTTATGCCGTTAAGCCAGTTTCGTTACGTTTTCAACCCAGTTGTTAACACTAAATTACCTGCTATACTCCTACTCCCACCGACGCAGCACCACAGTTTCTTTAGAAACTTACCCCTTTATTCATACGCTTAATAAGTCTTGCCCCCACCCACTTTATAGAACTATAATTTTGACATGGGTGTGAAGAGCCCATCTTTAGATTTTACATTTCTTTGACTGATACATAAATAAGATTGCGTTTCTGTACTTACCCCTGCAGGAACTGGAGTTTTAAGGTCTGTGATAAGAATCTCACCATCCTTACAGGGAAACAAAAGAACAGACCATTTTCCATTTAACTGGAAGATATATAGCATACACATTGACAAAAGACGTATTATTTAGAGAGATACTTACCCACTTTCCTTCTATTCTACACAATGTTTCCTTTCCCATTTTAATCTTGCCAGCAACATAATTAGATTCCCCACTCTTCTTCCAGAATGGCTAAAATAACGACAAAGGTATGATTTCATTTAGATAGCAAAGTCAGCTGCTGAGTCTGGTATCTCATCCGACAGGAGCTGCAGTATTGCTCTTTCCCCCTGGATGGAATCCCACTCCATCAAAGTTTTCCCCCTATAAAGTTTCCTGACAGTTCACTTGTCCTTACAGATACTCCTGAGTGGAGAGAGGTACTCATAGAGTAAAGTGTCCTGCCTAAGAACACAGCACAAGCTCTGAAGGGGCTTGGACCCAAATTTCTTTGACATTGGCGCTCCACCCACAGAAACCCTTTATCTTCTTACCTTAAGTTTGAATTCAATTTCAGCCTTGTACCCAGTCTTCTCACAGTTTATGGTAATGACTCCTCCTAACTCCATTGTTAGCGTGCCAATCAAAATACCTGAAAATCAAGAAAAAGATGACAGTACATGAAACAAAAACAGCAGAACAATTATAAACAGCTTTCAGCTAAATATTTTAGCTCAAAGGTTTAGTTTTCCCTTCGATTCTACCTTTTCAGGGAAACAGTTCTTTCATCTCTATCATCTCAGTTACCAATCTCAGTTACAGTTCAAGATAAAATAAGTTAAATTAATAAATTAATTTAATTTACAAATTAATTTACAAATTAAGGTAGTGTCCTTGTGATGTTCTTTTTTTGAATTGCTGTTCACTTCAACTTTCAAAAATGTTATTTGGTAGGTAGTGGATCTTCTGAATATCTGAATTTTAGATCTTACCTTCAAAAAAAATTTTTTTAAGATACCTAAGGCTACAGAGGCACAGCTCTAATGTAAGTTACCTAGCAATACACTATGAAAAAGAACAAACCTTTACAATGAGCATATGGCATACTCATGACGTATTCTTCTCCAAACCTCAGCAAAGTTAAGGTAGCAGTTCCATCCAAAATGGCAGAGGATGAATTCCCTACCAGGGAAAACACACACTTAGGATTAGATCTTGAGAAAGGTTTATTGAATTGGAGGGGATTTACATATTTTTCATAAAAATTGGCTTCTCTACATATTTAGTCTACTTTACTGCAATTTTTTTGGTTTTTTACAGTGAAGCAAGAAAGTATAAAGCATGTCGAGGAGATCTTACAAGATCCTGGTAGACAGCCAAGCTTTTCATCTCACAATGTTCATGCTCCAGTCAGTCAGATCTAAAAACTGGACAAGTGTACTTAACCGGACCCACAAAAAAAGGTCACAAGGCAAATACTATTAATAATAAAACTACCAGTTACCATAAAATTTGGACTTGGCCAAGCAAGAGCAGTTGACTACATATCCCTCTTTTCTATTGGACACATAGAATGCTGATACTGGAGGATGGTGGGAAACTTGTTCTGCGACAAAGTATGTCTTGGTACCATCAGGATTACCCCAGTAACAGCGGAACGTCTCACCAAGGATAGGGTTGTAAGGTTTCTTCAAACCCTATGAATAATTATCAGAAAGATAGTTATTCAAATGATTGTCAATTGGTAATATACATTCTGGTACCATACACAGGATAAGTCAGATTTTAGATATGCTGGTTTTTTATTCAAAAGTTTGGTACATCAACAATGTACAAATTTACAGTACTAAGGGGTACGCTCAATTTCTCTCACCAACCTTGGGTTTCTTATAAAATCCTGACAAATACCACCTGACTACTTCCTTGATTCTGCTGTAGGCATCCTCCTCTCTTGCAGCTCTACATAATTTATAAATAAAAAAAATGTTACCATTTGCAAAAATCTTTTTGTAATTTTTTTTTTTTTTTTTTTGGGGGGGGTTAAGGTCTACTCCTATCCCCTCAGAGTTGTTCTTCCCACCACATAACCTTATTTTCAATGTTTCTTTCAATCTGATTACTATAAAAAATCACCTAAGTCACATTGAACTTGATGTAGAATGGGGTGGGTGTAAAATAAGAGTAAGACTTGATCAAATAGGATTTGTGAACTGTTTACCTGGACAAAATGTCACAATGGAAGTAGAAGTCTGAAAGCTTGTCTAAAAATGACCTAGGTTCCAGAATAAAGGTTGGTAAAGTAACCCTTGAAAGATCCATGCCTGGCTTGACCTGTTGAGCATTTAAATGGTTGGTGTTAACATTATTTTGGTAACTGCTGTACCAATAGGTGGGAAACCTAGCTTACTAACAAGTTCCGTGTAGCATTCACCCACATCATTTGAATAAGCTTCAAATCTTCACCCTTATCCAGCAGATCTTAAAAAATTTTTTTGTCCCCTCTAATCTCCAAAGCTCATTTCACCTGACCTGTTTTAAAAGTGCCCACAGAATACTTTTGTTTTCATCTTCAATCTCCTCTAGTGCCTCACCAGCCTAACAAAAACAATACTAAAAATAAGTCATGTTGAACAGTACATTTCTTTCAACAATTAAGCAGTATTAAGCAATACATTTCCTACAATTCTTTTCACATCTACAGGTACACTTCGACTACACCTTTGGTCTGTCCAAATTGATAAGAGTCTCAATGAATATTTGAACAACAATTGAGCTCCATGAAAATCAAATAAAAGCTTTTCAGGACTAAAAAAGTTATGAGCCTTTTTCCGATATAAAAGAATCGAGCTGATTACTTGGTACAGTGTATGTTTTGTACTTAAAACCATGGCATGGAACTTTCACAGCAACATGCTCGTCCCAGGCACTAAAACATTTCTTAAAAAGTTGTTTAATTAAAATATAAATTCTACACAATATGATTTTTGCTCTAAAGGCAGAGAAAGCCAGTTACATATGGTAAAAAGCCAAAATAGTTTTGAATGAAGAATTGCCCAGAAGTTTGCACCTGTCCAAGATATTCCTCCCCTTTCTCTCCAACATAAATTGTTTCTTCAACAGGACCCTCTTCCATCTCCTCTTCACCATCTGTGATTAACAAAATATACGATTTCAACAACATAACTGTAACAACAATGAGATTAAGGGTTAGGTCAAATCTACTTAATAAATTTAATGTAAAATTTGACTAGGAAAAACTCATCTGTTCCCTTACCAACAGCTTGCTGGATAGTGCATTGAAATTGTGGGAAGTAACTTGATGAGGAAGGGATAAGCAGGTTCAGACAATATATTAAATATTTGTGGATAACGTTAATTTTGCCACTTGTTTGGGGCAAGAACTACCTACCTCTTCCAAGTGGCCCTATCGTGTCATCCAATTCATTATCAGAGTCAGATTTTTCCTATGAACAAAACACAATAAGGAAAAAATAAAGAAAGTAAAAAAAAGAACTAAAATTGGTGTAGCTATAAATTGCATTTTTGATGTTCACAATAAAATAAAAACCCCGTCAATTGTTATGTGGGATGTTAAAAGAACAACGCCAAAAAAACAAGTTACACAATGTGGGAGAGAAAACAAACACTCTTCTCAAACTAAATAACCCTAACCTAACCCCAACCCTAACCCTAAGATAAATAAATGATACAAAAATAATATCTAACCATTCCATCATTGCTGTCATCATCTTGATCTGTTAGAGAAGGAAAAAGCCATTTTTACACATGATATATATATATATATATAAATTTGTATGTGTACCTTTTATATCCCTTCTACAATCAGTAATCAATCAAAAAACAAACTAATAAAAGCATAAAAAACTGAAAAAACCAAAACAAGTAAGAAATAACTGACCTTGAATGGCTGGAATTCCACTGTCATCCTCTCTGTCTTCCTTGTCATCCTTACCATACAGCTCACTTAACCTTCCGGTATAAAAAAAGGCATGTCATGATTTTTATTAAATCCAAGCATCACAAAGGATCACATTGAAGGAAAATTTTTTTTAAACATACATTCCTTTGTTGTCTTTTTGATTGCTGTATCCCTGATTCTGAGCAACTTCTAAAGCATCTAACCAGCACCGTCCTATTCAAATCAAAATGTAGCAGTTGTCTTTAGCACAAATAATATTTAGATTAGTTGCACAATGAAATAGAGCTCAAATTCTTATCTGCTGTAACAGAGAATGGAGCAACAATGTACATCAGTACATGAAGTGTGATAGTCTGGCAACAGTGACTGAGATTTCTACAATCTATTCAGAAGTTTTAATCAGAGTTAGATATCATATACAACACTTACCATCAGATTCAGAGTCTGCTCGTAAAATAAGATGATCCTTTGGCATAGGTTGAGCAATTGAACCAGCCAGCTCTCCTTTTGGTCCTCTTGTTGCCCACATGTAGTGCTCAAGTGGATGGTAGATTTTAAAACAGAATCCTTCTTTCTTGGAAGGTCTTTGTAAAATCTCACAGCCATTCAATAGAACAGTGCCTACCCACTGGCCATGCTGTGGGAAGAAAGCAGAGCTGAGTCACTAATACTTGCCATGATAATATATGGACCTTAGTTTATAAGTTGCTAATGCACCTGAAATAAAATTACTTAATTTGTACTTGAAATAATTTCAATTTAGTTCATACCTTTGCACTTTTGTAAATAAGCAGCATACCAGGCTTAACAACACACCAAAACTTCTGCCAGCCTTTCAAGGTGCCACGAACCTTACAGTTGTCAAAAAAGTTGATTAAGGATGTGTTGAATTGTAAAAATTATTTTTACATCAAAGTTGCAGAAAAATAACTGCTACAAATTATCCTCACCTTGAGCCAGGAGGAAAGTATGATCACTGAAGGGTCTTTCAGTGCACTAGCTAACTCTTTTATTCTGCGTTTCTGTTCTTGTCTGTAACTCTCTTTCATTGCCTTGAAAGACAGATATATGAAAAATTATATGCTGGAAGAATTACAATCCAAGTATACACTGTCCCAAAATCCTATTGAACTACTTGTAAAGAAAATTGTCCTAATTTGTACACTCTGAGAGTATATTGGTTGATTTTTCTTAGAAAATGTTTCTACCAGTAAGATTTGATAATTTGGGTCAAAATTTATTGTGTCATCATCATAAACATGTGTGTCAAGTGTACCACCTCTTCATTAAAGGTCATGCCTTTACCATAAAGTTGAAGTTACTTCATCCCCACACACATACACACACACACCAACAGACAGACACACACACATAATTATAGTTATCTGGCCAGTACTTGTTTGACCAGCAAAAAAAATTCATGGATATAGTTATCTAAAATTAAAACTTACCTTGAAACTTTCCTTTGAAGTTTTCCTTGGAAACAGTGGGGATTTGTCTGGCACAGAAAGTCTTTTTTCCAAACTCTGCTGTCATTTCAAAATGAATTGAGTATTAGCACAAGTACCTAATCATATAAAATTGTACAGACTAGCAGAATCAACATTTTCTTTGTACTTCTATCAAAGCTTTTAGCACAACGAAATACGAGTCTTTTAATATTTTAAATAAAAGCTAACGACAATTTCATTTTTTAAATTTTTGACTTGACAATAGCAAATCTTTCACCCTTCATGCAAGAGTTCAATAACATATAATTTTTTGAATCCTTTGATTTTACACAAAAACAAGAGCCCAAAATGACTTCACTGTTGTTTCTAACCAGTAATAACTCCAACTCCTTTTTCATGGAGGAATTTTGAACTCTGGTATTTTCTAAACCTGTACAGTTTATAAGCTACATGCAAGTTGCTGTTCAATGTAAGACTCTTAATACAATACATAATTTAAATAAAACACATTGTAACTGCCCAAGTGATATTTACCAGCCTCTCTTTATCTCTGTCCTTCTTATCCAGCTTAACAGGTGGGGTTGAATTCCTTGAACTTGGACCATCAAATTTAAAACTACCTTCTCCCTCATCTTGTGCTTAAAAAAAGGAAGGAAATTTTCTTAAAATGTTGCTTTGGGTGATAGTGCAAAATGCTGTTTGTTATCATCCTGACCTTAACAATCATACTGTTGATAACCATTGACCAGAATCAATCAATATTTATTACAATTAAGTTATCACCACAATCTGATGTATTAAAAAGATTTTCTGAACAGCAATATAGAAATACTGGCCAGGTTAATGTGCATAGTGTTAAATCTCTGATGACAGTGTACAATATAACTCATAACTGGCAGAAGAACAGTTAAGACACAATTGTTAAGTCATGTACCTTGGAAATAATTACAGGTATTTTTATCTTTTTAGAGCATATAAATACTGGCACAAAAGGAAAGTGATTAAATCTATTAAAAAAGAAGTTACATACAAGGTTAAACTGCACATAATGAATGTTCCTAAAAAATTCGACCTATTCAATAAATATATCATTTGCTCACTTAAGCTTTATGAGGTCACAAATCAAAGAAAATTTTAGGAAAATGAGAAAAACATCATGATACCCAATCTTATGAAAGATGTCTAATTTACAAATAAAAATTTTAAAAAGACATCATCTTGCACAACTAGTGGTTGCTGTAGTTTAAAGCTCAAATGAAGCAATTGACATGAAAAAATTGACTAAATAAATACACTAAAAGAAAAAGAAACTGTACTCTTTCAAGTAAAAATATCTTAAAGGTTAAAATGCTGATTCCCAGCTAATTTTGAACTGTTTTAGTTTAAATACATATTGCATCTGTCAGAAAACAATGAAGGCTAAATCAACTTCAAACTTGTTTGATTTATATTTTTCTTGTTCAAGATATATTGTGACAATATAAGTGTAAATCAGAGTAAACATGAACAAACTATATACATTGTAAAAACAGACAATTTCAAAACTACAACATCCATCAAATTTAAATTGTACCCTTTTAAAACCCATATTGTGGCGCATAGCAGTGTTTCTCTGCAATATTTTTGGCCTTAATATCACAATCACATTAAAATATTTAAATATTACTTATACTGATACTAATGACTACACTACAATATCCTTTCAAAAAGTGAATCAAAATAATTTAGAGACAAAAAATAATTCAAATTTCCTGCTGTGTTTGATATCAAAGTTATAAATTTAACTTGATTGCTTGAGCAAATGTTACTTGGAAATTAATTGTGGCGTCAGATTTATCAATATTGACTGTGGTAAAATAAAATGATCATAGGAAGTTTTTAAATTGTCTTCTACCGACTGAAAAGTGTGATGAGCAAATGCCATTCAAAGCAATCTGGTTTCACTGCCCTTCATTCAAGAATGCAAAACATTTGAAAACCTATATGAGCAGTACAAAACATTTCAGTAAAAGCAAAATAAACCTGATGCTTAAATAAACCAGCCCAGGCTCCGACCTGACTATTTTTTACAGCCTTTTCAGAACATGACAACATGTAAAAAAGGAAAATATATGTACTATTTCAGTGGACAATTTAATTTCCATTCTGGCTGTGATTAATTTTTCATTACCTATAGATTATACCGGTAATATTTTGCTTACTCAGACAGGAATTGAAATTTGCCACAGATATATGACAAGAGATTTCCACTGACATTACAAGCCATCATCAGGTTTCTCAGGGCAAAATAGTATAGCTAAGTTACTATTAAAACATGTAGCTCTGCAAGCCACAATACTTCACCAAAAAGGCTTTCATGCATTTAAAATTTCTCCTCCTCATACCAGCTGTCAGGAAAAGATAATCTTCACCACAATTCATTAATGTCATTATCATAACACTGAATTCAAATTGTGTATACTCCTTTCATGATAAGCTTTCTCTGACTTATTGAGGTTGGGGCACCCAAAGACATTTAACTCCTATTTAAATTGAATTTGTAAAATTTTGAGGTCACATTGACAAGAATGTATGGGAGAAATCATTGCACCAAACTACTAAGAAATCAATGACAATAATTTATGAAACAGGGCCTATCCTCCTTTGCTTTCAGATCCAGTCTAGAATATTGTTATCACAAAGGAAAGGGAACTTTGCAAGTCCTTTTGAAATACAGTTTATACTGAAAGTAATCATCAAGAAATAATATAACCCCAAAATGCTTCCTGGCTATAAATTTAAGTGAACAAGTTTAAAGGGGAAAAACTAACAGAAAGGGTAATGGATAAAAAGATAGACATGAAAGTGTTTAGACACAATGACTCAATTTTACTTTGCCAAAATATTCTGACTACTGGATAGCTCTTTCATTGAACTCTAGCAAATACCATCTAATTATATGCCCCCTATGTTTACATGCACAAATCAACAATAGACATTATTACCTACAAACTGAATTTACCTTGTCTTCGTTTCCCCTTATCCTTCCTTGCTAACATAGCAAGTTAAAATGGAAATCTACAAGTACCGCAATATGTTGGAAAAACATTAAATTGAGCTTGAAATGACAGTTTCCGTTTCAAAATAGATAACAATTTCTTGTTACTGGCAAGGTAGCCCTTTCATGAGAAAGCTACAGGTTCATCTCTGAATAACCCGTAATCCAAACATTTTCATCCACACAAAGCTATAAATCAAGAAACCTATCAATTACCTGAGAAAGCAAATGTGTGGTATCAACAAAATCTTCCCAAAATATGAATTATTCAAAAGCCAATAAAATCTTACATATTCAGACTAAACTTTTTAATTCAAATTTTTAAGTGCCATTTTCATTTGTGCTTCATGCATGTAAATAAGCCTGTATTCTCAATACTACAATGAATATTGCTACAACAAATGGAACAAGAAAGCAAAAAAAGCTACAGACAGCCAATTTAGAACAAAAGGAACAAAATTGGATTCCATAAATTTCAGACATCCTGTTCTGATCAAAACAATTTCAACGGATGTTTATTCAATTAAGTCAGATACCCTGTCATCTAGTAAAAGATGTACAGAGAGCTAAATTTGGAAGGGAACCTTATTGCAGTGTGCACAACTTTATGGAAGAAATACTTTAATCAGGCATGTTTAAATCTATTTTTCTTTTGCAATATGTAAGAAGTAACATTCTGAAATTACCTTATCATAATTTGTGAGGAAGTGCAACTTAAGTGGAAATTTTCTACAGACATAAACTAAATTTATATTTATTTTAAAATATTTTCACCTACTGTACATTCAACTCTGGAAATACACTCAGTATCAGTCTGGTACACAAACTATATCTCGACACAAAATTTTCATTAACACTGCAAATTTGTTCAAAGTTATCTATTACAGAGTTCATTAAGAATTTCACCAATAAATGTCTCTTCTATCATTTAACACAGAGCACAAACATCAGATACCGAGACAGTTGTAAAACAAATTTGACAACAAAGCAAAAAAAATTGTACATACTCTTTATGAAAATGTATTTTCATTTACAGCTATACTGTGTTTATCTAATAAATTGAAACAATTACTTAAACACAATAAATAGCCCTTGGGCATAGCTAGAAATTTGGGTTTCTTAAAATGCGCTCCCTCTTCAGAGAGATTTGCTATCACTAGTTGTCATTGTTATAAAAATAATCTTGACATGCCTTTACGTCAGAGTCACCACTTTCACCTTGAACTTTCCATCTCAAGGTGCAAGCAGGTAATGCAGGGTGAACAAGATTTTGGGATGATTTTTTAGCACATGGTGCAATCATGCAGGAGAGCTCCTCAGTACTCTCTGGCAAAGGTAAGGGGACTTGCTTAATTCTCTTCAATTCCTTGTTCATGATAGCTTTCATTATCATGGCTGACATTAAGACCCTTCTACCAGTAGTTTGGGGATGACTGTGAGCATATACAACATTGTGGCTATGAGAGAAAAGCTTGAAAAGGACATTTGACACACTCCTACATTCACAGAAAAACACCAAACAACTTTGATTGTTTTCATTTCTTTCTACTTAGAGAGCTGGCCTTTTGAGCAATATCATTTTAAATGCTGAATGGGCAACTTGGTAGAGCAAATGTTTATTGTTTAAGGAACAGTTAACTGTAACTCCCTCACAAACTGTGGACAATTGTTACCATAACATACACCATGTGCTTTGCTATCTGCAGAAGAGCAAGTTATCTTCTAGACAGTTTGATCTTTAAACAAAACTATATATGAGTTAATTAACAGCAAAAGACACTGTAGATCCTTTTTGATACCCTGCAGAAACACAAAACTTTCCCAGTGAAGGAGAAGGTGCTGATAACTATGTTCTTGATCTGATCTTATAGCTAAGGTTTACCCCAGATTTCTCATTGCTCAGGCTAACACATAGATCTTCAGGATTTAAAAACTTAATTTATAGAAATTTGAGGCTTAAACCGATCCAAAAATTTATTTGTAGGAAAAGTACAGATAACAAGAAAAGAAGAGTTTTGAGGCATCAGGCACACTTAAAGAATTGTCTAAGCCTGTAACTTACCCAGTGGACTTGACTGTGTGCTGCGGTCTTCTTCACCATTTTCAATGTTAGATTTTCCTCTAGATAAACTTCCCAGTAGAAGTGCTGTGTCAGCTGAAGTGAAAAGAAAAATAACGCTATTTTGAGCCACCTCATTTTTTCCAAAAATAAAATATGAAACACACAAACCACACTAATTGATCTGTTGTTGCATGAATGTCTTATGTTTAGAACCTTTCCGCACTAGCCAAAAGAGTTGTTCATTTAGACAAATTTTCAATCACTTGCAACAAAATTTGTCCTGGGTAAAAACTGGACAAAATCAACTAAATAAACAAATCCCTGTGAAACTTGTCGATCATTTGTGGTAAAAGCTACAACCGGTGAGTAATTGAACTGAAATCAGATTACTAGAAAGGCAAAAATTGTCTTTTAATGCAAAACTCAGGGATTATAAATTTTTAAGATGATTTAGGATAAATCCTTGAAATTGGAGGTGGAATCCTTTGAAAAGCTATTCTGGCCAGTCTTATGAACAAATGACACCGCTGAGACATTGATGGAATTTGGCAGCTTCAAACACTTTTGATGCAGATGCAACAGACAAAACAAAAATTTTGTCACGACAAAATTTTTTTTTTTTTAATTTTATTTGGACAATTCTAGTTTTGTTCACTAGTGCAGAAAGGCCCTTTGCAAAGTTACATGTTAAATTTTAAGTTACAAAAGCAGGCTGTTTGAATTTTCTTTGAGGTTGCAATGAACCCTTTAGGTATACAATGCTGTTTTTACCCATCGTGCAGTCTCAAACAATTCAAAGGATAGAAATCAAAGTTTTATGCAAAACTTATGACAAAATTTCACAAGAGTAAATGATTAAGTGTCACAAAAACAATCTGCATTCTTCTTGCAAACTACTTTATAATTGAGAAAAGTGTTTTTGTCTAATCATGAGCATGGGACAAAGAAAAACTTTTGAGTCCCCATGAGGAATCAAAACTCAGACCTTTGGATTCAGCACTTCGATGCTGAACCACTGAGCCACAGAGACTACAGTGAGCAAGGACTATTCCAAAGTTCTTATGACACATCCTGTATACTGCTAGAATCAACAATGTCAATAGCATCATGTTTGTAAACAGAATAAGAGAGATGGTTAGTTTTGAGCTCGGTAAAGAAATATATAGATTTCATAGTTCCTTAATCAAAGGAATTATATAATTCCTTTATATACAAAAAAAGGTTTTTTGCAAAACTTATGGCAAAATTTCACAAGAGGAAATGATTAAGTGTGACTATAACAACTTGCATTCTTCTTGCAAACTACATTATAATTCCACTGTGAATATATGAAAGTCAAATATTATTGAACTGCAGATAAAGACGTGAATAGGAAAGCGATCTTCACACTAATGAACATTACTTGAGCAGTAGTGAAAATAAGGCTTGATAAAAATTCAGCCCTGTTTGGGATTTGAACCCATGACCTCTGCAATACAGGTGCAGAGGTTACTGAAAGAATAGGTAATTTTGACATGCTTAACAACAGACTGGAAAACATGTGAAACTTCCAACCACTCTTCCCAATCCCTCACCTTTTCTTTTTTATTTAATTTTTTTAATCACTAAGTTGATATTATTGCAAGCCTTTTTCTGGCTTGATGCCTGCAACAGGCCACTCTCTTGAGAAAAAAATTAATATCTTAAGTCACTGAATGTTTTGTACATTAAAGGAGAAATTTTCCTTGATTCTATGAGTGCAGTAAATATCCAAAAAAATATGGGAAACAAAGTGTGACATCACTTCAAGGCTGGGGATGACTAACACAGATCTCAAAAAAACAGCAACACAATATGGTTATAACAGTGTTCAATCACACAGGACACCAAAACTCAAGTAAGACTCACATAAATATCACATCAATTCAACTCCAAGCACAGGAAAAGAGAATTGTGCAACCTCTCTACTGACAAATCAAATACAAAAACTACTTCAGCAAAAACAAAGCGATGCATAGCTTTTCATGCAAACCTTGCCACCTCCAGTTAGTATTCAAAATAACCACAGGTTACAGCATTTATATGAGAAAATCTTGACAAGCTAGGAATCAAAATAAGACACTAACTTATAACTTTAAGTGAAGCATTATGTGGATTAATAGTGAAGTGTTACTACCACAAATACTGCCTGTCTTGTTAAAAAGTTTGGATTCCCTGAAACACATTCAAGGCCAAAGCATATGTTAAGCACATTATCATAACAATTAAATGTTGTGGTTATTTAGACTCAGAAACAAACTGTTTTTGAGTTATTAAAGATACATGATAGCCAAATATATTCTCTGAACATCACCTCTCTTCAAATATCTCTCAGTAGAAGATAAAGTTTTATCCACATAACCACTTGCTATAAGCAATAGACTTAAAGCTCCAAACAAGGTATTCAAATTTACATATAATGTCAATGCTGTATTTCTTATCAGAGATGCAAATAAACTAATGTTAAAATCATACACAAGGAGTTGACTCATTCTCAATTCCAATAAAAATAAGTGGAAAAATGTTATCGGGGAGTGATGCTGACACTAAATCAATGCATTTGTGATCCAGTGTAAAATTTATCGCTATCTAAAAATACAGAACACCACCGAACGATTGAGTGTGTTAATTTCCGAAAAGATGTCTATATTTCCTTAAACCTAAAACGTACAAGTGACATATTTATAAGCTGCTCTCGACCAGAACTTTTAACTGATAACCAGGGCATACAAGGAAATCAAAAAGCCTTTTCACACAATATTCTACTGATTCAAACAACTGAGAAAGGCCGTGTCGAAAATCTCACTTTCGATATTAAAACTTAGTCAATACACAATGCTCAATGTTGTTTTGAGACACTTACCGAGTGAAAACGAACGAAACTTTTTTCGTTTTGGGGTGTTTTTGATTTTCTTTCCTTCTCCAACATCTGCTTTGGACTCTTCGTCGTTATTAGTCGACATTATCCGAACAAAACTTAGGAGAATGCCGATAGAAAGCTCATAACCAGATTTGCTCTGTTCCTAACAGCGACAAATGGGAACCAGTTCCGTTGGCTTACCGCAAAAAGGTTCTGGGACTATCCAACCCTTTGCATCTCACAAATAATTCATTTCCTCTTTAACGAGATCGCAGACGGCAATATTTTGCTACTTGGTTCGTAAAAACAGCTATATTTCTTTCTGTGGAACCCCCACAGATTAGGACAAAGGAAAACAGTCAATAGTTGTTCAGCGCAAAAGAAATTAAGGCAGATGCAGTTGGTTCTATGCAAATTCAAAACCGAAAATTTTTTAGGATATTTTAAGTTCACCTTCCTGAAACACTGATTCTTCCCTGTAAGCGATAATCACATTTTTTTATTTAAGCAAAGAAATAAAAACCTTTACACGTAGATAATCAAATATTATTTTCGTGAGAACTAAGTCGTTACCAAGCTGAAGAGCGTCGCTAACTCTTCACAGTTAATTGCCGATATATTTAAGAGGAGTCACCATTTTAAAATGAGTCACCTTGTGGAAAATGGAACGTAAAATTAATGTACTTTAAGGGAGGGCAAAGTCAGTGAGGAAAACACGAACCCTCTACTCAAAAATATGTCACTGCTCGCCAACAAGTTCATATTTGGTGGTGTGTCTAACTGACTTGAGCACAACAAGACTTTGAACATAACAAACAAACTATTTCGTACGTTTTGAGCAAAAGATTATACAGAATTTTATGACAATTACCATAATCAATTGGGAAAAGTATAAAGAAGGGTAACATTTGTATAGATGAACATCGTTACCTACGATCTTGGGGATGTGTGATCCCAGGGTTTGGTGGGAGTCAATTGGGCGATCTCTCCCTGGTCATAAATGTATTCCCAGAGGATCACAAAAGAACAAAATAGAATAAGGGAAGAAAAAAATTAGGCACCTTTCTCCTCGTTCTTTCGTGAACTCATTTCTGGGTGCGATCCACCGACTGGCTTGGCTGACCAAGACCTGAACGGTCGGTTTGCAATTCAACTTACTTCAATATGGCGGCCTATGGCAACTCAACTCAGTAGAAATTTGACGTCAATTTCCAAGCCAGAAGAGATTGACAAAGACTGTACTATGCATATTTTAAAGCGAGTCAATGTTGATTTTATGCTATAGGCACTTAAGCGAAAGCCTTCGGTCTTAGAAAGGAAAAGAGGTTTGGAAGCGGCCAGTTGTCGGTGATCGATCACAAATATACCGGCGAAAGAAAATATGCGCGCCCGCTGTATACACAAATTTTACGTTTTTCCATGTCATTACGACATTTCCGGTGAAACCTTGAGATGCGACCTCCCATCAACAAAATTCAAGAATAACTGAGAGCCATGATATCTGTAATATTGTCCGATAGAAGCTGCAAATATGGAAATTGACCCTTCAGGTGCTCGAATACAAGCACAAATTGCCGAACAAAGAATCCTTAAGGGTTTTATTTCATACCATGGTGTATCGGAACAAAACCAGCCGCCAACGAGTCTTCGATCTCACTGCTGTCGCTTTCTGCAGAGCTGTCCGTCTGAAAATGACAAACAGAAGAAATTTATGTGTCACTTGATACTCTTAAAATATACCTGGCATAATAATTATAAACATTCATTCTGTAGCAACATAAAGTTTATGTAGACTGTACAAAAACCACAGCATTAAAATGAATAACAAGTCGTCACATTGTTTTGGTTACAGGACTTACATCGTGACCACTCATTCCCGTGGTAACTAGTTCGGTTAAACCACTTTCTTGCTCAAATTCGAACGGATTGTCGTCGGACGCCCTGATCGTTGGTGTGAACTGCGTAGAGTCGTTGAGATCCATACCACTTCGCCTGCTTTATCCTGCGTCAATGGCTTACAACTAACGTAATACACATGTAAATTTTCCCTTGTAATCCCGGGAGAGCAGTAAACCACTGAATAAATTAACAAAACATCGACTCTCGGGGGTAGTGAACGTTATTATTGCCGTTTCTACGAAACATGGTAATGGTCAAGATATCAATTCTAAACAAACAAACAAAACTAATCAGGCGAAGTTCTTCCCAGCGACATAATGATTATGGTAACTATTGCAGGCGTTACTTGGTTGTTTTTTTTCTTCTGTTTGCAACGCCAGATGGGAAATTGCCGAACATTGTCTTCTGATTCTGATTATCTGATTATCTGTATGCTGCCAAAGAGTAACCAATGTCGAGCGTAGTTTGAAGCAATCATTGAAACAATGACCAGGCTCTGTCCAGTAATTTGAGGATGACGTCAGCATCAGACCCTTGTCTGTTGAAAGTAATGCTGTATTGCAAAGTTGTCCACGAGAACCCTACGAGGACAAAGGCTTTAAAACAAAGTACGCCTTGTCTATGATGAATTGTTTTGGAAAATAATTTCCATTATCTAGATCCCTTTACCATCCCTTTGTGTCCGCCCTTCAAAGATTGTAAACATTCGAGCAAGGTAAAATCGCTGAGCTATTTAGGCGGTAAAATGAAACCAGCGAACGTAATCATAAGATGTCCCGACTTAAGAGGTTTAAGCTGGCTGTCGAGCCAGGAAACAACCTCATACCTGACATACAGTATGAGACTTTCTAATCTTGCCTGAATCTCTGTAGCACCAGCAAGCTTAAGAAATCTGCACTGCCCTTGGAAAATCCAAAGGGTGCGTGAAGTATATTGTGACCTTCAAGAAAATCTCGACATCACGGCACAAATGATGAATCTGACACCATCAGCTAAAGTTGAATACGACAAAACAGACTGTTCTTTCAGCCCAAAGGCCAGATGATGCCTTCGTTAGCTTCTCCCTCGCGCCTCTTAGAGATGTAGCAGTCAGCAAGGGTCCTCGAGAAATTGATACGGAAAAAGCTCCGAAGTAGAAAAAGAATAAGTTTTTCTTCGTCATTTTTGTTGGCGTGCATGACTAATTTTTGCTTTTTTTTCCTTGCTTTTTTTCTTTTATTTCTGTAAAGGTACTTTCATTTATTTAATAATATTGGCATCGGTGACTGTAACGAAACTAAGTGCTAGATGGTTAACAACTTTTATTTATTTGTTCCTTTCCAATGTCTAACGGTCTGGCAATTACTTACGTTAAATTGATGAAATAAACCTGCTCTTGAAAGGAAATTTCAAGAAGAGGACTTGTTAAGGACTGTGTACAGTTGCCGATTACTCTCCAAAAGAAGCTGATTGGTACACAGCCTACATAAGTAAAAGTTTAGCGTGTGCAAAGATTAAAAGATCAAAAGAAAATCGGTACACAGCCTATATAAGGGAAGTTTTAGCGTAGAAAGATTAAAAGATTAAAGGCTAGTGATGATGGTCGCCACGGATTAAACATCCTTGGTTCCAAGAAAACTACGGAAACTCACTTGCGCTCTGTATTGGCTTACTGAGAACTCTTTCGGTAACTTCACACATGATGTTAATCAAAGCTATTATTTATTCCAAGACTGATCACCAGAATATAATGATTAATATTGCTCAGGTTCAAAGTACGAATACTGCGGAAGTGAGTGTGCACAGTTAGCTAGAAAAGCAGCCACGAAAATGATAATAATGAAGGACATTATAATACTTCCTGCTGTGGATTACTTTCCTTTCATTTTAAATTCACCAAGTGGCAAAAATTCGTGTAATTCATAAATGATCTTAAACTGGAACATCCTATCGTGACAAAAAGGCCAAATTCCCTAAGCTAAATGTATGATTGATTGATCATGGGGATGAAAACGAAGTTTTCCACAATGACAAATACATCAGGTGATACATGTCTATCAAAATTGGGGATGAAAGATGTTTGACACTGTTCCGTCTTTTCCCAGAAATCAGTCATTTTAGACCCACATGAGCAAACTGCAGTTCCCGGACTGAATATATTTTCCACATGCTTGATATTGAATACTTGCTATCAGTCCAAAGAACACGCTATTGCACGTGAAGTTCATTTGTTCTTGATGGATTCAAAGCGTGTCGCCATTGTATTGTAATTTCTCGTGACAGGGACATTTGATAGGAATAAAAAAAAACTTCGATTGCATCATTGAATTTTTAAGATAAACAAATGACAAACTGGTTAATCTCATAGGGGGAAGATGGATTATAAGTGATTTCAGATTCGACTTTTTTGTTAAATGGTCAAGGTCGCAAAGATCTTAAGTGCAACATCGAAAGTTTGCTGTAGTTGGAAGCTTATCCAGTCTTATTCCTGACGTAACAGGAGTTTCTAAGAAGTTACGAAGCGCCGGGTGAGTGAAATTCTGGCTTTGTAGGTTTTTCTTTCAACGATTGTCATATTCACTTGATGGTATCATTCTTGAGTGCGGTCTGAAAGTTTGTCCGCCATGCAGCTCGTCGGTTTACTCTTACGTTTGAGTTTACATGTTCGCCGCAGTCCTGCCAAAACCAATCCTACGACGTGTTTGCTTAAAGAGCCTCGGGATTAAGATTAAGTGTTATCCACGTAAATTATAAGTAGCATTATTAGCTTTGTGTTGATAAAAGGTTAATATTAACGGAGAAAAACCCTCTCCCGTTGCATGTTTCACACCTAAACTTGTTCTTTATAACGGGTAGTATATTTCGTTCGACTGTCAGAGATTCCACTGATACAAAAGCTGGTCAACATAACGAAATCAGTCGGCCTTCAGTTGCAAGGCCAGCTTTACCAAAAAATGATTTCATATTTACTAACTTGATGGTTGCCTTTGTCCCCTTATTTCGGCTTTCACGGTCCCCATGACCTTGATATGAAAAAGCAATGAAAAGCACCGAAGCCTTGACCTTGGCTACAATGAAAATTGGAGGGAAATTTACCGTGCGTGACTGAATCGCTGCATTGTTGATCAGTTGTCAATTCTGTTAAAGTACCGAGTTCTTAGTCAGTGAAGAACTGCTGTTCATTTGCCAAAACTAACTTTTAAATTTTAACTTAATTTGAATTCTTAGCTTATGCCCCATTCACACCAAAGCTTAAACATGTTTAAAAGTTGTTTTGTTAAACACAGTTTAATTTTTTTTTTCTTCATAGAAACTATTTAACCGAATATTTTTGACTTGAATGTAGCACATTGGAAATGCCGTAGTCCAAGTTTTTCAGTACTCTGTTTATAATTTTCATTCAATGAAAACCAGTTTAACAAAACATGTTTTGCTGGTGTGAATGGGGTATTACTCTTCCGTAGTCCTTCAGTGCCTTACAAGCTATAAGCAACTCATCACTTACGTAACAAGGGTGATCGTGCCTCATCATGCTTTGAGTTAAACGAATGGACTTTCTTATTTAAGAAAATATTTTTATGTTCAGTGTATTCTTTTAACACGCGTACGATTAATTTTTGTATTCCAATGGGTCTATGGTATATCAGGTGAGCCCTTCCCACACCCCTCTATATACCATATACGGCGGTGACTTCCTTTGCTATAAATAAACTGACGCCAAACAATAAACAATGATATCAAAATTCGTGCAACATAATCCAACAAAATTATTCAATCTTTCTTTCAACCCACTTACGCGTGTCATGATTATTTCCCTATTTCGTTTTCATTTTTAGGCCTTCATTTGCAGCTGAAATATCAAGAGTTTCCTGCAGTCAGTGACAGTGACATTTAACTGCAAGAACTAACAGGGAAGCTTATAAAATGTGTGATAAATTGAAGCACAAGATCGTTAAAAGCGAAGCAAAACCAGATAAAGTCACGACAGTCGAACTTCATGTAGACGAAGATTGTCCTGATGGCGGGTACGGTTGGATCATTTGTATGGCTGCTGCCATCATTCAGTTCATTATCCTGGGTATTCATAACAACTTTGGAATTCTCTACACCTCTTTGATAAGCGATCTTCATTTTAAACCTTCAGATGCAGGTAAAAATTTCAATTTTCAAAGATTTACAGGGGAACTGACTGATTAGTTGTTCAGAAATTTTGTCGGGTAATCCGGGTTATGATTGCACGCAAAACAAAAATTATTCTGCGCCTTCGAGACGAAGGGTTCTCTTCTCTTTTATATATTATTTTCAATACTATATTTGCGTCGTACGCGAATGAACTTGTTCATCAAGGGAAAGTCTGTCTCTACGGGGCGCCAAGAGCGAGTGAATTATTAAGCCGTTTTTATTTACATCTATCGAAAGAGTCAACTCGAAGATTTTTCTATCATAGTTAGAAAAATGTTGTCGTTTAGGAAAGGAAATAAATTGAAGTAGAAAAGGGGTTGTACATTTTTTTTCTACATGGCGATCCGTTATTTGAGACCTCTAGTGAATATAAATTTTCTACTTACGTAACATATTAATAAGTTACTTGTATCGTCGGGAAAACCCTATGCCCAGTAAAGATAAACGCTCAGGTGGCGTGATCAATGTATATTCCACATTCGTTACCTCTGCCTTCTTCTTAGGCCTCTCTGGGTATACAAGGCAATATTTGTTATCTACCATAGATTCTTAAGTAGCGTTACTTCATTTCAATTTATCGGTGAACTGCAATTTGCAAGAAAAACAAAGGTCACAACAACTCGTGATTTCTTTAAGGTCTCAAAGTCGATAAATCTGGTTAGTGCTTTTTTGCAGTCACGACTGAAAGGATATGCTTGAATTTCGGTGATTGACCTGACTTGTTAATTACCATATTCGCCATATCCAATTGAATTTTAACGGGAAAGAGTATAGAGCAATGTTTAATTTTGAAAATTCTTCGGTCCAGACTAGGATGAAGAGGCCGGTCATGCGCGATCCAACGTCATTGATCAGTTTTCTTGTGAAAGTTTACTCGACAAATGTTCTGTGTTAGGGCCAAGTTGCTGAGTCACTATAGTCATGTGCCATGTTTTGGTTTGATCTGACTAGCATAATCCCACAATTATTTTCAAAACTGTGCGCCAATTTAGACAAATTAAGTGAAACAATCATTTTTGCCGTCGTTCGTGAAGTTTGGCTGTGTGTATTGGAAGAACTTAGGCATGAAGCAACGAAGGATAAAAGGTTTAAGTGCGTAGTCTGTGATTAAAGAGTCACCGCGCTAATAACACTTCACTCCCTACTCTTTAGCTTGGATTGGTTCCATTGCGTTTGGGATGAACTTCCTCTGTGGTCCAATCACCAGCAGCTTATGTCAGAGATACGGCATTCGTTTGGTGGCGGCGGCTGGAGGTTTTTTTGCTTCCCTGGGCCTCTTCCTAACGTCATTCACTAACAGCCTCTACGTCATTTACCTCACTTACAGTTTCCTTTGGGGCTTTGGCTCCAGTCTAAACTATGCTCCAACTATGCTTGTATTGGGTAAGTAAGAGATCTGTGGCTCAAATGAAAGTTTTTACATGAGAAAGCCAACAACAGGCACTGCATCGCTGCATTCTCTTTTCACAACTGTTAACTTTCATAAGAGGCCATGAAATCGAAAGGTTGGAGATAGGATAGTCTGAAAGCTTTCTTCATTTTCTATTTACTTCTCCAGGTCAATATTTCAAAAGGTATCTTCCATTAGCAAACGGAATAGTTACAGCTGGAAGTGGTGTCGGCACCTTAGCAATGGGACCATTGTTTCATGTCATTCTCTCATCAATGGGCTGGAAAAAAATGCTCAGGATTTTCTCTGGTTTAGGAATTGTCATGCTCATATGCGCTCTGCTTTACCGTCCCCTCCCTGCTAAGTATAAACGTGCTCAAAAACAGCCTGAAAAGAAGACGAAGTTGTTTGACTTTTCTGTGTGGAAAATGAAGTCATTTGTGTTCTGGGTGATCTCCATGTCTCTCTTGTTTATTGGCTATTTTGTTCCGTTTATTCATTTGGTAAGTTCGGCAATTTTTATTATAATAAAATCTTATAGTTGAATCTATTTCGACAGCAATTCAGATGATGCAAAGGTCTTTACTTGCGTTGGGGTTTTATTGTTTCACTGAAGTGAAACCTTATGAGACTTCGAGATTCTGAAGCTGATGAAAGAACCTTTTTATCGTGCTCTTGATTTGTTGCTCGTGCTAACTTTCATCATTTATTTTGAATAACGCTGAATTACAGTGGTTTAGGTTAAGCGATAAAAGGGAACTCGGTAACCGCATATTGACTCAAATAACGTGAATGATCATTTCCTTAGAAGGTCAAATACAAATTTAAATCATACAACAGTGTGACAAACAAAAACAGAAAGCTTAAACCGATCGGACTATTTTGCTTAAAACAGCAATTGTATGTGTAAGTTTTGCAGTGAGAAGAATTCCATTCAGTCTACTTGGGCTTAATACTTTGACACTTAAACAAACATTCTACGTTTCTTTCTTTAAGCCCAATCACGCAAAAAATCTTGGAGTGCCTGGTTATCAGTCCTCTCTGCTGGTCGGTTATTTGTCTGTCGCCTCTACCGTATCACGGGTTCTATTTGGTCTTATTCTTAATCATCCCAGAGTGAACCGCTTTTACGTGTTACAGGTATTACTTGCACTTCTCTCTTTTATTTTAATTTTCAGCAGCACACTTTCGATTAATTTGGACGATATCCAGGGTACTGGATCGAGCCCATGAACTCGACGCTAGCTCGAGTTCCTGAGTTCAACTCTTGCTAGTTGATACCAAATTTAAACATCTGAATGAAATCTTGTATTCGCTTTTAGCTCTGTTTCCTCATGATGTCAGTGACCACCACTTTATGTCCCCTTGCACGAGATTATACTGGTCTCATTCTCTATGCAGTAGGATTTGGAGCATTTGATGGTTGCTTCGTTCTGTTGATTGCTATCACTACAAGTGATATAGTTGGAGCTGGAAAACTCCCTGAAGCTTTAGGAGGCTTATATGGGGTTATCTCCATTCCAATGATATGTGGTTCGCCGCTTGCAGGTTTGTACATGTTACTAATAGGGGAGGGGGGGAATGGATTACAGGAACACTTATGTGGCATTTATGCCGGTTTGTTACTAATAGGGGGGGGGGGGATGGATTATAGGAACACATATGTGGCATTTATGTGGGTTTGTTACTAATAGGGGAGGGGGGGTGGATTATAGGAACACATATGTGGCATTTATGTGGGTTTGTTACTAATAGGGGAGGGGGGATGGATTATAGGAACACATATGTGGCATTTATGTGGGTTTGTTACTAATAGGGGAGGGGGGGTGGATTATAGGAACACATATGTGGCATTTATGTGGGTTTGTTACTTACAGGGGAGGGGGGTGGATTATAGGAACACATATGTGGCATTTATGTGGGTATTATAGGAACATATGTGGCATTTATGTGGGTTTGTTACTAATAGGGGAGGGGGGGGTGGATTATAGGAACACATATGTGGCATTTATGTGGGTTTGTTACTAATAGGGGGGGGATGGATTATAGGAACACATATGTGGCATTTATGTGGGTTTGTTACTAATAGGGGATGGATTATAGGAACACATATGTAGCATTTATGTGGGTTTGTTACTAATAGGGGAGGGGGGGTGGATTATAGGAACACATATGTGGCATTTATGTGGGTTTGTTACTAATAGGGGAGGGGGGATGGATTATAGGAATATGTGGCATTTATGTGGGCTTTTTTCTTTGAAACTCTCCTTTCCACGCTTACTCTAATGGACTAATCTAATGGACTAATCTAATGGACTACTCTAATGGGCAGCGAACCCGACATGTTAGATCTTTTTGGGAAGATTCTTACAATTTTTTTGTTCGTTTCTTTCCAAGGGTTAATTTTCCAAGTAACTGGCTCATATCAGAATGCGTTCTTCGTTGCTGGTGGAGCAATAGCGTTAGGTACTTGTACCTTGTCTCTAATCCCACTCTTCATGACGCGGGACGCACATGAAGAGATACCTACTGTTCGTGTCGAGCTTTGTGCAGATCATGTAGAAAAAGAAGACAAAAGTCAAGACATTCTGGACATAGTTTATCACTCTTCGGGAAAACAAAGGAACTCTGGTTTTCTTTACGACACGAGTAATTTTGCACTCAGGCGCTCTTTGTCATGCTTGGCTCTTAGCAGGATCGGGGAATCCGTCTGTGGAACACAGTGTATACTGGAAATGCTTGAAAGAGAGTCCAATGTATAACGAACAATGTATTTGTCTTTTGATTCAACGTTCAGTCACCATCAACCTCAGGAGTAATTAAGTATCGATCGGGAACGCGTGCGCTGAATCTACAACGCCATTTTTACAATTCGTTGATTCGCAAAATGTAAGGGGAATTCTCAAGATTTTAACATGCATATAGGAGCTACGTAAATGTTTATATTTCATGTTGAAAAAGTTACTTATTACACCCTAGTAGGGTAAAATGAAAAAAAAAATTTACAAACATAATGCATGCATTACAACTGGTTTGAAACTTTTGATCTGACGTTTAGTATTTTGCACAACACAACTTTAAAACAGTGGTCACACGTGTGCAAAAAGATTTAATCACTGGCTTTAAAGTGATCTGCGGGTAACAGGGAAACCGGTACTTCGATTTTGTGGATGAAATCTATAGGATGATCGTGCGTCGATCGGTGAAATAACTTGCTGACCACTTGGCCGAGGGGAATTGGGTTCAAGGGGGCGGCGAGTCTTTCCAATTCGGGACGAATTTGAGCATATCGTTAAGAAGATTAGGTGGGTGTTTAGCGCTAAAACTTTATAACTTTCTGATTAGCCAGAGAAAATAAAAGACAGCCACCAAGAGTAAAGAAAGCATTCATTTCCATGATTCAACGGCAAAAAGACTTAAAAAACTTTTCTTGGCAATATTCTATAAGCTCTTTGTTTTCCGGCAAGTCCCTCCCTGGACAACTGGAATCTATAAAAAAGCAATGGTTCCCTCAAAAAGGGAACTGAAGCTATAAGGGCTAATCTAAGCCACCGAAGCATAATAAAAAACAGTTTCCTGGTGCTATCCTAAACTTTCTCTCTATCTAAGACTTGCGCTTTGAAGTGTCATTATCCCCATAAACGTGATAATTAAACCAAATTGTTACGAAAAATTATCGTAACTGGTTGACCTCCTCAATAGAAAGTGCATCCTACAAATGATGATTACGTCTGCCAACTGCTCCTGCAAAGAATTTTAATGGGATATCATTGGTAAATGAAGGAGTTAGTGCACGGCTTTCACAGGCTCAGTAACACACAGGCTCATTACTTAGGCTCATTGCTTAAAGCTGTTTCAAGTCATTTTCCCGAATTCCACCAGATTTTAGTTTTGGCCTTCTGCATTGCATAGAAATGATTTAATGGTCTAACAAACTTTACAAACTAGTATCATGATAACAGGTAATTTGATTCTTGCTCGCGTTTGGTTTTTATCAACTATGATAATATAAGAGCGCAAAAATTTACCCCTCAGCAAGTATTAGCCTTCCAACACTAAAAGTTTCCTCCCGTACTAGTTTATGTCGTGTTAATCAAGGATGCTTGATTATTTACCCCTTTTTTCTCGCTTTTCGGCAGTATTTTGTTTAGCGATGATCCTTTTCCACAGTGCAGGGTATTTGCCGTCCTTTTCTCGCATACACGAAACTCCACAACATGGTTCCTGGCCTTGTTCTTTCAGATAGTTCTGTACAAAAGAAATTAAATAAAGAGATGGCATCTTATACATAAGTCCATCACCTTACTTTTATGTCACTCCCGATATCAGAAAACTTACAATGAACTAGAGATAGCTCATTGCGTCTGGGTGCAAATTCAACTCATGGAGGCAACCACCACGTGTAGATATTATTCATTTCCCGCGAAACATCCAAGAAACACGGTGCTTCGAATATGTCTAAATTCTGGAGACCAGATACTTTGCGTCAGTAACCGTCAGGACCCAATCGCAACCTGAGGTACAACTTTCTCGCATAAGACAAATTTTTCTTACAACTTTTCGGAGGAAGAGACAGAAATTAATTTCACCGCGGAGTGAGGAAAAAGTCCTGTTCAATAGCCAGTACAAGAACTATTTTAAAAGGGATTTAAGACAAAATTCGACCAATCACATTTAGGCTCATGGAAAGCTACTGTTGCTTGTTGTCAGCAATGCATGGCAAGTTTCCTTTAGCTCATTTCATTCATGTATTCGTCCATTTATAATTACTAACTTACTTGTGCATAAGAAAGAGCATTTTGTTTTTCGCGAGAACTGGCATTTTTCCCAATCCACACAAACAAACGATCAGGTGCCTCAAGCAGAAATACTGTGAATGAAAACATAACAGTTTGTAATTAACAAGGGTATTATGTTGAGGCGAATGAGCTACGATAAAAACATGCAAAATTTTTAAATGAATACAATTCAAATACAATTCATATTTTAACTAATAAGCTTCTCCATAACATGGACAAAGGCCAGTTCACAGGAATGGTATTTTTAGATCTGTTTAAAGCATTTGACACTATAGATCATGACATTATGCTGCACAAATTGCTTTCCCTCGGTTTTTCTGATTGTTCGGTCGTATAGTTAAAAACTTATCTTTCAAACCGGACTCAAAGTATTTGTGTTAATAGGGTTATTTCTGAACCCCAGTGAAACTCAACTTTATGCGGATGACACTCTGCTTTTCATTAATGGTAGTTCCATCAGAGAAATCGAGTGTTACCTTTCTGCCGATCTAAGAAACATCCTAAGCTGGCTAGGTAGTAACTATCTGTTTCTTAACTACTTTAAAACAAAAGTAATACTTGTGGGAAAACCTCAAAGGCTCTCGAGAGTTGCTATTTTTAGCGTTTCAGCTTTTGACAAGACCTTTAATAGGGTCTACCAGTTCAAGTATCTCAGTGTCATGCTCGATCCAGGCCTCTCTTGGAGTGATCACATCGACCATATTGCCTCCAAAATATCTGCCAGGCTGGGCACGCTGGGGAAAGCCTGCAAAGTCATTCCTCGAGAGGCCTGTATCACACACTATGACTCCATGATACTTCCACTGTTCGACTAAAGCTGTGTAGTCTGGGATGGCTGCAGAAAAACAAATCGGGACCACTGGACAGATTGCAACTGCGAGCACCTCGTATCATCGAAGGGCGTAAAGGAGAAAATACAGGCAGTACTTTTAGCTGGCCTTCCTTAGAAAATCGCAGGAAATATCACACTTGCCTGCAACTTTTTAAGTGCCTACACGGTCTCGTTTTCACCTATCTTTTGAATGAAACTGGTTTTTCCCGCCGATATCATGCCTATAATACCAGATATAGAGACCTTTTTCGATTACCCCTCCATGGCATAACATCTAAATGTCAAGGTTCCTTTCGCTACAAAGGTGCAAAGGCAAGAAATACTCTAACTAGTAAACTGCGAAACAACTTCTCTACTTAATTTTGAGAAACTTATCAAACATCATTATTGTAATTGATGTAATATTCTTTGTAATGTAACGTATATTGTATATCTTATGTGTAAATTATCTGTGTTGTAGGCTCCCTTTGTATTTTATATTTCTAAAAAAATTTTGTTCTATGTCTTAAGCAGGCCCCCATTCAAACCAGCTTGAAGCTGAACTGGGCCAGCCTGCATAAATATCGCTGATAAATAAATAAATAAATAAAAATAAATAAAGATATATAAATAAATAAACCACTGCTTTTATGAGCTTAAAAGAAAACAACAAACCATCATCGCTGTCCAGTAAATCTTCACTGATATTTTCGATTCCCTCAGCCACAACTCGAAACTCTGCTTTACTTTTATCGGTGAGGACTCTGAAAAAGGCCAAGGTCGTTACAATTTAGCAAGATATACTTCAAATATTTTGTATGTGCCAAACACCTTTCTAAATGTGCACCGGGCCTGATATTAAACATTGAATGCTTTACAAGGTTACAGAGAGTCAGTTAACGGTGCAAAGCGGCTGGCACCCTCGACCAATAATCGTATTTGAGTAAGTAAGTTAACGTTTCCTCTGGATTTTGTGAATTCTTCTTCCATCTTTTACTTACTGCGTTTTATCCAAAAGGGGATTATTTGAGTTATATCGCGAACGCTACTTTGTAACCTATTTTGGCATATGTTCATCATCCTTTTGGATTACACTATATTACTGAATGGTGCAAATTATGCAGCTTTCTTCTGCAAATAAAATTGTGCTTTTATTTGCTGCCTGAAGCTAAAATCATTGGTCTAATAAGCATCTACCACTGATTTTCAACATCCTAAATGTTGATTTTTGAGCCGTAGAATAAAAAGTTATTAATAGTGTAACCTGATCAACTTCACCACAAAATCGGCTGGAGCATTCTGTAGAAAAAAAAAAAGAAAAATTAGATTCAGTGATGTAATGAACTTTCCAAACGTTGCTGTTAAATTGTAGATTCATGTAGCTTGGTAAGAGGTTCAGAATCAGCAAAATAACTTATTTAAAAAGCTTGTCTTACAAAATTTACTTTCGTTCTGTGAAAGGGAAATAAATCCTGTGAATAATAAAAAAATGAACAGAGTTTTTGTTAATTATAGGATGGATCCTAAATTTACTTCAACTAGTCATGTCCTTGAAATAGCGCACAGGACTGCCTTCTACTTGATATGAATGATTGTCAAAGCTCCAAAGCAAGGCAGACAATGCACAAAGGCTAAAACTATCACATTCGTCTTCACAGAAAAAGAAGTAAATGAAGTGAAATAAAGTGAAGCACATTACTGATTAGTAGCTATGGACAGCTTAGTTTCAAACTTTTCAGTGTTTTTTTTTCCCATAGCATAGCCTTAAAATGAAGTCTGAAGGATGTGTTTCCATCATGAAAATATAACCCTCTTGAGTTATTAATTGTAGAAGAACTTTGCCTGTGCTCAGGCAGGCGTGCTTTTGAAGGGAAATGAAATACTGACCCTAAACATGAAACTGAATCGTGAGAGATTGTACTCAGAATGGAGATAAAAAAGCATTATCATCATCATAATTAGTGACAAAACAAATCATTGTTAGTGATAATAAGTTCCTGCGAAAAATCAATTGTTTGGTACCTTGTAAACTTCAGTGCCAAAAAGCTCGTTCAGACTCTCTGAAAGAAAGAAAATTATTTTTGCTGGTCAAAAACGAGTGAGACATTACTGACGTCTTTCGTTAACACAACAATGGTAGATGAGACCAATAGGCAAAAAAATAGTGGCAATTTTACTAATACAACACTTAAGCTAAGGTTTTTATAGCAGACGTTATGCTTGAGCTTTTAGACATCAACTAGCAACTTGCTTTTGAATGCATTTTGGCTGACTGTGGTACCTCAAAGGCCAATAAAAATGGAAAAGTGTCAAACACGACTAGGTTTGCCTCTGATTAGTAAAGAAGGAGGCCACATTTTTTCGGTCAATTAAAATAAACCAATGTGACACAGAGCCAATTCCAGCAATCATAGATTACTTCCCACTTTAACTGAAAATTTCCTTTGATATTATAATTAATCATCTTCCTTTAAGAAATTAACGTGGGTTTTAGCTTAGAGAAAGTGCTGTTTATAAAAATATTTGTTTTGATGGCATTCTTCCTTTAAGGAGAATAGACATGAGAAGGTAACCGTGCACTTGGGACGTAAAAGTTGAAAAAGATGAAACTTACCATAAACTTGTAGCTTAGCTCTTGGATGCTCATGCTAAGGAAGGAAAAAGAATAATCAGGAATCACTTTAATCCTTTCAGATCAAATGACAATCCGTGATTGAATGGTCAATTTGTTTTTTAATCTTTTTGGTCATACCTTTTGAACAGACATCCACTCATTGAATGGGCAAATGGAATCAATTTTGGCATTTTTGCCCTTGACCTGTGAAAAAATTGACAAAAGAACAAATAAGAGATTCAAGTACAAGGCGTGCTGCCATAATTCCACTTGAGAGCTAAAAGAGTATAACTATTTATGTGTCTGCAGAGTTCTTTTCAGCCACATGGAATTGTGATGAAAAGCCTGAATTCTCCTCAATTGTTATTATGAAATAGAACAGTTTGTGTTGAGGAAATTTAAATAATTTTGAGGAAAGTGCTAACTATTTACAGTGGTTCCCTTGTGGAGAAATAGGACATATTTTTATTTAAGATGTCAGTAAGATTACCTGATACATTTTGTCTTCTGAGAAGATCACCACATACCCATCATCACAACACAGATTCTTTTGAGTGTATGGCATATCCACCGCGTGATACTCCATCTTCTAATGTTTTCACACAAAAAAAAGAACACGGTGTCATTTCAGATCGATAAAAGACATAGAATATTCCTGCATGTTTGAAAGATTATACTGTAACCCGGTGGGAGGTTTTGATAAGGAATCACCCTATTCTATGTAACTGAGACACCAATTGATTGATTTTCACCGTGGAAAGCAAATTAAAAGTTTAAGGGAAAAAAACTGGTTCAGTTTACTTGAAAACAGGAGACGAAACATTGAAAAGCTTGATGACTTCAATTAGCAGAAGTTTTCTTACCCCTTCCTTGTTTGGTATTTTCTTAAAATGTTTCAAAAGGTTCCTCGTGAAAGGTAGTCTTTCTTCGCTTGGCACTACATGGTTAAATCCGGAATCAATTCTGTAAAAGAATAATCACAAATTTCAACATTCTCCCATGAGATCCCGATCACTAATAACTGAAAGATTATCTGAAATGTCAGCACTCAGAGCTTCTTGTCATTCGTGACCGGAGCCAAATCAGTTTGCGCGGCACAAAACTCGCGCCGTTTCGGTCACATGACCATATAGTGCAGAACTTACGCAATAAGTTCGATTTGCGTATAAATTTACAGATAGATTGTGCGTCGGACTCTTTCGTCTCCATACCAGACAAAGTGCTGGAAAAGTTGAATAATATTTTGTCTTTTTTCTTTTCTCACTAGTTCGTTTCCATTGTAACTGTGTTTGTGTTTTTTCATTGTTTTACATGTAGCATTAAATGACGAGTCTTTATTTTCATTTCATTTTAATTTCACGGTTTACGTTTTTTTGCAGTTACGACTTGCAACTATAACTTAAGTGGTTCTTTAAATTGATGTAATAGCAGTTTGATAGGACCTAGAAATATACCAAATTTCCACACTGTCATCAGCGTAATATGATAATGATAACTTTCAATTCTCTGTGTATCTAAGATATCTCTTTCCCTTCAAAGTTTGGCTCGGGCTTCAACAGGATATGGAGTTGTTGATATTGCTTTATCCACTTACCCGCCCTCCTCAATGGTGATTTTTCCACCAAAATAACCAAGAAATTCTTCTGACTCTTTACCACCAACTTCACGATGCTGAACAGCTTTGTCATCCAGCTAAAGAAAAAATAGATCAAAGGTGAATATTTGTGCTCGTGATAAAAGCTAACTTAATTAATTGAGCGCCCCGTTTTTGCTAGTCTGAAATATATTGGAGGCCATCTTAACGCACGCCCCTCACCAAAACTCAGTAGGAACTCTCATACAGACTCTCTATCTTCACTTTCCCGTCAGTAGCCAGACACTTTTAGGGTTCAGATGTTTCTTTTGCGATTAAGTTTCCGTAAAACGACATCTGGAAGGAAATCTCATCGGCAACCTCATCATTTTCGTGCGATTAAAGCAAGCCACGGTAAACTGGTTGCAATGCCAAAGTTTTGTTTCTGTTTTTGGTGCTATGCTTTTTTTTTGGCCGTTATACACGCTCGTTTGCCTTAAAGAGCACTATTTAGCTGAGATATCTCTTGACGAGAGCTTTTAATCAATAGTAATTATCTTACATATGTGTCCAGCTCTAAAGTTTTGTAAGCTGCAGCCCCATATTCATCTTGGGTGGAGGAACCGCCAATCCAGAAATGAACATCGAAGTCTAACTCCTAAAGAAAGGGAAATATTAAACTGGTAAAAAAGTTGCAAAGTGCATAAACCATAAGTTGCGCGCAAGTTTACACTTTTTAAAAAACCCACACAATTCATAAAACGAAGAAAGGTCTGAAAGATAATTGTTGACAAACGGTTTCACTCCTTTATAGTGATTTTCATTTATCATATTTTGTAACTTATGTAACAGCGACCAAAATTCATTGTTGTAATATGTTGGTAAGACCTTGTATTAACACTCCGAAAGCGAGCTGGTTACTTCTAGATAAGATAAGTTAACGCACATTTGAGTCTGGATCCTTTTCACTGTGAAGAATTATGTAAGAATCACCGTCGAAAAATTTTCCATATTCTGACTTTGGCCAGTCTTTGACCTGCGCATTAAGAAAAAAACAGAATAGGTAAGGCTAGAGAAATAAAATTAACCCTGCGACATCCTTGTTCAAATTCTTCTTACTGGTCTGCATACGTTTATCAAAAATAGCCGTTTTGAAAATATGTTAACGATCAGGGTAAGTGTTCTTTGGTGATCAGTTCAACCAAATCAGAAGTTCAACCGGTCTCTGTAACATGTTGCAATGATCAGATGTAGCAACATTTCGTCCCTTACTGCAGACTTGTCAAGCATGCTTTCTTGTTTTATTCATCAAAATTTCATTTTTTAAGAGTCTTGGAAAATTTAGTTTTCAAGACGGCGACAATAAAGAGAGGTGATTTATTCTAACAAGAAATCCCCACCAAATATGGTAATTTGTTTTTTTGACTTTTGAAAGAAAAAACACTTGTTTGCGATGGCTTCAAAGAAAGACGCCACAGGAAGTCTCTCTGCTCGTGGGAGATTTTTATATTTTTCCTTTTATGGTGCAAATCAGAGAAATGTTGAGAAACTTCTAAAAATACTTGAATAGTTTCTAAATTTTGATTCAGTGGAATAAAAAGAAAATAAAAGATTTATCTTGCTCTTAAGAAATTAGTGATGATTTTCGCACGCTATCACATTTTTAACGTAGTTAGAATTGAATCACGTTTGAGTAATCACGAGATCTTGACTGAAACTGCAATTGAGGCAAGCTGCCATAATACGAGTGCAAATTGTAGAAAAATTATTGTCACCTTAAACTTTTCAATCCTCCAGATTTTTGTACCTTCGAAATTTTCGCATCCTGTCCATGCCGGCTCTTTCATGGCGGCAGATTTTTTTAACTACATAAAAACAAGAATCATCGTTATAGATGTTATTTGTGATATACTGAGGATTTCTCGCATTTCAAACTTTAATAACTTTTTTGCTCTTGTAAGAGAACTCACCTTTTTCTCTTCGTCGCTACCAAACATGGCAAGGTTAGAATCTTTCCAGTCATATTGCTTTGGTTTCACCAAGCCACTCATGATTGTTTTTAATCACTGAAAAACCTTTGCAACGCGATCAATGAAGGAAGTTTTCCACGGCGGCAGATAGTTAATGGCTGCACCTAGCTTATAAACTTCTCAATATGCATAAGATATGCTAGTCACCTGACGGATCATCTCACCACCCGCTGTAATCTGGGCTGTGATTGGCCTTTCGGTGTATTTGTACCGTAACCTTGGTTAAACGCTATTGTTTTTTATCTTTGACTTTTTTGTTTATTTAACCATATATGTTTTGAATATTTTATTTCAGCACCTGGTTTCTGGGATTCGTAGAGTTGCCCCTCATGGCGGAAGGTTCTAGATCCCGCATGAAACCGATTGAGGCCAGTCAACGTAACAAAACTTTAGGATAAATTAGTCGAGAACCCTGATAATCTGGGTGGCAGTCTTTACACGAAAAGCTCACAGAATTTCGAGTGGACAAGGTTAAAGTAATATTTCCACTTACTCAACTGTTTTAAAATGAACTTAATGCGATTCATACACCTTAAAATAGATTCACATTCGAGTTTGTGGGTATTTTCTATTTTATGAACGCAATTCATAACGGTTGTAACTGTGGTATACCGAATGGTGATGGGTGAAAATCAAGCATCTTATTTTTTATTTTTCATCTTTCCCAAGAAATATGTATCATAAACGTGTGTCAGTAGTAAGGGACCGAGGAAAAATCGGAATCTCCCAGGAGCATTCGAGCCTCACCGAGCCAGTTTTGTTATCGCACTCGGATACGGGTCCAATTTTATTATATACTTATGCCGTTTGGTGTTGGGGGCATGTTCATCGGTCTGGAAAGCCAAAATTTTCTCTAATAGATTGCCGAATTCTCCCTCTTGCTCAGATATGTAAAGATTAGAACATACTTTGACGAACTCCCCTAACTTCTGAGACTGAGCCTCACTCCCCAACACGCCCGCCATTTTGTTGAAACAACCAAAAACTTGCTAAATGCAGAGTATTTCTCAAGTAACGTGGCCGAAAAAACCAAACAGAACGAAAAGAAGTATTTCCCGCTGACTTCCCAAAAGGCGTTCACGGCGAGAAACTTCTACAAGAAGTCTGAACTCCCTTGAAACGGCAAAATACGGGAACATGTCTTGTGACTAAGCCTGTGTCGAGTAACTTTTGGTCTCGGAAACATTTTTAGGGCACAGTTTTACGATGTATTGCTATGGACAAGTTTTAACCAGCATCCATTTGCCTGAGAGTCATTTTGACTAGTTCAGCCTCTACTTGCCCGCAGGACGTAGAGAGGTTATAATCCACCAGCTCGATGGTAAAATCTTTTAGCGTCGAGCAATCGGACTTGACAGCTGTCTACAAATCATGGAATAGTAGCTTTTTTATACGTCTAAAAGCGGGGCTCTAAAAATGAAAAAGTCTCTTGAGGTTTAATGCTTTTATTGTTCTCAACTTCTAGACAAAACTTCTCATTGGTCTATAAACCTGCATTATTAAAACAAAGCAGTTTGCCTTTTACTATGATATTGAAATTCAAGGAGTTCCTAGAATTGCATTGCATAAGTGGAAGAAACAATGGATTTTTCTTTATTTGGAATCTAAACTAATCTTGTGAATAATCTTCAAGGACTTGCTTTGATACGACGGTTGAATCTGGAAAAAATGATCATTCAATCAGAAATAATGTTAGCTCGTTTGCATTTACGGAATCAATGACCCATGCCTCCCCTTTTTTATTTAACACGAATTCTTCAAATCAGTTTTACACGTCACCTCACGTCGTCAGGTGAGGTTATTAAACAATCACGAACGTAATTGGAGGAGAGTACATCTGGTGAGTATGACCATAGAAAGCTTTACATCTTGGGACTAGCACTGAAAACGGTATCATCTAAAAACCTCTTTCGTAATAAAGTAAGGTTTCTCGTAGACTGAGATAAGTTGCGCATGTCTAATACCTCGATGGAAGTAAATGAGTTAGCAATCTCTCCTCATGCAAACAGTGTATCAGATCGCTAACAGATACCCCAGAGTGTGATTGTGCACTGATGCTACCTTTCTTGTGTCAGTGCAAGTCAAAGTTATTGCTTACCTATGAGCTTATTGCGCCATTCAATTGAGTGGACAGTTGTCCTTCCTTGACCACAGTGACGGCAATAGTGGGATGCTGGTCCACATCTGGGCACTGCTTAAGGTAGTGCTGTTAATGAATCAAAATGTTTCACTTGAGTTCCTTACATTGCTGACCTTTTCACTTTTCTTTTACCTTTCATAAAATTATCATTTCAGCCCAACGAAGATTTCATAATCAAGTAAAACCCTCTCTGATGTCCCCCCGTTGCATTACGTGAACGTGCGGTTTCGTAGCTCAGTTGATAGTAGCACCCAACTATTACCTGGGAGGCAGGGATTCGAATTCCGTGGAAGCCTGAATTTTTAAGGCTTCTTTTCTGAAATTGCTGAAAATTGCAGCTCACCTGCGAGCATCATTCCTTTACTTACATGTGCATACATCAAGCCACTGTTCTTGTCGCCTGCCCAGTCTTCTCCAACTCGAACGAACAAATGGTCTTCTGCATCCATTTTTCCGAAACGCACATCAACAAGGGTCACTGTAGAAATATTAATAATAAATCCGCATCAAAAAGGAATGAGATCACATTCCTAAAGGATGCTGCACCATCATGAGGGCGACTTTACGAGGGGCGGCACAGCAAGAGGATTACGTGATATGTTTCTGGTTACATCAATCGTTCAGGATAAAAGTAGACATAACATCGAGCAAGTTAAGGCTGTAGGGCTGGCCCCAAGAGAAAGCTTGAGTACGTGACGTGGAGATATGACTGGTTTTATTAATGCATATCAATGGTTGAAAAAGTACGATCGAGTTTTTCCTTAAACAAACCGTTGGGCCTTGGGATGCAGTCCAATAAAATAAAGGATTATAACTTGAATTTATGAAACAGGATCGAAAACCACCACGATACATGTATCAGATTAGAAACATCGAATATTATGCAAGAGAAGGCAGGTTGCAGCCACAGACAATAAGTAGTGGACAATATGAAGTTTTCCCTAGCGCGGGAAATCCAAAAATATTCTTCTGAGCTTTGAACTATGGTATCTCTTTACAAAGTGCAAATGAACTGTCATATAGGATGTCGCCTCCGATCTGTTGTTATCATAATAATCTCAGACCTTCTTCAGATTTCATCCTTCGGCTGCACAGATCTGCTCCTTCAGCAACTTTCTTGAATTCCAGTCGAGGATTCCTGGGTGATATGGTTGGCAAATATTAAGATTTCTCACCGTTTCCCCTATGTGTTTAATCATTCATCCATTCATTCGTTCATTCACTGAATGAACGAATGAATGGCAATCTTTGATCCAAAAATTCACTCATTTATATATTGATGATTGATTAAATTAAGTTTCATTCCTCCCTAAATTCAATAGTTACATTGCCTCTTTAGTGAGGTGACACACACAGTTCTGACCATAGATGCTGGATTATGGTTTAGTCTCTCGTGATAAAACTGATTATTCCTGAAACACTTACAAACTGACGGTAAACATCATTTTTTTCTTCTGAAGTTGTCCAACAGTTAGTGCAATAGACTGTAAGAATAATGAAGTTATCAAAGGTGATTAATTAACTCACATAAATTAGAAGGCTGATGGCTCTATAAAGTCATTGAATGCCCATGTAACAAAATTAAACGGTTAAATTCGATTCCAGCTTACCTCTTGTCTGGATGGTTTTCGCTTTTTAGCCTGATATGGGAAAAGATCGTACAAAGCATGGTTCTTTGTCTTCTCGCTTTCATCTAATGAGAAAAATAAAATATGAATTGTTCTTCAATGATCGAGAGACGCATGAAAAGAAAGTTGTGGAATGCTGAGAAGGATTGAGACTCTTCAGTTCAAGTCACATTTTAGGGAATCATGAATTACGTTCAAGTTGCACTCTTAACTTGATGTTCTCAGGCACATACCAATGTTTTTGTTGTATTTAAAAAACAACGTTAGAGGAAATAACTCTCTAGTCATCCAACAGTAAGATTTCGGTTTTCATTTTGAAGATCAGGTTGGGAACCTTTAATTGGGCGTTAAAGGCCATAAACTCGCGTCAACCAATTAGATTATACATTTTTGACCAGGGCATTCTGGCATTCGCACACGTGTCATCAACATTCAACAGAGCTGTAAGTAGTACTACATATATGATACAACCAGAACAGAACAACAACTCACCAACAATGACCACAGTGAATCCTGATGTTCCACGCTCAGCCTTCAATGAGAGAATCAATTGAAGTTAGACCCAGAGGCTCAGACTTAAAACTCTATACTCGTCATAGCAGGCAGCGAACACAAGCTTTGTTTACTCTAGCTTGACCTTGAAAGTACAGATCATGGAGTTCAACATGAAAGACTACAATGCATGGAGCTCAAACCAGAAGCTTTCATCAGAAAAGTTTACGTTTCACTGAAGTTAAGAGCCACGTCTTGAAAGCTGAGGAGGGAGGAAATATTTTTAACGTTGTGCGAGCCTATTTCCCTCTCCTATACCGTGAGAGCTTGCCTGTTTTCCTACCGCAAAGGAGCATGCTAAGTGAGCTATTACACGGTTTAATTTGTTGTGAAACAGACAGAACTTGAGTTGTTTACCTGAAGCTGTTTGGCGTATTCAGTAGCTTTCTCAGCCTTCTTTCTATCTTTGTTACGCATACCATTCCACTGAAAACCAAGGAAATGACATAATAATTCTGTGTACTTTTTTAAATATAATTTTTGCTGATAGCAATAATGGGAATAAAGAAACCAAAATTTTCAGACAAGAAAAAAAATGTTTTCATGCAAATCCATTATAAATAACATCTTGTGCCATCGAAGGTAGTTAGTACAATGCTTACCCATGCAAGGCGTCATTACCTGGTAAATTTTGAGTCCACTGTCAATTATAAACACATCATTCGAGTCCAGTGCTCCCCTCTTCGTTGCCGTCTCTCGAACGCAAATCTTTCCCTATAGGATAGAGGAGAAATCAAATTTTCTTGAGGGCCTGAGGAAAACAATTTCAATTGAGTTTTAAAAGTATTCCAGGATGATTGTATTTTTTTTTTCCTGCAAGTCAATCGCGACCACGTGACATGGTTATTTTGGTTTTCGCGCGCGTTAGACATGCACTTGTTTTTAGTTTAATTTATTATTGGGTGATTATTACCTTTTGATTTCCAATTATTTTTTAATATACCAATAACACGGAAAGAAATCACATAATTTATATTTAAAACGTAAAGCCCTATCTATATGTCGTGTTAAATCATGGAATCTTACAGGCGAACACGAGTGCGATAATGGCCTGTGACGCACTATTTCGTGCGTCGATGTTTTCCTTGGCAACAGTTTGCCAACATTTTCATAGAATTTAAGGGATAACTTTACCTTGATCTGACCTACATTTCTGAGATGCAAGAAACTGTCGAAAGTTAAAAGCTTTTCGGCCGCCTTTTTATGCTTGCGTCAGAATTTTTTTAAGGAATAATTTGTCATGAGGTCTTTCCAATTGATTGTCTGATATTAAAGCGCATCAAATTATTTGCATTCTCCTTCCGTTCGAGTATCAAAAATGACTGAGCTGTAGCTCCCTGATGATAGAATTTGTACTTTCTGTTGAACTTTACCGCAGCATTTGGTCCAGTCAAACGGAGAAGCCGTGTCTTGTATTCAGAGCGGAGGTCACAGTTTGCCATTTGATCAGATCTAGAGAACCAAAATATCAATTTAATCCCTTTGAAAAAGTGATAAGTGGTCTTTTCAAACAAGTCAAGTGATACAAGTCTTCATGAAGACTTGTATCATGATGCATCACTCGAAAGGGATGCCGGTACATTTGGGGCCTGCGGAAAATATCACTAGTTGAAGCATGGGTAGGGGTTGTCTTTGTCGAAATATTTGAAGGGGATGTCGTCTATTACGGAAGGTGCCAAAGGGTTACCTTGAAATCTTGTACCGTGTAATAACTGTTGATATATACTCTGCGTTTTCTGGCCTGGGAATGATCGCAGAAAGACCGCTAGTGATCAAATCACTTCTATACTTCATTTCTTTTCTGCACTACTTTCGCACCGCCCCTGTACGCCTGGTACAGGCGATCTCATCAGGTCCTTGAGGTATTTCCTTTTTTCTTACTTGATGGGTACTTTGACTTTTCTTTACTACACTCGGCGTAAAAGCGCGCTTAACGGGGTTATATGGCATCGGTGAAGAAAAGCTATCGATAACCAAGTGTTTTGTGAAGGAAGAACACTACTTACTCTCCTTTTAAAACCGTAAAATATTGAAAATAATTAATAAACCGCTTTGATTCAAAGTCTTGAACTTCTCGGTGAACAAGTGCTCTGCCTTCCATCTGTAGATAAAACAGTGAACGACAAAAATCAGCAGAAACAATTATCATAACTGATCATGATAAAGATGATGGCTAAGTTCACACTCGAGCAGCTAATCGACAATACTATAACATCACTGAAACATAAAGTGTAACGAAAGAGTTAAGCACAGAGTTTTCTTGTTAATTTTTAATGAAACTTGTCTGGCTGGCATAATTATCGCTGAATTGCAGCTAGAACACCAGCCACGTTTTCAGATCTGCTATTTCCAATTTCACTTTCAATACAACCTACGGCGAAAGAAGTTTCGAAAAATAATAAAACTTCTGAACGTCTTTTTTATGACAATGCAGTTTTCTCGTGCTTGTAAAAATGAACATAAATACAAAACACGTCTCTTTTATGCCGGGAAAAGTTACTCGAGGATAACCAACAGTTATGAGGCGGAAACTCTCTAGAATTCAAACAATAGCGAGCAAATCAAAAAGAAAGACTTTGAGTTGAAGGGTTCTCACCGCCTCGCCAAACGCAGTAGCATTATACAAAGCCTTTTTGTACAACTCGGACGAGGCTTGCTTACCAATCCAGCAGTGGATATCACAACTGGTCTGCAAAACAAAACAAAAAAAAAAACAGAAAGCGAGGGAAAAAGTCAATTGCTCTTTACTAAAAGAAGTGAACCTTCAGCCGTGACTGCCCATATTTTCTAGTTACATTAATGGTTTGATGGGCGATGGAGAAAGACTTGAGCCAGATATTTTTGAAATCTACCAAAAATTAGCTTTTCAAAAAGGAAGCCAGAATTTGAACTTGGCTTTGGTTCTTCAAGTCATTTCGACTAATGTTCTCATTTAGGTAAGGAGTTATGTCTTAATACTGTTAACCTTTTCCGTTTCGGACTCTTAAAGGGTCTTTCTTGTGTTAAAATACGTAAGAAGAACAAAGCGAGATGAACATTTTAAGTTGTTCTACTTCATCATCCAATATTGCTCTCTTGAGTCAGTCAGTTCACTGTCGGGTCATTGATGATGACAAAACTGCTTCATAGCTTTGGCATAGTATACTTTTCTTTATACTCACTGATGTTTTAAGAGATGTACGATTCAACACTATGTACACTTCTTGGCTGAAGAATTTTCCTTTGGTGGCTAAACTCCATTCTACGATCTGTGACAAGGAAAAAAGATTACTGTAATCAATAAGCGACTACGCCCACTACTGGAACGCAAAACAAAACACACAGGAATCCCGCGGGATTCACGACGCAGAAAAAAGTTTGTTTTCATTTTAATTACACTTGGACGAGATAAGAAAATCTATGTCAAATCAAGAAAACCTCGCTTCTTAAGCGAATTTTAGCTGGCAATGAATGTGGGTGATATGAATCTCAGCAAAGAAAAAGTTCTGTAGTTCTTTTGGCCAGTGAGTTAAAAAGTTGAAAGTTGAATGTTGAAACTAAATTCTGTAAAAAGTGAAGCATAGGATTTCACACGGTCTGCATTCACCCCTGCAGATTGTAAAGTTGTTTTTATTATTATTACTTAACAAGCGTTGAAATTTTTTCCTTATTTGGAAAAACGCAAGTATCTACATAATGCACTCAGATCAGTTGTTTTAAAACAAAAATATTATCTAGCATGACTTCTACATCATTAGACAATAAGTTAAATTTTCAGTGCACGAAATCCTACAAAACTCTATATCAACAATCAACATATTCTAAATAGGTTTTTTTTCGTAACGGTCGATCCCCATATGGCAAAAATCGAGATCTTACAGTAATTTTTACGAAACAAATCATCCCATACAGTCTTAAGAAAAAGCTGAAAGGAATTTGGAGAGGAAGACAAGAGGAAAAAACTTATAATGAAAGAAAGCAGGTGTTGCACGGTCATTGATAAAAATATAAAGCTTTAAAAGTGGTTATATCCCGCTCTCGAGGGTAGAGTCTGCGTTGTTGTACATACTGACTCTGCGCATTAATTTGACAAAGTGACCCACTGAATAGTAAACAAACTTTAGATTGCGATATTTTTTGACAGCCTTCAAGCTACTTACACCAGAGTCGGTGATTTTCCAGGCCCGTGGTTTGTCAGTCCCAGGTTCAGCAGAAATTGCTATCCAATCCTTCAATCAGTAAATTATAAAGTGACGTTAGATGAGGTCAATTGCACTCATTACATACAGTTCATCTCAAACTCTCACCAGCGCATTACAAGCAACAAAATCAAAGAACGGTTTTAAGAGACCTTAACGTCAATATCACGGTCTACATATATTGGTATCTCTGCTTCTTTCCAGCGGTAATCCGAAAGTCCTTCTATGTAATTGGAATCTAGGTCTGCCATTTTGATGCGACACTGCGAATAAATCGTTGCACTATCCGTCGGCTCGAGGACGCCTTTAAAGGTTCCAGTCCAATGGGTAGATTCCCTTCATTAATGATGTTTAAAGTATTATTTTAATCATGAGCGATACTATTGGTCGTTATTTTAAGACGGGCCTTTATCTTAAATTGTCAAGCAGTAACTATTGTGAATGATTAATTAAACAATGCTTCTCATTTGTGCCTCGCAAGCACCATTCATGTATTCACAGCAGGTAGTTCAGTTACTAAACAGAAAAATGAATGCTTGTAGAGTTAGTTTGCGGTGTTAATATGCAGCAGCATTTCAGAAATAAAAGACGCTTTTGGAATCATGTCTTTATAACCAGGTCTCTTGACTTTAGTTATTTTTGGTTTAAATAAAAGGTTTCTTGCTTAGATAAAACTTGGTGTCTTCCTGGGAATTATTGCAAAGCGTGTCAAACAGCTAAAAAGATGAATAAAATAAACATGAATTTTAATATTTAAAAATCTGTCCTAGAGTGGCAACTTTTCAAGTCAGTTAGCTGATAAAAGTCTGTATTAAGGTGTCATGGTGAGGAATGAAGCTGTACTTTGTTACAGAACTGGAAGTTTTCGCAATCTCTTTAGCAGGTATTCTCTTTCTTCACCCCCCTGGGAATGAAGTTGACCCATTCGTTTTTATTAAAAAATTTGTCGAAACTGTCTATCACTGTGGTGATTGACATTCTCTCTGCACGGAAAGAGAAATCTAAATAAACATTTAAAATCAAAGCTAGGTGTGACGGCCAGCCAATTTTGAAACTGATAAACGTATGAGCCGATGAACATGCAAACGACTAAAATCATTTAAACTATGGTCGCATGGGATTTTCATAGTGCAAAATCGTGAACAGACCGCAAAGACTAGGGAATAAAAATGGTTAAGTCAGCTTATGAGCCAGAGGCTCCATCCTGTCGTAGAGTGTCCTAGTTTAGTGACATTAAGTGACTTATAGCAATGATAAGAAAAGAAAAGATGTGAAGATAAACCGTTAAAGGAAAAGCACGAAACGGTAAACTCACAGATAACGTGATGGGGCCTTCACGCGAACAATTTGTCACGTAAACTCGTGTTTCGCAATGCATGGTGGGATATTCAATTCTTGCTGTGCTGGCTTGTGCTTCCTTGTTTGACGACATTGGAAAGGTCTCGCAGGAAAAATTTAGACTCTGGTTATTCACGAAGATGGCCGATGATCATTGGGCTGCTCGTCATGACAGAAACAAAGTTGACCTCGCCTTCATTGTCGACTGTACAGGTTCCATGGGTCTTCATATCAAGCAAGCGCAAAAACACGTTCGAAGTATCGCCGAAACTGTTTCGCGAACTGCATTCAACGTGAAGCTTGGGCTGGTAGAGTACAGAGATCACCCTCCCCAGGATAACTCATTTATAACGAAAGTTCACGATTTTACACATTCCGTAGAGGAAATGAAAAAATGGGTGGATGGTATGAGCGCAAGAGGCGGTGGAGATGGTCCTGAGTCAGTGGCTTGTGCTTTGGACGCAGCTTCCAAACTCAACTACAGAAAAGATGCTACCAAGATTTGTGTTCTCATTGGTAAGTTGAAGCTTTACGAATAGTGTGGACAGGTAAGAACAGGTAAATTAAATATTATGTGAACTTTTTCAGATGATGTCTGCACCCTGAAACAGTTTTGATAAAAATGTTACAAACTATTGTGTATGAACGAGCTCGATGGGAAAAAATCCGAATAGATATCACTGGTGTTGGAGAACTTTAATTACTGGTGTTCACTTTTTCACGTGGCATTTTTAATTTTGTCGTATTTCTCTTCAAAATCTGTTGTGAAAGCCGTATTTATCTGGATCCTCGTGGAGAGGTCATAGTTTTACGAAGGAAAATAGTTTGAATGGTAAACATTACCCTGGATATTTGTATTCTTGTAAATAAAATTCAGATCATTACTCACATATTATTGTAGATACAGTCGTTTGTTCACTTTCTTTATTAATTAGTTTACAGGATTATACTTATTTTTAACACCAATTTTGAGCAGTGATGTACTTCGTTATGGAATTATTTGATCCTATCAACATACTATGTACATATACATCCTAAAACCACTTCATTTGAAATTATAACACTGCTGTATTAAGCTCTGATTCTCAGAGTAATTCCTAGTCTCCATTTTAAGCTTCCCAGCAGTACCTTATTGTTTTGATGATTATAATATCATTTTAATGTGACAGACATGTATCTTCAGATTTACATTTACTGATGCTTACATTTAAAATTTACCATTTTGATAATAAAAACTACAACTCTGACTGGGAAGTACTTGATGAGAGCAATTTCACAAGATAGGGCACTGTTGGTTATTATCTGATAATAATGTCATAATTGAGGTGATGAATGGTAAATTTACTGGAGTCTTCTTTATTCTTTCAGCTGATGCCCCTCCTCATGGACTTGGACTAGAGCATGATGGTTTCCCTGATGGCTGTCCAACTGGCAATGACCCTCTACAGGCTTGTAGAGCTATGGTGGAGAAGGGAATTGTACTGTACTGTGTTGGATGTGAACCAAACATCCTACGCTACAAAGATTTCTTTATGGGTTTGGCATACATAACTGGTGGCCAGTATGTTCCTCTCTCCAAAGCTCAGGGATTATCAAAGGTTGGAATTTAAGTTAAAGGAGCCACAGTGTGTTTAATTCGTGTCGTTAAAGGTAGATTGCTATTTAAGAAAATTTGTGCTAAATTTATGCTGAAATTTACCTGATAAAATTTTCACATCCACCATTTTTAAGACATGTTGTTTTTTGTTAGCCATCTCATTACATCTATTAAATATATTACTGCTTAAAATTCATGACTAAAGTAGGTGACACACCATATTGAACTCACTACATACAATTTTTTTTAAAAAAGGCATTTTTTAAACAAACAAAGCAAGTCTTACTAATGTGACTGCAGTGTGCTGGAGAGTAGACTTGGCATAGCTCACCACAGAGTTCTTCACAGTAGAGAGTCAGAGTATCAGAATATGGAATGTAAAGGTTTAGGGTTGGATTGTTTGTGGGGTACTTAAATGTTTTCTTTTTGTCATGTTCTTGACAACAGGAGTAACATCTTTCTTTAATTGATGCTCCAACTAAAAAGCTATAATCATCTGTCTTATTTTATCATTAACTTCCTGTTTTGTAGGTAATAATAAATGCCTCACTTGAGGAGGTTGCCCATGAGAACATTATGGGATATGTTGAAGACTTCTTAAACATGGCCCTTGAAGAAATGAAAGGAAAGAAACAGAAGGTAACAGTAGATGACTTGGCTGAAAAACTTCAAGAGCATTTGAACCTGAGAAATGTCAAATCCCGCCAACTTCAGTGCAACTCTGCAGAACTCCAGCCCCCCACACCAACAGCAAAGAGAATTTCTGGGTTAAAAAAATTGTCACAAGTTCAGCAGTTCCTGGAGAAAGACACTCCAATGGACTACAGATTATTTTACATGAACAATGTCACAGTGGAGGTCACCATAACCGAGCCAGCAGAAGTTAATAAACTCTTGTCTGAAAGGTTACTTACGAAGGCACTTGGCAGGCAGAAAATACCTGTGGAACATGATGAAGAAACTGGTGAGATAACCATTGAGCCATTTATGTCTGGAGCAAGTCCTGCAGTGTAACCGAATGACATTTTTATGAAAAGGGTTTCAAGAATTTTTGACACAGATTCATGACATGTGCGGAAGTATTCAAGTGGACTCCTACCACACAGTTTATTTTAGCCAAGAACCAACTTTCTCAAAAGCTTTTTCCTTTTCCTGAACAGCAGTAGGTTAGCCCCTTATCCAGCACATAACTTCAAGTATCGCCAAATATCAATTTATGGGTACCATGAGGGAACCCATGTATGGTTACTATTTTGTTGTGAATTGTAACATAAGAAATATCCTTGAGTAAGGAGTAAAGAAACTTGACAATGAATTATATTAATAGTGGTAGAGTGTTGTTAGTCTCCAATGAGACAACTTTATTTTGCTTGTTATGAGGTTTAAAAGGCCTCAAATTCTTTAAGTTCAATTATTTTACCATCAAGTTTTTTTATGGATGGGAAGATTAGCAGCTTTTCTCTGCAGTTCAATAACAAAGTTGACACAAGTGATGCAGTTACATTATGTATTCAGCAGTTCATTTAAGAGGTTACAAACATAAATGTTATGATTACCTTCTTTGGAAGAACAACTGTTAAGCTAGGTCTTTTTTGTCTCACCACATTAATGATCTCCTTTTTAAAAATCCATTTAGTTTTCTTTTCTCTTTTATTATTGTTACAAAGTAAATACTCCTGTAAACATGGCATTTATGAACTGAATAATGTTATGCTATTTTTGACTGAACTTATACTTAAATTATGATCCTGTAGAAAAACTGTACCTCCATTCAGTCCTCAATTAACTTTGATTATCATTTCGAACTGAATATCATTATTTTTTTGCATCTATCGAGTAGGATGTTACTCTGCGCTGAAGTACATTTACCTTTTCATTCCAGCCCTTCTCCCCTATCTCGGGAGAAACTAGATCTCAGTTCACCTCTTCCATTTGCAGTCCTCGTGAGGCTCTGTGCGGTTTCCCAAATGTCGTGAGGTTGTGCTATTGTGTTGAAAATCTTTTATGATACTAATGGCACTAAAGTTTCTTCTTTAAAGAATGCAAAATTGGTAACACTTGGGAATAGTTTCTCTTGAGTTGAAATAATCTTACATTGGAAAGCACACTTCAACTCTCGAACACTAGGAGAAGATTGAGGATGGAGGTTGGAAACTAGAGCATCACTTCCGTCTCTCGTAATCGTCGCTCGATCCATGGCTACCCATGGAACTGCGTCAAGAGTAGTTGTCTCGGGAAAGCGTCTTTTGAACCCTTTCCGTACTTTTCTACATCGTGTATCCTCTGAAATCTTAGAAGAAGACTTGAAGTCTTTGAAATTTATTTTGGCAGATGAAATTCCTGAGGGAATTTTGGAAAATTGTCAGAAGTCTACGGATTTGTTTTCCTACATGATAAAGAAGTGTCTTATAGGAGAGAACGATCTGGATTTCCTTGCAGAACTTTTCCATTGCATTGACCGATCTGATCTTGCAGAGCGTGTTAAAGTTTTTATAAGTAAGTCTCCCTCATCACTAGGAATGGGCAGCGCACCCATAGCACAGGTGACTCGTGAATTGCCAGGTAAATTTCATATTCCTACCTCCAACCCTAAGCTATCAATCTTAATTATTAATTTTCATTGTGTGACCAGCTATTTAAATTAAAATTGAAGTAATCGGTTGTGAGGAATGACAGCAAACAAAGAGCAACAAGTTGTCTTAGTGAGCGAATTCGAAGTCGGGAGGGTCGATGGGGTGAATGCAGATGCTAGTATAAGGATTATTGTCAGTGAGGGATTGTGCCATGCCAGTGAAGGGAAACCTGACTCAACCAGAAACCTTAAAAAAATTTGCTCATGTATCTTTCAGAAAGTTTGTCCATCTAGTGCAGATTGTGGTGAATGGATAAATTTACAAAAACCGTGACTTTCGGTCTGTTGAAAAAAAAACTCATGGACTCACTCTGTGATGTGTGAGCAGCTTAATTTCAAGGCCTCTTTATTTGAGCTCTGTTAAGAACACCTGACCTGGATTCTTAGATCCTTTTTCAACACTGTTTTTTCTTTGGAAAGATTGTGACAAGTTGATATAGATAGGCCAGGCTGGCCTGATTTCTAAGTCTTGGTTTTTTTTTGTGTGATTGATTTATGTTCCCTTATATACAATTCAATACAGTTGATCGAATGGTACCCAAAACTGTTTATCAGCCCAAAAAAGGGACATATCTACAATAAAGGGGAACACCGTGTGTATGATTAGGACATAGTAACATTTTCTTTTCTTTCTTTTCAGCCATGGGAAAGGCTATGGTTCGCTTCATGTTATCTGGTAATAATATTGACCAAAGAGCCACCCTCCAACAATTGAAAATTGGGATTTGTGCAGCTCTTCGAATAAAAAATTCTGATATCAACTTTGTTAAAACAGAGGAGGAAGCTAATAACTCAGCCTGCTTCACCTTTCAAATCCCAAAGAATGATGGGCTGTTAAATTCACTCCGTAATGATGCCCTTCAAAAAGAGGACTGGCTTTGTCAATGTGGAATCCAGGCAGTGAGGGTTGGTGGAGATGCAAGTTACATTTGTCTTGTTCAGCCACTCACCCATCCACCTAAGGATACCCAAGCCAGACTTTCACAACTACTTCAGGCAGAAAGTGGTGCAGGTATTTACATGTGTAGTATGACATCTTGTAAGCTATCACTGTGGAGTTATCTGACCCCTCTAAGAAATATTTTTCTTGGTGAGGTTATGAATTGACCTGACTGATCTTCCTGTTGGTATAGGGGTGCCACCCATGGCTCAGGACTGTGACCTTAAATAGGCCAAAAAGAAAAAAGAATACCTAGCCTGTGAGTAACAGGAGCTGATCAGCAACAAATATCTAGCTTTGATCTCAACTGCAGCTGAAAAGGCTGATTGAGGCTTCTATTTTATGTATATGTGATGTAACAGGAGTCAATTACCTGTTCCCTGCTGCCTATGGCCCTTCTTTGAAATTGAATTTACCAAAGAAAGAGATCAAAACCTGGGGCAGGAGTATCTGAACAGAGATGGATCCAAAGTGATAACTGAATGGTATCATAAAAAAGCCTTTACCTAAGGGGGTATAAATGCAGAGGGGGGAGGGGGTGGAGTATTTGGAACCCCTTGATACTTGAATTTGATTTTTAAACTTATTTTTCCCTATATTAGATTTGAAGTGGAAAGACTTTGTTAACAAAGACAACCTGGATTTGATTGTTGTTGTTGAGCGTACTAAGAATCGTAAGTTTCATACAAGACTTAAAACTCAACTGGCTCACTTGGTTGAAATGATTTGTGCAAGAGATTACAACTTCCGACTTGCCCTAGTTTGTTATCAGGATCACACTTTTCCTGTTTCCAATGCTATCACTTGGTGGTTTACTAAAGAAAAAGATGTCATGAAGTCCCACATACATTACCTTGATGAATCTAGAATACCATGTTCAGAAAATGGGTTGGCTGATGGTCTTGCACTGGTACAAGATTTAGCGACTAAAGAAGATTCAAAATCATGCCGGAAAGATGCCAATAGAGTTTGCATACTACTGCGTAAGTACTGTATGATGGTTAGATGTAGTGAACTGAACAGTTAAGATGCTGGACTCTAAGTTGAGAAGTAGAGTTTGGAGACCTGGCTTTGAGTCATTGTGTTGTGTCCCTCTCTCCACCCAAGAGTATAAATAGGTACTGTACCTGTGAATTGTCAGGGAAATCCAATGAAAAACTGGATAACCTGTGGTAGACTAGCATCCTATCCAACTTGAGTAATACATAATGAAAAAGCTGACAAAACCAGGGTAAGCTCCACCAGTTAGGGCCACTTGGTTTGAGTGCTGACTATAATGGAATTTACATGATGGAACCTGATATGAGTTTTCCCAAACTTTACTATCACAGTTATTCTTTCCACCCAAGAGTATACACTATAGGTGAATATCAATGAACCATTCCCAAGTGATTGCTGGGTGTGGATCCTACGGTGGCTTAACACCCTGTCTTGAAAGGGAGGGTGTAGCAATATTCTTAAACATGTCATGCCTTAGGAAACAGAGATTATGACTGGCTCCTACTTTTAGTAGAGTTTATATCATTTGTAAGGGTTTAATACTTATGAATTAACCAATCTATTGGTTTTTTTAGCTTCAGTGAACGAGAGAACCTCCCTAGAAACATACAAGTGTTCACATGGCCACGATGTGATGAAAATTTGCAGACAGTTGGCAGAAAATTCCGTCACCCTTTACACAGTTGGAATCGTGCAACCCACAACTGCATCCCCTTTTGGAAGAAACCCATTGCCAGAATTTTTTTCAGGAATATCACTCAAAACTGGAGGTCGTTACATCCAAACACAAAACATCAAGCAGCTACCAGTGGTAATTTTCAACATTTGATAAGAAAACTTTTCTTAGTAATTTTATTGTGCATGTTCTGCATCCAATTCATTAGTCCCTCTTTCCACATACCAGCTCTTCTGAATTTTACTTAGACAAATTACATGCAACATTGGTCTCTATTGACTCAAAATTTGCCATCTTTGGGACCTACTTTTATAACTTGATGATGGAGTGTGACCTAAATTTTCAATTTTATGCTTGGATGAGAGAATAAATCAAACTCACAGTCCTGATTTTTTGTAGTCAGTCAATTGCCTACCATACCAATCCTGAAATGTCTTTCAGATAGAAAGGCGTCACATAGCCTCACAAAGAGTGTAGGTGAAAACTGGGTTTGGTGACTGCTGTGTGATATCATTTGGGAATTTGTGTAAAAACAAATTCTTATTTTGCAAGTTTCTTTTAAAATCTATTCCATGTTTGGAGCCACCTAATTTTTTTCAAACTATTTAGAGATTTATTTTTCTGGAAAGACATTTATGGCACTGGTGCTAATTAAGAGTTATATCCTAAATCCTAATTCTGTCATCCTTGTTGTTAAGAATCTACAATATTTCTCCACTCACAGATTATAATGTGTGCCATTAAAGAAGATCTCTCCTTGGAGCGTCTCATTGGCACTGCACATGATATAGTCCTACCACATGTGATTGAGAAATATGGAGATGTTAATGTAGAAGAGCTTACCAAGATGCTTAGAGAAGAACTTAATCGAAGATCCTGCCTTGCAAAAGGCATTGTACTGCAAAACAGTGTGAGTGTTCTGCGTGAATCTGAGTTAGCGCTGAAGTTGTCTTATGATGAGGATT